TAGTTTTTGACGGAGCGTAAGAGCTCTGCATTGGCTCCCAGTACGTTTCCGAGCACAATTCAAAGTGTTGGTGCTGACCTTTAAAGCCCTAAATGGCCTTGGTCCTCTATACCTGAAGGAGTGTCTCCACCCCTATCGTTCAGTCCGGACACTGAGATCCAGCGCCGAGGGCCTTCTGGCGGTTCCCTCATTGCGAGGTTACAGGGAACCAGACAGAGGGCCTTCTCGGTAGTGGCGCCCATCCTGTAGAACACCCTCCCTTCAGATGTGAAGGAAATAAGCAGCTATCCTATCTTTAAAAGACATCTGAAGGCAGCCCTGTTTAGGGAAGTTTTTAATATTTAATGCTGTATTGTTTTTAACACTTGATTGGGAGCCACTCAGAGCAGCTGGGGAAACTCAGCCAGATGGGCAGGGTATAAATAATAAATTATTATTATTATTATTATTATTATTATTATTATTATTAGCTCACTGTCCCAAGGCCCGAGTGATAAGGGACAGTGTCCAAGCACGGTGGGGAGAGGGAAGAGGATCCTCTGTGGGGCAACGCTATGCCACACCTTCACCCAGGAGCCTGCTTTCCAGTGAAAGGGCTGCACAGGGAAGAATGAGGTTGCCTGTGTGCATTGTGGGGGTGTTCTTTTGTGCTCCCCCGCCCCCCGCTCCCAGCAGATAACTTCCCTCACCTTCTTGTATTATCCAGGGGCTGATGGGAGTTGTAGTCCAAAATGTCTGGAGGGCACCAGGTTGCCAAAGGCTGATTCAGGTCTGGAGGGTTGTCAAAGGTTGATTCAGGTGGCAGAGCCTTTAAAGGAGGGGAGAATGGATTTGTAAACTAAATGAATATTTAATTTTGGCAAAATTAACTGCTATAGTAAGAAATCAGTCAAATCAAAAATTTAAAAAGGAGTGGAAATGTTTCGATGAATATATGGCAAAGTATTGCTCAAAAAAAAAAGATATGCTAATATTAGCATATTAGATATGCTAATCTGCCTAGATTAAAACGTGAAGTACTGGATGGAAGAAAAATTAGTAAGCAAAGATAATAAGAATATATAGATTCTATAGTTGTAGAATACAAAGATTACTGTAAATTGTACAATGTGGAGGAAATCGAGTGGGGGCAGAGGGAAGTGGGTGGGAGGAGAAAAGAATAATATGATGGACTGAGGAAATAGAAATGTAAATGTATGAGGGGATGGGGAGGAAATGGTGTTGGCTTTGGTACATCTGTATTGTAATGTAATATGTGAAAACCAGTAATAATAATAATAATAATAATAATAATAATAATAATAATAATAGTTTCAGACCATAAAAAAGGAAAAATAAATAAATAAAGGAGGGGGGGAAGCTGGTTCAAAGGCAACGTCTTTAAGACAATCTCTGCTCACTGCCTTAAAGCAGCTGCCTTTGCAAGTCTCCCTGCATTCCCCCTTTACATCTCCAACATCAGGGGTTTAATGGGGAAACTTGCAAAGCCACACAGGGGATTTTGGCTGGTGGGTGATGCAACAGAGTGACCACAGAGTTGAAAGGGACCACAAGGGTCATTTAGTCCAGTGTTTCCCAATCGGGGGCCATGTGGCCCCCCTCGGGCGGGGGTGTCCCAGCATATTCCAAGGGGGGCACAGGTGAAAATTACGTAAATGGCTGGCTATCTGTTTGGCCAATCACAAGCAGGTAAGGGGGCGGGCCACCAGGGGGCAGCCTAGCGCTTCTTTTTGCCACATGCATTTTCTTGGAGCAGTTCTGGTTTGTTTCCAAGATCGCTGAGGCTGCCGTTTTTGACCACTGCTTATGGCTGCCGCCAGTGCTGGTCCAGGTGGCAGCGTGGGCCTGACTCCAATCTGGCACCTAGCAGACTGGGGCATTTGGATGTTGCCAAGGAGCAAAGGGCCCGTTGACAGCGTTGGCCTGGCTCCCCAGCGCCTAGCCAAGCATGGTCGTTTAGTGCTGCTGACTTGCATGTAAAAAGGTAAAGGGTAAAGGGACCCCTGACCACTAGGTCCAGTCGTGGCCGACTCTGGGGTTGTGGCGCTCATCTCGCTTTATTGGCCGAGAGAGCCGGCGTACAGCTTCCAGGTCATGTGGGCAGCATGACTAAGCCGCTTCTGGCGAACCAGAGCAGCGCGCGGAAACACCGTTTACCTTCCTGCCGGAGCGGTACCTATTTATCTACTTGCACTTTGACGTGCTTTTGAACTGCTAGGTTGGCAGGAGCTGGGACCAAACAACGGGAGCTCACCCCGTCACAGGGATTTGAACCGCCGACCATCTGATTGGCAAGTCCTAGGTTCTGTGGTTTAACCCACAGTGCCACATGCTGTAAATAACTAAATGTCTACTCAGAAGAAAGCTGGCTGAGTCTAGTGGGCCTTACTCCCAGGTAATAATAATAATAGTAATAGTAATAATAATAATAAACTTTTATTTATATCCCACCCTCCTTGACCAAAGTCAGGCTCAGGGCAGCTAACATCAGATATATAACGTTAGTATAAAATCAAACAATAATTACCTCCTAAAAACAGGTCAAAATCAGAATAAAGTCTAATTAGATGGCTTTCTGCAGGGTTAGGGTTAGGAACAGTAAGTCCTCATCGGCCCAACTGTTTACGCTGATCTTATATGGGCCTGTGAGAATGCTGGGAGGCCTCTTTCATTCTAGTTCTTATACAAAAAGAAAAGTGGAGTCAGGCTGTGCCCTTACCAAAGTCCTGGCAGAACAACTCTGTCTTGCAGGCCCTGCGGAAAGATGTCAAATCCCACAGGGCCCTGATCTCTTGTGGCAGAGCGTTCCACCAGGCTGGGGCCAAGGCCAAAAAGGCCCTGGCTCTGGTCGAGGCCAGCCTATCTCTGAGGCCCAGGATCTCCAAGGTGTTATTATTTGCAGACCGTAAGGTCCTCCATGGGGCGTACCAGGAGAGGTGGTCCTGTAGGTATGAGGGTCCTAGGCCATATAGGGCTTTAAAGGTTAAAACCAGCACCTTAAGCCTGATCCTGTACTCCACCGGGAGCCAGTGCAGCTGGTATAGCACTGGATGAATGTGATCCCACGGCGAAGACCCCGTAAGAAGTCTTGCCGCGACATTCTGCACCTGCTGGAGTTTCTGGGTCAGGTTCAAGGGCAGCCCCACGTAGAGCGAGTTACAATAATCAAGCCTGGAGGTAACCGTCGCATGGATCACAGTGGTGAGATCAGGGCGAGAGAGGTAAGGGGCCAACTGCTTAGCACGGAAAAATGCCGCCTTTGTTGTAGCTGCAACCTGCGTCTCCATAGAAAGTGAAGCGTTGAGGATTATACCCAAACTCTTGACAGAAGGCGCTGGCACTAATTGCGCCCCCGCAAGAGATGGGAGTTGGGCCCCCAGCCCCATACTGTCCCGACCCAGCCAGAGGACCTCTGTCTCCAAAGGCTCCCACTCAGCCATCCAGCCACAGCTTCCAAACATCTAACCAGTGTGTCTGGGGTCAAGTCAGGTTGGTCGTCCATCGACAGATAGAGTTGGGTGTCATCAGTGTCCTGATGGCAGCTCAGACCAAAACTCCGGACAATCTGGGCGAGGCGGCACATAAAGATGTTAAAAAGCATTGGGGAGAGAATTGCACCCTGCGGCATTCCACACACCAAGGAGTGGCGTGACGACAGCTCCTCCCCTAATGCCACCCTCTGTCCCTGACCAGAAAGGAAAGAGCGCAGCCATTGTAAGACTCTGCCCTGAATCCCCACGTTGGCAAGGCAGTGGTCCAAATGTTCATGATCGACCATGTTGAAGGCTGCTGACAGGTCTAAAAGGATCAGCAGCCCCGACCCGCCTCGATCCAGCTGCCTACGGAGATCATCTGTTAGGGCGACCAAAGCCGTCTCGGTCCCATGACCAGAGCAAAAGCCGGACTGGAATGGATCCAAAGCTGATGTTTCATCCAGAAATCCACCAAGCTTTTCAGCAACCGCTCTCTCCATCACCTTACTCAGATACAGAAGATTCGAAACCGGGCAGTAATTGGATAGATCTGAAGGATCTAATGATGTTTTCTTTAAGAGCAGACGCATCACTGCCTCCTTCAGCTCCCCTGGGAATGTCCCCATACCAAGGGACAAATTAATGATGTCACCTAGGGGGGCCCGCACCTTGTCTGGACATGCTCCAATCAGCCAGGATGGGCACGGGTCAAGAGGGCAAGTGGTGGGCTTTCCAGCTCGGAGGAGTCTGTCCACATCAGCTGGGAGTATCTGATCAAAGTGGTCCAATACTGGACCCAAAGACAGTAGAAGTAAAGGTGTGGGAGGCTATAGTGTTTTATCTAGGCAGCCAGGGCTTCTTCGGATGACAAGATCTTTTTGCACCAGGTCAGTGAGGACCACTTGCTTTTTAAAATTCTCCCATATATACAGAACTCCCTGTGCGCCTTTTGCAGACCCTCCAAGTGTCCCTATTTTCCAGGGACAGTCCCAGATTTACTGAAGTTGTCCCCGTTTCTGATTTGATCCCCAAATATCCCGCTTTTCTTTGACATCCCTATTTTCATTGAAGCAATATTGGAGGGTACAGAGTTATCCAACCCCTGAGCCATCTGAAGGGAGCCCTGTATAGGGAAGATTTTTTAATGTTTAATGTTTTATTATGTTTTTATGTATGTTGGAAGCCACCCAGAGTGGCTGGGGCAAACCAGTCAGATGGGCAGGGTATAAATAATTAAGGAATAGGACATTCCTTTTTTCATCAAAGAAATGTTGGAGGGTATGCTTTTAGACTGTTATCTGTAGGTTTTCCCCTCTGTATCAAATAACTGGGGTCAAATAAGTGTTGTTTACTTTTTACAATACATGGAAGATGGATCTCCCTCTCTTTACAAACAAAACATTTAAATAGCTACCATTCAATCAGTAGGATGGGGTGGGGTCCACAGGAAGGTAACAAGGGTGGAAGGGGGTCACAGTCGGAAAAGGGTTGGGAAACACTGATCTAGTCCAACCCCCAATAATCTTTTGCCCAAAGTGGGGCTCAAACTCACGAGACTGAGATTAAGTCTCATGCTCTGCCGACTGAGCTATCCCATCGGCAAATGTTTGCTCAGACCAGGGACTAGGTCAGGGGCTGAGAACCTGTAGCCCCTCCAGATGAGGCTGGATTACAACTCCCATCATCCCTGCCTTTGGGCCCCCCAGGCTGATGGAAGTTGCATCTCAACCACCTAGAGAGGGCCACAGGTCCCCCAGACCCTGTTACAGAGGGAAGTCTGTGACTCACCAACTTGGAGGAAGACCAGAAGCTCAGGCCCTTTCTGCAACTCTCTGTGGTCTCATAGCCAGATCCTGATGGCACTTTATGCATCTGAAGAAAGGGGCTCAGCTCTCTCTATACTCTGTGAAAGCCCATGCCATAATTATTTTTTTCTTGAAGGTGCTGATGCTTGTGTTATTCCTTGCCTCTGTTCTGCCTAACACACTTAGGACCAATGTCAGCGGCTGGCATCCTTAGGCAGCTGAAAGGGCCCACAGCTGTTCCTGCCTAATGGAATCAGGTGGGGGGAAGGGAAAGGAGTAGAAGCCTCTGAAAGGACTCAATTACGACAGGCATACATCCAAGTTGTTTGCGTGTTGTTTGCGCAAGACGTAAGCTGTGGGATCTCCTCCCAGAAGCAGAAGTGGTGGATGGGAGGAGTTGTCTGTCTTCATATCAAATACTGTATACACTTCTGCAGAATCTTGGTAATGATTTATAGGTCTAGAATTGTTTTGGAGTAGGGAAAATACCAAACCAAACACTGACATGATTAAGTTTGTTGACTAAAAAGAAGTGGGAGAGGAAGTTCTGGGGCCTAAAGAGGGTGACACCAGGGGATAGTATTAAGGTTTGATTTTGAGGCTGCTAAGCATGCTAAGAACTCCAGTTCCAGTTGAAACGCCGCCTTCAGCATTACATAAACAGCGGAAGGCAGAAAAACCTGATGTACTGGGCTATTGCCAGTTCAATTTCTTTGGCTGATGGCCGACATCTAAATGCCAAGGCATTTAGTAGAGAATCTTCATTGTCACTGTATTCTGCCTTCCCTGGTAGCATCCACCCCCTTGGAATCTGGATAGCCAAGCCCGACAGCTGTACTTGCTACATTAACAGATGATTTTCAATGTATCAGAGATAGGAGTCTGTGGCCGGTATCTGGATCCTCTGTATTCTAGTCTGCATTGTCAGGCAGTGGCAATGGGTCAGTGCATCTTGCAAGTTAACCAGAAGGCTGATGGTTCAAGCCCACCCAGGGATGGCTGTGGGCAGGATTCCTGCGTTGGGAGGGGGGGTTGAACTAGATGGCCCTCTGCTTGCCTTCCAACTCTGATTCTACGGCTTCTATGACCAGGTCCTCAGCAAGACTGACTCACCTAATTTTTGTCAGCTTGGCCAAAGGGGTACACAAGGGCTCTTGGCTTCCTAAACAGTATGTCCCTCCCATCATTTCTCACTAATAAAGAATGGAGATATTCACTCTAAATGTCCTTGCTCATCCTCCCCTTGCTCTTGGGATAGGCCTGTCTGTTGTGTGGAAGGGTATAGGCCCTGCCCCCTTGCCAAACTAGTCACCTCAGTGACTCTTGGGTGGCCGGGAACTCCCTTTGGCAGCAGGCATACCAGCCTAACTGCCTTTCCTTGTTGGACAGGGAACAAGGTTTAATCGCTACAGAAACGACTGTAAGCCAGGACTCTTGTGTCTCAGCCTCTGCTCCTGGTAAAACTGAAATATGAATCAAAGCGGTTGCAAATACTATTCTTTATTGACATTTGCAAATACAATACATTAAGAATCATTTGTCAAAAAAGTCTTTTTTTATATAAAAAAATACAACTTTTTAAATTACATGTTTCTGGCCTCTGGCCCTCCTACTGCAGTCAAGCAGTGTCCTCAGCTCAGAAATTCAACCAGAACGGGCTGCACCACCTTTTTTTGAACCCTATTATTTATATTATGTACAAAATAGCCACAGAACTGACAAGTTCCTCCAAAAAATGACTCAAGTTTCCACTTCTATCATCACTGGCTCTCCTGCCATGGGACTTGGATGTATACTTAAGAATGGAAGCCTATCCATAGGTTCAGATTTGAAGGAAAATAGGTTATTTCTCTTTTTCCAGGAAAGTAGGCAACATAGCATGCCCTGCTACTGGCCTTAAGAGGTGTACCTGCAACTCTGCAAAATGAGAATGCTCTCCACCTCTGCAAACGAGGTCAAAAACACAAGTACTGGTAGTGAGCATGATGCACATATCAACTTATTCCAAAAGGGTTTCAAAGCCCCTTTTTTGCTTCATTATCAGGACTAAATGGCTCTCCAAAAGCTGTCCCTTTCACTTCAAAATGAGGAATCCACGCTGAGTGGGTGCCTCTAGCCAAGCCCTACTTACACCTGAATGTCAATTAAGACCATTCCCAGTTGCTCTTTCAAAGCTTCAACCTATACAAGAGCAGCTGTGGCACAATTCTAACTCCCTGAAGTCCCATCGCTGTCAAGATCCAGCCCTGCCCCGCGACGGGACAAAGGTTCCTTGGCTAAAAAGAAATTTCCTTCCTGAAGTCTACATCCAATTCACGTATGCCATGTGGTAATCAGGGAGTAAAAATGAAGTGCCCTGTGAGGAGAAGAAAAAGATTGAGAGTGAAAACCAGGATGGATGCCAACTCCTTACGCATTTATGTTGTCATCCAGGCACCAGGAGGGCTGGTCCCCCACCCAACCCCCAGAGATCCTTTGGGACTCTGTTCATTTGCTGACATCTGTGGGATTTATGCTACTGATACTCTTCTATTTTGGTTATTTTTTTCTGGTTAGAGGGCTTTAAGAAAACCAATCTCAACTTTCACAATTTTAATTTCTGTCAAAAATGTTTAAATAAAATATATATGGAGGACCCAAGTCTTGCTGAAAAAGAGCAGCAATGGAGCTAGCCCTTATATCAGTGGTGGCAAGCCTGTGGCACTCCAAATGTTGTTGGACTTCCATCAGTCCCAGCCAGGATGGCCAAAGGTCAGGGAGGAAGATGAGAGGTTCAGTCCAGCAACATCTAGAGGGCCCCAGGCTTCCCACCCTATCCTGCACCAATCAGTCAATAGAAGACCTTAGCAGGTTCTGGGAAACTGAACAAGTCTCAAAATTAGGACAAACACATATTGTTGCAGTGTAATTCAGTATCACTTGCGAAAATAGTTCAACTGCAGAACATCTGAAATTGTCCTGGCAGAAAAATTGGCTTATTAGTTAAAAGCAAAGCTAAACTATTTGATTTTTACATTTATATGTATATGTGTGTGTGTGTACACACACACACATTTTATTTTATATGCAAATCAGGGACCTTTCCCCAAAACTTCAATATGGTGAAGTATACAGAAAGTTTCCTACATACATGCTTACTTACAGATGGAGAAAATATGCTAAACACATTACCTTCTGTTAATAATTACAGGATGTAACTCTATTTTGGTTTTGTAGTTTGGAAATATAACTGTTCAACTGCCTTGAGCTAGTCTCTTCCTTAAATTTATTGAAGCACTGGACATCTCATGTCATCCAGCACCCAGACAAAAAGCCCCTAACGCCACTTGCAAAATTAATCTTCTTGCTGAGCCAATGGAGCAAGATGACAGCTGACAAGTAGGGGGAAATGCTAAGTTTTCAGAGAGTGTGAAGACGACAGATACTAGTGGAGGGAACATACCTAAATTTCCTAGTAGCTAAAGTTACCAGGCCTGGGGAATAACGCTTTCCAGTAACAGACGGCGACCCTCCTCATAATCATCTTCATCCACATTGACCAGCAGTCGGATAGCCTCCTGGCCCACGGCCTCTTTGAGAGAGTCTGTGATGAAAACCCCTTTCAGTGCCTCTAGCAGTGAGCCGTTCATATAGTCGCTCCAGAAGGCATCAAGGTAGGACAGCTCTGAGAACTTGATGTCACAGATTATTGAGCCCAGGTCACGGGATTTGAGGATGGTGTTGGACTGCCCAAAGACATCAAACTGCCGCTCCAGATGGTTCTGCTTGTTTGACATCACATTCTGACGCAAGACAGGGTCATGCTCACAGTATTCTGCACGAACACGGAGCCGGATGTCTGAGCAAGACACACAGGAGACAGAGAGAGAGAGAGAGAGAGAGAGAGAGAGAGGAAGGGAGGGAGGGGAAAGGAAGAAAAAGAGTGGCATTAGAGCTGGAGGTCGCAAACAGAGCACGCAGACAAACACACGGTCATGCAACAGTATTCCAGGGTTGGGCTGTTCAACAGCCATGAGCAGGTGCTGAACATCAATACCAACCAAGCTGAAGATGCAGGCCACCTAAGACTCCTGAAGAGTTCAGGTTCCTTAAGATGGTCAGTCCCAGCAAGGGGTGTTCACTCTCGTTTTTGAAGTCTACCTTTGGCACAAAGTTACAGCTGAACTCCAATAATCACTTACTAAAAACATCTCAATTCTCACCCCAGAAACATTACTCTAGTACTGCCCCCCCACTAAATCATTCCTGTTGAGCTATCTGCACCAATCCTGAAAAGTCATCCACAACAGCAAATTCTTCAAAAGGCTTCCCGCCATTTTCAATCCAAAATCTTGGAAATAATTTTTCCAAGTTAATATAGCTTGTTGTTACGGGACGGCATTATCAAACCGGACCACTCCTTTATTAAGGGCTATGAGCCATTCTTGACTTGGAAGGGAAACGACTTGGGGAGATCCTGAACTAAAGCTAACTACTGACAGCCAGCTGGACACTTTGGCAGGAAAAACTTGAAATTTTAGCTAATTAAGATCTAGCCATCTCGTGAGTGACTTGATGCAACAGACGTGTACTACCATGCTCTAGATGCCCCAGCAATTACTGAAGTTCAGCTGTAACTATGGACATTGGGCAGGTTTGTGTTTTGTTCAGTTGCCCAAAGTATTATCAGCATTGTAGCCAAAAATTTAAAAGGTTCAAGAGGGAGGGAGAAATGGAACAAATACAGAGTAGGATATGTTTTAAAAAATGAGGCAGGTGATGTATTACATACGCTCAACAAGGCCGTCAGCTTTAATTTCTCTGTGTCTTGTGGTCATCACCTGTAGAAGCATTAACTCAAAGTGCAGTCACAGCCCTTTACCAGCAACTTTGTACGGCCTGGAGCCCACACCCACCCATACGAGTTAGCTACAAGGCAGCTTTTTGGTAGCCGGTTGCTAGCTTTCAACCAGCATGACAATTAGAACCCCTCTTTCCAGATGGGCAACAGCAGAGCTGTGCAACAAATTGAATTTGACAATTGTCCATGTAAGAAAGCCTAGAGCTTATACTAAGAGCAGTGCCATTTCCACCCCAAAATAAACAATGTACTGTAAAACTTGAGTAAGGAACAGATGTCCACAACTTCTCTTTACATTGTACACCAGCAACTGCTTTGCCTTGATAAGGCAGCACATTAAGAGCTCAGCTGTAGGACCCACTGGAAACCTTTCTCACATTCCAACCACAAGCTCCCACCCAATATGCTATATGCAGAGTAACTGAGAGGTTTCATTTTATTGGTACTGTACTCAGCTTAAGATATACAACTTTTGCACCCATGGTTTGGCATACGATTTCATCTAAATACCCATCCCACCCACTTTCCAATATAAACAGTTCTCTGAAGTAAGAATGATAGCAGCTGTCAGAGTTGGCATCAACATACTGGCACCTCTTGCGTCAGTTATGTCTCACTTAAGTGCCTGGAGGGCTCTTCCTCCCCCAGGACAGGATAAAAGCCTCAAATTATTGACCACGGGGGGGGGGGGACCCACAGCTTTTATTTCAAAACAAGCAGGATGCACATCAACTGCAAGGCTGTGGGGAGAGGGTTTCTGCACAACTCAGTTGTACAAGGTGGTTAATTGTTCCATGGCCATGCTCAGCCAGTAGTAATGCAAGCCCTGAGCAGCTGCATCTAATTAGACACTTGACCTATATAGGCAATAATGAAACCAACTGAGGCAGCACAAACAACATGGTACCCACCCAACCCTCCACTTTCAGGCCCCAGTCCCAGTGAAATAATCCCACTGTGGTTTCTGTTTGGAAGTATAGACAGCTTCAAAACACGCCACTGAGCCACATACTGTAGAGGCTTCTGCCAATGTCTTTTCCCAAGTTTGAATCACAGTAACAAGAGTGAAGAAGCCTCCAAGTTAATTACCACTAAAGTAGGATGGTTTCAGAGATTGAGGCCTGTCACCTCATCATCCATGCAACCCTTTAGTGTGTGTTCAGCATTAGAATTAGAAAACTCAAGTTATCAGTTTTCCAGAAAAGAACTGGGAACAGCATAGAGTACCAATTCAATTCAATTCCATATACTACATTACCCCACCCACCTTTGACACACATATTTACAGGCCAGCAAAACCCATTACAGACAATGTTAACCGCGCAAAAATGCCTCCATTGTGCAGAAGGCAACAAGTCCCAGAGTCCAAGGCAGTGTCCCTCACAGCTTGTTTAACAAGAGCGCTGCAGGGTCCAGATGCAGGTCGCTTCTAACATAGGAGAAGCGGTGAAGAGGCAGCTGAAATAATCATGAGGGCCACACTTAAGTTTTTGCTTTTTTTAGTTTGTCTGGGTATTTTTGCCACTGTCTGGTACTTGGCCCGCTTGCCTGGGCCAATACTTATGCTTTTCCAGGGATGAATTTCAACTGTGGACCGAGAGAAACATGGTTCAAGACTTTTAGCACATGGCAACATCAAGAAATCATTCTGAGATTCAATATGGCAAAAGAACACAAAATGGTGTGAAAACCCTGGCCTCACTTCTAGGTAAGTTGATAAAGAGCAACTGCTGCAGATACCAGACACAACATGGGAATTCTCACTGCAAGGACACAGGGTGCATGTTCTTGCTTATTCTTGACAACCACCAAATGGCACATGTATCAATGCAGGTTAACATTCATTGTGCTGACAGATTTATCATGAGAGAAATAACCAAGCAATGCAAGTGGATTTTGAAGTGAGAAGTGTGGAAGATTTTAGAACTATTAATTGTTAGCAGTTCATCCATCAATGATAAATGTTGACCAGCCAGAGGAAAAACTGTCCAAGAAAACTGATGGAAGCATCTGGAGGACAGGTAAAGTAGTTAAGGGAATGTTTATGCCCTAAGGAAAAAGGATTAATAGGAGCCCAGGACGATTCCATAGCAGCTCACAATGGCCTGATATCTGCAGCAGTAGCTATTAACATAACTAAGGGATCACGTGATATGGGAGCTATTTGCTTTTCTATATAGTAGAGCAAAACCTTTAATTGACTGGCACTTGAGACATCAGCTGATGACTGTCCCACAAGAGGCACAGTCCTCATAGCTTTAATACCCCCAGCCTGTTTATATCACTCTGCTGGAGGTTTGCAGCATATGCCCCCTACAGTGCCAGTTTTGAGTGGCTCTGTACACGATTACAATCCCAGGGCTGCCAATGCAGCCTTGTCCCCACTGACCATGAGAATAGCCAACATGCCTTTACAAATTGGCTGCTTGAGAGGCTGGCATGCAGGGTGGGCTGCCTGTTGTTCCTCTGGAAATAGGTAACTCAGCACACATTTAAACACAGATTTGCTTTCACATAGAACTGGTGGAAATCTGGGTGCATGGATTCATTTACCTTTGCGAGACCATTCTGTGAGAGGAGTGCACAAGAGAGACAGAGTCTCTTTATCATCAACTTTTGCTTAGTAACCTGGAATTTAAATGGTGGATTGAGAAAGAATTGGCAGAAATCAAGCAGCAACAAAAAAAGAGATCATTTGGGGGTTTGTATGCTCTTTTTCAGTAACTAAGCTCTAGCTTCTGCAGGCTGAAATAGCTCAGGAGGTTGCAAACTGGAAAAGGAGATCAGTTTCAAACTCCCAAGCTTAGGTGTGTAATTCAGAAGGGTTATAAAATGCAGAGCTTATTTCAGAAGCAGCTGCCTGGAAAACAAGGGTCAAGCTCTGCCCCAGTGAAGCAAGGCAACATCATCAAGTATACAGGCAACAATCTAGTGTTGAATGGAGCTTACAGTTTGATCCTTGCACCTACCCGGCAGAAGCCTTATAGCTGCACCTTGAAGTTGCAGTTTTGACACTCATTGTATTATTTTTGAACCTTCTTCGTTAGAACCCATTGCCTGTAAATTGGTCAGATGGTAAGACAGGTGTTTTTGTGCATTCGCTTTTGTTTCATTTGCATTGCACTGACACAAAGACAATAGCACATTGAGCTATGTAGGGATCCTACACCAGCCCCTAGCACCCACCTGCTGAGTGAGAGCAGCTTCAAATGTTACGTGCAACACAATGCATTTCTGGGTAAGAAAACTGTAAACACTGTGGGTGTGTTGTCAAATCGATGTTTCACAGTTTCCCTATACAGAACATCTCTCCGTATAGCAACATGTATCTGAAGCTCTAAGTTAGAAAAGGGTATATGCTGGCGTTAGAAATAGACATTCAACGCTGAACTGAAAATCATTTGGATATAATTCACTTAACTGAGTTTTAATATGAATTCAGAGGCAACTGGGATTTAAGAAAAATCCAGTTTGATGGGTTGGTATTACAGACCAAGTCAGGAGAATTAACCCCTTTCGAAAGTCAGATACAGAACCAGTGCGTAGTATAGTGTGCTATAAAATAAACATGCAAACTCAACAGATGAGTCTAACAGAAAGATGTACTACAAGGCTCTCCAGGAAATATTACAGCTATATGTTACTGGTGAGCATGTACAATTTTGAAAACAACTTAAGAATGTGGACAAGTCATTCATAAGCTTGACCACCTCTTAATACTATTCAGTGCCGGAGCTGTGGCACTCATTACTACTCCCTTGATCAGGAATCGTACTTTCTGAAGATAACTAGCTTCATAATCCTCAAAATAGTTTTATGTTATTCTATACAAAATTATGTGCCACACATCAAAAATCTCCAGAACCTCATTGTTCTGAAGAATTCACTGAATTAATTGGAAATATATAGTTTCAACAAAAGTTGAATTTATTTTTAATTGGAGATGACTGAAGCAGAAAAATGGCAACTACCATGAATGAAACTACCTCATGTTATAGGGCATGATGTGTTTTGTTATTACAAAAAATAACATCAGAGTAGCTAAACCAGTCTCTTTCCAAAACCAGCATATCACATGTAATGGTGTACTGACATTAACAGCCTCCACATCCCTCCCAGCAACTGGTGCCAAGGGATTAGTAGTCTGAAGGCATCCTTTCCTCATTTATAAAGCTTTCTTTTTGGTCTTATGCTGCTCTCAGAAAATTCTGCCTGAAAGGCAGGGTATGTAATTGAAGTAGTAAATAAATAGAGCTGGACCTTCTGGAGCACTATCAATAAAATAGGTACCGAACAGATCACCCTGGGAATTGAAGACAACATAACAAGGAGTGGGTTAGAACCTTCCCACCCTCACCCCAAAGAGGGGGCCAAAGCTTCCATTCCCCAACTGCACTGGAATGAAGTCCTATTGCCAGATTTGTACAGAAATTAATAGTGCAAGCCAAAACTCAAGTTCACTGACATAGAAGAAAACTGACAGCGCTGCAGCTACATATATATATTTTCCTCCCCCCAACCTTTTCCCCATTTGGTTCCAGCCAGAGAGAAAATGAATCACTGATCAGACCCTTAACAGAAACCAAGCTGCTAATGAGCATTTTAGAATGGTTTCATGGCATTATAAAAATACTTTGTTCAAATCAAGGGCGCCCCCGGAAAAAAAGCACATGCAAGGCTGACACCTACCACAGGTGACTTTTGTGGGAGTTTGGACCTCCTGCATTGGAGCATTAGTTGATTTAGCTCCCCGCCGCCTGCGGGAAGTAGACTTTGACCGGCCTCTGCTTACTCGCTTCCTTTTGCTCGTATTGGAGCCTAGAGAGAAAAAGCCGGGCATAGGCAATTATTTACACCAAAGCCTGGTAAGAAAAGCTACTGCTCCAAACCCCCTCCTCCAAATAATCTGATATCAAATGCAAACTATTTAAATTGCTGCCTTTCATCAAGGAGAAGTTATAATCTAGTAAAAATGTATCCACAATTGTAGCAGACAAGACATAAAACAGCTACGTAAAAACTGATGGCATTGTATATTTACTACACAAAAGGGATGAAACCATACACCTCCCCGCCACCCCCGCAAGCTGTACAACTCACACACCTGTCTCCCACTGATCATTTCGAGGCTCTGCAGAGGCTGAATTGAGACAGTTGTCCATCTGCCGGTCAGATGAAAGGACAGATGGTCCATAGGTGTATCTCTCAGGAGAAACTATGTTTTTTTTTTAAAAAAAAACATCAAAAGGTAGACACTATGTCAACTGGGAAAAACAGTTCTAAAAGCAACATCAAACCTGTCAAATCAGTTCATAAGTGCCTAGAATCAGAATATTCTGAGCTAAGCAATAGCAGACATAATACCATAAAGATATCCACCCCCCTATCTTTCTATTGCTAAAATTCTGGCCAGAAAGCTGAGTTGGAAGCTAGGATAATGTTCATTCAAGGATAATATTCATTCAAGAAGGAACTATTTCACTCAATTCAGCCAGGAAGTCAAAGTTAATGACACTGGCTTGTATACAATGTTAGTCTTTCTCAGAGTATATTCACTGAAATGAGTGACTTGGGTCCACTAATTTCAACCGATCTATGCTCAGAAAACAGATACTACCCACTTGCTCTCTACTTTTCTGGCTCAGTACCTGTACGCTGCCTTTTCATAGTGACATATGGCAGCAGATCATGCCTTGTCAGTACTCTCAGGAGCTGCAGAAGCTGCACGAAGTTGGTTTCATCACATTTGCCCCTCCTTTCTAGCTCCAGGAGCAGTTGTACACCATTCTTGGGCAGTTGCCTCTGAGCAGCAACTTCAAGACTACCATCAGTCTTGCCCAAGCTACATCGCCATTGATTTTTCCTCTTCCAGCTCTCCAGCACAGGGGAGGTAGTCTCAGAACCACTCTCTTCTGCTGCTGCCACAGCCCAAAGGGCAGGATCCAACGGGTGAGTCCAAGGCTGTGTCTCATCCAGAAGGAAAGAGAGTGCATCCATGTCATTCTCTGTAAGCTGGGAACCAATGACCTCAAACATTCGATGCAGGGAAATCATCCCATAGTACTCTAGACATTCTTCCTCCTCCCATATGTGGGCAAAGATTGGCCTTCTCATGTCAGCCATATGGAGACACTAACCCCAAGAGGGATTAACTGTTATGAGCTAACAGAACAGAACAGATGTGCTGTGCTCTGAACACCACAGGAAAGAGACACGTTTTGGCAGGCTGTGTATGATTATAACACGTTATAAGAGAGCCGGGAAAATAGAGGTCTTGAGGAAGGATCCCAACACTGCTCCACAAATGCCTGTAAAAGGAGAAATGGGGATGATTAGGGCATACCACTTTGCCCCACCCTAAAAAGCTGCTTAAGAGGCAGAATACACACAGAATAACACAGATAAAACGTTTCTAATTCTGCCATGAGTCCCAGCCAAAAGAGGGAACATGCAATGTGGAAGGAGCAAAGATCTAGGGGAGAAAATCCTCTCTCAAGGCCGCTGCCGTGGCTGCCTCCTCCAGAGGATGCAGGGCCCAAAATGCGCCACAAGATGGCAGCAGCGGCAGCAACAGCCACAGGAAGCAGCAGTCTCCCCTCCCCCTTGTCACAAGGGCAAGCACAAACCAGCCCGAGGTGTGTGTGGACGAGCCCCGTGCCTGCGGCTCAGTCCCATCTTGGCGTGCGCAGTGACCTCCCCTTCTCCATTCAAACGCCCCTCCCCCCACTATCCCACTCAGTCAAGGCTCCGCCCCCTATTTGCATAAACTGTCCCTCTGAGAGCGGGGGTGGCGCTCCTCTGGGCGTGGCTTCTCCTCCCCTCCTCCCACCGATGTTGTTGTTTTTCTCTCTCCTGCTCACACCACCGCCGCAATTACGTGTCCTTTTACCTCTCCATGTCTTCGCGAGGGCATTTCTGGGACTCCCCTCCCCCCACCACACAGACGAGACTCTTCCCCCCCCCCGCTCTTCACATACACACCTCCCCCCCCCCGCCTCCTTCAAGTATTTTTCCGCCCTCGTTGCCTCACAGCTGTTCCCCTTTTCGACGCTCCTCTGCCTCCCTCGCCTATATTCTCTTGCCGGCCCCCCAAGCCCCGTTTCCCGGTTTCCCTCAGGGAAAAACGGCTCCCTCAGCCGTCCGTCCCCCCACCTTCCCCTCAAAGCCGCACCACAGAACCTGCCTCGTTTCCTTTCCCCTGTCGGCATTCCTATCCCAAACCCTCTTCTCTATCCGGCCCCCAAAATAAAAATAAATCCCACACACGAATAAATCCCCCTCACCGGGTCTTCCTCCGCCGATACAGCCAGACGGCGCCGCCGTTCCGATCTTTCTGGTAGCTTCGACACGACTGCGCCTGCGCCAACCGAACCTCAAGCACAGGGAGGGTTCTTTCACCCACCTCACCCGTCGCGCAGGCGCCCGGGCTGTCAAGCGTCTTCCACTCCCCCACCGGGCGTCGCAGAATCCCAGGCTGCGCACGCGCAGACCCTGCCGCTCGTCCTAATAACCGCCGGTGGCGGCGCGTGCGTCGCCTTCCCTCGGCTCACGCGGACAGCCCGCTGGTGTCCTCGTGACCCACGTGCGGGGGAGGAGCCTCCTTTGAGGGGGAAGAATCTCAACGGCGGCGGCAAAAGCAACGGCAGACCTGATAAATTCCTCTCGCTCGCAGCCGGCGCCGCTGTACGCCGCGCTCTTTGCGTGACGGCTTAATCCAGCTGATTGGGTGGTGTGAGATAGTAATTGAGGGCGGCTTTGCGCTACAAGCGCAGCGCAGCTCCCCCTACTCGCCGCCTCTCCCTCCCTCAGACTTATGTTTACGTAAACGGGACGTGGGGTGTCAAGGAGACGGCGCTGATTGCGTAAGCGAGGGAACGGGAGGATAGATAGGTCGATGCGGCTGTGACAGGAGTTACGTAACATGCGTAGGGAGAAGAGGGAGGCGGGGCGGCAAAGCGCAGTACTGTCTCCTCGTGACTGGGCGGGCCTAGAGAGCCGCCAATACGCTCCTCTTGCCTCCCTCCTGAATGGGCGCCTGTCGCCCCGCCTGTGCTTGCCGGCCCCACCTGAGGGCGGGCTGGCCTTGACGTCACCGAGCTGCCGGAGCCGAACCGCCCCCTTAGTATCGAGGCAGCTGATTGGCTCCCCAGTGTTTGCGGGGGAGTCAATGAGAGGGCGCGGTGCAGCCTAGGCCAAGCAGAGACTGAGAGAGAGAGACTGAGAGCAGGCAAGAGGGCGGGCGAGGAAGCAGCGGTGGCAGGAGTGGGCCAGGCCCACGGGCCGGGTGAGTGTGGCGTTCCTCCCACCACCCGAGCCCCCCGCCCCCTCTCCCTCCTGGCGGCATTGCAGTGAATTCCGCACAGATCTGTAGGGCCAGAGGTCCCTCCCGCATACCAGCAATATCCCACAGGGCCGCCCCTTCACCCCTTTAAATGGCCATAGCAGTGGCACTGAAAGGAGGGGAACAAGGAGCTCCTGAAGGGTTGTGTGTAAAACTCTCAGGATCGCCTGGGGTTGACACCAGTTTTTTCCATTCCTGGTATGATCTCTCGTCTCTGCTGTTTAGGTACTTCTGCATGCCGCAGCAGACGTCTCCCTGCTCTTTTTGTTCTTCATTTGTTCTTCTTTTTGTACCTCCATTATAGGAACTCATATGGTGCTATGCATGACTTTACTCCCTTTATCCTCCCAGCAACCCTGCAAGAGGCATTAAAATAGTACACCTTATCAAAATGCCCACTATTATTACTACACACACACTCCTAATCTCCTATCTACTTTTCCTGTTGTTCCCTTATCTTTCTTAAGACATGATGGTGTCTTCCAAATATTAATATTCCTTTCCTGTTTTTATTTTTTATTTTAGGCTGAAACAACTATCCATTTATATACAGTGTTCAAACACTGATTTCCTCTTTTCTTTTATAATCTGTCATGGTTCTTTAACTCACCTTGGTTTTTCTCTCCACCTTGCAGGCGAAAGCTTGCAGTTACCATGGAAGAGGAACTGCCTCCCTCTTTGTTCTTCCAGCATCAGTACATGTGCTCGGAGTGTGGACTCCTCTACAATACTTTGGAGGAGGTACTGATCCACCATCAGAGCCACCTAGGCGAGCCCTATGAGCCTGAAGCTGCTGCCACTGTTGTAGACACAGGGCCCCAGCAGGACAACCGCTACCAGTGCCTGGAGTGTGGCTGTGTCCTGTGGTCACCTGACGAACTGCTAGCCCACCAAGAAGTGCACCCCAGAGAGGTGCCAACCCGGCCTCAACCTCCACCAGCTACCAGTGGACAGATCCGCTACCAATGCAATGAGTGTAATGAACTCTTTCCTTCTACCAGCCTATGGCTAGCACATCGCCAAACGCACCAGAAACAAGAGGCTTCACCTGAGGCCCCCCTGTCAGCCCCACCAACCTCCCAGCCAGCTCCCTTGCCTCCTCTCCAATCATCTGTTCCACCACCTTCCCAGCCAGCCTCCCCACCACCCTCTCAGGCATCACTTCCATCACCTCCTCAGCCAACTCCACTCATGCATCCCTATGAGTGCTCAGAGTGTTCTTGCCTCTTCCCAACTCCTGAAGAGTTGCTGGACCACCAGGGTGAACACTTTACTGAGATTGAGAAAGAGAGCAGTGAGCCATCTGAAACAGCAGCTCAGGAGATTTGCAGTCAACGTGTGTCCCCGCTGCCATGCCCTGAAGAACCCCCTGCTGTGCCTCCACCTGCTCAGGCCTTCTGTTGCAGTGAGTGTAAGCAGGCCTTTGGGACAGTGGAGGCGCTGCGGAGGCACCAGCAGGAGCACATGGGGAGCAGTGAAGAGTTTCTTTGTGGCGAGTGCCAGCGTGGTTTCACAACAGCCAAGCGGCTGTTGGCTCACCAGCGAGTGCACGTCGATGGCACGTACGAATGTCCCAACTGCAACAAGATATTCAAAAAGGCAGCATCCCTTGAGCAGCACATGCGCATCCACAAAGGTGAGGCACTCTACCTCTGCGTGGACTGTGGGCTTGGCTTCTCTACTGAGATGACTTTGATCATGCACCGCAAGAGCCATACAGCCAATCCCCTGCACCGCTGCCACTGTGGCAAGACTTTCAGCAACATGACCAAGTTCCTTTACCATCGGCGCACACACGCTGGCAAGAGCGGCATTCCACCCACTCGTGGGGCTGGGGATCAGGCACCCAGCCAACCTCCTGAACCAGCGCCCAGCGACAGAGAATCAACTGTAAATGGCTCAGCTTCCCCTGCCGTCGCTGCCTCCTCCCTGCCAGGGACATCAGTAGAAGTGCCCAGTGCTGGGTTTCTGTGCCCTCAGTGTGGAAAGGCATTCTCCACCCACATCCGGATGGTGCGGCACAAACGGGTGGTGCACGTTCTGGAGCGCAAGCACAAATGCCCCACATGTGGCAAAAAGTTCAAGAAGCTGGTGCATGTGCGGAACCACATGCGGACACATACTGGTGAAAGGCCGTTTCAGTGCTCTGAGTGTGGCAAGACCTTTGTCTCCCAGGCAAACTTAGCGCGGCACCACGTGACACACACTGGAGAGCGCCCCTACCAGTGCCAGGTGTGTAATAAGCGCTTCACCCAGTCCTCTAATCTTCGCCAGCACCGCCTCTTGCACATGGCGCCTAACGGAGAGGGGCCTCACTCCTGTGAAGACTGTGGAGTAGCTTTCTCCCGAGCCCATCAACTGGCTCTGCACCGGACCGTGCATACGGGGTGTTTGCCCTTTCCTTGCCTAGAATGTGACAAATCCTTCCCACGCCGTCGCCTCCTGGAACTGCACCGGCTCAGCCATTCTGGGCATGAGCCTCACCGTTGCCCGGATTGTGGGGCTCTCTTTGTTACGGCTTCCAAGTTGCAGGAGCACCGCTGCGCTAGGCGCCGCGACCAGGCGACTCTGCAGTCCTTCCTCTGCATGTCTTGTGGCAAGTACATGGGCTCATTGGCCAAGCTGGCGCTACACCAGCTGGTACATTCGGGCCAGCGTCCTTACCCTTGCCCACTCTGCGGGAAAGCCTTCACCACCCCCAGCGGGCTGAGCCGGCACCAACAGCGCCACGCTGGCCTGCGCCCCCACAAGTGCTCTGTTTGTGCCAAGACTTTCGTGGCAGCCTCTGGGCTTCAGCTGCACCAGCGTATCCACACAGGGGAACGCCCTTTCCCCTGCCCCGAGTGCGGTAAGGCGTTCCGGCAGGCTACCCACCTGCGGGAACACCGGCGCCTTCACACTGGTGAGCGCCCCTACCGCTGCCCAGACTGTGGCAAGTCTTTTGTGCAGTCCATGCACCTTGCTGAGCACCGGCGCATCCACACTGGGGAGCGCCCCCACCCCTGCCCACTCTGCCCCAAGACCTTCAAGACTCTTTCCAACCTGCGAAGTCACCGCAAGACTCACACTGAACTGGCTTCTAGTCAGGAGGCGCTCCAGTCTACAGGGTCTCTCGTGGCTACTGGCCAGCCCACCCAGATTATCATGTGCACGGAGTTTGGGGAGGCTATTGCTATCATTGAAAGCACTGAGCACCTCCCCTTGGTAGAAACTATAGAGATCTACCAGACGACACTAGAAGGCAACATTTAGGTGACTGCCTTTGTTCAGGGACTGAGCAACCACAGTCTCTTCTTTGCTCAAGGGCTACAGGTCAGCAGGAGGGAGAGTACTGTTCCCTTTCCTCCATGCATCAGTTTAGCATGGTCTATCGGTGACAGAGCCTGCAGACCAATCTCAGTGCCCTGATGCAATCTGTTCAGTTTTGTGGTGGGACCTGGCTCATAGCCTCACCTGGAGGTTTCTTGAGGCAATGCCTTTTTTGTGTGCAGCGGGCAGTGCTGTGGAATGGCGTCAGACTGCTTGTCTCTGCCACAACTTACATGTTTATTGTAAATTAAAGCAAAAAGTTCTGTTGTACTGTTAAATTATTCCTGTTGTGTCTCTTGATTATGAGACTCTAGGAATGTGCCTGCCTGCTGCTCGCTTGTCTGTAAAATTCAACTCTCTAGTAGTGTTCATCCACTCCCAGGAAATAGATGGCATCATTTCCTGTTGATCAGAGAGCAATGAAAGCAAAGCCTTTGCTTTTCATGATGAAGGACTGTTGCCTGATTTTGATAGTGGGAAAATACCTTTTTGATAATTTTACAGAAAGAAGGGTTGACACTTGCAGCTCCTCTCACCAGATGAGCCATGTTTGTTAAAACTATCCCTTCTGTGCAACAGGTTGACATACAGGGTCTCTGTTTCGTTTTGAAGATGTAACCCTTGCTGAAGGTCTGGTCCAGTTTTAATTTTTTTCTTAAATAAAAGTGGGGGAATGGGATCAATATCTTGTTTAGGTCACTTGGGGTATCTCGATCAATTTGAACTTGTCTTTTTTTACTTCAACTACTGGTAGGAATCCTGGATTTTAGTTTCTTCTTTTGTAGCCCTGAACATTCGCCAGGAAACTTTGTTTGTGCCGAGTGGGTTATATTGGGTCTTTCTAGGAACAGCCATTTACATCACCACTGTGAAAGAGGCAGATCTACAGACTGGTTCCTCTAGCTATGTTTTACAGAGCTTTTATCTGTGTACAGGAAGGGTAAGATTAGTGAAGGATAACTCATTTTTCTTCCAGAAATGCATGGCCATACTTCCAGTATTTGTAACTTTACTAGAACAAACACGCATAGGAGATTGACCTCTGAAAGTTGAGTGTATCACTATTTTCAGTTAATGGCAAACACGCCTGAAATACAGCAGCAAACCTGTGGTATTTTTAGAGGAAAACCAGTCCAATTGCAGTAACTGTAATCTAGTTACGCAGCTGCTCTTTGGCTAGTGCAGAGCCCCGTGTGTTATGTACACTGTACAGAGAGGTTCAGGTTTAACCTTAGCTGGTAAATATTCACATGGAGAGTTCTTAAAATTAGCTGCAGCCGCAGGATAGCCTTTGAAAGGTCTTTAGCCACTTGCAGTTAAGGGAGGGAAGGAGGAGAGTCATAAGACTACTTTGGAAAGCAAGTGTTGGTTCATGCTTGCATTGTTATAAGTCACAGAACACACTATAGAGCCATCCTTCCACTGCCCCATTTACTGCAGAGTGGAACATACCCAGAGCCTTTTGGCTTAATTTCTGTGCTGGGACCTCAGATCAGGGACAGTGTTCAGGGATGGGAGTTTTAGTTCAACTGGTTCCTTATCCCTGCAATCTGTTCTCATCTCTTCCTTGTTGCAGTACTGTAGCCTTCTTGTGCCTCTGGGCCCCTAGATATCACAAGCAACATACAGCTTAAAACATGCACAGATTTTCAACTCCACAGAGGCTAGTGGTATCCCCAACAGCAAGCTGGGGGGGGGGGCGTTCTTTACATTTAAGTTTACTGATGGTGAAAAATGCATGCTTGCCAACACATTATCGTCTACACTTCGGCTTGTCCCATGCTTTTGAGGTACAGGTCCAAGCGATCTTCTATTTGCCCTGCCACTTTACCTGAGAAAACCTGCTGTTTAGTGCTGAATTGGAGCAAATACCAATCAGTGGAAAACCCAATTGAATTTTGTTCCGTTTCAGTGGTAAATGTCAATTTCTCTGGGGGAAAGCTGTAGTCTGGATGAGCCCTATGTGAAATGTAATCCTTGGGCATCAGGACACTTGGTTTGGGCATGTGGATATGTTATGACAGGAAAACATATAGAGCTCATATTAGTCATATTTTAAAAGGTTAGGGACGGGGTGGCGCTGTGGGTGAAAGCCTCAGCGCCTAGGGCTTGCCGATCGAAAGGTCGGCAGTTCGAATCCCCGCGGCGGGGTGCGCTCCCGTTGCTCGGTCCCAGCGCCTGCCAACCTAGCAGTTCGAAAGCACCCCCGGGTGCAAGTAGATAAATAGGGACCGCTTACTGGCGGGAAGGTAAACGGCGTTTCCGTGTGCTGCGCTGGCTCGCCAGATGCGGCTTTGTCACGCTGGCCACGTGACCCGGAAGTGTCTCCGGACAGCGCTGGCCCCCAGCCTCTTGAGTGAGATGGGCGCACAACCCTAGAGTCTGTCAAGACTGGCCTGTACGGGCAGGGGTACCTTTACCTTTACTTTAAAAGGTTATTTCAAACTCAGAGTCAGGTTTTCAAAATCTAAATAGTTAACATTTTAATCGGCCCAGGAACACACAGGTGGCAGGCTGCAAAGATTCTTGCTAACAAAACAGTATTAACATTGAGGTACCACCTTGTGAAACTGATGGAGGACTAAATAAAGGCCTTTTCTCCACTAACAATTTAATATCCATTTGTTGGTGTTAGGCCACAGTTCTTTATAGCATGTACACGTTTTATGTGAATGTAACATCTAGGCACTGGTGTTACTGCAGACAAATTTATACTACTTTGAAGGGACGCAGTTTTTCCTACTTCTCCCTCTTGCCCCACAAAAGTTATGCAGAATCCAGGAAATCCAGCACTGCCACTTGCAGCTGGGTGTGGAACCAACTTGTAGCCTTGGAGCAGTTTTTTTTTCTTTTTAAAATAGTATTCCAAGTGTGCAATTATGCAGAAAGGTGGCATGAAGGCTAAGGTTATCTCCAGAAAAAGGTTAAAAGCAGGCCTAAGCTCCTGTGCTCACTTCCCTCATGGGAGACATAAGCAACAAAATCAGGAAACTGCATTGTTCTTTGAACTTGAGTTAATCCCTGGGCTTCGGTGCTCAAAAACTGGGCAGAAGCCACAACTCAAGTAATTGCAGAATCTCGCTGTTTGGTCCTTCAGTGTTCTCTGCAATGAGAGTGCAGCATGCAAGCTTGAGGCTTCTGATCTCACCCTGAGGGAACAGTGTCATGAGAAACAAGCTAGAAAAAGGATTTGGAGTTCTGAGGAAACACAAATGCTCCTTGCGTACATCAGTGAAGAAATTGCTTTAAGTTTAACTAGCGGGAATGCTAAAAGCATGGGTCATCATGTGCAATGATAGTGAAGTGCCTACTCCTGGGTCCATAGCACATGCACAACACTGAACAAAAACAGTGCCGCATTTGCAAGTCTTTCCTTGTGTGGAAATTGCTTTGTATGCTCAGCTGGCAGAGTATGAGACTCTTAATTTCAGGGTTGTGGGTTCCTGCATTGCAGGGGTTTTGACTAAATGACCCTCGCGGTCCCTTCCAACTCTACAATTCTATGATGCGACGTCCAACGCTTATTGACAATGGAGCTTTGGTTACCAAAGCCTGCTTTACCTCCATGCTTATGGCACACAATTCTTGGTCCCTACCTTAGGGAACATTTAAGCATAGGGAAGCCGCGGCCATATGATAGTAAGCTTGGAAGCCTCTGGTTGGCAGCACCAAAAGTTTAACCACCAGGAATCTCCCTCCTTGCCAGTGGCTTCACCCTGCTGCCTTTCCCAGCTCATCCACACTGCCAAGACCCTTGCCTGTCCCAACCCATAATAAGGAGCTCCATGCCGTTTTTTCCGTTCATGCCAATAATTTATTGAACCGGATGTCTGTACACAGCCAAAAAACCTAAGAAAGAAACTAACACACAATGTTGGAAGGGAGGGGGGGCAGTGATGAGGAATGGGCATGGGGAGGTGGGGGAATTTATCCACAGGCTGCACCCTGGCTCCCCAGGGGGGACCTTCAATCCTAGAGCGATCTGAAGATGGAGAGGGAAATGGGGTTTGGGGCAATCATTGCAACGTTGCATTAAGAAAAAAAAAATTATAATCTATTTACAGGGAGAATGGTGAAAGGAAGCCACTGAGGGAGAGGGATGGGGAAAGAAGAGATGTATTTACAGCAGGAGAGGGAAAGGGCATGGAATTAAAACTTGTCTTCTCCTTCCCTCCCCTCCCACCCGCTTTGAGAGAACATCCCCCCCCTCATCCACCCACATCATTGATTTGCGGTGCTGGGGAGCAGACACGACTGAAACTCAGAGCAAGCTCTGCTGTAAATTTATCCACCTGCCTGGGGAAGGAACAGCTCCCAACGCCAGCCTGTACTGAGGGCAAGGGGGGGGGGGAGGATTTCCCACAAGAAATCCTGGTGCCATGACGTATGGGAGGGTTGGAAGAGGAAGGTGCGGTTGGCCGTGCCCCCCTCACAGTCCAAGGCAAGGGGGATAGGAGTTTCTTGTTCCCATTAAGAGATTGTGGTGGAGGCACAGCCAGCAAAATAAGGAGGGGAGGGAGGCCTTTCAGGGAAGAGGAACGGTCCTAATTCCCCACCTGAAAGTGACAAGTTGAATTTTATTGGGGTTAATAAGAAAACAAAAAGGGGAAAAGACTGACCCGCTTAAAAATACAGCATCCGTGTTTCAGAGGCAGACAGGTCTGGGGTGGGAGAGGGACACCCAGTGAGGGACCAGAACGGTGTGAGGGGGCCACAGGGTTGGAGTTCGGAGAGCGTGGGTGACATGAGACTGGAAATAAAACATTTTTTGTATCCCTCGGGGATGTTAAAAACAAGAGCAAGTTAAAATCGAACTGGGCCATCCTTGGGAAAGGTGGGAGGGGAGGAGAGAAATGGGGGTGGGGTGGGGTGGCAGCTCTTGGGTCTCTCCCCCTCCCCAGAGGCACCAACCTTGACTGCTTTTGAAAAAGGGAGCCCTTAAGCCATGGGATTTTTTTCTGCCCTCTCCCCGTGCCGAGGCATCATGGGACAACATGGGAGGGAACCGCGAAGTGATTCAGGGAGACAGGGAATTCCGCCCCCTCCCCCTCCCCGTGGCCGTCTCGTCTCCGATTGGCCTCCCCACTGGCCAACGGGAGGCAAGCTCCACATGATCCCCCAGGCCACACCGTTGCTTCCCCACCCCACCCCCCACGTTCACAGTTCAGAGAAGTCCATGTGGGTGGCCTGGAGGGTAGGGGGTAAGTGGAGGGGACCTGCCCCACGGCCCAGCAGCCCCTCAGGATGTGTTGGCGATGGGTCCTGCTCCGTCCCCGGGCGTCACCTGGCTCCTGTCGGTTCCCATTCTCCCCTCACCTGCAAAGAGAGAAAGGAAAGGTCTCAGGCGTAATACTGAACCCTCTACTCCGTTCCCAGAATGCATCAGAGCGGCCTTACTTGAGCATCCATCCGCCACTGAAAGGAACAACCCACCCAAGCCCACGATTGTTCTCGCGCCAAATCTCAAGAGGATGAAGGCACTCACTGTGCGAAGTTGTGGAGCCAGGCACACTTCCCACCGAGCTGGCCTGGGATCGAATGTGTGGTGGAATGAGGTTTGTGTTCAACCCTGGCTGGATGGACAGCTCTGCAAGGGAAGAGAGACTGGATCAGCCACACAGATATCTGTCAAGGGATGATCATTCTTCATGCATCTGATGAAGTGAGTTCTAGCCCACAATTACAAGGGAAAAAATAGGGTGGGGGTGTTTCAGATATTTCCCAGAGGTTCCGAACTGTTGTTAAAAGGGTTGAGCTTGAGAGGTTCTTAAAAGTTCTGATCAAACAGTTAATCCAAAATGGTAGAAAGCTCGCTGAGGCCCACAGAATTATTAACCACGTCACTAATCCAATATTGGTGTGGGAAGACGCTGGGAGTCTCGCAGGGAGTAGGGACAGGTTAGCTACCTCCATTGTGGAGAATACATGGAGTACGACGTGGCACTGAGTCTCAATCCCTCAGTGAGTTAGGGACTTCCCCTGCACGCGGCAACAGGCTCCAGCAGAGTGGAACAATGGTGGGTCCAACAGTCAAGAAGGCGGTTTCTATACGTGCTGTAGAGGGAAGTGAGGGGCAGATGGGGCTTGTCAACCTGGGAAGGGAGCCCATCTAGGAGAAGGAAACTCTGATCTTAAACCTCTGCTGCCTCACAGGATATCTTAAGAAGAAGAAAAAGTCTGCACAAATCTGGAGCGGAGTCCCTAAGGCTGTTGGATAGCACCTTGTACAACTCTTTCCAGCAACTCCTGCAGCCAAGCTGGTGCCAAACATTGCTCTGCTTTCTTTGGAACACATCAGTGAGGCTGAGAGGGGGGGTCTTATCGTCTGGGCAGTCCAAGACCTCCATGCTCAGGGTTGCACCCCAGGGAGGTCACATTGGTGCTGTTAACACAGTGGTTTGACTTCACCCCCGGAGGCACACTCCATTGCCAACAACCATCTTGGGGGACGACCTTTACATTACTGACCCATAAGCAGGGATAACAAGGACCCAAAATGGGGAGGACAATGAAGCAGCAAAAGAAAAACTGTGGAGTAGCAGAGTAAACTGAATAATCAACATTCAAAAGCATCCACTCAATTCCTGGCTCAGTGAGGCCACATCTGGGGATGGAATTTAACCTGCACCAAAGTCTTCTCTAGCAAATGTTTTGTGCTTCCTCGAGGACCATGACAATAGGCCCCCCTGCCTGACACTCCCCTCGGCCCCACCGCTCTGCCTGCTTTCCAAGATGCCAACCACTTACCCACAGGGCTGAAGTTGAAGAGGGGGGGCAGGTCGCGGCCGTTGGGCAGCCGAGCATTGGGCTCACGCAGCTCATCGAAGAAGCTGTTGGCGCAAGCCTCCAGTGGGGAGAGGCGGGTGGCGGGCGTGTACTCCAGCAGCCGGCTGCACAGCGAGATGGCCTCCAGCGGCGTGCGGGGCTTGAACACCTGGCATGGGGGGCACCAGAGGTCATCCACAATGCAATGCAGCTCCACTCCCCGTCCACTTGAAAAATGCTACTTGAGTTGCATGCAAAGGAACAAGTTTCACATGTGCATTTTCTGCAATATGCCCACCTTTATCACGGCCAATGACTTTTAAGCAGAGAACTGCCGGAGTCCCCGGTAAAAGTCTTGAAGAGAGTAGTGTGCGCTCTCAAAGACAGCACGACATAGTGGCTAGAGTTATGTAGCCGGTCTAGGGATAGCGGAGCTCGAGCTCCTGTCCAGTCTTGAAGGTTATCAGGTGACCTTGCACCAGGATCGCTCTTGTTCTCTCCCTCGCTCTCTAACCTATTTCACAGGTTGGCTGTAAGGATAAAGACCTTTTTTGGCACCCTAAGCTCTTCATAAAGAATGGTGGGATATATATGTAAATACCGTATTTTTCCGTGTATAAGACGTAGGTTTTTCCCCTAAAAAATAATGTCAAAAATTAGGGGCCGTCTTATACACGGATACATCTCCCCCCATTTTCTTAAATCTGAGTCCCCCAAAATAGGGGGCGTCTTATACGTGGGGGCGTCTTATAGACGGAAAAATACGGTATTTGCTGTCACATAGCAGTGTTCCCCAAACTTGAGTCTCCAGCTGTTTTGGGACTAGAGTTCCCAAGCTGTAGTCCAAAACCAGGTGGGAGACCCGAGTTTAGGAAACGCTGACATAGAAGGAATGATTTTTTTTCTCCTGCTGCTTCACAAGGTAAGACCCTAACTGGTGGGTTCAAGTTATCAACAACAAGCAATTAAGAGGAACCTCTGGAACATACAGGGTAACGGAGAGAGAAACCTGTGCCGCAGCCTCCCCAAGCAGCTAAAACTCCCCCAACTGTCCCTCTCCAATGATACCCTTGAGCAGCCGTGGGGAAGCCTCAGGCCTAACTGGGCCCACCTGCACTACACCCAGCATTATGCAGTGTCAAGCGTGAGGCAGGTAAAGGTATAGCTGTACCAAGAGGAGGTTTGCAGGCACTGCCAATCGGCCGGCTGCTGGGGCCTGCAGAGAATGCTGCTCTGTGCAGCGGGGTGGGAATCGCCTGATGCTGTTGTGATGGCAGCTGATTGACAAGTGGGCAGCCCCACCCACCTACCCAACTTGGCCCACCGGGTGGGGAGTGGGGAGACAGGGATCCAGAGTAGTAGATGCCATTCCCCAAGCCTGTGCAAGAGCCTCCCCGCACTTTGAGCAGAGGACGACAGCATTCTCAGCAACCTCCACCTACCCTGGCATTTCCCCCACCATCTTTACCTTTATCCAGGGGTGTGCTTTAATCTGGGGGAACTTGAACTCCGTATAGTTGGGATTCATCTCTCGGATCTGTTCTCGCGTTGGTGTCCCCAACACCTTTGGGGGGTGGGGAAGAGAGAAAGAAGAGGGGGGGAATGTCACACTCAACAATCACAGAAAGGAAATGTATTCTAGTCACAAAGCATGTCGGGATGACTTCTCAGTTCTCCTCCCCTACCCACAATGTCTTACTGGCATCTCAATGGGATGGGAGGAATTCTGTCCAAATGAAAAGTCACAGACTGGTTGGACACAGAGGCATGGTGGGAGGAACCAGCTGGGGAAACCCCAAAGGAAGAAGGCTCAGAGCCTGGCGAGTGGTGGTGGTGGGACAATGATGAGTGATCAAGGAGAAAAGGGAGAAGACTGAAGAGAAGCTGAAGAGGTAACAGGCTTTAGTGAGCAGGGAGAGTCTGTGGCAGAGACAAGTGCAGAATCTGAATCAGAAGCTGAAGCAGAAGAGGAGTCCAGCTGGGGAAGAGGCAAAGGTGTCTCCCCCTCCTGCTGAAACTAGCTCCCCTCCCTCGTCTCCCAGAACCAGGAGAGGCATGAAGAGGGCGGAGAAGTTAGCTTCACGCAGGTGCAGTCTCAGATTGCTTGGGGAAAACCCTACTGAGGAGGGAACTTAGGCAGCTGTGGGGAGGCAGGGACCTTCAGTCTCAGCAATGGCTTCATGGGGCAAGACCTGCCAGAGATGAGTTGCTGCGCTCATTAGGCCTGACACACCTGTGCAGATCCTGTTCTCACTAGTAAAGAGTTAACTCCAACTTGCTTGGTGTGATTTACTGCTGGCTCGCTCCTGTCATGAAGGGAGGGATGACCCATAGTCCTCTGTTTGATGTAACAAACCCTTTCTAAGCAGGTATGTCCATTTTATAGCATAGGAAAGAGTACGCCAGTGGCCTTCAAACTGTGTCCTGGGTGGGCTTCAAGTTCTTTTCAGTGGCTCCTCACTGACAAGATCAGCAAGGGGAGACTACCGTTTCCCCCAACCAAATACATTTTGTGCACCATCACCTGTCTTCTGTCACATCGGTTGTGCATGAAGGTGAGGTGTGTGACTACCAACCCACACGAACCAAGCAGGGGCACACCAGAATTCATTTAGAATGCACAGGGTTCACCAGGCAAGAGTAAGATGTTAGAAAAACACTGAGGGAGCCCACAAGAGTGTTTATTTGAATACTTGAGCTGGAGTGGCCCAGCGAGAAAGAGTAAATGATCAGTTCGTTACCTTGATGATCTCCACCAGCTGGTCCACTCCACTGTCCCCAGGAAATATAGGCTGCCCCAGAAGCAGCTCTGCCAGCACACAGCCAGCAGACCAGATATCTAGGAAGGAAGCAGATGGGGACTTCATTGAAAGCTGGCCTCCTGGGAGGGAAGCAGCACCCCATGCCTAGAAGTGGAAGTCCTCAACTTTTTCCTTTTAGCACTGGGTGGGCAGAGGAGAGAAACTCCTGCCATAAATCAGAAGTAGAGTACAAACTCCGCATGTGGAAGGGACCCAGGTCAGATCCTCCAGCATCTCCAATCCAGCTAGTAAGAGTATTTTGTCTGAAACTCTGGAGAACCATTGCCAGTCAGTGTTGGCAGCAATGAGCTAGATGGTGCAGACTCTGGAAGGCAGCTTCCTTATAGCAAGGATGGATAACTTCTGGTCCTCCAGATGTTCTTGGACCACAGCCTCTGAGGCTGATGGGGTGGGGAGTCCAACAACATCTGCTGAGCCACATACTCCCCATCCCTGCTTTACGGCATACCGTATTTTTCGCCCTATAGGACGCACTTTTCCCCCTCCAAAAATGAAGGGGAAATGTGTGTGTGTCCTATGGGGCGAATGCAGGCATTCGCTGAAGCCTGGAGAGTGAGAGGGGTCGGTGCGCTATCCGCAAGCCTTGGGAGCCCGGCTCAACTTCCCGCAGCCTGCAGCGGAGTGCACCCTGGGCTTCGGGCAGCTCTCCGCAAGCCTTGGGAGCCTGGTGCGACTTCCCGCCGGGCTCCCAAGGCTTGCGGACAGCAGCCTGCAGCCCGAAACCCGGGGAGCGCAGCGGAGCATGCCCCGGGCTTCAGGCAGATATCCGCAAGCCTGGGGAGACCGGCAGGCTTGCGGATAGCAGCCTGTTCTCGGGCTTCCCCCGCCCCAGCCCCGCGCCTGGGGGGGAAATAATTTTTTTTCTCCCCCCCCCCCCAAAAAAAACTAGGTGCGCCCTATGGGCCGGTGCGCCCTATAGGGCGAAAAATACGGTAATACCAGCTAGGACGTACTGCATCTCACAATGGATGACGTTTCAGGCATCCACCTCTTCGGGGCATTAGAGAATTCAGGAAAGCTTTTTTCCGTCAGCCACCAGGTCCCACTCACTTGTTACAATGAGAGGACATTCACTCTGCAGAGGCGTCTGAACCCCACAGAGATGCAAGATGCAAGGGTAGGGTCAGGCACTCACCTATGTTTGAGGTGTAGTCTGTGGCTCCAAAGATGAGCTCGGGAGCACGATAGTAGCGAGAACAGATGTAGGAAACGTTGGGTTCTCCTCGCACCAACTGCTTTGCACTGGAAAGAGAAACAAGAGTATGGATGGCTGTGATAAAGACGGAGTGGTGCGGCAGTTAGAGTGGTGGTTCTCAAACTTTTTTCTATGGTGCACTCTTTCAAAATAAAACTTTGCTTGTGCCACTGAGAAGAAATATACTGGAAAACACAACTAGGATTGTCCTCAACATCACATGATGTTCTTGCTCTCATTGTGAAAAGATACCTATGTGTATTCTGCAAAAAGAAAAAAGGAAGACACTATACAGTGGACGCTCGGGTTGCGAACGTGATCCGTGCGAGATGCATGTTCGCAACCCACAGCGTTTGCAACCTGCAACGGCGCTGTGCGATCGCCGAAACCCAGAAGTAACCCGTTCCAGTACTTCCGGGTTTCGGCGGTCTGTAACCCGAAAAAACGCAACCTGAAGCATCTGTAACCTGAGGTATGACTGTACTACACTGAAATGTTTGAATGTTTCTTTTGACTATCCTTGACTCTTCCCACCACATATGCCACCTCTCCTGCACATCACATCGTTTGAGAACTGAGTTACAGTGGTACCTCTGGTTAAGAACTTAATTCATTCCGGAGGTCCGTTCTTAACCTGAAACTGTTCTTAACCTGAAGCACCACTTTAGCTAATGGGGCCTCCTGCTGCTGCCGTGCCGCCAGAGCACAATTTCTGTTCTCATCCTGAAGCAAAGTTCTTAAGCCAAGGTACTACTTCTGGGTTAGCAGAGTCTGTAACCTGAAGCGTATGCAACCTGAAGCGCCTGTAACCCAAGGTACCACTGTATAGTCTCAGACTAAGAGACCTGGGGTCAAACGCTCCTTAGCCTTGAAGCTCAGTGAGTGACTTTTCAACCAGCTGCACTTTCTCCCTCTCTCTTTCAGCCTAACCTATCTCACAGGATTGTTGTGAGGATCATAGAATCTTACAGCTGGAAGGGACCAAAAGGTCATCTAGTCCAACCCCCTGCAATGAGGGATCTCGGCAAAAGCATCCATGGCAGATGACCATCCAACCTCTGCTTAAAAACCTCCAAAGGAAGGAGAGTCTAGAACCTCTCGTAGGCGTCTGTTCCGCCACTGAACAGCTCTGTCAGAAAGTTTTTCTGAATATTTAGTCAGAATCTCCTGTGCACAACGTATAGCTCAAGTAAGTCTACTCTTTGATTAAGGACTTTTTAATAACCACCTGCTGAAGTCACTAATTCATCAATTAAACGAATTCACCAAACAGCTTGCATAGTGTAATAATTAAGGGGCTGGACTAGGACTGGGAGACCCAAGTTCAAATTGCCACTGGTGACCTTGGGCTGGCTATTCCTCTCTCTCTCTCTCTCTCCATCTCAGAGGGCTGATGAGGATGAGAGAAGCAGGGCCCCAAAGCACGTTTAAGATGTTACCCATAAAAAGGTCAACCAGCATAAAACAACACTGAGTAGCTGCTTCAGTGAGTTATGAAAGCAGCAAGAAGTTCGTCGACTGCAAGGTAAGCTGCCAGTCATTGTAAGATGAAAGGGAAGGGAGGACAAAGATGGCCTATGACCACAAAACCAGGGTGGATAAAAATCAATGGTTTTTTTTAAAAAAAAAATTAAAATCAGGTTTTCTTTAAATTTAAATCAATTTTTTTTTAATTTAAATTGGATTTTAAAAAATAAAACGCTTTCGGAGGAAAAATCTTTTTAAAAATAGTTTGCTATTTAAGTTGCATTATAGTCCAAAGATTATTCATCAGGAAATAAGGATTTGTTTTAAGTTTTTCAGTCTAATGGTTTTTTTTTTAAAAAAGTTTAACCACATCAGTTAACAAACACGGATACATATGCTATGTTATTGTTTTAGTTAAATATTTTTTTTATTAAGGAAATGATTATTTTTCTCCTTCCAATAAAGTACAACAGAAAAAGTTGTCCAAATAGAAACAGTTAACTTATTAAACCTCACAATAATTTCATAATTATCTATGTATTTCTAATAGTATAACCAAATCAGCAGTTTTTGATATAACTGTAAAAACTACTCTGAAAATTTATTATTCCAAAAATTAAACCTTCATATGGTTGTAAATATTAAGATTATACCAGCAAGAATGAGTCTTTCTGTAAAAAAAATGATTTAAATCAAGTCTTACTGACTAGTGATTTAAATTGATTTGATTTAAATCAAATCCACCCTGCACAAAACACACAAAATTGTGTGTAAACCTGCACCCTGAACTCGGAACCCCAACTAACTATGTCAGCCAGCTGCAGCCTTTGTTGATTAAAGACTGGAGCCTATGAGTCTCCATTTCCACCCTGAGATATCACAGGGTGGTCAAACCGCTGAAGGGGAAAGGGAAAGCATTGGGAAGAACGAACGAAGGAAGGTAGGAAGGAAGGAAGGAACTAATTGGTGGAGAAGCCTCATTTTAATATCTGACGTTTTATTGTATTTTTAATTTTTTTTGATGAAAGCCGCCCAGAGTGGCTGGGGAAACCCAGCCAGATGGGTGGGGTATGAATGAATGAATGAATGAATGAATAAATAAATAAATAAATATTATCTGAGGCCTGTAGGATGATGGAGCTATGCAACAGGGGAAAAGGAGGCATGAGAGGCAGCAGAAGTTGAGTCGCACATATGGGTATGAAATAACCAAGCAAACCTCTGGCTGAATATTTTGAGTAAATTATGGGTCACGGACAGAAACAAGTCTACTTGTGTATTTGGAGCACCAGGGTGATTTGTAAATCCATCACACAAGGGCCGAAGTCCATTCTACGGGGGCGTGTGTGCTGGGAACAGCCGCTTCCATGCCTCTCTCACCTGCCAAAGTCGCAAAGCTTCAGTACTGCTGTGTCGGGGTCCACCAGTAGGTTCTGGGGTTTGATGTCCCGATGACACACGCCTTGAGAATGGATGTAAGCAAGACTGCGGAACAGCTGGTACATGTACACCTGGTTGGGAGAGAGGGAGATGACAGACATTGAGGTTAAAACAGTAACTTAAATGATATAATGCGTACAGAGGTGTTTCGCTCAGAGACCCTGGCTCAGTCATGGGTGGGGATGCAGCAAGTTAAAAACGCAAGCAAGGGAAAGCACTTTAGGCTCAACGTATAACCAGCCTATGGAGTTTAATGCCACAGATGATGCAGTGGCCGTCAGCATGTGACTTTGGAGCCAGGGACGGGAACCCGATGGATGTGGCCACCATCAGATGTTGCTGGACTCCAAGTCCCATCAGCCCAAGCTGGCCTGCTCCAATGGCCATGGATGATGGGAGTTGTAGTCCAGCAACACCTGGCGGCAACCACAGGTTCTCCATCCTCGAACTAAAAGATTTGCGGTGGTGGCGCAGCCCATGGGGCTTCCTTAATGTCACAGAGGGCTCGGAAAGAGGAAGACTGTCCTGCTGCCATTTGCTAAGCTGCTCCGATACTAAACTGAAGGCAAATCAGAGAATCTCAGGAAGCCGTGTGTGTGTGTGTGTGTGTGTGTGTGTGTGTGTGTGTGTGAAAGGCCAATGTCCAGCAGAGGTGAAAAGAGATGTCTGGGAAGGCCAACAGAGGGAGCAGTCTCAGGGGGAAAGAAAGCAGGCCAGAGACAGAAGCCTAAGACGAGAGGAAAAACTCAAAGAGAACAGGCACACACACGTATCCCATTCAAGAAGGCCAAAGTTCACATATTGATTACCAAACAGCCATCTTCTGGCAGCGACCACCAAAAGCTAGGCATTTTCTTTAAAATTCTGTTTCTGGTGTGTTGTAGTTATGCATCTATTTGGACTCCAGTTATCCTGATGTTTTATTTTTATTTTGCCTGCATTTTGTTAGCTGCTTTGAGCATCTGCATTGTTGGGGTGGGGAAAGCGGGTTAGAAACCTCAGTGCAAAATAGACTGCGGCACATGGACGCGTTGTTCCCTGCATTTGCCCTGAACGGCGGCACTCTGCAAATGCATAAGATTCTCATCAGTGGCTGTCATCCATACGAACTAATTAGCACTGGGTTGTATCCAACTGTGGAAAGGCTCTTTGATCCAGTGGAAGCTTCTGTGAATGGGAAAGGGGGGGCAGAGGTGATTTATGTAAATTTCCCCTTTTTCCTGCAGCTTCAGCACCATCTTCCACACTGTTCAAAGGGTCCCCCAACCCACTGGAGGAGATTTGAGGAAGGAGCATGAGGGGAAATCAACAAAATCACATCCCCCTCCACCTTTCTGTTCACTGGGGCCTCTGGCGGCTTAAAGAGCCTGCTGCCACAACCCCGAATCTCCACGTTCAACTACAATATACCTCTAACTCCCAGCTACCATGGTTCAACAATGCAAATGGGCATCACTGCCACGTCAGAACCATGAACCTCAGTTTAGCCACTGTTGGGCGAAAAAATGCGTCACTGGTCTGACCCAACCTTGCCATTCCTATTAGGAATCCCTACAATCAGAAAAAGGGACGCAGGTGGCGCTGTGGTCTAAACCACAGAGCCTAGGTCTTGCCAATCAGAAGGTCAATAGTTCAAATCCCCACGACGGGGCGAGCTCCTGTTGCTCGGTCCCTGCTCCTGCCCACCTAGCAGTTCGAAAGCACATCAAAGTGCAAGTAGATAAATAGGTACTGCTCCAGCAGGAAGGTAAATGGCGTTTCCGTGTGCTGCTCTGGTTCGCCAGAAGCGGCTTAGTCATGCTGGCCACATGACCCGGAAGCTGTACGCCGGCTCCCTTGGCCTATAGAGCGAGATGAGCGCACAACCCCAGAGTCGACCGCGACTGGACCTAATGGTCCTTTACAATCAGAAAAGCTACAGTGACTTGTGGCATGGCACCAATTTTATTTACACACAGCCTTTCTAGGATAAAAGAAAAAAGAAAATCAAACTCAGGGCTGCTTCCAAATAAAAACAGAAACTGCAAGAGAAGTAAAACCAACAAAACAAAATCAGCAGTAATTGAAGAAAACAAAACCACAGAAACCTCATCTATGGAGAGGCTTCAAAAGGACTGGAAGTGCCATTAAAATTCAAAATTAACTGAGAAAAGGGGTGGGATCAGGAAGAGAAGTCTATTGACGTTTAAGATACATTTTATAGGTCAGTACAGATCCTTAAGCAGAGATGTTATTCGCTATTGATAGGGAAACCCCACCAGCAGACGAACTGCACAAAGACAAGGGACCATTCACAGCACATCCCATCAGAAGGAGCAGAAAAAGACCCTTCTCTGCCCTCAAAGACCCCAGGGAGCTACTGCCAGGCAGACAAGATAATACTGGGCTACAGGGACCCGTAGCTTCACTCAATATGAGACAGCTTTACATGAATGTACACATATAGTATTTTAGAAATGCAAAATAGTTAATGGGAGTCTAAAAATTAGCTAGAGACAAAAATGTCTGTTATCCTGTTCCATTTGGAACAATTTTTCATGCTTTATAGTTATAGTGATTTTTTTGTTTTTGTTTTTACAAATTGCATATCCTGTCACTGTAACCCATCCTTGAACCTTGTGGGAACGGGCAAGTAAGAAAGTATTAAATGAAAAATGAAAACCTCAGCCCATTCACTCAGAAAGGTTAGCAAAAGAAGGAGAAAAGATAGCTGTGATTGGGAAGGGGCAACATGAGTGCCTCAGGGAAGGGCTGGGAAGCCTTTAATCCTCCATATGTTTCTGGACTATTATCATATTTATTTGTATCCCTCCTTTTCCCCCAGACCAGGACTCAAGGAAGCTTACACAAATTAAAACAACACATAAAACACAGAAGGCGAAGAATGTATAAAAGGTAATAGTTAAAAAGCAATTAAGACTATAATAGTATTAAAACAATATAAAACAGATCTATTAAAATTCAGATAGTAAAAAGAGCACAGCACTACTTAAAAGCCCTTTCCCTTAAATAAAAAAAAAAGAACTATAATGTCAATCATCCCTAATCACTGGCCGCCTGGCTGGGGCTGATGGAAACTGGGATCAGTGGGTGTTAGCAAAGTGGTTTTTCCCTTTCCTATATAAGAAGTAGGGGGAAACCTTCGGTCGTTGAGTGTTGATGAACTGTAACTCCCATCAGCCCTAGCAAGCATGGCAAATGGCTATAGATGGAGAAAGTTGTAATGCAATAGCATCCGAAGGCCCCAAGGTCCCACACACCTGCTACATAACATGCAATATTTAAAATCAGAGAAGGGGGTAGGTCCCAACACTTATTTTTCCTTACAAGCTAACCTTGGGGTGAAAGGCAGGCGATAAATTAAAATAATATTTTCATCATCCCTTTCCGACAGGGATATTTTATTTTAAAATAGGGGTGTTTGTTCTCGATCCGTGTTAGTCAAATAAACCTTTCAAAAATGATGGGAGATCCCAATCGACTTTATTAATACCCGAGGCTCATTGTAAAATCCCGAGGAGGCGAAAAAGAGCCTTCCGACTGTACGCATTAAAATGGGAACGCATGGGGGGCTCTTGCCCCTTCAAAGGACAGAGGGGGTTCAAGACGTCTTCTGGCCGTTACCATCTTGACGTCTTTGTTGAAACCAGGAACAGCAGCTCCATAATGGGCCCAGGGGCTCGTCTGACTGCATCGCAGCCATAACTTCTGAAGCATTCATTACACCCAGGACTCTGCATGGGCTGTCGTTGTACAGCATGCAAAATATGACATTATGGGCACTCAACCCCTGCTTCCAGGAAACCTCAACTTTCAATTAAGTAAGTTTTTAATTAATAATAGCTACTATTATTTATTAAATTTATACACCACCCTTCATCCAAGAACCACAAGGCTGTAGGCAACTGCATGGAGGACTAGCTACGATGACAGCTTATTTATTTAGTTCATAAAGATTATATACCACTTGATTATAGAAAGAAAACCTCAAAAAAAAATTGAAACAATAAAATTGTCACTAAAAGATTTATAACAATAATTTAAAACACACAGAAGGTTAAAGCCACAATAGAATAGACTGAAACAATTTAAAACTCATGCAAACTTTCTAAACATCTGGGCAGGCTTATCTAAATAAGGATGCCTTCAGCAGGCACCGAAAAGAATACAATGAAGGCACCTGCCCGAAATAGACAAGGAGTTCCAACGTGTTGGGTGCTGCCACACTAAACAATCAAGTTCTTACAGATGCGGTGGGGTTATAATGTGGCAGCTGACTAAGTCTTATGTTCTACCTCTGCGGCCGGAGGCATTGCGCCTCTGAATATCAGCTGCTGGGAATCACAGGTGGGAAGTCCTGCTTGCAGGCTTTCCTATCCGGGTGGCCCCTGTGAGAATGGAGCGCTCAGCAAGATAGGCCTTTGGCCTGATTCAGCAGGCTCCTCCCAAAACGTGAAGCAAAGGTCCATCCCTTGGCTTCCCGATCTTAGTTTGAGCAGAACAACCCCGAGTTCAGACGCAATGCTAAGTCCGGGATGGTGTTTTGCTGTTCTCACTCTTGCTAGGCAAGGAGGGAAGAGAGAGCAAGGCATGGTTCATTGCAATGTGCAAATGTGGTCCTGGGTGCCACTGTCTTCTTGGGCACGGAACATTTTGAAGCAGGAGTGACACTCACCTTTACATAGATGACAGGGATGGTCTGTTTGGCTTTGGTGAAGTGCCGGGCCACGCGATAGACCGTCTCGGGCACGAAGTCCAGGACTAAATTAAGATAAACTTCATCCTTCTGCAACAGATTGTGAAGAAGAGGGAAGTGAGGGAACCTCCAGACCATCTCCACCTTACAAATGGCAGTGGGCAACATGGAACCCTCAAGATACACCTGTTAGGACTGCCCCAACCCCAGCTTTCGTCTCGAAAAGATATACAGACTCTCATATAATATAAAAGGACTTTTACATAAAGAGCTCATATGGTTGCAGCAGTAAAGGATAGAAGCGCAACAAGAAAAATGAGGGCTTAATTTTTAAAAAGAGAAATGTGTTGCATACTCCCGCTTATCTGGAAGGCAGAACTCAAGTCCCAGGTGCAGAGAGGGCAGCTGTTGCTTCCTCAGCAGTTAAGTGCTGCGTATTTATGCTCAAAGGCATTCTGCTATTTCCAGGTGCTTTTGAGTTCAGCTCCAGCAATGAAAACGCATCCTGTAGCTGAGCTCTGATGAGATGCGCCTCAATTAGATCTTGGCAAAAACACCAAAGGGCTGGAAACAAAGAGGTCAATTAAGAGAAGCCTCAATTTTGTTATCACTGTTAGCTTTGCCTGCACCCCAAAAGCCTGGATTTAGGAAGTAGCACAAAGGAACACAACTTAACAGCTATTGCCACTTCGGATTACCGAAGTAGAGTAAGACTATCCTGTATAGAGTAAGAACAAAGTGTCGACAATCTGACTGCGGCTTTCATCATGCCAATCATGAGAACTACATACTGCTAAATCATCCAAATTTGCCGTAAACCTTTTCCCAGTGGACCCTCTGGTATAAAAGAGCCAGAATGGAAGGGCATAGCAAATAGACTAGGACTGAGGACACCCAGCTTCAAATTCCCATTTGGCTGTAGAGCTGAATGAGCTCAGCATAGTCTTTGGTCCCCCTTTGGACTGATGGGACTTGTAGCCCAAAACATCTGGAGGGAACCAGTTAGGCAAAGGCTGCCTTAACACAGCTGCTCTCTCAGCCTAACTCAGGAGTGAGGAATCAGCCGTCCTCCCCCAACTCCCATCAGCCCCAGCAAAAGTGGCCAATGGATAGGAACCAATGTTGCCAGACATTCTGAACAAACCATTCTCCATTTCTTCCCCTGTCCGTACCTTCTCCCCACTCGAGTAGAAGAAATACCGCAGGCGAACGATGTTGCAGTGATCCAGCTTCCTCATGATCTGCAGCTCTCGGTTCTGAAAGCAAGAAGATCGAGGTGAGCTACAGAATCCCAAGTGGCGAAATCAGCAAGACGCATTGACAGACTTTCCCTTTCAACTCACCTTGAAGCGTTTATCTTGCAGCACCTTCTTGATAGCCACCAGCTCCCCGGAATCTGCTAGTCGGGCCTGGTAGACAACCCCAAATGACCCATTGCCGATGACCTTGATATCAGAATACGAAACTTCTTGGGGGCGGTCGGGGCCCTGACCTGGTGTGGCCACCACAGTGGTCACCTTGCCGCTATCTCCTGGAAGAAGGGGAATGTTTGAGAAAAGGGGTGAGAGTTCCAGATGCTGTGGAAATCTCAAGCACCACTTGACTTCCGCTCCCCAAACACATATCCACACCCTCTCCAACACAATGTCAACATGCTCCAAATAGGACACCATTAGGTGACCCTCAGCACCCCCAAGCTGCTTCATCACTGAGTCCAATGGCCTACACACCCGTACCCAACAGCTGGTGCTGAACACACAACATTCCTAAGGCAATCCAAATGAGTAACCAAAAAATGTCACATCGTAATTCCCTATGCTATAGCTAAACCTTACAAAGCACTTGATAATAGGGACCAGCAACTGCATACCCCAAACCTGATTTTTAGGTGGGGTGGTTGTCCTTTTCCCAACTGGTAATCCAAAGGGGGTGGACAGCAACACTCATAAAATATCCTTTGAGATTAGGAGGCTTAGAGGGTCTTGGTCTACACCCACTCTTCTCAAAGTGCCATTGCTAATTGATGGAATTATGATTGTGCCCCTAAAATCCTAAACTTTCATGCTGCACATTGCTTCCCTTCTCAGTGTCCAGCCTCCCTCCACCCAATACCTCCGCCCCTCACTATCTTTCAACCACACACCTGCACTGCCTTACCTGTGCTGCCACTGCCACGCCCATTCTGAACTGCCTGTTACCAGGCAACCAGACCCTGCTCCAATTCTCCTTGCTCTTTCACCCAAGCATTAGTCGTTCTCCCTCCCCTCCATGGTCCAGCCCATCTTTCATTGCAACCCCCTCCTGGAGGGCACTGTGTCATTCCTATGCAAACTAGCTCATCTCAGGACCAGATTGGCACTAAGGAAAGCTTAGACAATTCCAGCAGCCGTCACAGGCTGCCTCCTTCAACCCCATGGAAATGAACACCCCTGGCTACCCTTACTAACCTCCCGGCTTCAATGATTTCATCCTGACGTCACCAGTATAATTCTGGACCACTCGTCCAGCTGCTGACCTCAAATAGCCTTTTTCCCAGAGCCCTGGTCCCACCAGCTGAGAACCTCAAGCTCTTGCAGATTCTCCCTGCACCGACCCAGGCCAACTTTTCTTCTGCATCACCACTCTGAGGTGCCAAGTGACCCAGCTCTCTCCTGCGCTGGTGCCCGTTAGCAAACCCCTCCAAAATAAACACACACCTCCTCAAACCTAAGGGGCACATTTCCAACCTGTCCCCTCCTCGATTATTCATTCATTGGTTAGGCTTATATCCCACCCTTCCTCCCAAAGGAGCCCAGGGAGGAAAGTAGGACCCCTGTCCCCCACCCCGCTTCCCTTTGCCTAAACCTCCGGAGCCCCCAAAACTGGCACCACCCTCAAGAGCAGGTGTGGCTCTCGGAGACTCCTCCCTACCACCCTATGCCAGCCACCCCAAAGGCTGAGCACCCTCAGATACTCCCCCTCGTCCCATTTCTCCCCACATCTCCCCCTCCTTTGTCCCCGCCTCCCAAGCTCTCGCCCATCCCCCCACTTCCCTAGCACCCCTCTTTTCTTTCGCCCTTTCCCAACTCTCCCCCAGCCCCCTGCCCTTCTCCTCTTCCTCTGGTCGATATCATTCAAGCCACCCCTTCCCTTCCCCTCCCCCACCCCTTCTTTGTCCCCCCTCCCCCTTCCTCACTGCCACCCCCGACCCAGGCGGTACTTACGGCCCAGCTTGAGCCCCGGGAAGGAGCCGACTGCCGTGCTGGTCCCGCCTCCCCCCGGCCCAGGCCCGGCAGCCCCCCCGGGCTTCCCCCCCGGCGCTGCCCCCGAGGTGGGGCCTGGCGCGGCGGGCGCCGTGGCGGGAGCCCCGCCTGACGGGTCTGCGAAGGAGCTCGTCCGGGGCCGGGAAGAGCCGGCGCTGCCGCTGCTCATGGTGAGGCCGGGACCGGGGAAAAGGGAAGGGGGGCCGCGCTGGCTGGCTGGCTCCGTCTGAGGCGGCTCGGGAGCCGGCCCAGCCCGGCCCTGTCGCGGGAGCGGATGGGAAATGGAGTCCCGGCCACCATCCGCCTCGATATCCGCTAACGGAGGCGGGACTCCATTTCCCACAAGCGGCGCCGCGAAGGCGGGCCGCTCGGCCTCCTGCCGAAGGTCATGCTGGGACATGGAGTCCCCTGGCCCCGAAACGCCCCGAAGCCCGCTAGATTTAGGGGGACTACGAGTCCCAGGATGCCGAGCGCACCGCTAGCCGGCCGCCGCGAGGAAGGACGGGAGATGGAGTCACTCGGCGCACAGCCCGGCCGGACTCCCCAGCGCAGAGCGCAATGGATGGACTGTGTTTCCCAGCGTCCCCCGCGCGAGGACGACTGACCTATCCGGAGACGCGAGCAAAAAAACCTTGTGAGGCGAAGAGGGAGGCTGGGAAGGAAGCTCGAGGCTTCCCGTACGGAAAGCCAAGAGGGTCATACAGAGCCGCAGGGCGGGGAGTGTCGCAGACGCCGCTCGGCCACCAGAAAACCAAGAGAGACTTAACCTTGCGCCCATCTCGCTCTGATATCCATTATCGCCTCAAAGCCCAATGGAGCCGGAACGAGGCCTCATCAGGCCGCGGCGCGGTGCACGATGGGAGACGGCGTCGGTGCGGCCTGCCGCCGCTTTCCCAATACGCTCAGCGCGGACGCCCCGTGACGCGTTTGGCGGAGCCCCCCCGTCCTTCCAACAATTAGCGGACTACACTTCCCATCGTGCACCGCGACGAGAAGGGCCGCGATTGGCAATGGGGGGCCGCTGTGGCTCGGGAACGGCCCGCGAGGCCCTTCAGGCCCGCCACTCTTGTAAGGCAGGCGCATTATGCGATGGGGCGGTCCATTTTCCCTTGGTGTAGAGTGGTTCCTTGGCATTAGGCCTCCCGTCATGCAGCGCCACACGGGGGCAGCGGCGTAGCTCCCGGCGTGCACTGCGCGTCTCCCGTAGGGGGTTTGTGGGAGATGTAGTTTTCTCGGCATTTCCAGAGAGCAAATGGAGTGGGTCTCTTTTCTACCGTTATTTGCAAGGAGGAAAACACGGGAACTAATTATATTATTCATTCATACACTGCCTTTTCCACCCTGACAGGGACTCTGAAAAAATGCTAGTTGCAGCACAGTCAGTAAGGCCATAACTTAACATGCATTTAACTTACGCACATTCAGCTTTTTTTGCACGTGTCTAAAGAAATAAAAGGGAGCAGAATGGGTGCATGGTTCTGGGGGAAATGACTTTGGCAGTCCCACCCAGCATTGGACCCAGTAGGTTTTGGCAAAGGGTCAGTGCATCCGGCTGTGAACCAGAAGGTTGGTGGTTCGAGCCTACCCAGGGACTGCTGTGGGCAGGATTCCTGCATTGCAGGGGGTTGGACTAGATGACCCTTGGATCCCCTTCCAGCTCTACAGTTTTATGATTTTGACTTTAGGCACAATCCCTGGAACGTAACCCATGTGTAGGTTGCAGGCTATCTTTTTATTATTATTAAATACTTTTATTTTGCTCTAAACAAATACATATAAATATATACAACCAAAATTACAAAAGAAAATACCTTAATAATAATGGAAAAAACTAAAAAACTACAAAAAAATATCAAAATACATGGCACAGAACATAAGCAACTATGGAAAAGAAAAGAAAAAAGAAAAAGGAAGATGAGCCAAAACAGGAAAGCTCATCTATTGTACACTTCCGTCAAGTTCACAACAGATCATTATTCTTATCAATTCTCTCTATCTGCAAACCAAAGGAATCCCTCATCTTGGTATCAGGGAGCATTTCTCTATGCGGTATCATTCTAAACATAACCAGGTCTTTCTTGTTGAGCCTTTGTCCCCTAAATAATTATTTAAACAGGTTGCAGGCTATTTTATATTTCTCCCATTGGACATCTGCAAAGCTAATGAAGGCAAAAACAAATAGGGTGACCACTTGCGCACTGCTGTTTCCCCTGCGGAAAAAGAGTTGTGCAGTTTTTCATAAAATTTGCATATGCACATTTACATGGGGAGTTTCAAATTTATAAATAATGACCAGGGGCCACATGGGCATAAACAGGATTTTTGTTGGGGGGTAGGGCTGGCCTTTTGTTGGGGAGGGGACAGAACCTCAGTTAGCTATGTATTTTTATTGATATGGGAGGGGGCAGCTGCCCTTCCCTGCCCCACCCCCGATATACCCATGAGTGGCCCTCCAGGATGTTGGTTGTCTATAACTTGGGATAGCTCAGTTGGTAGAGAATGAGAATCTCAGGGTTGTGGGTTTGAGGTCAAACCCCCCATTGGGCGAAAGATTCCAGCATTGCAAGGGATTGGACTAGAATAGATGACCCTCCTGGTCCCTTCCAACTCTACAATTCTGTGATTCATTGAGGGTTAACCGCTGGCCATGCTGGCTGGAGCTGATGGGAATAGGTGATTTCAGAATCTGTGCCAAGCACCCCATGGCATTTCTGGGCCAGTACCTCCCTGCTTCCCACACTCCCACCTCTGCCAGCTTCTCTTAATGTAGAAGATATGATTCTATGATTTATGAGTCTTATATATATAGACAGAGAGAGATGAAACTTGCATGCACCTTGAAACAACACAAGAGTTAGATCAAAAAATATTTTTATTCCATGCCCTGGAGGCTGCTATTGGTTTGCCAGCAATTGGTTTCTGGATGGATTTGTTTTAACTATCAGGGCATGGCAGCATAATAGCCACACACCTTTCTAGCCTGGAGGCTTTTTATAAAAGGAGAGCTTAAGGTTGCAATAGGGGAACATCAAAGTAGGCATGCCTAGAATTGCAGTGTGAGTTGTTTTAAGGAACATTCACCCTAGAGTCATAGTTCCAAGATAAATCTTGCCATGAAAAAGGCCAGTGCTCTCTCTTTTTCCTCCCCAACCCCTGTAAGCAGTATTATGTACAAAAGAGGTCTAGCAGTTATTAAGCCTTAAGGCTCAGACTACCATCTCAGAAATGAAAGAAGTTTAGAGAGAACAATGGCTGCAACAAGATGACTTAGAATCTTGGAAGGAACCGTAAGGGCCATCTACTCCAAGCCCCTGCAATGCTGGAATCACAGCTGAATAATCCCTGACAAATGGCCATACAACCTCTGTTTGAAAACCCTCCAGTGAAGGAGAGTCCGCCATCTTCCGAAGGAGTGCAGTCCACTGTCTGAAAGTGACAGCCCTTCAGATATTTGAAGAAGGCTTAACCCCCCTCACAGGATTGTTGTGGGGATAAAATGGGCTTGGAGGCTGTCCCAAGTGAGCTTGGAGGCTGTCCCAAGTGAGATAAAATGGATCCAAACTACAAGAAAGAAGATTCCACCTAAACATTAGGAAGAACTTCCTGACAGTAAGAGCTGTTCGACAGTGGAATTTGCTGCCAAGGAGTGTGGTGGAGTCTCCTTCTTTGGAGGTCTTTAAGCAGAGGCTTGACAACCATATGTCAGGAGTGCTCTGATGGTGTTTCCTGCTTGGCAGGGGGTTGGACTCGATGGCCCTTGTGGTCTCTTCCAACTCTATGATTCTATGAAAAAATGGGCTGCATAATAACACAAACTAATATGAGTCATCCTATTTCCTGATGCAGAAATCCTGTCCAGAGTTACTTGAAAATAACCCCCCATTGAAACCAATGGGACTTATTTCTAAATGCCCATGAACAGAATCGGGCTGCTGGTCAGCAGGTGAGCTCCTTTAGAAGCTCTCGGGTTTTTCGGGGTACGGAAAGGAGGTTTTTTTGGTCCCAGATCCAATTCTTGGCATTTCCAAGGATCTAAAGTGACCGGTGCTGCAGCCAGTCGAGGCACATAATCAGGGTGGTTGAGGATTGTGGCTCCAGCGACCTCTAACCAAATCAATTGCTGACCACAGCTATCATAAGTCCAAGCCGAGAGAGATATATGAAGCAAAGAAGGGCTGCCTGTACATTGCACCTCTAAAGCACATCCCCCTGCTTCAAAGAATTCTGGGCACTGTAGTTTACCCATCTCAGGGTTACAGCGCCCAGTAACCCTTAACAAACTACAGTACCCAGAATTCTTTGAGGGATGCAACGAGGGGTGTGTGTTCTTTCAATGTGCCTTAAAGGCATATACAGCCCAGGTTGAAGCCATGCAGTGGAATTCAGTCGCCACAAGGGGGCACTTGGAGCATTGTGTTCCTACAGGGAAGATGTTTCCACTCCAGCAGTATAGATCTGACCTAAAGGGAAATATCTATTTGCACAAATCTGCTAGGTGTCTTTAGAAGGCCAAACCTGCCCTGCAGGTGAGCAGCTACAAAGAGCCCCCCTCCACGTCCTGCAAAGGGGACAATCCTTGTGGTAATTATAGGTGGGAACAATGTGCGAACTTGAGCACATCTTGAATTTAAAGAACGCACACAACCAGGAGTGATCTCCTGGGTGGATTAAGTGTCCAAACCAGAGTCAGCCAAAGCAATAGAGCAGGCCAAGGCCTGTACTAATTTAGGAATTCTGTGTTCAGCTGCCTGGACCCCAGGACTCTTCCCCAGACTACAACCCCCCAGTGGCTCTGCTCTGATCCCTCCTGAAATGCTGTTGCCTAACTGGTAAGGGCAGATGAGCTGGGATGATGTCTCTTGCTTGCTTGTGTGTGCATGTTAGTAGAAGCCCTTGCCTGGCTTTTTGCATGGCAAGAAAGTAACCTACACAGAACAACAAACCCCTGTGTTGCAAATTTAACACAACAAACAACACAAGCAACATGAAGACCAGTATACTAGATAGCACTGTAGTTCTTATTGCATAATGTACATGATTTAGTACAACAGAAACAAAATATGTACACTTGTAAATTCAACAAAGGTCCGTATAGTAAAAGCTATGGTTTTCCCAGTAGTGATGTATGGAAGTGAAAGCTGGACCATAAAGAAGGCTGATCGCCGAAGAATTGAGGCTTTTGAATTATGGTGCTGGAGGAGACTCTTGAGAGTCCCGTGGACTGCAAGAAGATCAAACCTATCCATTCTTAAGGAAACCAGCCCTGAGTGCTCACTGGAAGGACAGATCCTGAAGCTGAGGCTCCAATACTTTGGCCACCTCATGAGAAGAGAAGACTCCCTGGAAAAGACCCTGATGTTGGGAAAGAGGGAGGGCACAAGGAGAAGGGGACGACAGAGGACAAGATGGTTGGATAGTGTTCTCGAAGCTACCAGCATGAGTCTGACCAAATTGCGGGAGGCAGTGGAAGACACAAGTGCCTGGCGTGCTCTGGTCCATGGGGTCACAAAGAGTCGGACACGACTAAACAACTAAACAACAACAACAAAAATTCTCTGATATATCTGAAAACAAATGAACACACATCTGTCAATCTTTGAAAGTCCATAGAAGTATAATGAGTCTATGGTTGAAACAAAGTAATAGATGCTATCCTGTGGGCTAAGCAGTAAAACTTTTTAGGCGTTCATGGTGCTGAAGTAGTAAGTGAATAACAACGTAGGACAGTGATCCTGGATCACTGGATTTCGCTGGAATCTTCTTCAGCACAACCCATAGATTAGAAAAATGCACAAGGGGCAGTGGTTACATCAAAAATTATATCTTGCTTGATTGTGTAAATAGAAGCTCTAAGGGGATTGCAATAAATAAATAAAAATGGTCAATTTAACATGAAGTTGAAAACAGGAATTCTGAAAATAAATCATCAAGATATAATTAAAATCAACATCTACGCTAGAAACAGATTACAAACACATGTCAGTTTTTAAACGCCCGGCTAGGCTTGCCTGAAGAAAACCGTTTTTAGCAGGCACTGGAAAGAGCACATCGAAGGCACTTGCCAGGTGTCAATCAGCAGGGAGTTCCACAAGTGTTGGAGCTGCCTCCTTGAGAGATTGATTTCTTACAAGCGAATAATGATATTATGCAACACCTGTAAAGGTCCCAGTTTTGCAGATCTAAGCTAATTATTGATATACAGCCTCTTGGCTGTGGAGGTTCCACTTAATTATCATGCCTTCCAGCTGCTGATAAGGCAAATCGATGGAGGTGGAGAGTTCATTCTTTCTTGAAGCTGTCAGAGTTGGTGGATGCCATTACAAGCCTGTGGCAGGGAATGCTTCACCCTGATTTCATGTTGTGCGAAGACGTCCTGAGCTATAATTGTTGATCAACTTCGCCGGGTGAATCCAGCTTCTTGTATAATTATGGAGTGGGGTGGGAGAGAGAGAATCCATAATGAAACCGAGAGATCCTTTGCTTGTTAAAACAAGTTTTGCTGTGGAGCAGTACAACTTTACCTGAGCCAAGTCTCAGCCTTCAGAAACCACCTTTGTTTGGTTTTCCCCCCAGTTCCTGGAACGTGCAAGGCAATTATGAAGTGAGGAGTGCTTCTGAGCATGTGTAAAATGCATCTAGCTCCACCCAAGGGGAAAGCGATAGCCTACTCCTCTCCCCACCCCAAATAGACCTGGGGTTAGGAGCAGTGTCCCTTTTGGAGAGTAACCACTGTTCTGTAATAAACAAATTTCTTTTCATGTAAGACCAGGCACTTGTGGTCAGCCTCCTGTTGGTTGTGGCTGCGAAGAGCAAATCGTAACCTAGGACTGCTACCACGGTGGAGAATTCACATACAAACACACCGTTTTGCCTGAAGTACCTTGGAAGATCAGAAGCCAAGGGACCTCAAAGGAGATCTGAGGGCAGATATTACCCTCCTAGGAGAGTGCCAGTGGAAAGACACACACTCATTCACTCCAAGGCAACACTGAGCACTTGAGCTACACACCAATTAATTTTGCTCCGCGCTACAAAGCCTGCCACACTAGCAGCCTGATCCTAAGCATCTTTACCCAGAGGAAAGGAGCCAGCTTTTTTTTCTAACCAGCCTCTCAACCTCATAAGGAACATAGGAAGCTGCCTTAGAGCGAGTCACACAATTGGTCCATCCAGTTCATCATTGTTGGCTGTCAGGGGCAGGTCAGCAGTAAATCACTCAGAGAAAGTGAAGTCAACTATTAGAAGAAACAAGGTCTGCTCAGGAGTGCCAGGCCTAATAAGCACAGCAGCTCTTCATAGGTCTTGCCCCTGTGAGGCTGTTGTGGAGGCTGAAGGTCCCTGCCTTCCCACAGCTGCCTATGTCTCCTCCACTGATCCTTCCCAAGCAATCTGAGACTACGTCGGGGCACCTGCCTTTGCTACTCCCGCTTCATACCACTTCTGGTCCTGGGAGACCAGCAGGGAGGGGAGCTTGTTGCAGCAGGAAGAGGAGACACCCTGGTTTCTTCACCAGCCTGACTCCTCTCTGCCTCTTGGCCATCCTCCCCTCCTGTTTTTCCTTCTGCACTTCTCTCTGCCACAGACCCTCCCTGCTCAATAAACCCTATTATCTCTTCAGGTTCAGATACCTTCTCCTCTTAGTCTTCTTCCCCTGACTACTCATCGTCATCCCACCACCACTCCCCAAACTCTGAGCCATCTTCCCTTGGAGGGTCCTCAGCTGGTGTCTCCCACCCCCCACCCCTACATCCAGCCGGTTCATGACAGGTACATGTCCCAGGTATCAGCCAGGGGCAGGGAGTTACTCTCAGCCCTACCTCCAGATGCCAGGGTTTGAACCTGGGACTTTGGCATGCAAAGCAGATGCTGAGCTGTGGCCCATCCCCGAAGCCTCTGTCTCTAGAATCAGCGCATGATAAACACTTGCCCTACAGCTTTGCAAGCAATTACATCAGATTCTTGTTCCCAAAGAAATGCAAAGGCTGTTGGAAAAAAGGCTTAGACAGCTTGATGGGAGAGGTATTAGGCTGCAACAGCTATATAAAACCTTCACATCCAGGAGGAGTTTATCAGAAGTTATAAAAGGAAGTAAAGGTAAATGGACCCCTGACCATTAGGTCCAGTCGCAGACAACTCTGGGGTTGCGGCGCTCATCTCGCTTTACTAACCGAGGGAGCTGGCATACAGCTTCCGGGTCATGTGGCCAGCATGACTAAGCTGCTTCTTCAGAACCAGAGCAGCACACGGAAACGCCGTTTACCTTCCCGTCAGAGTGGTACCTATTTATCTATTTGCACTTTGACATGCTTTTGAACTGCTAGGTTGGCAGGAGCAGGGACTGAGCAACAGGAGCTCACCCTGTTGCGGGGATTTGAACCGCCAACCTTCTGATCGTTTAACCCACAGCGCCACCCACCAGTCTATAAAAGGAAGTACTTCTTCACAAAACACATAGTTAACACATTGGAGACAAATTTTTAAAACCCTCCAAGTGTCCCTGTTTTCCAGGGACAGTCCCAGATTTACAGAAGCCATCCCAGTTTCCGATTTGATCCCAGAATGTCCTGCTTTTCCTTAGGACGTCCCTATCTTCATCGGTGAAAATGTTGGAGGGTATGCAGTTATGCAACCCCTGAGGCCAAGGAGATAAGTAGCCATACGACCTTTAGAAGACATCTGAAGGCAGCCCTGTGTGGGGATGTTTTTACAGTAAATGTTTTGTTTTTGTTTTTATATGTTGGAAGCCACCCAGAGTGGCTGGGGAAAACCAGCCAGATGGGCGGGGTGCAAATAATAAAATTATTATAATAACGGAATAGGACGTCCCTATTTTCATCGGAGAAACATGGGAGGGAATCGATCAATAGAGTGCAAGGCGTTCAGTGGCTGCTAGCCACAATGGCTGAGTACTATGCCCAGGGGTCATGGACGGCATGTACCCAAATGCCAGCTGCCGGGGTTCAGCTGTTGACCTCAGCTGCTGCTTGCGGGCTTCCTGTCGGCCACTGCAGGCACAGGATAGGTCTTGGTCCATCTCCAGCAGCCATACTCTTCCTAGGCAAGGCAACCTCCATCATCTTCTGAGCTACTCAGTGGCCTGCCACTGACGAAGGCAGAGCCCCCTCAGAAGCTAAGCCGTTGTTAAACCCGATTACTGTGGCTGACCCATTGCGGCCCACGCTTTACTGCAAGAATATTTTCGGCGTGTGCCGAAAGCAAGGACCTTTGTCGCTCGGCCCAGCAGTAGCCAGGCGCGTGTCCATGGCCCCGTAAACGCTGGCGGGGATTTCTGCCTGCCCTCCCCAGATGTCTACTCAGGAATGCGCGCGACCCAAAGGGTTAAAGCTTCTTCAGCGCGGGGGGGGGGGGAGATGGAGAGGTTAATGAATTATTGAGTAAGTCAAGGGTAAGAAGCAAAGAGCCTCCCACCGGGAGCAGGCAAGATTAATTCAATTAGGGGATGACGGCACTCGCACACACTCCTGCCAGCTCACGTCAACAGAGTTGCATGCCGGGGGGGGGGGCAGCAAAATCAGGACAAAGCTTGTTCGCGGGCAGCCGGCCGTTTTATACTGATGCATGCATCCAGCATCCTCTCTAATGTTGCCGGGCCCTCACATCGCTGCTCCGTAGGGGAGGCATCACTGTTGCTAAGAGACAACCAAGTCTTTTGGTTCAGGCCTTGCTTCCCAAAATAGCAGAGCCAGCAAGAGGCTGCACCCGGCGCTCTTCCCCCGTCTTCCGACACCTCAGAAGGGGTGGCAGGTGGATTGACCTCCCCAGCCTCCCTCCCAGCAATAGGTGGCGGGTGCCGCCTTCTCCTGGCCCAGCTCTCGCCCTACGATAGGCCCGGATCCAGCTCTTTGTGGAAGGCCCCACGAGGCTATGTTACCTGCCTGGAAATAAGATTTGAAGGATGTGTTTAATTATTAGGATCCGCACCAGGACAGTGGGGCTTAAAGGCCATAGAACTGTTGGTTTGGAAGGGTCATCTAGGCCAATCTTTTTGCCCAACCTGGGTTTCGAACCCATGACCTTGGGATCGAGAGTCTCATGCTCTACCAACAGTCACCGGGGTAGTCGTAGGCCAGTGGCCCTCTCGCTCAGCCTAACCTACCTCACAAGGTTGTAGTGAGGATACAGTGGGAGGAGAGGGAACCGCCACATAGTGTTCCGTGAAGGAAATTCATTGATAGCCCAAGATGTGCGTTCCAACTGGTGTGTATTTTTAATCAGGGCCTTTTCTGATGCCCAACCCAGGCAACCCACTATCTCTGCTTCGACAGATGCATGTTAAAAAATGTCCTTAGCCTGTCACCATCCTTCTCTCCCGCACTCCCCAGATCTTAAGAAATTGAGCAAGTTGTGTACCAATCCTGTCACCGCTGCACAAACATGCGTGCGCACAGATGCTCAGGCTACGGCATAGTGTGTTTATTGCCATAGCTGGCAAGGTTCCTTTTGCTCATCTGATGATCCGTTCTAGAAAAATTGTGTTGCCTGTACAAACACCCACCCCAGCCATATTTCTTGAACTGAACAACACCCTCTTTGCCTTTCGGGCCGTGCAAGCCAGGTACGCAGGCAGCCATCAGAGCTATGAGGCATGTTTAAGGTACGGGGAAATGTCTCTGTTTCCCTCTGAAAGACACTGCCGGCTTTTGCTGCCGTCCCTTTGGACAAGAGACTCTGCTTTGCACCAGAAGGTCCCAGGTTCAGTTGCCAGGTAGGCCCAGGAGAGACTCGCTTTGTGAAACCCTGGAGAGCATCTACCTGTGAGCACAGAATCTGCGGCGGGGAACCTGCGGCCCTGCAGAGGTTGCTGGACTCCAACTCCCATCAGCCCCAGGCAGGACAGACAATTGTTAGGAATGATGGGTAGCGTAGTCAAAACTCAACAGCCAGATTGCTCACCGGAACAATTCATTTCCGGGCCCAGATCAAAGTGCTATGCAGCCTTACACAGCTCAGGACCTCAATACCTTAAGGACTGCCTTTCCCCATATGAACCAACCTGGACCCTGCACTTGTCGTCAGAGGCCGTTCTCTATGTCCCCATTCCCAGAGAGGCTCAGAGGGTGGAAACATGAGAATGGGCCTTTTCTGTGGTGGCTCCCCGTCTGTGGAATGCTCTCCCCAGAGAGGCTCGCCTGGCGCCATCATTACATGTGTTTATGTGCCAGGCAAAAACACTCCTCTTTACCCAGGCCTTCAGCCGTTAAATAATCTGTGGCCTGTTGAATGTGCTGTTGGGGAATTGTTATTAAGATTATTTTGTTCACATGCTGTCTATTGGTGTATAAATTGAATGAATGAATGGGCCATCTGGGTGCTTCCCCTACCTCAGACATGAGTTATCCTGAGTTAAGATGCCAGAATTGGAGCAAGCCGTTTTGCTACATAAATGGCACAGAGTCCTTCTCTGGGGCGCCTGCAGGTTTTGGCCAACAGGCAACCGACAACCTTCCTCTTTTCGCTTAGGAAGTCTGCTGTCTCCAGAATGACGGAGCCCTGATTTCTGCTGGGTGGGCAGATTATTTCATTGCACTGCAGGCCATGGCAAGAACAGGAAGGACAAGATATTCCGGCACCCACAGCTGCCCCACATTTCCTTCCACTAATTACTTGCTTCAACAAGGGTGCAAAGGGACTTTCAGAGGAGCAACCTTTGCAACAGTAGAAGGAGCTGGCTGCCCTTGAGACCAGCTAACTGTCAGAACGTGAGCCATGGTTTGTATCATAGAACCACAGTCCATGGAGAGGGGGGTAAGTCTCTTAAGACTATATTTTAAGGGGTGGGAAGAAGTCCCTGTTCCACAGAGCTTACATTCTAAAAAACTTGACACCAGAGAAGCAACCGGGGGAGAAAAATAAGATGGTAGTAAAAGGGGGAAATGTATTTGGTTTCAGAAAATTGCATAAATTTATATAGGATTAAACCCAAAGCTTCATGGAAAACACATCACATCAGCATTTTGGGAAGCATGTTCCAGGCAGCAACGGGAAGCAAGGCAGTTGAGGGGACTGTTGGGTGCCTGATTATGAGGACTTATTATTAACGATGTGTGGTTTTTTTTGTCCAGAAAGGGGGACTCAGTGCAAGGTAGAAAACAAGTGTAGAAATACTAAAACCGAGTGTAGGAAACAGCCTAAAACACTGCCCGGTAATATGGAATGAAGGTCACAAATAGGGATATGAGAGCGCAGAAATGAGCATCTAGGAGACCTCAGGATAATTACGTTTGAAGATAGAACGATGCAGACCTTCCAAGTGTCCCTATTTTCCAGGGACAGTCCTGGATTTATAGAAGCCGTCCTGGTTTCTGATTTGATCCCGGAACGTCCTACTTTTCCTTATTATGGTCCCTATTTTCATCAGAGAAACGTTGGAAGCCGCTCAGAGTGCCTGGGGCAACAGTCGGCTGGGCAGGGTATAAATAATAAAATAATTATCGTTATTATGAAATAGGACGTCCCTATTTTCATTGGAGAAATGTTGGAGGGTATGATAACGCCTACTAAAATCTCAAGCAAGAAATATTGGTTGGATTTTCAGTGACTGGGGGGTGAGGCTTCAGAGTCCTTGACAGCCTCTTTTTCTTTTTTTGCAAATCTACAGAAATTGGATTGCCTGGGTACATCATTTCCAGTCTCGTGTTAATAAATTGACAATAATATTAAAAAGTACAGACGTTGCTACAGCACTTCCATGAAACCCTACTTGCACGGCTCCACATATTGCTGTTTCAGAGATTGCGACGGGTAGCTCAAAGAAACAGGGCCTCCTCTGCGGTGAAACTACAGCAGCCCTGGGGAACATCATGGCCCCAGCCAACAATCAGGGATGATGGGAGTTGTAGTAAAAAAAACAACAACACCATACAGAGGTTTGCTGACCCTGAACTAAGGCATTCTCTCCCCACACCCACCCTCGGAGACAGTGGTCTTGTTCATTCCTCAATTCAGGCCTTTATTTTTCGGGAAAGTATTTAGGGATGGGTTATTTTACATGTGCTGGCTCCTGTTAATATTTTTAAATGCTCCGGGTAACTATTAAGGGAAAACACATTTTTTTCCTCCCCAGAACCCTGCACAAACCTCACACATTTATTGCCTTAAGTGATACGGCCCACTTAACAAAATGAAACCAAACATTTGATTCTGCCGGATCGTAATTTACGTCAGCTGCTCAATTCCCATGGAAATCAATGAAACTTAAATTCACTCCTTAACTCCCATTGAAACCAATGTGAAAAGTTGAGCAAAATCTAGTTTGCACTCCATCCTTCTCCTCTTACTTACAAGCTCGTTGGGGAGTATTAAGCAAAGTGGTAATGAACGCTCGGACACTGAAAATGCTAAGAGACCTTGGTGCTTTGTTTGAGGGTCCATAACTCTGCTCCAACTTCCTTTTGCACCCAAGGGTGCTTGGCTAGGTTGCAGCCTAGGTGGAAGAGGAAGCGAGTTCTGCAGACAGGGCTTGCCCCAGGGTAGGACCTGAGATGTGCGCTGTCTCTCTTCCCTGCCACCCCCCAGCCTTGTGCAGCACAAACCGGTATTTCTGGCAGGCATGATGCTGGAGGCTGGCTCCATAGGTATTAAGAGAGGTGAACGAGTGCAGTCCTTTTTCAGGCTTGCTCTGGGGTCTTAATATCCTTTAAGCCCCACCCTCTAAAAGCAAACAGAAGCAAAAGGAGGCTATTAATTCTACAAACATCTCCTCAAACCTTAAGAGATAACAGCCCCAAAAAACCACAAACACGCATGGCAGTTTCTAGAAAAGGACTTCAACAACTGGCCTGGGTTTATTTTGTACCGAAAAGAAATTAAGGTCCTGCTTCCAGACAGATTCTCAAGCCAGCACAAGTTAGGCAAACTTGCACAATATACTTCCATGTGTTTTCTAGTTGCAAAGAAGTCCTATTGCATCCTGATCTTAAGTTTGCTTCTCCCTACCCCATTGCCGCTGGCTTCTGAGATTTCCAGAAAGCTTCACTCTTCATTTTCAACGTGTATATTTGCAACTACCAAGTACTAGAAACTGCTTTGCCCCAAAGCCTTTCTTCCTTTTAAAAAAAACCAAAAACCACAACATACGTGCAAGCGGAGTTTCCAAAAAATGAATTCGGCAGTCCATACCGCAATTTCACAAAGTTGCACCATAGAGGTGAAGCAAAGTTTTCTCCAATCTTCCACAATAATGGAGATCGTGGCAATGGGGAAAGAAAGCAGCATTTCCAAAGCAATCTCGGGAAAGCATCTGTGCAACAATAGAGATCAGTCTTCCTGTGCTTCTGGCTATCTAGCCAAAAACTACGAGAGACTTATCAGCAGACTGTGCATACTTCTGGGATACCCCAAAATTATGAAAAATCTGCAGAGGGGGAAAAAAACACATCCATAAAAATGGCCCCCTAAGGACATTAGGAGGCCCTTTTTGCATTAGACCAGTGGCTCGTCTAGTCCAGTATCTCAGTGACCAGCCAGATGCATGTACCACCTCCAGCTGCTTCTGTGCGGTTGGTGCCCCTGAATTGTGCAACTGCTTAAGAACTCGAAGAGCGTACTGGATCAGGCCAGTGGTCCATCTGCTCCTGCATCCTGTTCTCACAGCGGTGAACCAGATGCTTGTGGGAAGCTCACAAGCAGGAGTGCAACAGCAGCACTCTTCCCTGCTTGCTTTGTTGTTTAGTCGTTTAGTCGTGTCCGACTCTTCGTGACCCCCTGGACCAGAGCACGCCAGGCCCTCCTGTCTTCCACTGCCTCCCGCAGTTTGGTCAAACTCATGCTGGTAGCTTCGAGAACACTGTCCAACCATCTCTTCCTCTGTCGTCCCCTTCTCCTTGTGCCCTCAATCTTTCCCAACATCAGGGTCTTTTCCAGGGAGACCAAAGTATTGGAGCCTCAGCTTCATGATCTGTCCTTCCAGTGAGCACTCAGGGGTGATTTCCTTAAGAATGGAGAGGTTTGATCTTCTTGCAGTCCATGGGACTCTCAAGAGTCTCCTCCAGCACCATAATTCAAAAGCATCAATTCTTCGGCAGTCAGCCTTCTTTATGGTCCAGCTCTCACTTCCATACATCACTACTAGGAAAACCATGGCTTTAACTATACGGACCTTTGTTGGCAAGGTGATGTCTCTGCTTTTTAAGATGCTGTCTAGGTTTGCCATCGCCTTTCTCCCAAGGAGCAGGCGTCTTTTAATTTCGTCTTTTAATTTCCCTGCTTGCAGTTGCAAGCAATTGATATTCAGAGGCATGCAAATGGCCTAGATCAGGGTTTCCCCAAACTCTGGCCTGCAGCTGTTTTTGGACTCCCACCATCCCTAGCTTGCAAGACCAGTGGTCAGGGATGACCAGTGGTCCCTGACAAGTGGGTGGGAGAACCAATAATGGAGGGACAAAGAGGGCAGTGAAACTGCCTTGATGTGCTGTGCTGTTTTAATAATTCCATCTGGTCCGCTTTAAAACAAACCAGCTTGATTTGCAGTCCCAAGATTCGCTTGTGGCTCAGAATGCAGTTATCAAATCACGCTTCTGCATTTTGATGTAGAGCTGCACATAAAAATACGTACGATTTAAATGCAACTAGAGCTTTGTTTTTAAATCCACATCAACAGGAAGCCTATTGAACACATGCAGAACTGGCACGGAACTAGGAAACACATCCATCCACCCATTGCTAACTGACTAGCAGAGATGGGCACCCTGTGAAGCTTCAGATACAGTTAAGACTCTAGTTCCCATCAGGTTCAGCGGGCGTAGCCTATAGTTCGGATTAACAACATCTGAAGGTTCTCCAGCTCCAAAGCACAGGGGGAAACATCTCGTTAAGTGGGCTCGCATGAGGATTGTGAAACCAGTTCTGATCCCGAAAGCAAATTCCTGTGCCTAGGAGTCACCGTGCTCTTCATCTGAAGTGTACTGGAGCAATCTCCGCCATTATTCTGCATCTGGCTCTGATTGGGGTATCTTCATATCCAAATCATAATTGGGGGGAAAGAAATACCTTAAGTCTGCCTAACCCTGCCCTAGGCAACCATCACTCCTTCCTTCAGGCTCACTTCCACTTGGCAGCTTTTAAAATAAGGTATTAAGAGGCTCCTCAGTGAGAATAATCAATGATGTCAAAGGATTGCACCCAATGTGTAGCACTACGTTCCATTAATGTAAGGATTTACACTTGTGCAACAGAACCTCCTCCCTTTTCCTTTTGTACTGTTCTGGGGTTTCCCTCAATCCTCTGGAGCAAATTTGGGTCCCTTCAAACTCGACAATTTTGTGGAATCCTTGTGCTAATGGAATCCGTGTCTTAGATACTGTCCATGGTTCTTTGATGGACAGCTTGCTTACTACAGTACTGTCCTGTCTTCCACCGCAAAGGACTGTCCTAGGACCACTTGGATTCATCCAGAGCTACAGTAAGGTCTGCTAGGCCTTGCCAGCATCCCTGTTTTAACTCTGGAGTATATGATGATCCCCATTCCACTTATCACAGCGCTGAGCATTTTCCAAGCGTGCATATTCAACCAGCGTTGTCTATGATATAACAGGGCTGCTCCTGTGGATCAGCAGTGTCTCTGTGGGAAATATATAGCCGCAAAACCTACCCCTCAAGATTAGCTCTTTGCAACGGGATTATCTGCAATTTTGTGGCCTTGGAACACTAGGCACAACCCTAGAAGGGATCCTTTAAAATGATTCTCCACAGGTTTCCACTCACAGAATGGAAATGTGGGGCGGCAAGCAAGCAAGCCCAGGGCTCCTTGCAAAGCACGTTCGATATTCAGGTTAAGATAGGAAAGGAAAATGTGAAAGAGAAGTTTTTCATCAGCCTTGAAGAGTTTGAGGGAAGGAGAAATCTCATCCTAGAAATTCTATGCATTATCTTTAATCAGAAGCAAGGCCTCTTTGGAGAACCTGTAGCTCTCCAAATATTGACCATCCTCGCTCAGGCTAATGGGTGTTGGGAGCCTAACAACGTCTGAAGGACCACAGAATCCTCACCCCTACCATGTTCTAAGCGGAGTCATATATGCATCTATAAGGGATGCGGGTGACGCTGCGGGTTAAACCACAGGGCCTAGGACTTGCCGATCAGAAGGTCAGCAGTTCGAATCCCCGTGACGGGGTGAGCTCCCGTTGTTCGGTCCCTGCTCCTGCCAACCTAGCAGTTCGAAAGCACATCAAAGTGCAAGTACTGTATTTTTCGCACCATAGGACGCACCGGACAATAGGACGCACTTTGTTTTAGAGGGGGGAGAACAAGAAAAAAAAAATTCTCCCCCTCTCTGCCCAGCGCCCCTTCAGCGAAGCGGCAGGAGGTGCTGCGCAGAGAGGGGGAGAACTTTCTCCCTCTTGTTTTCCCGCTCTAAAACAAGGTGCCGTTTAAGGTGCATTCAGGTGGCTACCTTGGTGCATTCAGGTGGCTACCTTGGTCGGTGCACACCGACCCCTCTCGCTCTCCAGGCTTCAGGTTCCTTTCGACCTGCTCTTTGGGGCTGGCGGGGGGGAAGCCCACCACCAGCCCCAAAGAGCAGGTCAGGGAGCAGCGGAAAGCCACAGCGGAGAGGCTCCTGCCATAGCTGCGCGTCACCTCTCCAGCCGGGAGAGGGTCGCGGGGCTATGGCGTCTTCGTTCCATAGGACGCACACACATTTCCCCTTCATTTTTGAAGGGGGAAAAGTGTGTCCTACAGAGCGAAAAATACGGTAGATAAATAGGTACTGCTCCGGCGGGAAGGTAAACGGCGTTTCTGTGCGCTGCTCTGGTTCGCTAGAAGCGGCTCAGTCATGCTGGCCACATGACCCGGAAGCTGTACGCCGGCTCCCTCGGCCAGTAAAGCGAGATGAGCGCCGCAACCCCAGAGTCGGCCACGACTGGACCTAATGGTCACGGGTCCCTTTACCTATATGCATCTATAGCAGCATAGTCTGGAATTTTACCTTTTCAAGAATCTCAGCTTTTATCATCTCGAATAGGTCTACCAAACTCTGGTTGTAAATCCATGGGCAATAATCCCCCCACTCTTAGAAGCCAGAGGGGGAGAAATAAGCTTCCACTATTAAGCTTCATGTGGCAGAATTCAGATGTTCTTGGTAGAGAACTTGCAGTCAATGCAGAACCACTTTTTAGGGAAACATTATAGCAATGCACTCAAATCAAGAGCAATGCATTAAACAGTAACTTTCCAAGATTCACCAAGCAGTTTTCTTTTCTTTTTCTAAGGGAGCACAAAGTTATGAAATCTCAAAACCCTTTTTTATTGGTGTTTTTTTTGTTTTGTTTTTACATTCTTAAAATGAGACACCCCCATTTCCTCGATATGTACAAGAATTTGAATAAGGCTGTATTAAAAAAAACCCTTTAGCATGATGCCTCGTTATGTCCACCCTACAAACAGCAGGTTATGATCAAAGACCTAGCCTTCCGGGCTAACAACACCCTTCCAAAACCCGTTTTGAGTGGTGGTTTTGCTTTTTTGTCTGGATGCAGAAAAAACAACAGACAACATTTCTCTCTCCTGCTGGGAACTGGAAAAAGTCTCTTTCCTGCTTGAATGTGGGGTAGCTGAAAACAAAGGCGGGTATGCCTGCTTGGGTTTGGGGCGCAATTAGGAGGTACACAAGTGTTTGTTTGGGGGGGAAAGATCCCTGCTTTGTTTTGTTTTTTTGCAAGGCACTGTCATCCTGCAGTCACCCCCTACCCCCTGGCTCCAAATCTCCCTCTTTGACAGAAAGGGGGAGGTGGGGCAGCTTCCGGCCCTCCCTCTCAAGGAGGGATTTATTCAGCGAGGTGGCGAAACAGTGCCTTAATTTGGGGGTGGGGGAAGAGGCGTGGAGAGAGGAAGGGAGGGGGGTTTCGTGGGACAAAGAGTATTGGAAAAGTAGGGATGGGGGAAAAAAAGAAATAGGAGTGCCCACTCTCTTGGAAAAAGCACTTGCAACAGGCACTTAAAAACCCCTTTGAAATCCCACCCACCCAAGACCACAGTGGGACAGGCAGAGAGGCGGGCACACTGTGACCAAGCCCACTATTTCATTTTTGGTTACATAAAGCAATGGATTATGAAGGAGTTTCTTTGGAGGGGCGGGTGGGTGGGTGGAAATCCCTCTTCTGTCATTATTTTGGATCCCAAGGTTTCACAAATATACCAGCTTACTATTCATATGAGAGATGGGCTGGGGGAAGAGATTAAGATGATGCTCTGGAGCGAGACTCAAGAGCAGTCCAACACTCTCTGCCCTAGGACCCTCAGGCAAATGAGGTTGGTTTCTGTGTTTTTTTGGTGGGGCAGGGGAAGAGCGTAGTTGAGGGGGGTGTATTTTATTTTTAAAAAGGTACATCACTTCTACATAGTATGAGTTAGAAGGGGATATTAATTACCCCGTACCCCACTTCTTGGGCGCTATTAAAATGGAGTGAGATGCGTGAGAAATATGGCTAATTCTCTTCTCAATCCCCTGGAGGATTAAAAAGTGTATTGTGCTTAAAACTTGCCAATCGCAAGGGGGGGGGGGAGAGAAGGAAAATATCGGGGAGGTGGGTTCTTTTAGTAAGACCACCCCTTAAAAAACCCCGTGAAGGCAAAACCAATATTATGAGCTTTCGTTCTTTTAAAAAATAAAAAACCCTACTCATTCCTGCGGGGTTTTCTTTTTTTTAACAAAGGCCTTGGACTATATAACCTTAAAGGATTTTAAGGGAAAGGGGGTTGAACAGGAATAAAGAGAACCCTTAAAAGTCGTCCCAGCATATTAATTTTTTTAGAAATCCCCCCTCCCCGCAAAGAGTTTATATATATATATTTATATATGTATATAGACACGTAAAAACTGTTCAATATTTTTTTTTCGCCCCGCCCCCTAATTCTTTTTCTTTCCTCTTTTTTTTTTTCTTCCTTTTCGTCTGGCTTCCAGATAAGAAATAATAATAAAATTTACAGAGTTTCCGGAATAAACAGGGGGCGGAGGGGTGGAGAGAAGGGAAACTGACAAAAGGTAAAAAGATAATCTCTGAGTTAAGGCAGCAAAACCAGCCCCCCCTTCTTCCCCCACCTGCCCATTTTGTCCGTCTGTCCTGGGAAGGGAGCCGTGGGGGGGCTGCGCATCCCAGCTCTAGGAATCCCGGTTCTCCAGGGTCAGTTCGGCTGTGGCCCGCTGCAGCTCAGTGCTGATCCGCCGGCCGCCCACCCCGTCCCCGTGGCTGCTGGCGTCGTCTTCCCCCTTCACCTTCTTGTCATCCGTTTCTTCGGCCCCCGCGCCCGCTTCCAGCCTCTGGTCCTCGCTCCAGCGGCGCTTGAAGCGCAGCTTGAGAGGGATGCATTTGCCGCTCTCCCCGGCACGGGAGGCGGGAGGCGCGGCCGCCATTGCGGCCACCGGGGTCTCCTCCTCCTCTTCCAGCTTTTCCAGAGGCACAAGAGGAGCCTTGAAGACGTCCTCGTCGTCTTCACTGATGTCGGTCACCTCGACGGTCAGGTCCTCCTCCGACTCACCCTCAGAAATGGGCTCCACCTTGATCTGGGGCAGCAGAGGCGGCTCCGCCCCAGATGTAGAGGCAGAGGAGGAAGAAGAAGAGGAGGAGGACGGCATGCCGCTGCTGGACTCTCCCGGGGGCAGGCCAGGGGGCTGCTGCTTGTCACGGTTGCGGCGCCCCAATGGCGGCGGCTGCAGCTTGAACTTGAAAGGGGAAGGCGGCTCTTCGGCCTGCGGTGGCGGCGGCGGTGGCAGGGGCGGTTTCTCGAGGCGCTGGGGCTGCGGGATGACGATGTTTGGGTAGTGGAGGAAGGCCCTGGGGCTGAGGTGGTAGTTGTACACACTCTGAGTGTGGGCCTGGAGATAGCGCTTCATGTCCTCTGGGTTGAAGGAGAAGTGGGAGCCGCCAGGGTACATGGGGCTGAGGGTGGGTGAAGGGGTGTAGTTCATGTGCGTGGGCGTGAGGGGGAGAGCCGGGGACAGCTGAGGGGGCAGGAGGCCCGCCGGCCCGGCCATGGGAGACACAGGAAAAGGGCTGAGGGGCTCGGGGACCCGTGGGCGCGGATAGACCCGGAAGAGGCCGTCATGGGTCAAGCGGGCGTGGCCGGGCACCGGGGGGCCCCGGAAGCTTCCGGGCTCCCCGCCGCCGCGACGCTGCTCCTCAGCCAGGGACTCCTCCACCTCCGAGTTGGCAGAGGTGCCGTCGCTGCAGTCGCTGACCGAGCCCCGCGCCAGGCGGCGCGCCACGGCCGAGAAGACGCCCGGCGAGCGCAGGTCTTCGGCGGGAGACAGCACGTCGGACGGTGTCGAGGGGGGAAAGCGGAAGTGGGAGCCGCCGGATGGCACGGGAGGGGCGCTCTGGGGCACAGCCCCGCCTGCGGAAACGAAGAGAAGTTAGGGAGATCCAACATATGGGAGGAGGAAGGAGGAAGTAGACAAAATTGACCCAGTCCTATCCTTACTTTCCTTCTGCCTTCTATCGCATCCCTCCAAAATTCTATTATTATTAAATTAAATTTGCATACCACCCTTCATCCATAAATCTCAAGACAGCTGACAAGATAAAATTCTAGCATGTACATATCCAGTATCGGCTAGCTGTGCAGTTTCAGGCCCAATTCATGGTGCTCACCATTCGTGTATACAGCCTTGATTGACTTATAGAATTGTAGTGTTGGAAAGGAACCTGATGATTTGCTAGTCCAACCCCCTGCAATGCAGCTGCCCCATACAGGGATCGAACCTGCAACCTTGGAGTCATCAGCACCCCGCTCTAACCAACTGAGCTATCTTAGTACAGTACCTGAAAGACGACCTCCCTCCCTCCCTACTGGGCTTTTAGATCAGCCAATTTTCCACCTCCCTCGGAAGTTTGGGTGATAGTGGTGGCCCAGGAGAGGGTCTTCTTGGTGGCAGCCCCCAAAAGTTGTGCAATTCATTCTGGTGCCTTCACTGCACATCCACTGATATTTCAGGCTTCAATTTCTATCAGCTGTAGCACAGCCCCAAAAACCTTTTCCGTAGGAACATCAGGGGCTGAACCTCATGTACAGAACGCCTGCATTCCTGTAACAGGTGACTTTGCCCCTGGCCCTGTGCACAGGGAAGAGCAGGCACGAGATTCTACATTATGCCTTTTGTGTAGCTACCACCATATAGGGGAGGGGTGCTTTGTTCGTACACCAAGGTAGCACCCCCAATCTTTGCAAAAAAAACCCACCCCATCACTTTCACCACTTCTGCATGTTGACATGCATTTGCCGGCTAAACATTCCTCTAATGAAAACCTTTGCTTGAGCCAGGTGCAAGGAACCTTTGGACCCTCCAGATGGTGCCAAACTACAACTCCCAACATTCTCCTTGGCCCATGGACTCCCGATTGTTGGGGCTGATGGGAGCTGTAGCTCAACAACATCTGGAAGGCCAAAGATTCCCTGCACCTGGTTTAAACTTTTGGTTTCTTTGCCCTCCCCCCAACTCACCTGCCATGCCCATGTCAATGAACGGATAGTTGACCAGCACCAACTTGTTGAAGTTGAACTTGTAGGTGAAACGTTTGCCCTTGGTCTTGTGTAGGATCCGCTTGTTGTAGTAGTACCTGAAGGAGGACAAGGCGCAGGAGGAGGAGAGGAAGGTCAGTGACTCACAAGCCCCGTTGAACACCCACTACAGAAACTCTTCAGACACTGAATACTTGGTGGGCAGTTCTGTGGTTCCTCCACACTCAGAGCAGATTTGAGTTTTTTGCGGCCTGGGCACCTATTCAGCACAACCTGTTAACAACAGACAAGTTTCTAGACCTCATGGTGGAACAAGAAATTTATCACTTGCTTGGATGCCTGGGTTACCCATCTCCTCCAGGTGATGGCTAGAGAACATTCATAAAGCTTCATTTTCACCATCCCACAGGAGGCGGAAACAGATTTAAGCCCCTTACTTGCTGCCAGCTCAAGAGTGAAACCTCTGTTCTATTTGTCTCCTTGGAGTTATCGGCTCCCACAAGCGTGCATATTATTTCCTGCTGTGAGGTTATGTTCCCCGTTGCACAGGTGGGTACTGGAGGTGGGGAGACAGTGATTTATCAACCTCCCCCACCACATACATGTGCATGCGCGCAAACACACACACACACAGAGAGAGAGAGAGAGAGAGAGAGAGCGCGCTAAGCTGCTACAATTCTCAAGAATGCTTTATCAGTCAATCTCTCTTCACAGGGATCTCTGGGAACTGTAGTACTGGGAGGGGAACAGAGGGTATCCTGGCCACTCTCAGCATCCTTAACAAACTACACCTCCCAGAATTCTTTGCAGGAAGTGGTATCATAGTTTTAAATATATGGCGTGAATGTCCCTTTCTGGCTACTAACTCTGTACAGACTCCAAAATGGCCATCATTCCGGCTTGCAACTCTGGTCCGATGAAACGCAAAGAGCTGCCTTGTACCATGTTGGACTTTGGCCATCTTGCCCAGCGCAACCTGCTCTGAACGGCAGCCGTTCTCCAGCAGAGGTCTTTCCTCATCACCTGCTTCTGAATCAGACTGAATCCAGCACCCTCTGCTCTGCAGCCATCCTTTTGCAAAAGTGATGGAACCTCCTGGCAGGACTATACGCAAATCACTGTTATCAGGCATGGGGAAGCTTTGGCCAGCCAGATGTCGCGGAACTACAATTCCCATCAGCCATAGCAAGCACAGTCAATGGCCAGGGAGTGATGAGCATTGGGGCTCAGCAAAATCTGGAGGGCCAAAGGTTCCCAACAGCTGCATTACAAAGCCAGAGGTCTTCCATTTAGATACACAGAACCAACGCAAACCTGAGACTGTGGATTTAGGGTGATGGGAAGACTTGTTCTCAGGAAGGAGCAAGAGAGGCCTACCTTACAGGGTCGTTGTGAGGCACCGTTCCAAAAGCAATACTATGGCCGGGCACAATGGGCTGGTGCGGTTTCACAAGCGTGCCACACATTTTGAGCCGAGCCTCTTTTGCAAAGGTGAGCGGAACAAAACAAAGCAGAGAACTGGGGGCTTGCGTGATTAGCACTAGGGTCATGCGTTTGTGTCCCAAGATGAATGAAAGATTCCTGCACTGCAGGGAGTTGGGCTAAATGACCCTCATGGTCCCTTTTCCAACCCTACAATTTTATGATTTCTTAAAAATTACGTATTATGCACCAACGAAAGCAAAAAATAAACTCAGAATGAAGGAGGCAACATTTGACGGCTTCCGCAATTCATTCTGCTCTGAAGATTCAGAAAATAGTGTATCTGTGTGTGTGGTCAGACAGCAAAGGATTAAGCAGGGAAGTCTGTTCACAAACGAAGTGGGAGGCAGACAAGGAACTCTGGAGTCTTCCCCTCTGTTCGCTCCTCCCTGTTTCTGGATATAACCAAGTGCTGCCAAGCTGTTTCTGGAGCCGTTAAGGACAAGCACCATGCAATGTTTTGAAAATAAAAAAGGCTGCAGTCTCAGGATACAGGTTTCTACTCTATATATTGGTTCCCAGGGTTTACACAGCCAGGTTCGAACAGCCCAGGAGGGCAGGGACAAGGGAAGCAGACTCTCGGGGTTTCCCTTTTCTGCCAGCTCCCGCCCCCCCCCGACTCACCTCAGGGCCCGGCTCAGCTTGTCGTAGTTCATCTGGGGCTTGCACTTCCGCACCCCCCAGAGGCGAGCCACCTCGTCCGGGTCCTTGATGACAAACTCGCCGTAGTCCCCCTGCCAGGCGATGACATCATGATATTCCTCTTTGCGCAGAAGCTCCAGGATGAAATGCCACAGCTGGATTTGGCGCGAGCCGGGGCTCGACTCTGGCTTGTAGGCCCAGTCTGGGAAGGCGAACCCTGGCAATGAGAAAAGTAGAGTTAGCCAGCTCGGGATGGAGAAGGCAGCAGCCAGGTTGCGGGGAGGGGGAGAGAGAGAAGCAAATAATTTTCATGTTAAAAAAAAGAAGGAGGAGGAGGGGGAGACTTGGAACAAAGGTCCTGTCATTTCCCATACTCTGATCCGCTTCCCGCATCCCATCGGTAAGTGCTGGCAGTAGGGCACAGTGGTTACAGCCAAGGGAGGGCTGGAAGTTCAGGACTCCGCCGGCCCATCTCCCCGCAGGATGAAACTACGAGGTGCATGGATTTTTCTCCCCTCCCTGCCATCCCCCCAGCACACACACAGGGAGGGGAAAAACAGGAAACCGGCGGCTGCCGCCGCCGCCTCTCCTCTTGTGCAGCCAGGAGGCTGGGAGGCCGGCCAAGCCGCCTTGCGACTTCCAGGCTGGGTCCCAACCAGATCCTCCTCCAAGCGTGGGTGGGAGGGAGGAACAGCCCAGGCTTGCCTCTTGATGTTAAGCCTCCCTCTACCTGGGAGGGAGGGAGGGGGTGCGAAGAAGCCAGAGCTGGCGGCCTCCATCAGCAAACTTACCGAGTCCTGCCCCGGGGACCCATACCTGTACAACAATCTCCACCCCGAGAGCAAAACACACACTGAGCAAAAGGGGGGGGGGGAAGGAGACCTAAGGGGTGCAACTCTGGGAAGAATCAGCCCCATTATGGCACAGAGAGAGAGGGAAGCATCAACATGTTTAAAAGGGGGGGAGGAGAAAGGGGGGAAGGAAGGCTCTTTGTGCCATGTTCTCACTGGGCAAGGGGGGGATGGTTAGTGGCTGAGGTCAGCAGCTCCCAGACAAGGGGCCCTTTTTTCCAGCCACGAGGCAGCAGCCTAGCCCAGCCCCAGAGCATTCCTGGGGAGGGGGGTGGCTGTGGGGCTGCTGCTGCAGCGGGGGGGGGGGGGGCCGGGAAAACACAAGAGGACGTCAGAAGCACACCCAAGGCCTAAGACTACCCCGTGCGTAGGAGGCCTGTGTTGGCAGCACCAAGGATCAAAACTTTTTTGAGGAGGGTGGGACGCAGGCGGGGGTCCCCAAACACCCCACAGACTTGTTTCTGACACATCCTGGGATGGGGGGGGGATAACACGCCTGTTCCCACCCACCTCACCAAATTTTAGCTGCTCTCTCATAAACAGGAAGTCGGAAGGGAAAACAATAGGGCTGTTTCCATGCTGGCCCTGCAGGGAATGGGGCCTCCCACTAGGCCCGAGGAACAGAAGGGGTGCATCCATCACCCACAAGTTAAAGCAATTTTTTTTGGGGGGGGGAGGTCTCCTTAAAGGATCCTGGGGGCCCTTCCAGTTTGGACACGCTCCGACCTCTGCGCGCCTCACAAACTCAGTGCCACACAAACCCACCGTTTGGTTTAAAGCGTATTTACATCCCATCTTTCCTTTCGTCAACAAGACTCACAGGGTTGTAGGTAAGCCCTCCCAACAGCCCTGTGAGGTAGCTCAGCCCAGCGAACAGACTGGGTGCAGGGATTTGAATCCAGGTTTCCCAGGTCCTGGGGTCCAGCAGCCTCAGCTCCAAGGGCGATGCCACTCTCTTGTGTACGGGTCAGTAGGGCATGCCTGGCACACCAAATCCATACAGAGAAAGCAGTTCAACTCCCTCACGCAGCAACGAGTATATGGGTGGTTGTAGGGAGACCACCACCCCACAACCTTCTTCGCTTTTCTCTCCGCCCCCCCCCTCACCAAACCCATCATGATCTCCTTGGCTTGAAATTGCTGAGCCTATGCCCAATGCCTTGGGGGAGGGGGGTGTCTGAGCTTTGCCGGGGGGGGGGAAGGAGGGGGGCACTGTGGTTTCCCATTTCCCAAACCCCAGGCGCTCTGAGCCCATCAATAATTCAGGGCCCTGTAATGGAGGCTGGGGACGCGGGCGGGCGCCGGCTCAAGGGCATCTCGGCGCACAGACCAAGCCATTAGGGTGGTGATGTCATCTGGAGAGGAGGGGGGCGGGAGGGCTAGAGGTGGGTCCCACAGACGCATGCCTTGGGGGGGGGGGGCGCTCCAAAGCTATTCCGTGTTGTGTGTGTGTCCCAACAGCCCCGGCACCCATGAATTCCCCAACAGGCAAAAGGGAAGGGCTAAAGTGCGGTCCAGGCAGGGATGGGGAAGCAGAGTTGCGCCTCCCCCGGACCACAATTTCAGCTGAGCATCTTCCTCGCTGCCTTGCTCCCTGGCACCACAAGGGCCTTTTACAAACAGAAACCACCCCGCTCCCCCCCCCCCCCACAAAGTACCAGTCTCCAAGCAACAGGCAACAGCAAGGGAGACAAGAGGCTAAAAATAAACGGGGAGGAAGGGAGAAAAGGCACAGCGTGAACTGGGCAGCACCCCAAGGAGAGGCAGCCACAGGCACCCCACAACTACGCCCTGGCGGTATGGGGAGGCACAATAACCCCCCGCCCTGATGCCCGGCGCAAAAGCAGCTTCAGATACAGCAGGTGCCCATGCAAGACTCTTGGTTCGAAAAGCAGCGGGGTCCCTTCTCCCCAATATCAGCCACATTTGGGGGGGGAGAGGAGAAAGTTTGGAGCAAGTTGCTCCCGCTCCTTCACAAAAGGAGTGCGTTGTGAAGCATCAAGCTCAGTAGCACCTGTTTGGGGCTGGTGGAAGGGGGGGGAGCCATTTCCAGGTACATCTTAGGTTCCCCTATATGCCCCGCTTGACTCCTGGTTTCGCGTCCCATCCAGGCCCCCCAATTGTTTTCCACCAGCAGTGGAGTGGGTGGACGACATCCCATCTCCCAGTTCCTGTGAGTTTGAAGAGGGTGGAAGGGGGGGGCGAGAGAAAAAGAGGGGGCCGGGGAAGAAACAAGCCAGCCCTGCTCCCCTTGCCTCCCCCGGCTGCAGCATGTGAGTCAGCCCCAACTCTCTCCCTCTTACACACACACAGTCCTGTTCTCACTAATTAGGAAGGCGGTGGAGGAAAAAGGGGGGGAGGAAGGCCGTGACATCAGCCGCCTGCAGAGAACTAAACACAGTGTGCTGAATGGGCTACTGTTCTCCGGCTGGTGCTACCAGATACACTCCCCCCGCCACCCCCACCAGCGGAGTCCTCCCGGGGTGTAACAGAGCCGGAGGAGCAACCCCCTCCCCTCCGTCGTGGAGTTTAAGGCGGGTGGGGGCCCTTCACATGATTATGACAATCAGGGCATTTCTCCCAGCAATGCAAAACTTCCCCCGAAATGTCTTTGCATAGGATTGCTTTTCCAGACATGGACACCACACATTAAAAGAAGCAGAAACCTCATGTACCAGGATAGCCTGGGTGTCGGCAGAAGGACTTATCTGTGGGAGAGGGCTATACCTCCACCCTTTTAAAAAAAGAAATAGAAAAATGGCAGTGTTCATGTTGTCAAGACAAAAAATGTGTATGTGTATAGTGGTACCCAATTGCAGGCTCATGCACCTGATGCTGCGAGATGCAGGCTGGCCCTCAGTGATGCTAGCGAACATTTGCACGGCCACTAAAATAAAGTCTGGCATAGGGAACATGTGGCCTTCCAAATGGACTGTAAACCTCCATCCAATGTAAGCTGGGATCCTAGACGCACCTACAGGGCCCCACTGATGTGCTAAATGATGCACAAAGAATGGTGCATGTGCCAATGATATTGCATGCTGGAACCAACTCACCTGTGTACATCAGACCTCAGGTGAGTGGTGGTGGCTGGGGGGAGAGGAAATTTGGCTTCCTGGTCCACCCCGCTCTTCTCTTCTCTGCAGGGCAATCCTGCAGTCGGGCTTGACCTCCAAGCTGGCACAATCATTTTGGATCAGGGCGGTTGGAGGGAAGGGGGTATAGAGTCCCGTCAGCTAAAGAGGAAAGGCCTCTTGCAAAACTTTGGTCTCCTCTTAACGAAGTGTGGGGTGCCTGCTATGGGGGCAAGCCAACTGGAAGATCCTATGGCAGGAGAAAGGGAGGAAGAGGAAGAGCCTGGCAGAGCTGACAGCCGGTTAAAAGGGCAAGCTCTTCCAACACCCCCCTCCCCTCCAGTTGCCTATCCTGCAGACCCTGTCCTGCTGTTTAGATTCTCACCAACTAACACCCTCCCAGGAACGCACCAGGCACATTCCTGTTCCTATGGCCGGGAGAGAGGGAAGAGGGGAGAAAGGAGGATGGTGCTTGTTGCATTGCCCCATTGCTCAAAGACACAATCCTCTTATCATTTTACACCCACCCAGAAGCTCCCTCTCAATGATCAGGCTGCAGAGATTTAATCTTCCAGGGAAAGGGTTTAGGTTGCTATCTCCTCTACTAAAATAAAGAAGTAGTTATGCAGACACACACACACACACACACACACACACACACTTCCTTCTTTATTCACAAAAGTCCCATTTGCACCCAAACCGAGGAACCCAGGATCACACCCACCCTATTATCCTTGCCTTCCAAGTCCTACCACAACACGCCACAGCCAAGAGGCTTTTCTCCCCCCCCCCCATTATTCCAGAGTGGAAGAGGCACAAGACCGTTTCAACAAGTCCTCTGCTGCCACCCACCCTGCGCCCATGGCTGTTGCCACCATGTCTCCACCAACTCAGCCACCTCCTTTGCCAACCCACGGGGAGGTTGGCGGCAAAAACCACCGTCTGTTGGCTGGCAGTGCCCCCAGCTCTGGCACAAACCAGAGGCAGGCCTGTGCCAAGGGACTGGCTGGCTGGCTGGGGTGGGGGAAGACGACGAGACACCAGCCGTCCCTACCACAGAGCTCGTGGCAGGTCCTTGCCACCCACCCAAGCCATACTAAGCAGGGAGAGAGAGCGTTTGTCATCACCGCCGAACCCTTTCCAGCCACCTCTCCCAGTCTTTTATGGGTCCCAGATGCCCCACTGGCAAGAGATCTCTCTCATCAAACGAAGCCCACCCCGTTTCCCCATCTCTGCAGGGCTCCAAGGCAGAGAGTGAGGGATACCAGCCATGCCACACAAACCCATCTGTGGCAGGAGGGCAGCCCGGAGCCACAGCTCTGTCCCAGAGAGGGCAGGCAGGGGGAGAACACCTTTGACCCATGCACATGCCCCAGATGGGGGAACTGAAGGCAATTAGGGGTATTTTCCCTGACACTGAGAGAGCAGCAAGGCGCACGAAAAACGTACACACAATGCACACAGTGTTCGCAACCCCAGGCTTGGCTTAAAGGCTCCTCTGGCCAAGCCAAGCCCTCCACGCCCCCCTTCCTATTTTCCACTGCTTCCTAAGAGAGAGAGAAAGTGTGTGTATGGGGGGGGGCTGAAACTGCTCCTGCTTGCCAGAGTTCTAGCATTTGTGTGTGTGTGTGTTTTATTTCAAAGCTCAGCTGAAAGGGGACTCCATCTTAAAAACACTTTACCTCCTTTTGTCTGGTTGACTAACTCAAGGCTAGCCACACAGAGACCCTCCTCCCTCCCCTCCCCTCCAAGGAACTATGGTCTGTTTTGAAGAAGGGGCTCTATGGTTATTTGCTCAGGGATTTCCTGGAAGACAGCAAAGAAGAAGAAAAAGTGGGAGGGGGGAGGGAGAAGAGAAGAAAACTGGAAATTAAGTTGATATCTCTTTAAATCACACCCCCCCCCCTTTTACACACTCCAAACCACACCACCCCTGTGACTAATCCCCGGAGCCAGAAGCTAAAAGGGCTGGAATTCAATCCCGGCTTCAGAAGGGGGGGGGACCCTTAATATTACATCACTCCCCAATACTAACAGCTTTCTTAAAGCCACATGCACAAGTCTACCATTCTCTGGCTTTCAGCAAGGCAAGCGGGGTGAGGGGGGAGGAGGGAGGGGGGCCCCGCTCAGCTAGTAGAAGCCACATCAGAGGCCGTCTGCATGAAGCATGCCAGCGAGGGGTGGCAATAAAGACGAAGCCAGACACCTCTTTCCTCCCCCCCTCCCGCGCCAAAAACAAAGTTGATGGGGTTTTTTTTTTAAAGCGTTTTTCAGACGGTGGAAAAACTAAGCGCCTTGCAATTGGGATCTGAATGCTTTCAGATCTGGGATCTGCGTTCGCTCTGTGTGTGAGAAAGATTCCAACATGGGGGTTAACGCTGCAAGATTTTATTTTCCTAGCGGCTTGGGCGAGGCCCAGGAATTATTATTAGGGTTTCTTTTTTTTCTTTTTTTAAACAGACGCCCAAAGAAAAGAACTTTCCCAGAGTTTAAGGGGAGGGGGGGAGAGAGAAGAGTTTTCAGTGGCCTCGATTACTGCAAAAGAGGAGGTGTGAGGGAAAGACAAGTCCGAACAGAAGCACTTCAAAAAAAAAAAAGACACACAAGATTCCAGGAGACAGACAATCGGGCTCGGAAGGGAGGGGGGAGGGTGGCGCCAGGGGGGGATGGGGTGGAAGCTCTGAACAAAACCAGAGAGTGAGAGAGAGGAAGGAGAGGGGGGGTGAGAGCGAAGAGAACAGAGGAAAGAATCTGACCCCTCCCCAGAGCCTCTGCCAAATAAAAATAAAAATAAAATTTAAAGGAACTGCTGTCTGTCCACACACACACAATGCAAAAAGATTTTTTTAAGCCCCTTTCAAACAAATTGTTTCTCCACCTCCTAATGCAACCTCAGCTTTATTTCGTATCCGCCTCCCGCCCCCCCCGCGCAAACTCCTTTCAAGGAGCAAAGTCCACCAACCACTTGCCCTCAAACGGAAACCGCTGCAAGGCCATTTTTAAGACGGCAACCCCCCCCCCCCGCAAGAGCCCAGCTTAGTAAAAGTGATCCGACAACACTCCCACACACATCTAAGTGTACCCCGCTTAAAGGTGGGCAAGCAATTCCTCCCCCCGCACTCGCCAATCCAGTGAATTCAACTCAGGCCGGATTTTGATTCTTGGGGGTTTTTTTGTTTTTATTTCAAGAAGCGGGGAGGGGAGGGCATTCTTCTACAGAGACACCCCCCTTCCTTATAAAGAGGTTAAAGTCCAGAATTTGAGGTTGGAGATTAACCTCCCCCCCCCCAACCCGCTACAAGAAAACTGAAGCTACATTTAAGGTAGCATTTGCCAGCTGGTGTAAAAGAGGGCCCCGCCCGCCATGTACCTGGCTTACTTATGTTTGAGGTGGTGGGGAGTTCGAGGGTGATAAAGGAGGCATGAGATACCCCCACCCCCAAACCAACTAATGCACAACTTGCAAGGCCACCCCCCACACCGCCGCGCTTCCACTGACCATCCCCGCCAGGCCACCTTAACACCACGTTGTTTGTCGGAAACAAAAGTTCCTTTTTCGAACGCAGAATTTCCAGTTCGGAACGCTTTGTAACTTTTTCTCCGTTTCACGGGCTCCCCTCGCTCCGTATTTACATACACGCACGCCGCGATGCGCCGTGAACCGTTTCCACTTGCCAACAATATCCTCCAGATTTGATTTTTATTTTTTTTTGCGGGGGAATATATAACACACACACCGTAACCAGGGAAAAGGAAATCACATGCCTCGTTTGTCTTTTTACCGTGTTATCACTTTTAATCGCTTCCAAGGTGACAATGGGACGGGAGGAGAGCGCCCCGGCCACTTCCCCAGTTCCGAAGTGCACCCCTTTCCCCAAAGCGAACGCAAACATCCCACCGCATTCGGCTATGGATGTCTAATCCGGTTTCGGCAACGTGGCGTTGAGTAACGTCTCTCCAACATCTCCCCACCCCACCCCACAGCCCCCCAAAGAAAACCCACCGGGATTCAGTCTATCCGAAACCGAAGCTAATCCGGTTTCAAAAACTCCCACAACCCCACGGCTGTGGGACGGTTGGGGGTGGGAAGTAGAGAGCGGAAAAAAGGGAGAGAAACACACATAGCCCGAGGCCTCCACAATTGCCACACACGCAGATTCCACCCCCACAAATCAGGGCCCACACAGCCTCAGCCACCCCCCCCCCATTCATTTCCCTGCCCCCTCAGTCTGCCAGCAGCACCCACTGCAGAACAAGCGGGCCGGAGGGGGCGGGAGAGAAACACCCAGGGCGCCCCCGACCCCCCACCTCCCCAAAGTCGCCCCCATAACTCCGCTCACGCCCCCCACCCCCTCCATTCCAGGACAGCAGCGGAAACTCCCGGCTGGAGCGCTCCGTCCCGAGGCCAAGCGGGCACCGCCACGCGCGAAACGGAGCCGGGCAGGGAAATGCAACAGGTCCCTGCGCCGCTCCTGCTCGCAAACTCCGGCGGAGCCCGGAGAAGAGAAGGGTGGGCTGCCTCCCGCTCCTCGCCCGCCTCCCTGCGAAAGGATCTCCCCCGAGAGGCTCGATGGACAGGAAACAAGAGTTAAGTAGCCTCCATTAGCTGCCAGAGATGGACTCCGGGAGGGGGAGGAGGAGGAGGGGGCGGGAAGGGAAAAAAAAAAACTTGCTTGCACACCATTCCCTTCCCTGCAGGAACCTCCATTGCAGCTTCGCTCCAGGCACGGGAGCCGGAGCCCGCTGCGGATCTTGCCTCGTCTCCCTCCCTCGCTCCCCGGTGGATCCCTGCCGCTCCTTGCAGGATTGTATAGAAACGTCTCCCCTTCCTCCTTCCCCTCCTCCGGAGCAGGATCCGTCCCTCTCGGTTCACCCAGGAATCTCTTGCGCACAGATAACGCACGATTACCCCTTTACCCCTCCGGGACCCCCAAAGTCCGAACTCTCCCGGGGTCGTTTTGCTGGGAAAACTTCCCCGCATCTTTCCAACTTTCCAAGCCCACGTGCCGCGGCCGACCCCCCCTCCCTAAGCGACACCCCCCTTTTACTCCTCCCCCACCGGGGGACCCCCATCTCCCCACCCAAGCTTGGGACCTTCCCGCGGTCCCCACCTGCGTCCGCCGGGGTCTTCATGGCTCCTCGCGCTGCAGCCGCCGGGTTGGACTCGGGCTCTGGCCCCCCTCGCTTTCCCCCCCTCCGCCTCATATGGAGCCGGGACGCCCACGCCCCCCTCTCGCACGTCACCGCCGCGTCGCCATGGACACGCTGAGCCCGCCCCTCCGCCCCAGCCTGGCTCGGCTCCGCCCACAGAGCTCGGGGAGAGAGGGGGAAGTTAAAGGGGCCGCGCGGAGTGGAGCCGCGGGCCGGAGTGGGATAGAAAGTTGTGCACTTGGGAAGTTAAGGGGGGAAGGCAAGTGGAAGATGGGTGGGTGGTGGGTGGGAGTCTGGGAGAGAGATGAGGCACGCATCTACAAGCCTCCCCTCACCCTTTCTGTAATAACAAATGTTAGTAGCAGGAGTGCCAGGAAGATTTTGTTAGGGTTGCCATATTTCAAAAAGTAAAATTCCTGACACCCGCAAAATTGTTGAGATGTTTTTTAGGAAACCACCAAAATTGCTGAGATTTTCTTTAAGAAACACACCAAAATTGTAAAGCTTTTTTTGGGAACAAACCCAAAGTGTTGAGCCTTTTGGGGAAAACCTACCCCGAAAATAGTGATTTCAAAGCTTTTTGAGCTGCTTTTCCCATTGCATTGCTATACATCCGGGTTTTCCCTGACATTTTGCCAATTCTGCAAAATTCTCCGATGCCATTTTCACACCTGAAAACCAAGACATGTAAGGAATTTCCCCGACCTATTGCAAGCCTAATTTTGTGCTGAGGAAAGCTAGGCTTCATTTTATTTTATTTATTTATATTTATTTACACAAGGTAGAACCTGTGTAAATTACTGCATGCGGAAAATTAGCCAGTGTGCACCTACTGGATTTGTTTTCCCCACTTTTTTATATTGTAGGTCTAATTGTTAACTTGAGGAATTACTGTCACAAGACTCAGCAGTGATGGCTACTGGTTAAAATGACTTTGAAAGGGGGTCAGGCAAATCCAGAGAAGAGAGGTCCATCAACAGCTATCAGCCATGATACCTAAACTGAACTTCCACTTTCAAAGGAAGTGTATCTTATCAATACTGGTTGCAGAGGAAGGTGATTGCATCCATGCCCTTTTTGTGGGCTAGTGTTGTAAAGAGCATGCTCAGCCCAATCCTATTCACTCAGAATTAAATCCTGTTGCATTTAATAATGATAATAATAAAAATAAAATCTGCACACTGCCCTTCATCCATAAATCTCAGGGCTTACACCCCTAGGGCTGGGCAATATTTGGTTTGCAACATCACAATATATCAATATCCCCAGCTCAACTTTGCGATATAATGATATATCAAAATGTCTGAAATAAAGATGGAGTTATGTAGAGGCATTGGCTGAATTCAAGGTTTTCCCCACTTTGTGATTTTTGCATAGCATGCACACACACATCACGATTCATTTTCTAATTCCAGGTGAAAAATTATAAAAACCAATATTACAATATAGATGTCAAACCAATTTTGAACGATATATCAATATATTGCCCGGCCCTACTTCCCACTAAGTATGTATAGGATTGTAGATTTAGTAGTCTGATACAACAGGGCTCATCATTTTAAGTGCCAAAAAAAAGGAAAGTAAAAGATGCTGTATAGGACACGGTACCTTCTTTATAAAATTCCATAACAGCCTTTCCTTAAAAGCTCCTTAAATATTAAAAACCTATATAAAAAACTAATACAATAGTAAACACAACTAAAACAAACTCTCTTTGACTATAATATCAGAGTTAACCATTCTTAGACACTGAATAAATAAAACATTTTTAGAAGTCTTAACCTAGAAACACACACTATGATTTTATTTTTACAGTACTGTCAATGTACAGAGCACTTTAGAGTGCTCAAGGAAACAGGTCACTGTCCCGAAAGGCAACAGGAAGATGGAAGGGAGAGTAAAGGAATAAAAGAAATGAAACTTCAGTACAGTGGTACCTCAGTTTTCAAAAGTAATCTGTTCCGGAAGACCGTTCGACTTCCAAAATATCCGAAAACCGAAGCATTTCGACTTCCGAGACGTTAAAAAACCGAGGTACCATTGTACTTATGTTTAATAAGCCATGAGGGCTCTGGCTGAAATCTTAAACCTGCTCACCAGGGAGAAAGCCCCACTAAATGCAATGGAATTTAAGTAGACATGGACACGTTAAACTAGGGAACTCACTCCCACTAGAAACAGCGATGACCACCAACTTGGGTAACTTTTAAGAGGACTGGACCAATTCATGGAGCATAAAGCCATAATGGCTACTAGCTATGATGGTGATGGTTGGTTGGGGGCGATAATGCTTCTGAATACCAGTTGCTGGAAACAGCAGGAGGGGAGAGTGTGTTTCCGAGCACAATTCCAAGTGCTGGTGCTGACTTTTAAAGTCCTAAACAGCCTTGGCCCTGTATGCCTGAAGGAGGGTCTCCACCCCCATCGTTCTGCCCGGACACTGAGGTCCAGCTCCGAGGGCCTTCTGGCGGTTCCCTCACTGCGAGAAGTGAGGTTACAGGGAACCAGGCAGAGGGCCTTCTCGGCAGTGGCACCCGCCCTGTGGAACGCCCTCCCATCAGATGTCAATGAAATAAACTTTTAGAAGACTTTTAGAAGACATCTGAAGGCAGCCCTGTTCAGGGAAGTTTTTAATGTTTAATGCTGTATTGTGTTTTTAATATTCTGTTGTGAGCCGCCCAGAGTGGCTGGGGAAACCCAGCCAGATGGGCAGGGTATAAATAATATAATATAATATAATTATTATTATTATTATTATTAGTGTGAGAACAGGATGTTGGACTAAAGGGGCCGTTGGCCGAATCCAGCAGGCTATCCTTACGTTCTTATGGATAATAAGACTGTACTCTAGGGAGCTAGCCAAGGGTTCGAAAAAGTTGCGCTGCAAGGAGGGAGTATGGAAGGGAAAGAACGGCAGTAGGTATCATATAGGTGTTCTGAAAAGGAGTTCCAAAGTCACGTAAGGAATCCGTCCAGTGGCTGAGGCTGGAGGACCAAAGTTCATAGGCAGGACTGCATTGAGACATATGTGTGGAGAAATTCGGAGAGAAGTGAAGCAGTTAGATAATTTTAGGCTCTGGACCTCAGAGTCTTTTGTGGGTTTTAAAGATAGTATTGTCTGTTGCTGTGCTTGCTTTTTACAGCTCATTCTGCCAGGTGAAGTCCTTTGGCAAAGTCCTACCCCGACAGCACCACAGGGGGAAAGGCCAAGACCATGAAAGGCCTATACAAAGGCTACACCTGGTCAAAATTATTCCATGATTTTGGCACTACCACTGAGAAGGCCCTGCTCTTTGGGGTTGTTTTTTTTTGGAGGGGGGAGGGAATAGGGAGTGGCACACTGGGTTTTACCCTACTTTGCCTAGTCATAGAGAAGGTCTGGAAAGAGCTGTGCAAGGCACTCAACTGGAAGTCCTGCTTCTGAGCTCCACCCGACTTCTGAGATTTTACAAAACCTAAAACATTTTGAAGGGTCGAACATTTTGTGGTGAAATCACACTATGCTCAGTACTCAGTGAGTACTGAGGAGCCCCATCCATGCAGGGGTGGGGGTGCAGGCTTTTATGGGGGGGCTCTAGAGTACTTTTTGAAAGGAAGGAAGGAAGGAAGGAAGGAAGGAAGGAAGGAAGGTGAGTAGATAGATAGATAGATAGATAGACAGACCTTGGCTGCCCTGGGCTCCCTTGAGAGGAAAGACAGGCTACAAATGTAATATATAATAAACTGGTAAGGGATAATAATAATAATAATTTATTTGTACCCCGCCCATCTAGCTGGGTTTCCCCAACCACTCTGGGTGGCTTCCAACAAAGACCAAAAATACACTAAAATGTCACACATTAAAAACTTCCCTGAACAGGGCTGCCTTCAGATGTCTTCTGAATGTCAGGTAGTTGTTTATCTCTTTGACATCTGATGGGAGGGCGTTCCACAGGGCGGGCGCCACTACCGAGAAGGCCCTCTGTCTGGTTCCCTGTAACCTCACTTCTTGCAATGAGGGAACCGCCAGGAAGCCCTCGGTGCTGGACCTCAGTGTCCGGGCAGAATGATGGGGGTGGAGACGCTCCTTCAGGTATACTCCATTCCCCCAGTTTTAATGACCTCACAGGGTGTGTTTTTTTTAAGGGCTTTTAAATGTGCTTTGTGGAGTTGGTTTTTCTTGTTTTATGATGCATTTTAATTAATATTAATATGAGGAACAACCATGCTGAGTTCCAGAGTGTGTTTTTTTATAAAAGAGCCTTTCAACATCCAAGAACCAGAGTTACGGAAGCCAGGGACCAAAACCTGGATAACTGGGACAACCGTGGACCAGCCATTGTCTCTCTCAGCCTAACCTACCTCACAGGGCTGTTGTGAGAATAAAATGGGGAGAGGGGGAACCATGAGCTCCCTTTGGGGGGGGGAATGTGGGTGATAAATGTAATTAGTAAATAAATAAATAAAATTAAGTCCACCACCTTTTGCCTTACAGAATCTGGGAACAGGGCACAGAATCCAGCTGCTTCCAAGACTTTGGAATAGGCCAAATTGCAGCCAGGGATGCAGGGAAGGCCTTGGAGGAAGATGTTTGCCACTTGTTACAAATAGCCTGGGGGTGTATTTAAAACAAGGGGGCGGGAAGGCCAGCCAGCAATTTGCACAGGATCAAAAACAAAGAGCAAGAGTGAATCAGGGGAAGAGGAAAGAACTGCAAAACATTCTGTGAATAGCCTGGAGGAACAGGGAAAGGATACAATGCAGATAAGAGGAGGAGGAGGGTGGGGGAGAAGGTCCAGACAATGGTCTGATGGCACATGATGCTATTAAGGTATGTTTGTTAAAGCTAAGGAGGTCTCCAACCTGGCCAGTTGCTTAGACGGGAGACTGAATAACCAGGGCTGTCTCAGTCAGAAAGGCAGTTTGTAACTTAGCATGCCAGGGGAGACGGCTGGAGCACTTAGGTCAGGCATGTCCAAAGTCCGTTCCAGTGGCCTAATCCGGCCTGCCGGTCGGTTTAATCCAGTCCCTGTGGCAGTTTATTTCCGGGATAAGGTAAAGGTAAAGGGACCCCTGAGACCATTAGGTCCAGTCGTGGCCGACTCTGGGGTTGCAGCGCTCATCTCGCTTTATTGGCCGAGGGAGCCGGCGTACAGCTTCCGGGTCACGTGGCCAGCATGACTAAGCCGCTTCTGGCGAACCAGAGCAGTGCACGGAAATGCTGTTTATCTTCCCACCAGAGCAGTACCTATTTACCTACTTGCACTTTGACGTGCTTTCAACTGCTAGGTTGGCAGGAGCAGGGACCGAGCAACGGGAGCTCACCCCCTCGCGGGGATTCGAACCGCCAACCTTCTGATCGGCAAGTCCTAGGCTAAGCTCAACAACTTCAATCCTTAAAAAAAAGCTCAACAACTTCAATCTTAAATAAAGGTCAATAACTTTGGTCGGCCCTCACGCATGTTCACCTCATCAAATCTGGCCCTCTTTGGAAAAAGTTTGGGCACTCCTGACTTAGGTCCTCATAGGCTTCTCATAGGCAACTGGTTGGCCACTGTGAGAACAGGATGGTGGATTAGATAGGTCACTGGCCTGATCCTGCAGTTCTCTCCTTACGTTCCTGTGCCAGGCTGGAGCCCCGCGCAAAGGAAGGTCGTGACCCCAAGTCGTATGTGTCATGTAAGTGTCTCCCACAGGGGAGCTGCAGAAAGAATGTGGTTGGTCAAGGGAGCCATGGACTCCCAAAGGCTGAGTGAAAACCACTGCTCTACAGGTTTCTGTGTGCAAAAAAAATTGGAAAGGAAGCAAACCAAGAGGTCCTTGCAAAGCACTTTTGATGCATACGCTTAGACAGGAAAGGTTAATCGAGAAAGAAAACGGCACCTACAATTTACAGTGCGTTTTCTCAACTTTTCTAAAAAAGTTGAGAAACAACTTTGGGGGGGGTGTCTCCTAAAAAAAGCTGTGCCTCAGGAGCCCAGGGGGTTTGCTACGCTGCTGACGAAGGAAAGTTTGGGGCCAACAGAAGTTTGAAACAGAAGCAAGGCCTTTGTGTAAACAGGTTGGAGCCTGGCCTCGTGAGACGTGAAGCTCCTTGTCCAGATTCGTGCCTAGCCAGGGGTATTCCTGGGCTCACAAACAGTCTGTCACCGTCTCATCTCCCCATCTGTAAAGCAGGAATATTAATGATCTGGCTGCTCGGTGCTACTGTGAGGTTGGGCGAGGTGATTGCCGCAAAGCACAGGGAGCATCAGCAGACACTCCAGGGGGAAGGAGTGCAGCTGAGAAGGTGCTAGCACAAAAGTGAAGGATCAGGGGTGGGAACGGCAACTCACTCGTTCCTGGGCCACGGGGCACAGAGGGAACAGGCAGCAGCAGATCTGAAGGAATGTGAGCGGGGAGGGATCCCTGTCCGGGCATGTTGGGGAGCTCAGAAGATTCCATCCTCCAAGCAGACAGGCAAGGGTGGGGAGAGGCAGAGACCGGGGCCTGGCTGCAGGGAGGGAAGAGCTGATCAGGAAGCCCCCCTGAGGACAACAGGCACAGACCACTTTCCGTTCATGTCCATGGAGAGTGCCATGAAGACTCCGCCTCTCTGCAAAAGCCAATTTTGCAGGACTTGCACAGTGCAGATCTGGGGATCTGGGCGGTGGGGGAATAGGCTTGCTAGCTCCCAACTTCCTTGCATGGCGCAAAGAAGCAACGGTATCAAGGAGGCCACTAGGACACAGCGCCAAGCTGCATTAGGACGCTGATATTTACATTGTACACAACCCATGTGTAAAGCACATTCAACGGATATTTAAAGTACGCAGCTTCTCCCAAAGAATCCCAACCCTCCAAGTGTCCCTATTTTCCAGAGACAGTCCCGGATTTACAGAAGCTGTCCCGATTTCTGATTTGATCCCGGAATGTCCTGCTTTTCCTTAGGACGTCCCCATTTTCACTGGAGAAATGTTGGAAGGTATGGAGTTATGTGAAACCTGAGCCAAGGACATAAGTAACTCCACAGCCTTTAGAAGACATCTGAAGGCAGCCCTGTATAGAGAAATTATTTTTTTAAACGTTTAACATTTTATTATGTTTCTATATATGTTGGAAGCTGCCCAGAGTGGATGGGCAACCCAGTCAGACAGGCAATATTGTTACAGAATAGGACAGCCCTGTTTTCATCGGAGAAATGTTGGAGGGTTGGAATCCTGGGGATTTATACGAAGCTGTGATTCCCATTACATTGTACTCATGTAAAAACACGCTGATTCCTGGACCGTCCACGGGCCGGATTTAGAAAGCGATTGGGATGGATCTGGGCCCTGGGCCTTTGTTTGCTTACCCATGGTTTAATGGAACCTATTTCCATGTAGGGGTCAATTTTGATTTTCTCCGTTTCCCATTTTTCCAGTCTTAAATGCATCTCTGGGTTATTTGTGGGGCATAGAAATTCATTCATTCCCCCCCCCACTATAGTCCACTCCCCCACAAAGTCTGAGGGACAGTGAACCGGCCCCCTGCTGAAAAAGTTTGCTGGCCCCCTGCATTATATTAACAAACTACAGTTCCCATCATTCTCCGGGGGGAAGCCATGTCCTTTAAATGTTTGGTGCGGACCTTCTTAACCTATATGCCCTTGGTTAAGAAGACACTTACGGCAGCATTCCTAGGAAGATAGGAACATACCGAGCCACAGCACCGGTCCATCTAGTTCAGTATGGACTACACTGATTGGCAGAGGCTCTCTGGGTTTAAGGTGGGTCTCTCTCAGCCTTGAGATGGCCAGGATTGAACCTGGAACCTTCTGCATGCAACGCATGTGGCCTGTCACTGAGTGACAGCCAAGTATCGCAAATATTTTGAACAACTGTTGTCGCCCGCCTTCAAATGGTCTGCAAATAAACCCCGGTTTCTCAAGTAAGGTGGGATACACAGTTTGAAAATAACAAAAATGGGGGGAGGGGGGGGACCAAGCACTACAGAAAACACAAGTTTCCCCAACGTGGATATTAAAGCTCTGTGTTTAAAACAGGATGTGCAATGCCGTTTTTGCTCCATGTAATCTAGGGGCACGAGGACTGCAGAGCATACAAAAATATGAGTGCATAAGAAAAGTCTTGCTGGGTCAGCCTTGCTTTTGGGGGAGGAGAATGTAGCTCAGGGGCAGAGGTCCCAGTTTCAATCCGCAGTATATCCAGTTTGGGCTGGGAGAGAATCTTATCCCAAATCCTGGACAGAGTTGCTGCTTGTCAGTGTAAGCAAGGCTGAGGAAGGTGGACCACTGGCCTGATCCAGTGTACAAGGCGGTTTCCCGTGTTCCTGACGAAGTGCCCATCTAGTCTATCTGGTATGCTGCTGCCTGATGCCGCTGAGAAAGCGTGGCCCAAGGACAAGGAGGAGAAGGGAAGCCCACAAACCTGAGCTATATACCGTATTTATCGCTCTATAAGAAGCACTCGACCATAAGACGCACCTAGTTTTAGAGGAGGAGAACAAGAAAAAAAATATTCTCTCCCTCTCTGCGCAGTGCCCCTTCAGCAAAGCGGGAGAAGAAATGGAAGGGGCTCCGTTTCTCCTGCCGCTTTGCTGAAGGGGCGCTGCGCAGCTATCCCTGAAGCTCTCCTGGCTTCAGGGATAGCTGCGCAGCCTGCATTCGCTCCATAAGACGCACACACATTTCCCCTTACTTTTTAGGAGGGGAAAAGTGCGTCTTATAGAGCGAAAAATACGGTATGTGGTAAAAGGGGCATTCACACTGGGGAGGAGTACTATGGGAAGATGTGCAGGCCCAAGCGAGAGAGGATACAGGCCAGGGAATGTGTTATGCCCCTGCTTCCAGCTCTAAGGAGGCAGGGGAATGGTAAGTCCCAAAGAGATGTTTAGCAAGGTTGCATTGATTCAGTACAAAGGCTGCAGAATTCAGCATTCTGAGGTTCTCAGGTTCCACTTAAAAAAGAAAGAAAGAAAACAGAGAGAGGGGTGGGGAAAGAGAGAGAAGAGCAAGCTCTTGGGCCTTCAAGGTGTCAAGAGTTAAAATTTCAATATTTATTTATTTTAATCCTGTTGCGTGCAACACCTGGAAAAACCTCTGAAGGCTTCTTGAAAGCTCATCGCCAAAGGGTCTTTAATTTAATGGCATCTTAACTTAAGGGTCCCCCCCCCCCGCCCGCCGCAGCCCCACCCTCCCAAGAGTAAATAGTAATGGCATGCAATATTGTAAAGAGGAGGGTTTTCCCTCGCAAGCAGCGAAGTCTCAGAGGGCCCCACAGGGTGTTGGCTTGCAGAGGGGTGGGGAGGAAGGCGCACTGGACAGAGAGAAAGGTTATGCAAAAAAGCTCTGAAAAGCTAGATGATAGGAATATCAGCAAGGAATATATTGAGGTCTTCTTCTATCCCTGAGAGTAGGAAGGCAAGGCAGCAGAAGTCTTTGAAAGTTTCAGGCTGCAGTCCTAAGCAGCCCAGGAAGCAAACCCCATTGGGCACAGTGGGGCTTGTTCCTAAGTAAACACATGCAGGATTGTGCTGTTATTAAGGCTATAAATTAGGAGCAAATGGTCGAGAACACAGACCTCCTTACACCATATACCATGAGGTCCATTTTTAACCTGAAACTGTTCTTAACCTGAAGCACCACTTTAGCTAATGGGGCCTCCTGCTGCCACCGCGCCACCACTGCGCAATTTCTGTTCTCATCCTGAAGCAAAGTTCTTAACCCGAGGTACTATTTCTGGGTTTGCGGAGTCTGTAACCTGAAGCGTCTGGAACCCGAGGTACCACTGTACGAACTTTCTCAAGATCTCGCTGTGTTGATGGGCAGGCCATGGACTTCTAAGGGCTTGCTTTTTTATATAAATATCAGGATGCGGTTTGAAAAAGTCATCTGCAAAACAAGACGTAAATGAGGCTGTGCTACAGGATTGGTCGTAAGGAACTGTTTTCCAGTGCATGTTGTTTGGGAACAGGACAGATCCATCCATTAGCAGACAGGTGAGTCCCTGGCCCTGTAAGCTGTCTGGATAGGAAAGCACTTTTTGGAACCATATTGTTATAGATTTGAGGGGATTCCCTCCCCCCCCAAAAATCCCTAGAAATTAATAAATGGTAGTTGTTGTTTAGTCGTTTAGTCATGTCTGACTCTTTGTGACCCCATGGACCAGAGCACGCCAGGCCCTCCTGCCTTCCACTGCCTCCCGCAGTTTGGTCAGACTCATGCTGGTAGCTTCGAGAACACAGTCCAACCATCTCGTCCTCTGTCGTCCCCTTCTCCTTGTGCCCTCCATCGTTCCCAGCATCAAGGTCTTTTCCAGGGAGTCGTCTCTTCTCATGAGGTGGCCAAAGCAGTATTTTGATTAGCTGGGATATGGATGAAAATACAAGCTGCAGGACTGTGCCAGAAAGGGAATCCCTGGACTGGCTTATGCAAAACAGCCTGGCTGGCCTAAGGAAGAGCAAATCTATTAAGATGACCTAATGGGCCATCCTAGAAGAATCCTTGGGCCTGCCTGGGAAGACAGATGTTGCAAAGGTGATGGTGTGTGTGTGTGAAGGGACAGGAAAAGAAAGTTTTTGAGCAAGGTATCTTAGGAAGAAGAACCAGGAAGAGAGACTGGGGTCCATTTGCATTTGCTGGGTCCTCAAGACTGACCAAGGGTGCAGCCAGCACACAAATAATTACCAGGCTGCATGTCCTGCTTCTTCCAAAATCCTGGAGCCAATACTGAGTACAGGACACACCCGGCATGTCTGTTGTAGAATGACAATACACCCCGCTGCAGGAGCAAGAGCTGGGCACAAATTCAACAAATACTGTATTTTTTGTTCTATAAGACTCACTTTTTCCCTCCTAAAAAGTAAGGGGAAATGTGTGTGCGTCTTATGGAGTGAATGCAGGCTGCACAGCTATCCCAGAAGCTAGAACAGCAAGAAGGATTGCTGCTTTCACTGTGCAGCGATCCCTCTTGTTGTTCTGGCTTCTGAGATTCAGAATATTTTTTTTCTTGTTTTCCTCCTCCAAAAACTAGGTGCGTCTTGTGGTCTGGTGCGTCTTATAGAGCGAAAAATACGGTAGATGAACATCTGATAGCAACACAGTGTCGACCTCTTTTCAGTCAGACACTGCATGTTGCCAGACAATGTATTGAAACTTGGATCCTGCCCACCAAACTAGAAAGGGGTGGGATTTCATTGCAATCTATTGGCTGCTCCCCCTGCTTGCTGGGAAAAATATCATGGCAAGGAAGAGACTAGCTTGGCCCCATCTGTTGACCAGAAAAGGAGCAATGCAGGGAGCTTGCTTCTTCTTTCCCTGCCAGAAGAAATAACACCTTACAACTAAGAACTAGAGCCTGGGTTTGCTTTTTTCCCTCCTCCCTCCCAAAAGCTTTTCCTTTTGTGTCATGTCTTTTGTAAGCCTGGTTTCAGGGACTGATGGTTTCAAGACACTCTGGGAAGCCCCCCCCCCCTTTTTTTGGTTGAAGAGCAGGGTGCAACACACACAAGTAAATAAATAAATACTGGTGCTGAAGTGGGAAACCCAGAATTGCTAAAGTCGCAGTTGCTAAAGAAGAAGAAGAAGAAGAAGAGTTGGGATTTGATATCCCGCTTTATCACTACCCAAAGGAGTCTCAAAGCGGCTAACATTCTCCTTTCCCTTCCTCCCCCACAACAAACACTCTGTGAGGTGAGTGAGGCTGAGAGACTTCAGAGAAGTGTGACTGGCCCAAGGTCACCCAGCAGCTGCATGTGGAGGAGTGGAGACACGAACCCAGTTCCCCAGATTACAAGTCTACCGCTCTTAACCACTACACCACACTGGCTAAAGGATTGGATGCTGCCGGATAGCTCAGTCGGTAGAGCAGGGGTCACCAACCTAAAACCCATGGGCCGGAAGCGGCCCGTGGAGGTCGTCTGACGGCCCCCGAACCACGCCGCCTGCTCGTGCGCTGCGCTAAACTGGTGCAGCGCGGCGCCTCGCTTCTGCAGCGCGAGAAATCACGTCTGCGCAGAAGCAGATGCCAAAAATCACGGGCGGGCACGATCCAGCCCACAGAGGGATCTCCGCGGCACTGATCCAGCCCAGGCAAGATAAACCTTGCCGACCCCTGTGGTAGAGCATGAGACTCTTAATCTCAGGGTTGTGGGTTCAAGCCCTACGTTGGGCAAGAGATTCTTGAATTGCAGGGGGCTGGACTACGGGACCCTGGTGGTCCCTTTCAACTCTACAATTCTATGATTCTAAAATGTTGGAACACCAGGAGAGCCCTGCCAGATCTGAGCCAAAGTTCATCTCCCCTCAGCAGCCAGCCCCCTGCCTCTGGGAAGCTTTACAAGCAAGTAATGAACGCCGCAGGCCCCTCTGCTGTTGCCTCCCTGCAAATTGAATTCCGAGGCATACGGATTCTGCCCCGGAGGTTCCATGCTGCCATCGTGATGGGTGGTGGCCAGTTACAAAGCGCTCTCTGCTGTGAGTTCCCCCTGATGCACTTTTAAAACCGTCCAAATGTGTGGCTATCATCACCACCACGTCTTGGGGCAGTGAATTCCAATACCACACGAGGTTTAGATTTGCCATGCCAGCTAGATCTGGGGACCCTGGGTAGCCTGTGGAAGGTGATTTTCTCCAGCAAGAAGATGAATAAAAGAGGGCAGATTTCAGAGAAAGATTGCTTGCCCACCGGTCCTTCAGCATACACCTGGTACGCAGGCTGAGACCCTACCTGCCCACGGACTGTCTCGCCAGAGTGGTGCAAGCTCTAGTTATCTTCCGCTTGGACCACTGCAATGTGCTCTACATGGGGCTACCTTTGAAGGTGACCCGGAAACTGCAATTACAGTGGTACCTCAGGTTACATACGCCTCAGGTTACAGACTCCGCTAACCCAGAAATAGTGCTTCAGGTTAAGAACTTTGCTTCAGGATGAGAACAGAAATCGTGCTCCGGCGGCGCAGCGGCAGCGGGAGGCCCCATTAGCTAAAGTGGTGCTTCAGGTTAAGAACGGACCTCCGGAACAAATTAAGTACTTAACCCAAGGTACCACTGTAATCCAAAAAGCGGCAGCTAGACTGGTGACTAGGAGCAGCCACATAACACCGGTCCTGAGAGATCTGCATTGGCTCCCAGTATGTTTCCAAGCACAATTCAAAGTGTTGGTGCTGACCTTCAAAGCCCTAAACAGCCTCTGCCCAGTATACCTGAAGGAGCGTCTCCACCCCCATCATTCAGCTCGGACACTGAAGTCCAGCGCCGAGGGCCTTCTGGCGGTTCCCTCATTGCAAGAAGTGAGGTTACAGGGAACCAGACAGGGCCTTCTCAGTAGTGGTGCCCGCTCTGTGGAACGCCCTCCCTTCAGATGTGAAGGAAATAAGCAGCTAGCTTATTTTTTAAAGCCATCTGAAGGCAGCCCTGTTTAGGGAAGTTTTTAATATTTAATGCTGTATTGTTTCCAACACTCGATTGGGAGCTGCCCAGAGGGGCTGGAGAAACTCAGCCAGATGGGCGGGGTAGAAATAATAAATTATTATTATAATAAATTATTATATTACACAATTGTGGGGGGACCCTGTGCCTATATTAAAAGGTCTAGGATGCTCTCAAGAGTTTACCTAGCATAAGATGCCTTAGAAAAAGCCCCCAGAATCCTTTGCAACATGCAGGGCTTCTACAGCAGGCGTTCACAGGGCACAGGGCAGAATGTGAACTCGGAAAGGGTTCCTCAAGAGCGGAAAGTTTTAAAAGCCGCCGGTTTAACACATAGAGTTTAATCCAAAAATTCAGGGCAATCTTATTTGACAACAGCCCTCTCTCATTCTCTGAAAGCTGTTATCCACTACTTGGATAATCTGTTTCAAAGCCATCTTTTAAACCTCAGCATTGTCTCAACAGAAAAGCAGGGCTTGGGTGAATGCTCTGTCTGCTCACGCAGGTGCCCCAAGAGGGGAGGGTTTTTCCCCCCAGGTTCGTGCTCCTTCCTAAAAATTGAGAATCGGCTCCAAAAAAACTGGGGAGCAACTTTTTTCCAGCTCTGCTGCTGATCTAGCTAACGGTTTCAGCATCTTTCTGTCAAGTCTTTATTATTTGTCGTCGGGTAACATTATATTGCTGTTGTTGCAACACACCCCAAGGAGAATTGACAAGCCATTGCTTTTGTGATCTACTGGTGAGCTTCCAAAGGCATCAATACCTGATCGTTACTGGAAAGAGGAGGGGCTAGATGGGGCTTCCTCAGATTCAGCAAGTCGGTTCTTGCGTCCATTTGTGCCCAAAGCATGCACGGGAGAGACCTGTATCATCTATGCACGATAAAGTGGAATATATAACAAGTGATATCTGCAATAAAATGTTGCAGCAGCCCAAGTGTGGGGCACTTCTGGCCCTCAAGATGCAGCTGAACCACAACTCCCATCTGCCTCAGCAAGCATAGCCAATGACCAAGGATGATGGGAGTTTAGCAACATCAGGAGAGGGGGCAGCAAAGGTTCCCCTACTCCTCCATTATACCCTAACACCTAATATTGCTCCTGTTCAGGGTTCCAGTCAACCATGTCCTATGTCAAGAAGCTGTCAAGGGCTCAAGCAGTTCACTCCCCCTGCCCGATTTTTTGTTTTCCCTTTCCGACTGACACTCAACATTTTGTGATTCCCTTGCTTCTACATAAATTGGGATTTACCTAAGCACGCCCTCTCGATTTCCAGCAGCCCCTTTTGGGCTCTAATTCTGTCAGGATCCTACCTCCGAGGGCACAATTCACAGGGAATGATGCTGAATTGCATGCCCTGTCTCCCCAGGTCTCTGAGCATGCGTGCCTGCTTCTGTTTAAACAAGGGGTTTGGATGATGGGTTTAAGATTGCAATCTAACAGGTTCCTAACCTGCCTGACTGTTTCAGGTTGTAGCCTCCAGTGTTTGCTTTAGCGGCCATTTTAAGCCATGACAACTGTTTAAAAAAATTAAAAAATCTGAATACATCTAAATGCATTTATGGGTGCACATGGTCAATAGTTTGAGAGTGGATAACCCAAAACAGCATTAGGATGTTTGTGGAGAAAGCAAAGAAAAGCTGGCCTTCTTGCTAGCCTACGGGATAGAATTGCTGCTGCTACATTTATCCTAGAGCAAATTTGTTTTATCCCAGTGTATGTCATCCGACTACATTTTATGCTGCAAGGAGCCTTTGAAGTTATCTTCTGGCAGATTCCCACCCTCAGACAATCAAACAAGCTATGGTTTCTTTCCCCAAAGCTCGGTTTGTTTTCCAGCTGCACTCGCCTGAAGACTTTGCAGTTTGGTGACCATCCAGGATGGGGTCAATAAAAAAAAATCAAAAATCAAGAAAGGGTGCCGAGTTCACACATGACACCAGGAAACCAAGTTTCATAAGCCGAATACAAGCCATAAATTCAGATCATTCTTTGTTAATGGTAAACAAACCATAGTTAAGTTGCTGGGCATGGTTCACATGTAACAATAAGGGTCTTAGCCAATTAAGTTCTACTTAGAGTAGAACAACTGAAATCAACGAACCTAAGATAGTTATGTCCTCTAAGGGCTATCAAGATAATAGTTTACAGTTAGACTTGTTCTTACAGGCAATGTTCAACTCTAGGCATCACTAGTTAAAGTAGAGGTGGAGAACCTGTGGCCACCAGGTGCTGCTGGACTCCACCTCCCATAATTCCTGGCTGCTGGACTCCAACTCCCATAATTCCAACAACATCTGGAGGGCCATAGGTTCCCCATGCTCAAATTAAAGGATCTCAACATTAAAACCAGTGTCTTGTTTCTAACAGGAACTAGCTGGAAGCTTCCAAGAGGAGTGCAAAGGCAACATCCCTTCCAAGCTGATTGCCCTCAGCGTCTTGTATTCACACAGGCATATTGCCCACTGGTTCACAGAATCATAGAGTTGCAAGGGACCTCCAAAGGTCATCTAGTCCAACCCCCTGCAATGTAGGAGTTTTCATCTAGCTCTCCTGGCTAATAGGTGCTGGAAGACTGGTTATCCTCCGCAAATATGCCTGCTTGCTTCTTCTTTTAAGCCCTCTTAGCTAGCGGCCATAAATATATCCAGTGGCGGTGAATTCCGCAAGTTAATTGCACGTTGTATATGAAATACTTCTCTCTTTCGGCTCTCCGGAGCCTTGAGCTATTAATCTGCCGGGGAGGTGCCGCTGCGAGATTACGACCGGCTCCAAGGCTGCCCCGTGAACTGCCGTAGCAAAAGTGGGATTAGAACTCTGCTCTCCCAGATCAAAATATAATCCTCTCCTTGGTGCACTAAGCTTGTGTATATGTTGCGTGTGCGCAGACACCAATGCCTCACACAACTGAAATCTCCCGTGGGGACGCCCCTCTCTTCTCCAGGTCTCTGGGCTGCCTGCCGTTGCCCAAGGGGGTAATTATAAAGGTGTTTGTTTTTGATTGCCTCATTTAGACACAAGTGGCTTTTGCTCAGCGCAGAACCCGCCTTGCGTGTGCATGTGTGTGTGTCTATATATCTATATCTGCCTGTCTGATGCAACAGCTGAACACTCAGAGAGGGAAAGATGGGGCCCACTCCCCTCTTATCTAGGGGGAGATGCGCCTCTGTCATTCGTCGCTAAGGGGGAAGACTCCAAAATTGGCTGGGGGAACACACGCTTTTGACCCATGTGAATTTTCCAAAGGGGGTGCCTTCCATCTGTATCCCCCCCGCAACCCCTACATCTTAGGGCTATGAGAAAGTGAGGCCTGGAAAATCCCTAGAAATGGACTCTTCTGAGACAGCCACGACTAAAATTAGAAGTGCCGTAACTATGGGTGGAAGCGAGGGAGGACTTTGTGGCCAGGGGAACAGGCCCAAATTATCCCTAACTTTATTAATTATGGTGTTAGAAACACCTGAGGTGGCCTGGAACACACAGACACACACACACTCAGTGTATATCTCATACATTTGAAGAAAAGAGAAAAGAATCCTGGGAACTGTAGTTTCTGAGACAGCTTGGAAATGTTACTGTGTGAGGGGAAAACTACAGTTCCCATGATTCTATGGGGGTGAGAGGAAGTGGCGCCTAGTAGGCGGGCATGAGAATGAGAGGGAGAAAGAAGGGTTGTGGAGCTTACCGTACCTTGCCTCCAGTCCGCAGCGCCATCTTGTTTGCTCGCTGGAGATCGACATCTGCAATACATTCGACTTTGGCAAGAGGATGGCTGTGCAAACAGAGCAGAGGGTTAGGATACCAGCACAAAAAGTGTGTGTGTGTGTGTGTTTTGGTGTGGGGGTAGAATCTCTGCCAAAAGAATCTGGCTTAAAGATGTCGAGGACACCTCACTGCTCCAAGCCCAAACGAAAATGAACGGACCAAAGACTGGCTGTGTACATGCCATGCATTTAAAGCACATTACGGACCATCCTGGAAACTGTAGTTTACTCCCAACATACCTACCATTCTCAGCACATTTATCAAACTACAGTTCCCAGGATTCTTTGGGCTGGGGTTGCTTTGAATATATGGCTTATACCACGGCCAGCCCAAGACATCTGGGCACCTGAGGGGAACCACAAAACGGCGTTTGCTCACCCCTGCCAGGGAAGAAGGGGTGAGTAAAGATCAACCTCAGGAACAAGGAAGGAAGAAGTATCTACATCAGGATCAGTGATTGCAGCTAGTAGCCTTTAACAGCCTTGGTAGTTGCTGCTATGTTACAGCTCCCAAAATCCCCTGGGCAATGCAGGCGGAAGCTGATGTTAGTTGTAGTTTGAAAATTTGCAGGGCAACAGGTTTTTGTTTTTATTTTATTATGAGATCTGCCCTTCCTCCTGGGAGCTCAGAGTAGTGTACCTGGGTCCGCACACTCCCCGTTTTATCCTGACAACAACCCTGCGAGGTTGATTAGGTTGGGAGATTGCAATGGGCCCAAGGTCGCCCAGCGAGCTTCATTGGAGAGTGGGGATTTGAACCCAGCCCTCGCCTACAGTAACATCAAATTAATGTTAACTTTTCCTGCATTAACCACAACAGAAAACACCAGAATGTCACATCGGTACAGGGGAAAGAGAGGACTCAGAAGGTGGAGTTTTGGGGTCCCAAAAGGTTGTGCGAGTTTGCAGCCCGGTGCCACTTCTAAACACTTGATGAGGGTTTAATGTGTGAGCCCAGAAGTTCCAAGTTAAAATTTCATGTCTACCAGAAACTCAGTAGGTGGTCTTATGCATATTCCCCGCCTCCCACCCATATTATTATACGGACAATAATGGTTTACAGAGGGGTAGCCATAGCCTACATTACAAGGCTGTTGTAATGATTGCTGAGCCTGTGCATTCACAGCACTTTGAAAGGCTCTGTGTAGGAATGCATAATTCTTAAACAGGAATGAAATGTAAAGCAGCTGAGGGATATTACCAGCAGAAAGGAAGCTGTCTCGATCTATGTCGGAAGCATCGGAGAAGACAGCCTGCGTATGGCACGATATTGCTCAGAGGCGCTTCTTCCAGTAAAACTCCGCAAGTCCCCCTCCTTTGTTAGAAAATAAACTTCCAAGTAGGTGCATACAGAGCAAACATTGCCACACTAATGCGTCCACAGTGGGTGGGATGAACTTAATAATGAAAAGTTTTGGGGAGCCCAAAGTAACCCATTAAGAGAGAAGGGTGTCTGTTGTGTTTCTGGATGAGTCACCAGTCAGGTAATCCTGCCCCATATCTGGAAAGGACAGGGGTGAGTGGGGAGCCTCCAGATGTTTCTGGACTTCCGCCAGCTGCGGCCAGCATTGCCAATGGTTAGGGATGATGGGAGGGCCACAGGTTCCCCAAACCATGACACAGGCAAAGATTTCCTGGCTTCAGAAGGAGACGTACTCTGCAAGTCACGCAGATTTATTTACTTATCACATTTTTATCCCGCCTTTCCTCCAAGGAGCTCAGGTGGGTCACGTGGTTCTCTTTTTACAACAACCCTGTGAAGTAGGTTAGGCCGAGAAACTGTGATTGGCTCAAGGTTGCTCAGCGAGCTTCACCCAGGATTCGAACTCTGGTCTCCCAGGTCCTAGTCCAACACTAACCACTAAACCACATGGCTTGGGTGGTGGTGTTGAGCTCTTTGGAGGGCAAGTTGCTTTTTATTCCTACGTGCTCTTAAAAGGTAAAGGGACCCCTGACTAGTCCAGTCACGGCTGACTCCGGGGTTGCGGCGCTCACCTCGCGTTATTGGCCAAGGGAGCCGGCGTACAGCTTCCGGGTCATGTGGCCAGCATGATTAAGCCGCTTCTGGCAAACCAGAGCAGCGCACGGAAACGCCGTTTACCTTCCTGCCGGAGCGGTACCTATTTATCTACTTGCACTTTGACATGCTTTCGAACTGCTAGGTTGGCAGGAGCAGGGACCGAGCAACGGGAGCTCACCCTGTCGCGGGGATCCGAACCACCGACCTTCTGATCGGCAAGTCCTAGGCTCTGTGGTTTAACCCACAGCGCCACCCGCGTCCCTTAATTCAGGGTCCAAGAGTAAAGTGGCCTTGCAGTTTTAAATCAGACCTTCTCAGTGTTGGCTCCCCAACAGTGTGTGACGCCCTCCCTATAGAGGTGTGTTGGGCACCATCCTTGCCAAGCTTTAAGTGGTCAATGAGGGCTAGCCTCTTATTACTGAATGTTATTGGCCTATTGTTCAGCCGATATGCACTGCATGTCATTTTGGGGTGGGGTCATTTTCGATCCAATCTATTGCATTATCTTTCCTGGACGTAACTGGCATTTAGGGTGAAGGGCAGTTAACAAACAGAACCAAATAATGAAGACCACGAAGGAAAAGACGTGCTGGCTACCAGTACTTTCCAGCGGGTGTGGAACACAAATGCAAAAACCAGTAGAAGAACAGTTCCCACTAGGGCCCGGAATACAAGGGGTTAACCCGAGGAGCTTGAGGCCTGACACCTGTTTAAAGAGACATGTGGGAATTTTCCGGTCTTGACCCCTGCCGCTGACCCCTGGCGACCAGGCTACTGGGGAACCAGGCCAAAATATGGGAACAATCTCCCCAGGCATGAAAACTGACAGCTTGGGGGAATGGAATGACAGGGGGTGGGGGTGGGGAGAGGCTATACAAGGACCCAAGGCAGGGGGGGGGCTGGAGATGGGGCGAGGGGGGCTGGCTGAATAGCCCTTGCATCCACCTGCTCCCTGCTCCCCACCGCACAAATCCAAACCTCCCAATTCCTCTTTTTTTTTACTTTCTTTTTCAGTCTTCCATTTCACCTCCCAGAAAAGAGCCCTTTGCAGATGCAATTTCTAACCCCCCCCCGCCACCCTTTGCCCTGCGCTGTCCTTGGGACTCCCTCTGGGTGAAGGGAGGGCGCGAGGCAAGGAGGGTGGGGAGGGTCACAAGCCCAGGGAGCAGGCAGCAGCCGAGAGGTCTGGTGCCACATTTTCTGGGGCCCGGCTATAAATAGCCGGCGTTATAAATAATGCAGCATTATTCCCTCTATAATTATCGGGTGGGAAGTTTGTGGCCGGGCTGGCGTATTACACGGCTGTGCAGGCCGGCACCCTCCTGCCTCCCTTACGCCAGTCTTCCTAATTTACACTCCTTCCTCGCGGGGCCCGTCCCTCCTGCCAGACGGACAAATCGAGCAACCGGATCCCTCCATTACTCTGGAGCAAAAGGCTCCACGGCGCAGACCGCATCCTTTTCATTTAAATAACGGAGTGGGACCCTCGCCCCACTGTTGGGAGGGGAAAGGGAGCCAGCCTCCCCACTTCACCCCACCCCACCCAAAAGCTTTTGCAACTGTAGCCCCTGCTAGGCTGAGGTTAATTTCGAAGGCAGAAATTTTGACCCGCTCGGCTTTAAGCCTGTCCAGAAGACGTGCCCCACTGACCCACAGAGCCTGTTCCCTAATCCGACATGTGTGTGGGTTGCCCGGGGTTACTCGGTAGTGAGGGGAAGGCAGGTGGGATATGCTCAGAAACACACTTGTCATGTTACAGGGTAGATTCTGGATATTTAGCATGCTCTGGGGCTCAGTCCCGGCATAAATTAAGACCCACTTCACTGTGACATCATCATCATCATCACTGTATAGCACCATCAGTGCATGGCAGTTTATAGCATGCAATAGGACAGGTCTCTGTCCCGAAGAGCTTACAATCAACCTCGTGATACTAGAGTTCCCTAGGTATATCATTTAAAATAGATCTACTTTGTTAGGGTTTTAGTCCTGTTTTAACTGTATTTGCTGTTTTTAATCTTGTGTGTTAAATCACCCTGAGGCAGTTGTTTGGAAGGCAATTAACAAATCACTGATAATGCAGTAGTAATTAATATCCAGCCCAATTGTTTAGCTCCCTTATTTAGAGGCAAACTGTCAAATCTGCTTTCCTCTACACATGAAAACACCTTCAGGCATCTCAGAAATATAAGCAGTACAAACGCTAACAAATTTTGACGACATCCAGAGTCTTAGCAAATCGGGGGTGTCCAAGCCAGCACGGGTGGGGAAACTGAGGCAGACACAGTGAACGGGGATGATGAATGCATGCCTGTTTGTTCCTAACAACACCCTCTTGCCTTAAGGGAGATGGGAATAAGGGGTGCCTCTTTCTGCTGTGGGAGAATTGCATTCTGACCTCCCTATGCAGGTCTACTCAGAAGTAAGTCACAGAGGTCAAAGGAAGAGTTTGTTTCAAATATGTACTCTGTTCACACAGCTCACTGGGTGGCCTTCAGTTACTCAACCTTGCATACCTCACACAGTTTTATCAGACGCATAGGATTATATATATATTGTAACTCACGGAGTCCCTCTAATATGGTACAGTGAGAAATAAATCTAGATGAATTCAAAATAAACAAGCCTTCTTTTCTGGCTCGGCTAAAATACGGAACCCAGGAATTCAGGCTTTCATTAAAAGGCCCTGTCAGAAGTGATGCTTAAATGCCCCTCTTTCCTAAAACCTTCATCTTCCACAAGTCTACTGCAGATGAGGTTTCGGTCAGGTTTTGTTTTTTTACACTGAAACCGGTTCCCTACGCATGCTGTTAAAGCAATATTCGCAAGGACCGCAATATTCGCAAGGACCAGCAATCCGGCTTTAAAATGGCTCCCTTGTGATTCCAACATCCACACATGGACCAAAGTTTTTGATGCAGCTGAACTGTATCCCACGGGGAAGGAGGGAGGGAGGGAGAAGAACTTTGAGAACTGTAGCCCCTGATAGGCAAAAGTTAATATTTAAAAGGCAAAAATTTCCACGCTGGGGCCTTGAGCCTTTCGAGAAGACCTGGTCTTTCCACTACAGTTTAAAGCGCACACCCCAATTTGTAATATCAACTTCTATCAGTTATAAGTTTCTGGGGTTTTTTAAAGTCACTCTTCTGCTTTCACAATGATGCAACACATTTAAGGATTCAGTGGTTGTTTTCAAAGACCTTCTGAGCACCATTTAGAATCATAGCATTTGATTTATAAATGTCCTTAGGTTTAAGCCTTTTTTCACGGGGGGCGGGTTAAAAACAAAGACTCTCCCCTACCCAGACACACACACACTTCTTCTACCTGTATTCAAGACTGTTCTACATCTTCCTTGCCCCCCCCAATCATAATAATTGGGGAGTTCGTGATCACCCCATTTGGTGTTGGGTCCAAGAATCAGACGCATGCAACGCCTGGACCTATTATGCAAAATGATTTGCCCCACATGCAACACTCCCTCCCCCCAAAGAAAATAAGAAGACAGCTGAGGGTGGGAAGGAGGAGAGAGAGAAAAAGAGACTTACAGAGCAAAGAGGAAGAGAGGGCTTTCTTTGTGTGGGGCTGCCTCATAGACGGGCTAAGTCGTCCCCTCCCTTTTTGCCCCCGGCCAGCTGGGAAAGTCAACTCCGGGGAGCCGGCCGGAGGGAAAGAGCGAGCGAAGCGGGTATATTTAGCCGCAGGGCGGGGTCGGCCGCCTGAGGAAGGAGGGAAGGAGGAAAAGAAGGAGTAAAGCGGGATTAAACTCTAGAAGGGGACGCCCGGCGCCTTGTGACTCCTCCATCGCCGAAATAGCAGCGCGAGGCGAGAGGAAAAGTTTGTTCCTGCGGCGGAATTAGCAGCAGGGCACTAAAAACAGCTGCAGCGAAAGCAGCGCCGCCGCCGCCGCCTCCCTGGCCCGGGGCGCCTGCCAGCTGGCAGCCAGCTCCGGCCCTGCCCTGCCCGGCCTGCCTGCCTGCCCGCTCGGAGCGAGAAGCGCGGCAGACACAAGCACGGGCCCGCACGGCCCTTCGCACGCACGGCGAGCCTCCCTTTGTTGCCGCTTCCTCAGCGCCGCCGCCGCCCGTAAGAGGCGTGGGTTCCGCCTCGCTGGCGCCCTCGGCCGCGCAGCGCCTCCTGCCGGCGGCGGCGGCCCGGCCTGCAGGGGGCGCTAAGGACGAAGCGCCCGGACACGAGGCGGCGACAAGGCAGCTCCCGCCGCGTCTCTGTGTGAGTCTCTGCTCTGGCTTTCCTCCTCCTCCCCATCAGCTTTTTTTCTGTTTCTCACCAGGCATCAGGATTTCGATTTAGATTTGATGAGGCCCTAAGCTACTGAAGGTAATGGGGCCCTTTATTCGGCCAGCTGTCATTTCTCAACAACAAATCGTCGCTGGTTTTTTGTGTTGAATATATGCTATATGGTAATTTATGGACCTAATAGGTATCTAAAGCCACTTGCACATAACAAAATATGTATTTTAGCAAAGTAATTGTTGAAAAGTCCATGCAGAATGCAAAGTCGACGCAGAATGTAGGGCCCCTATATATAGAAATGAGCAAACCAGTGATATTTTAGGGAGCAGGCTAGCAAGCCTACACAACACAAAGCACTGTTGCTGTATGTAGGTTTTATTTTATTTGTTTTTTATCTTATATTTTGGAAATGTACATCCACTTTTTTCCCTTTAATTTTTTGGGGGGCCCCCAAGTGAGTGGGGCCCTAAGCTATAGCTTGTTTAGCTTATACGTAAATCCAGCACTGATCAGGAGTGCCACCTAAATAAAATATTTGGGGGGAGGGGAAGCGGGCAAGCTCAGACTTTCCAAATGTCCCTCTTTTCCAGGGACAGTCCCAGATTTACAGGCATTTCTGATTTGATCCCGGAATGTGCCGCTTTTCCTTAGGATGCCCTGATTTTCATCGGAGGAATGTTGGAGGGGATGCAAGCTCCGCCCTGCATAACTGGTCACGGCGCAAGCACACCATCTGAATGGCAATGCCCATCAACTTGGGGGGAGGGGCTTCAAATATTTTATTAGGGGGTCCGAAGGGTCCTCAGCCCCAAGGAATTTGCTCCTATGACACACATATATACACACACCAGCTTCCATAGCACTCAGTGCGATTCAGATATATCTTCAACCTATTAAACAGTATAGAAATCAAATAATCAGTCAGTCGATTCATTCACTCCTGATACAAAGAGCCAGTGGAATTGTTGGGCTTCAGAAAGAGGCTGCCCACTGGCTCTCTTGTGCCCAGATCAGTGAAATACAGGTGGGCAGGGGGACCCTGGAATTGTAGAGTTGGAGCGGATTCCAAGGATTAGCTAGTCGAATCTCCTGCAGTGCAGGGATCTCAACACTCGGTCCCCCATCCAGTTTGGAACCATAACCAGATCCTGTTTAGCTTTGCAAATGTGCTAGCCGTTTTATTGCTGAAGGAGTTTCCTCTAAGGATATATTACTCTCAAAACAAAAGTTTTATGGTTAGACATAGAAGTGTATCTAACTGTAATGCAATTAAAAAGAAAACAGAAAACCTGTAGTTATCAGCAGCCTGGGTGCCAGGAAACATCAATTTGTCTTTCCTCCGCTGGGAGAAGGCCAAACTGCAGAGATTAGCAGTAGTTACGTTAAAGGTGGCCTGCGTATGTCAGAGGCTCTTCACGTATTTCTTTATGTTCCAAAACTAAAGGGAGCTTTTGTTGTTTCTGTTTCTTTTCTTTCTTAGAAAAGAGAGGTGCCCGTCGTTTTAGAGGCCACCTGTTTCCAATTTTGAAACCTAAGGGCTTCAAAGTGCGTTTAAGGGCCTCTGTGTCTGTCCACTAGCTGAAGGGTTTTGTAGGGTCAGAGGCCACCTGAACCTATTTTCTGTGTCAAATCTCAGCTCTGGAACCTGTCAGTGTGCAAAGTAGCCTTCACTCATGCAACTTGGGACAATTTGTGTATGTCTGTGATCAGATGCGGATGAGCTTTTAAGCACCACAGAACTATTTATCATGGCAAAATGGAAACCCAAGAATACAGAGCGCAGCTTCTTGGATAATTACAGCGCCCTACTTGCCAACATTTAAACTGGGGGAGAAATGTGATTAAGTCGCAAATGGCAAATATTTGTTTTGGTGCTTCTGACTTAGCTGAGAATCAGGTATATTTTCATTCCACCCAGTTAAAGAGTGTAACTCTAAAGCTTGCATGTTCGTACACCAACAGAAAGGGGTAAAAATACATTTCTTTTCTAGTTTTGCATTTCTTGTGGCTACCCAATGAATCCAACAATTTCCTCCCACTCATTGAGGACCTCTGCAGTGCTCCCAGCAGATCCCCCCGCTATTGTTTACATATCAGATATGAAACACCAGCAGCTGCGTTGCAGAAAACCCAGTGGCCCAATATTCTGATGCAACACATAATATTTAACGTATTGAATAGGTGGTGCAGAGAACTATGCCTATCTGGAAATGCTGTCCCTAACCCCAACTACTTGAAGGTGGTAAGAGGAAGAGGCTTTTCACATGCCCAGAGACACTCTTTTCCAGCCAAGCTGGAAGTCAAATATAAATCAGTCCTTGGCTAATATGGATAGATCCAGATCCTATCTCCAGAGCTGAAACAGTTCCCATTGATTCAGGCCACTGTGAGAGTTGTTTGAGATTAAATATTACACCGTGTGTGTGTGTGTGTGTGTGTGTGTGTGTGTAAGTCACTGGACTGCTTACGGAAAGCTAACTGGAGAATATGTTCTATTGCCCTGGGTGGGGACTACTAAAATAGAGATTATGTTCTGCATTCCAAGGATATCCTCACAGCATCAACACAGTTCTATTTAGAAAAAGTGCTAGAGGAACTTGCAAGGCTAGCTTCAGAGGGTGGCATGACTGGACATTTCTGGGAGCTTCAAGAGCAGCAGCAGAGCCCATTGCACTGAGAATGCTGCCGTTTCCACCTTGCACAGAGTATCAGATGCAGCCAAAGATAATTCTCTTTTTTTAAAAAAAATATTATTGCTCAATTTCCACATAACAAATTATCAAACCATATAATCACCTACATAATTTTTTCCCCTCCTTCCCCACCATGGACTTCCCTCAGCTCCTCTCCCTGGTTTCGCTGCACATATTTTCTCTGCATATTATAAAATTGAATATATCCTTACATATCTTTCCATCATGTTATCAACAATAAATTTGTGTATGTTTATTCAAAACCTGCCAAGGAGTCCAGTTCATTTTATTGTGTTTTTTAAATACCGTATTTTTCGCTCTATAACACGCACCCGACCATAACACACACATAGTTTTTAGAGGAGGAAAATCCGTAGGCATGCCACCCGTAGGCATTCCCTCCATAACACGCACAGACATTTCCCCTTACTTTCTAGGAGGAAAAAAGTGAGCGTTATGGTGCAAAAAATACGGTAATTTGTGTAAAGTTCCCATTCCTCCTTAAAGTCACAGTTGTCCTTGTCTCGCAGTTTGTATGTCAGTTTAGCCAGTTCTGCATAGTTCATCAATTTCTCTTGCCACTGTTCTTTTGTCGGGGCTTCCTCATTCTTCCATCCTTGTGCTATCAAGACTCTTGCCGCTGTTGTAGCATACATAAACAAGTTCCTTATTTTCCTTGGCAGGTCTCGTCCTACAGTCCCTAACAAAAATGCTTCTGGTTGTTTTTTTTACAAATGTCATTTTAAACATTTTCTTCAATTCATTATATATCATTTCCCAATTTTTAAAAAAATTCTTTACACTCCCACCACATGTGAACAGCCAAAGATAATTCTCAGTTTGTATTTTTTTTTAATGATATTTATTAAAGTTTCCAATAAAGAGAACACATCAATAACAAAATTAAAAAGAAAAAAAGAAAAATACACAATTCAGAAATACACAATACATAATCCAAAACAAAAAACAAAAGACAAAAAAGAAAACAGTTAAAAACAATACCACTTTTTCATCACCCTTTTTAAATTTACTTATTTTCTGGACCTCCTCATACCTCCCTCTTTTGTATTCCAGTTCAATTTGTTTGTCCAGCAATTTCTTTCCCTCTTTTTTAATCCCAATCCTTAATCTTAATATAATATAACATTAAATTTTTTACCTCTTAAAACCCAAATTTCCATTTCCTTTAACTTTTTTTAATCCTAATCCTTAATCTTAATCTATATATAACTTTAAAGCCTGTATAGCTAGAAGCCACTTATTTTCAATCCAACATCACTCTAACATTCTTTAATTTTGCAATGTTTCTGCAGATAGTCTTTGAATTTCTTCCAATCTTCCTCCACCGACTCTTCTCCCTGGTCACGGATTCTGCCAGTCATTTCCGCCAGTTCCATATAGTCCATCAGTTTCATCTGCCATTCCTCCAGTGTGGGGAGCTCTTGTGTCTTCCAATACTTTGCAAGATAATTCTCAGTTTGTAAATCCTGCATGTTCTATGTTGGCCCCTGAGGGTGCTGTGTGCCCAAGGGCCTGCAAAATCCTGGATCCAGCAGCTGGGTGGAGTGCTGGGAGACTGGTTTTCCCCAGATAATTCTTTTTTTCTAAATATCTAATTTTAGGACACTGAGCAGGGGTGCGGAGCCTCTGGCCCTCCAGATGTTGTTGGACTACAACTTCCACCATCCCTGTTGAGTTGGAGTCCAACATCTGGAGTGACACAGGTTCCCTACCCCTCCAGTGCAGCTCTTATACTGGAGGTTTACAGTGCAATGCTCTGCATATCCACTCAGAATGAGTCCCGTTGAGTTCAATGGAGTTTACTTCCAGGTACGTGGGTATAGGACTGCAGCCCCAAAGAGGCACAATGCATTCCACAGAGCCACCTGCACCATCTATTTTCAGTGCATGTGGGTTCAGCTTTACTGCTTGAGTTTTGACATACTGTTATTATTTCATTTATGCCTTATGCGAAAAAAAAAGGGGGGGGAGAAGCAGCAGCAAAAATGCCTCCAGGCAATTTACAGTTTAAGAACAAATATGCAACATCCAATATGACAAACACAATAAATAAAATTTCCCGCTGGAAAAACAACCACCGTCAACAAAATATCCTATATAGCATAAAGACAGCAATCGGCTCAGAAACCCTGTCGTATGGGAACAGACGTTCATATTAAAAACACGGGCTGATAAAACATGAATAATTGCTAAAACTGCTAAGAAGACGGAGTCTAAAAGGCCTGGTGGAAGTGGAAAGACTTTGCCTTAGGGCCTGGGGTAGGCATCACATTAAGCTAGCTCAGCCTTTGCCATCCTGGGGCCTGCCAGATGATGGCGGTTTAAAATGAAGATGGGGAGAACATTGTACACCAGCTTTTCACTCCTTGGAGAAAAAAGGTGGGGTAGAAACGCAGCAGTTTGTTCCCTCGATGCAAAGCCATCCTATACAGTGGTACCTCGGGTTACAGACGCTTCAGGTTACAGACGCTTCAGGTTACAGACTCCGCTAACCCAGAACTAGTACCTTGGGTTAAAAACATTGCTTCAGGATGAGAACAGAAATCGCATGGCGGTGGCGGGAGGCCCCATTAGCTAAAGTGGTACCTCAGGTTAATAACAGTTTCAGGTTAAGAATTGACCTGTGGAACGAATTAAGTTCTTAACCCGAGATGCCACTGTACATTTGCTGTACATCAGTACATCTTTTCCCCACCCGGTGCTGCCTGAATGGGACTCTAACCTTCTGCCTTCTGGTGCTGAGAATGTGAAGGGGGGAGGGGTGGCCCTGAGAAAACAGACCAGGTCTCCCACACTATCATTATCCCAGCAAATTTCCCTGCAATGTTGCAACCAGCGAATGCACCAAAAAGCAACACGGCTTGGGTCTTCTTGCCGGGTTATTTTATGTGCCTCTTTTCTTTTGGCCTAGCTTCCTAAGTGGTACTCCTGATATATGGCAATCTCCATATATATATAGCTATATATCTAGGAGTATCATGTGCAGTTTTGTCCTCTTTACAATGTCCAAGTGGCTGCAGCTCAGAGGAAGAGCATCTTGCTTCGCGTCCAGAAGGTTCCAGGTTCAATTCCTGGGCAGGCACAACTAAGGAAGACGTCTTTCTAAGACCCTGGAGAGCTGCTGCCATTCAGGCTGTTGCGTCCTTGAACTCCGATAATGCCTCACACGTACCTGGATGGAGAAGGGTGTGCGAGTTTGTGTAGGAGCTAGCCTGCCAAGCAAAGTTAAACTCATTTTAATTGCACCACCCACTTTTTGGCTCTGGCCCTGCCCACCTCTAGCATGAGGTCCCTGGAAAGTTGCCCAGAAGAGAAGGCCACTACCACCATGCAGGAAAACCTTCCCTCCCGCTTCCCACAGCATCATAGCATTTCCAAGAACTATCACTTCTTCAAGGCTTTTCTAGGAAAGGGTACTAGAAGGTTAAAGGGAATGCCACCATTTTATCGGTCTGGAAATTCCGCTTGTGGTGTTTAAGAGGTTGTTCCCCGCTCCCCCCCAAAAGGACTGGATGTTTCACGAAGATTGACTTCGCTGAGGATCCTCCACTGTCCTGCTCCAGAAATCAGCTGGAGGACATGTGGGTTTTCAGTCAGCCCAACACCGTCGCCGGCATTTGTCTGTTTGTGAGCATGATGGAATGCAATCCAAGAATGAATGCCAGCTTTTGCAAACAACAAAGCCTTTGCACTTCTGGGAGGTAGGATGCCAAGTGAGAAATCTTCAGCGTCCTCACCAAACTACAACCCCCAGGATTCTTTGCAGGAAGCTGTCACTTTTCGTCAGGCAAAATAAAGGACGGTTCAGGAGAGTGGGGACACAGCCAAGCAGTGGCGGACCTGCACTGTGCTAGACCAACATAATAATTATTTTAGGCATTTATTTAATATTATTTATTTTCTCTCATACTCTAGGGGTTGGACTAGATGATCCTTGGGGTCCCAATTCTACGATTCTATTATCTTCTGTGCATAAGCACAGGCAAGTGATTTCGGAGCGATCTCCTTTCAGAGTGACTTGTGTTTTCCTTGGAATTCCATTGTATGTAACAAAATCTGCACAGCGTTCTCTTGAAACTGAAACACCTTGTGTTTTCAGTTTAGCTTTGTCGCACGCAGTGGCTAGAAAGCTCCCCTTTTACGCTGATTGGGCAGCTCTAGGGTGCTGGAGGGGAAGAAATGGAGGCAATAAGAGATTTTACTTTCTTGGGCTCCATGATCACTGCAGATGGTGACAGCAGTCACGAAATTAAAAGACGCCTGCTTCTTGGGAGAAAAGCAATGACAAACCTAGACAGCATCTTAAAAAGCAAAGACATCACCTTGCTGACAAAAGTCCATATAGTTAAAGTTATGGTTTTCACAGAAGTGATGTATGGAAATGAGAGTTGGACCATAAAGAAGGCTGATCGCCGAAGAATTTATGCTTTTGAATTATGGTGCTGGAGGAGACTCTTGAGAGTCCCATGGACTGAAAGATCAAACCTATCCATTCTGAAGGAAATCAGCCCTGAGTGCTCACTGGAAGGACAGATCGTGAAGCTGAGGCTCCAATACTTTGGCTACCTCATGAGAAGAGAAGACTCCCTGGAAAAGACCCTGATGTTGGGAAAGATTGAGGGCACAAGGAGAAGGGCAGAGGACAAGATGGTTGGACAGTGTTCTCGAAGCTACCGGCATGAGTTTGACCCAACTGTGGGAGGCAGTGGAAGACAGGAGTGCCTGGCGTGCTCTGATCCATGGGGTCACGAAGAGTCGGACACGACTAAATGACTAAACAACAACAACAAAGGATGCTGGAGACAGGGACCCTGTTGCAGAATGTACCGCAACAAGGATTTGTTGTTGTTTAGTCGTTTAGTCGTGTCTGACTCTTCGTGACCCCATGGACCAGAGCACGCCAGGCACTCCTGTCTTCCACCGCCTCCCACAGTTTGGTCAAAGCATTTGACCACCTGCAATCTGGGGCCCACCACACCACATCTGACAACTGAATATGGCTTCCATGTGGCAGCCATACCATGTGCCCCCTGCCTCTCACTTCGACTGTGACCCTGCTGAAATAAACCTGCAGCTATTCCGCACTGCCGGTGGAACTTCCTATGTCTGTCCCCTGCTGGAGACAGAATACTAGCCCAGAGGGGCTTTGAACCGATCCAGCAAGGGGATTCTGATGTCGTCCGTTGCCTGAACTCACATAAACAACACCAAGTCACAGAGCAATAGGTGAGATTGTATTTTCTACAGCACCAGCTTCTTCTTCTTAAAAGCGCTGCAGACTTGCAAACATCACGAGATGTTTTCTTGTTAAGAAAGAGATGTCGGGAGCCAAAGCAAACAGGGAGAAGAGGGAATATGTTTCTACGTGTCCAGGCTGTTGGGTCACCCTGGGATGCTTTGTGAGCAAAGGGCCTTCAGGCACACATGGCGATGATTCAACTGCAGCCCTGCACAGATGTCAGGGTTGAAAAGTACCCTAAATGTCAAGCTTTTAAAAACAGAAACACCACCCACGTTTTGAGCCTTTAAGGCATGCTTCCATAACGCCTATTTCCATGAGTGCAACACCCTGTTCCCCAGAGAAATTGACTGCTGGAGAAACACCCTTCTCTTGCATCTGAATCCTGCTATGGTATAGATCAGGGATTCCCAAAATGTGGTCTATGTTTGGGTTGCCATATGTACTCTTTTTTTTCCAGGACACCTCCTCTTTTTCATAGAGTCGTCATGGAGATCCATACTTAAAAGTAGAATTCGGCAAGTGTGTCCTCTTTTTTGCTCTTCAAAATATGGCAGCCCTAGACTGTGAACCACCAGTGGTTCAGGCGGTTCACGGCCATGTCCGCATGAAAGAATCATGCTGATTTGTAATTGCATTTTTATTGCTCCTTTTCTTTCTTATCTTGTATTTTATTGTATTACATTTTGAATTCTATGGAATGCAAATTGTAATACAATAAAAATTTAAGATAAGGGAAAAAAGAAGCAATAAAAAAACAAACAGTTAAAGCCATACAGCGTGTAGTGCAGTGCATTACAATTGTTACAAAAGATGGAAGAGTCATTAAGACCCGCAATTTTCAAGTGGTTTTGGGAACCAATGATATAAATCAAAAAGGAGAATTCGCATTGGGAAGCAATGGCAGGTTCTGAGGGATGACGATGATTTTCATCAGGACCATGTTGCGAAAAGATTAACCCCCTTTCTTCAGGGTACAAATTTCCCAAATTTGGTTGGGACCTCTCCCTCCTCAGCTGCTATTTAAACAACTGAACAGGTTAAATGCATTTTTGCAGGATCCATTTCACTGTTTAATAGCAGAACTTAAATCTGCGTCCTTGAACTCTGCTTTCCTATCATTTACACCATACGTTTAAAGTGAACTCTGAGATCACTGGATCTTAGAAGACTAATAATAATAATAATAGCAGATTTGAATATTTTCTCTCCCCAAAAGAAATCAGGGTGCTATCGTTTGTTAATGGTTGCTACAGTGCTCAGAATTCCTTGAAGGAAAGAAAGTGCTTTGGCCACCCTGAGTGGCTGGGGAAACCCAGTCAGATGGGTGCAATATAAAAAATAATAGGATGACGACGATGACGAAGGAATGCAAGGGGTCTCCCCTAACAACTCTCAGCACCTTTACCAAACCAAAGCTACCAGAATTAAACGTATGGTGCGGCTGCGACCTAACTGCTTCACTTCCTGGATCCTTCTGGGCTTCTGTGTTGGCAACTGTGAACACTCTTCCAAGGGGGCAGGATTTGGCCCAGGGCTCTGGATGGCTTGAGGAGCAGCTGCTTTGGAAGTCAAACCTAACGGGCCAGCGCTTTGTCCACATGGAGGTGAGAGAATGAGCGTCAGAAGACACCACTGTCCCGAGGAAAGGAGCTGCCACGGCACGGAGGCCCCTCTCGCTGCGCTCTCCGCTTATTTAAAACTACTACTGCAAGGCAGAAGGAATCCGTGTAGCTGTGCACGACCAGACACGCCGCCGCGCAAGTTAAATAACACGCAGCCAGGGCGTTTCTGGAGGGTAATTTGCAGGCGACGTGAACGCGCCTTTCCCCTTCCTTTCTGCAGAAACTCAGCAGAGGCGAAGAGGGTGGGGAAGGCCTTAACCTACCCGAGAAGGCCTACGTGGATTTCCGTAGCACGCGCCAGTGTGGCTGACCTGCTTTCTTTTTGCGTGTGTGTATTTTGCGGGGCTGAAAAGGCGAAAACTGCACCGCGCTCCGCAAAACTGTTTGGACGGGAACGCCAAGTAGATCGCGCTTGTTGCATTTGCTCAAGTTGCATCGGGGTCAAATTGCTGGCGCAAATCGTGTGTGTGCATTGCACGCTCTTGCGGGAAAGTGACGGGCCTGCACGCGCAGGTGTGTGCGCGCGCGTGCGAGCGAGCAGTCGCGCCCCCGCCCCCCCCCCCGCCGCATCTTCCAGGTTCCACAACTCCCGACTTCTCGCCCGTTCCTGTCCTGCCGAAAGCGCCTCCTGATTGGCTACGAACTCCGGCAGCGCCGGCCAATGCTGGCCCGCCCTGGTGACTTCATTCCTAGGCCGCCCCAGGCGCTGATTGGTCGCTGCCGGCCCCGCCTCCTCGGCCCCACGTGGGGAAGGGGATCCCGGTCCGGACGCTGATTGGCCGCGGAGCTGTCGGCGGCGGCTCCGCTGTTGCTGAGGGGAAGCGCGAGGGGCCCGGCCGGGGCAAGGGAGGCCAGGAGCGGACGACGGGTGAGTTTATGAATATGCTAATGACATGCAAATTACGTAAAAATGGACCTTCCGCCGAGGGGACTTGGGATGGGAACGAAGTCCACCCTCCTCGTTCGCTCCGCTTGCCTCAGTTGTACTTTGCAGCCCTGCGGGGGGAGGGGACAGGCTAGAAGTAACAAGCGGAAGAGCTTGATGGGAGTTGTAGTCTTTCCTAGGGGAACTCCCCAGGATGTCGTAAGGGCGGGCTGCCGTTTTGGACTACAAATCCCATGAGGCTGTGCGCGGAGCCTTGGCTTCTTTAGACGTTCTGTTGCCCCAAAGCATGATGGGTGCGCTAGTCTTTTACGAGTACGTCCCTCTGCTTTTCCTATGGGCATCGCTGGCCCTGAAGATTCTTCGGCACCCTGACCGTCCTGAGGAACGCCGCGGTGCATCCCGGGAGTTGTGGTTCTTTCTCTGGTAACTTCCTGGTTTCTCCCATAACACTTTATGGGAACCATGACTTCGGCGGCCGGCAGCCCTTGCGCGCTCAGCAGTTCTAATGCGGTAGAAGCCTGGCTAACAAGGCACTATGGGAATTGTTGTCTTTCACACCTACGCAGTATGGGAAGGATGAGTGACAAGAACTACAAGTCCCATGAAGGATAGCTCCCCGTTTCTGCCTCAGCTGTATTTCGCGTAGTGTCATGGGAATTAAAGTTCTTTCTGCGAGGGTTGGAAGACTCAATCAGCTGTGGGTGGAAGTCCTTAAAGACTACATGTCCCATGAGGCTCAGCGGAACCTCGCTCTTCCTGTTCGCCCGGCGCCCGGTAAACAAGTCTGTGTTCTTGCTCCGCCTCTCCGTCCCTATTGGCTACTGTATGGTGGGCTTCTCCCACTTCTCCCTTAATTCACCTTTCTACAGGCTACTGTAAGTGCTTCTCTCAAGGGAGGGGCAGGAATGCTTTGACTAGTCTGGCCGACCCCTTTCAGCGCTGATAGGCCGTTCGCGCTGCCTGTCTCGGGAGGTGGGGAATGCGCAAGTTCTGGAGGCGAGCTATTGGCTCGTACGAAAATCTGTCACGGAGTTGTGGGTGCCGATTGGACAGTGGCTCCAGCTGGTCCAGATTCATTCACCATTTTGTCTGTTGGAGTAAAAGGGGCTCGGAGGGGCCGAGAGGGGCTCGGGCTGGACCATCGGAGAAGCGGGGGAGGGGGAGTAAAAACTGGACTGTACCAAGACTCCCTGCAGAAAGAATTCTGGCTATCCTAAACTCCCTGGAAAGAGGGAGTCATTCAGGTAAGGGGGGGTGATATTAACTCCTGTGCCCCCCTTCCCAAGGAGGGGGGGGAAGAGGAGGCTCCACAAAGGGTTAACATCTTCACCATAGCCTCCAAAGGAAAAGGAGGGGGTGGGATGCACCAACTTTACTCCCCCTCCTCCCCATTAGGTCCCGGGAGGTACCAACTCCCGCAGCCCTAAAATGGGGACCCTCAGAGTTGCAAGGCAGCAGGAGGAGGCAGCAGCAGCAGAGATGCCCGCTTTTTATGTGCCACAACTTTTGGTGGTTTTATGCAAAAGAATTCTGGCGGGGGGGGGGATGCGATCCCTTTTGCAGCTGCTAAGGCAGGTGGGATCAAGGCGAGAGACCAGCTTTGCCCCCCCCCAGCTCCCCTTTCCTGGGCATGTTTGGGAGGGCAAAGTGGGTTGTGATGTACCACCAGGAGAGGAGAGGGGGGCTGATCCTGGCTGTGGTGGGATGACTTTGAGCAGGGCAGCGGTCCAGGCTGAGACCCAACACCAGTTATTATGGGATGGGAGGATTGGCAGGGAGGCCTGGCCATTGTGTGTGCGTGGCAGGAGGTGTTTGTGTGTGTTGGGGTGGGGGTGGAGAGAAAGAGAGAGCGGAGAGGAGTTGCATAACATGGGAGGGGTCTTTGGGAAGTTAGTTGCGTGGTGGGAGCGTTGTCAAGAGCGAAGGAAAGTCTTCTGCTCAGCATTTGGGGTGAGCAAGGTCACTTGTGGGAGGTGCTGTGGGGTAGAGGGTCTGTCTTTCAGATATAAGGCCGTGGGCAGGAGCAGATGATACTTTGCTGACTTTTGGGAGGGGGCTGCTAAGGAAGGATGGCATGGTTGTGTGTATATGACTCTGAGTAGTAGTAACGTGAAAATGCTCCAAATATTTCCTATATGGGGCAGGTGGGGGGGGATTCTGCAGGGAGAAGGTGTGTGGATGAATTTGGGTTTAATTATTCCCCGGTCACACAAGGTATTAGCATGGGGACCTGTTCCGATTGCCAGTTTCAGCCCAAGGGTATGTAGAGTAACAGCATGTGCCTCTGAGCGCATACAGAGTGCCGCTGCTCCACCACTCGGGAACAGAGCACCCACATCTTCAGCTGAAGGAATCCAGAGCAGATATGGGGGAAAGGTGGGAGAAGAGGAACATGCTTAGAGGGTTTGAGATGGGGGCAGCAGCCATGAAGAGTCTGGCATAACCTCTCTCTCTCTCGAGGAAGCTTGAAGCCAGGGAGAGCGCCCGGAATGATAACATTAGGAATGCTGTGTCGAGCCAGTCCTTGAGACTGTTCGTCCATAGTCTGTTTTTTTCCAGGAAGCCTTTTCTCCCTCCCTTTTTGGTGGGGTGTGGGGAAGAGGAGGGGATTTGGCCTACGTCCCTGCTTGCCGCCAAGCGGATGGGTTGCAACTCTTCCACATTCCTTTGCACCCTGCTCCTGTCTCCAGGCCTCAGATGAGAAGGGAACTAGGAAGGATTCCTCCCGAGGTCTCTGAGCATTCCTCTCCCCGCCCACCAGCTGCACCCAAGCTGGTAGCAGGGGGAGACATGTGAACAAGGAAGGTGCCTCCCTCTGCAGAACTTGGGGTTCTTTGGGTTTTGCTGCACCCCTTACCTGGGTAGCACATTATGGAAAGCCGTTGAGAAACCGTGTTGGCCATATTGAACGAGTGAGGATATGCCGTTTTCTTACGCTGCCTCACGTTGGGATAGACGTGTGAGTTTCTTCTCTGGCCTTTGGCACAATGAAGCACAGACAAACTCGGGAAGCATCCGATGAGGTAAACAGAAATGGAGAGAAGTGTATCTCAAGAGATGCTGGAATGGGTGAAAGCTTATTATTATGCTAGCCCGATTTGTTTCAGGCCAGCAAGCCTCCTTGAGGGGGCTTATCTTACACATTTCTTTATAAGCTGCTCAGCGAACATCCGTTTTGAGGGACCTTGCAGGGCAAAACTTGCCTGGTCCTTACGGCATAACATCCAGTCCCCAGGACCCTTTCCCCTCTCACTTTTTATTCCCCACGGTTGCTTCTGCTGTATAATTAAAAATGAAGGCAGAGGACCTCCTCCTCGTGTTAACATTCACCCGGGGGTCACTTATTCAGAACGTTGAAGGTGCAAGCCGTACCATACCGAAGCCTGTACTCTATCTTAAGTTTTAACGCCTTCATCTGATGAAGAGTTCTGTGTTGCTTGAATGCTTGCTCTCCCATTCTGTAGAATGGTGATGGGGAGCCTGTGACCTTCCAGGTATTTTTTGGACTCCATTTCCCATCAGCCCCAGCCAGCGCAGCCAATGGCCAGGAAGGATAGAGTTGTAGTCCGGTGGTGTTAAGAGGGACTTGGGTTCCCCCTTCCTGATTTACAATACAGCGTAGTTAAGTGTCATGACTGACCTTCTGGGGGGGGGGAGCTGGAAGGGATTCCTGAGGGTCATCTATTCCAACCCGCTGCAATGCAGGAATACCTAAGCTCTTTTATTTATTTCATTTGTTCTTGATTTCATTGGCAATGGTGTCAGGGGTGGCGTATGAGCGCTACCCAACCATTAGTGTATCCTGCCAAGTGCCTGCCAAAGTGGTGTTTGTGTTTTTTCCATTTCTGAATACAGTGGTACCTCGGGTTAAGAACTTAATTCGTTCTGGAGGGCCGTTCGTAACCTGAAATTGTTCTTAACCTGAGGTACCACTTTAGCTAATGGGGCCTCCCACTGCCGCCGCCACAGCGCCACCACACCGTGATTTTAGTTCTCATCCTGAAGCAAAGTTCTTAACTCGAGGTACTATTTCTGAGTTAGCAGAGACTATAACCTGAAGCATCTGTAACCCGAGGTACCACTGTACAATTATATGAGGTGAAGGAGCTCAGGGCTGGGAGGTGAGCAGAGAATTATGGGACGGGGCAAAAGTATTGAATATGTTGCTACAAGCCTCACACAAGCGAGAAGTAGCAGGTGGGTCTGTGCTTGCGGGAAGGGTCTTTTTTAGGGTTAGAGCTGGGGAAAGACAATGGGAGCAGGGAGCGTTTTAAGAATTGCATTGCAGGGGGTTGGACTTGATGACCCTTGGGGTTCCCTTCCAACTCTGCAATTCTGTGATTCTACAAGGAGACTTCTGAATTGGTCCAAGGGCCCATCTGATCCAACGCCTTGTTCTCACAGTGGCCCTATATTTGCTTCTGGGGAACCAGTGAGCAGAACGTGAATCATAGAATCATAGAGTTGGAGGGTCGTCTAGTTCAACCGCCTGCAATGCAGGAATCTTTGGCCCAACGTGGGGTTTGAACCCATGACCTTTGGATTAAGAGCCTCAAGCTGTACACAAGAGCACTCTCTCCTGTGGTTTCCAGCAACTGGTGTTAAGAGGCATTACTCCCTCCCAGCTGTGGAGGCAGAAAATGGCCATGGAGCGTACAGCCACCGATGGGCTTATTCCCCATGAACTCGTCTGCTCCTCTTTTAAAGCCATCCAAGGTGGCGGCTGCCCCTTGTGGAAGTGAATTCTGCACTGGCGAAGAACTTTCTGCCCTGAATCTTCCCAGCATCCAGGTTCATTGGATACCCAAGAGTTCTGTCATTAAATGTTTAGAATATAATGGATGCTTTCGCTGAAATTACTGCATTGCATGGGGGTTGGACCAGATGACTCTAGGGGTCCCTTCCAACTCTATGATTCTATATGACATCCTTTAGCTTAAAACAAAACCCCCAGGTTCTCAAAAGCCGGATGGCTGCAATAGTGGGGAAGGAGAGGCCAGATCCTTGGACCAGTGAGAGAGCAGGTATGGGGGTTTGTCACTCTGGTTCGCTGGAACCTCGGCAGAACGAGCCTCTGCCTGCTCTTGTAACCTTTGCCTCTTGTCTTTCTTTTCTCAGCTCCCTGAGTCCACACCCAGCCTGGAGGGAATATGAAACCAGCGAGGAAGGCTGCTGGCTCCTCCTCCTCCTCTAGCAGCAGCAGTAGCAGCAGCCGCTCCCCACCCTCCACTCGGGCAGCCAAGGCCCAGAAGCGCAAGGCCACTGAGGAGGGGCCCAAGCCCGAAAAAGAAGCAGGGGAGGAGTCTCTAGATCAAGCCCCGCCTTTCCCAGGTGCCCGGTGCCTGCAGCTGCAGATGGATCCCGGCCTGCAGGAGTTGGCAGGGACGCCCGAGGACCCCTACAAGCTGCCCGAGGGGGACAGGGACCCAGGGACTGAGGCCTGCGCGGTGGAAGCCTCCCTGAACCGCAAGACGGCCACTTTCAAGTCGCGGGCGCCCTGCAGGAAGTGCCCTGGGGGCGACGAGTCGAACGGCAGCGAAGGCACGGCGGGGCCAGCCGAGGACGAGCCCAGGCGCTGCCCCTCATCCAGCACTGACACCGCCAGCGAGCACTCTGCGGACGAGAACGACAAGGGGGCGGGGGATGCCTGGGCCACGGCCCCGAGCGACTATGACCTGCGGCAGCTGCGCTCGCAGCGGGTGCTGGCCCGGCGTGAAGGGCTCTTTCAGCCAGCCGTAGTGAAGCAGATCCGCCGCGGGCAGGACTTGGGGGTGCAGTTTGTGGGCGACCGCGTCACGGCATACTACGAAGGGGCTCTGGGCTCCGGCGCGGTGGACGTGGTCCTGGACGCCACGCCTCCGCCGGGGTCCTTGGCGGTTGGCACACTGGTCTGCGCTTGTGCGGACCCCGAGGAGACGGCCTACCGGGAAGGCACCGTCGTCGAGGTGAGCGCCAAGCCGGCTTCCTACAAAGTTCGCTTTGCCCGCCCCGTCGTCCTCCCTGGCACTGCGGCAGCCCGTAAAGACTCCGCCTGGGTGACGCGCACAGCCCTGCGCCTCTTGCGCCCGCCGTGGAGCTGCGAAGCTGCCCCCGAGGACAGCAAGCCGCCTGAAAAGTCACCTCCATTGCCGGAAGAAGAGAAGGTCGCCCTGGCCCTCCCGTGCCCAGACCCGAAACAACCAGAAGACGCAGAAGTCTCCAAGATCAGTGCCTGCGTGCGGGCAGAGGAAAAATCCGTGGTGGTGCCGCCCCAGATCCTGTCCCCGCCCAAGTCCCCGGCTTTCCCTCGCCTCCCCGAGCAGCCGTCCCCGCTGCTGAGCCCGGATGCGAGCGGGAGCCGCAGCAGCAGCGTCATGTCTGTGGACAAATGCAGCACCCCGGGCTCGTCTCGCTCCCGGACTCCCCTCACAGCGGCCCAGCAGAAGTACAAGAAGGGGGACGTGGTGTGCACGCCCAACGGCATCCGCAAGAAGTTCAACGGGAAGCAGTGGCGGCGGCTGTGCTCCCGGGAGGGCTGCATGAAGGAGTCACAGCGGCGTGGCTACTGCTCCCGCCACCTCTCCATGCGCACCAAGGAGATGGAGAGCCTCTCGGAGGGGCGGGCCAGTGGGCTGCGGGAGGGCAGTGCCGAATTTGACTGGGATGACACCTCGCGGGACAGCGAGGCCAGCAGCGCGCGGGGGGACTCTCGGCCCCGCCTGGTGCCCCCCGCCGACCTGTCCCGCTTCGAGTTTGATGAGTGCGAAGCGGCTGTCATGCTGGTCTCCCTGGGCAGCTCTCGCTCGGGCACCCCTTCCTTCTCGCCCGTCTCCAACCAGTCTCCCTTCTCACCGGCACCCTCTCCCTCTCCTTCTCCCCTCTTCGGCTTCCGCCCAGCCAACTTCAGCCCCATCAATGCCTCGCCCGTCATCCAGAGGGCTGCCGCCCGCAGCCGCCACGTCAGCGCCAGCACGCCGAAGGGTGTCGGCGGTGCCGTGCTGAGCCCTGAGATGCTGCACCACGCGGCCTCCCGCGAGCGCCACCATTCGGGCATCACCTTCCAGACCAACCTCACTTTCACCGTGCCCATGAGCCCCAGCAAGCGGAAAGCCGGGGACTCTCACCACAGCAGCACGGGCTCGGCAGCCGACTTCCACAAGAACGAGAGCCTCGACTCGGGCGTCGAGTCTGTCTCGCACACACCCACTCCTTCCACACCAGCTGGCTTCCGGGCCGTGTCGCCCGCCGGGGCGGGGCCCTTCTCCTCCCGCTCCCAACAGGCTTCCCCGCTCTTGCTGGTGCCCCCGCCGGCAGGGCTGACCTCCGACCCCAGCCCCACCGTGCGCAGGGTGCCCGCCGTGCAGAGGGACTCGCCCGTCATCGTGCGGAATCCCGACGTGCCGCTGCCCTCCAAGTTCACCGAAAAGCCCCTGGAGGGGAGGGTGGGCAGCCCGCGGGCGGGGAAGGCCGGCTCCAAGGAGCATCTTCCGGGCAAGGGGCAGCTGCAGATGCCGGTGCCCATCAACGTGGGCCGGACTCTTCCTTCCAGCCAGCCCTGCGTGGTTTCCGCCTCCGAGCAGGCCCCGCCCATCTTCAGCGTCTCCTCCCCCTTCCAGCCGGTCGCCTTCCATCCTTCTCCTGCAGCCCTCCTGCCTGTCATCGTCCCTGGAGAGTACACCAGCCACCCCACGCCCAAGAAGGAGATAATCATGGGAAGGCCTGGGACAGGTGAGTTGGGCTGGTTGCTTAGTTTGTTTTTGTCTTCTGGCACAGTTTTCAATCCGTGTGTGGACTGCATTTGTTGGTTCCCAAGATTCATTCCGTAGATGTTAGGCCCTATGCATATACCTGCTTTGAATCCTCTCTGACTTGGCACTGTTTTCTTCTTTGCACCGAGAGAGGCTGCGTCTCTGTTTCGGAAAGAGAGTGGGGATCTTGTGTTTTGTATGGCCTAGTGGCCGAGAGAGTTTACTTTGGATCTAGGCCCTGGAGATCTGATTTCAGCAGCCACTGCTGCCCTGCTGCTGTTAGCAAGTACTCCTTTTTTGGGCAGCGGCAGCAATAGCGTCCTGCTCTCCAGGGTTGTTGTGAAAGCAAGGGCATTCAGGACTGTGAAGGACATTGTGAATTGAAAGTGCTCCATGAGTTGTAGGTGCAAAGAGGTATTTCACTCAGTGCTGTTCGGAAGCAGGAAATGTACGCTGGCTTTGAGGCTGCATCTAGGAGGGAGTTTGAAAGTGTCCACATAGTTCATCTGAGGATAGTGTTTTTCTTCAGCTCTGTGCAGCCAACCTGGTGCGGATGTGATTCAAACATGACAATGAAGGGAAGGCGAAAGGTTTTTTGGTGCTCCATTTTGGGTTTGTACCCTAACCTCCTCTTAATAGCTGGTGCAATGTTAGAGACTCAGATATGTAAACTAGGCTCCAAATGGCTCCTTAAGCCAAGGTTACAGTCGAGAAAATGGAACGTCTAGTTGCCATTTTTGGGCAAGTCTTATTTTTCAAAGGATGGACTGAATGTGGTTGATTTTCAGTTAAACGTCTGGCTATTTCAGATGACAACCTTGAGCTTTGTTAAGAACTTTGAGAACTTAAAGAAGGAAAGTCACTTGATCCAGTGACAGTCCACATATATATTGGCCTATTCCGACCTCTCTCTTTTTATGGACCATTCATAATGTAGGAATATTCTTCACAACTGTGAATGTGAGCAGGGCAGTGGGGTGGGGTAAGTGAAGACAACCGACAACAATTAACTATGACGTTGTTCGCTGCTCCTGCTCAGGCTGCACAGAAACAGCATTGGGGTTCCAGAAATTCACCCTGACCTCGCAGATAAAATATAACTGATAGAATTCTCCAGGATGTGGTATTAGTGCGTGAAAACAGTCCGGATCCAATGATCCCCAGGCATGCACCTCCAGATGGTGGATATGTCAGGCCCTATCCTGGCCCCTAGGCCTCTTCACTTAGCTGCAGGTGGCCGATAGCCAGGTGCAAAATGCTCCTGGCGCCTGGCTAATTTCAAACACTGAGCTGGCGGCAAGATTTTCGTGAGAGTCCTGCCGCTTCAGGCCAAAGGTCATGAGAGCAGAAGAAGGAGCCCTGCAGGATCAGGCCCATGACCCATCTAGTGCAGCATCTTGTTCTCATAGTGGCCAACCTGATGTGTGGGGGACACCAGCAAGCGGGGGCCGAGCCCTCTCCCCTCTTGCGATTTCCAGCAACTACTGTTATCCAAAGGCAATGCGGCCTCCAACCGTGGAGGCAAAACACAGCCATCCTGGCAATAAAGTTGTTGGCCCCAAGTTGTTGGCCATCGCTGCAAGTTCCATGGTTAGACTCTGTGCTGTGTGAACAAGTTATTTCTTCAATCAATGTCAATCATGCTCAAGAGAAGACTCATTGAATTGGATGACCGTGACTGGCTTGCTTTCTGCTGCTCCGAAGGGTAGGACCCGGACCAATGGATTCAAATTACAAGAAAGGAGATCCCGACTAAACATTAGGAAGAACTTTCTGTTGCTAACAGCTGTTTGACAGTGGGACAGTTGTGGACTCTCCTTCATTGGAGGTTTTTGAGCAGAGGTTAGACAGCCATCTGTCAGGCATGCTTTAGCTGTGGGTCCTGTGTTGTAAGATGTTGAACTAAATGACTCTTGGGATTCCTTCCAACTCTGATTCCATGACTACCTTGGGCCCATTTTCAGTGGGTCCACTCTGAGGGAGAACCCGCTTGGCTCCAACTTGCCATTTTAAAGTGCTTTTATTTCCCCACGCAGAATTTTCTGTTTCATAAGCGCATTAGCAACACCGGAGAGATGCTGGTTCCCAATGTATAATGCTAGGCGAGCACGGCAGTTTCCAACGGTTTAGCTTTGCTTACTAAATATAGGTAAAACGAACATGCTCAATTAGGTCGCTCTCCGGGGCATAAGAAAATTTCCTGATGCGAACTGAATTTTTCCTGATGCAAAGGAAGAATTTCTGGTTCAGGTTTCCCTAGGAAACCCGAATCCCTTGCTGTCAGCCTATTTCTGTGTAAACTCTGTAATTAAAAGTGCACCACTGGGGTAATCTTTACACCCCCCCCCAAGAAGTCTGGGTTAGGGTTAAATATCTACTCACGTATGGTGAATAGAAATTGTCTCCGGGCAGGGAAGCGTTTGTAAACCGGAAGGGAGTTGGTTCTATCCCCCCCCCCCCGTTTTCCTTTCAGGCCAGCTGTGTACCACTACTGACTGAGGTATGTGTTAGGAGGTTATTTATTAAAATATTCCTAACCCACCCTGTATTGGTTGGTCTCGGAGCAGGATATAACAATAAGGCAATCCTAGGTGGGCTAGCAATTTTTGCGGGGGTGCTTTTAAGACTGCTGTGTAGATCATCCAGCATAGACATGCTGGATTAATACCACTCCACACAGATACTCAGAAGTGTTGGCATTTTAGAACTTGATCTTATTGATAGCAAAGGGCTTTAGAATTTGTAGGAAGGGTTCCATCTGCACTAGGGCTGGGCGATATCTGGTTTTTACATCACAATATATCACCAGTTAAACATGGTGATATACCAATGTATCACAATGTCTGAAATGAGGATGAAGCTATGTAGAGGCCTTGGCTGGCTTCACGCGTTCCCCCACATTGTGATTTTTGCATAGCTCACACATACATATAACAATTCGCAATATATTGCCAGGTCAAAAATTACCAGACCAATATCACAATATGGACTTCAAACCGGTTTTGGATGGGACAACGATATATTGCCCAGCTCTGCTATGCATTTCAATGAGTGTCATGCAACTTTAAACAGTCATTTAAACAGCTTTAAACAATCCTAGGCCTGTTGTTGTTCAACATCTTTATAAATGACTTGGTTGAAGGAATTGAGGGGATGCTCATCAGATTTGCAGATGACACCAAACTGGGAAGGGTAGCTAATGCCACAGAAGACAGAATCAGAATTCAAAATGACCTTAGCAGATTGGAGAACTGGGCGCAAGCTAAGAAAATGAATTTCATTGGGGGGCAAATGCAAGGTTCTGCCCTTAGGTAGGAAGAACCAGGTGCACAAATATAGAATAGGGGACACCTGACTTAATGCAATACATGTGAAAAGGATCTAGGGGTCTTGGTGGACCACAAGCTGAACATGAGTCAACAGTGTGATGCAGCAGCAAAAAAAAGCTAACGCTATTCTAGGCTGCATCAGCAGAAGTATAGTGTCCAGGTCAAGGGAAGTAATAGAACCACTCTATTCTGCCTTGAGGGATGCGGGTGGCACTGGGGACGCGGGTGGCGCTGTGGGTTAAACCACAGAGCCTAGGACTTGCCAATCAGAAGGTCGGCGGTTCGAATCCCCGCAACGGGGTGAGCTCCCATTGCTCAGTCCCAGCTCCTGCCAACCTAGCAGTTCGAAAGCACGTCAAAGTGCAAATAGATAAATAGGTACCACTCTGGTGGGAAGGTAAACGGCGTTTCCGTGCGCTGCTCTGGTTCGCCAGAAGCGGCTTAGTCATGCTGGCCACATGACCTGGAAGCTGTACGCCGGCTCCCTCGGCCAATAAAGCGAGATGAGCACCGAAACCCCAGAGTTGGTCACGACTGGACCTAATGGTCAGGGGTCCCTTTACCTTTCTATTCTGCGTTAGTCAGACCACACTTGGAATACTGTGTCCAGTTCTGGGCACCAGAATTTAAGAAGGATGTTGACAAGGTGGAACATGTGCAGAGGAAGGCAACCAAGATGATCAGGGGTCTGGAAACTAAGCCTTATGAGAAGTGCTTGAAGGAGCTGGGTATGTTTAGCCAGGGAAAGAGGAGTCAGAGAGGAGATATGATAGCCATCTTAAAGGCTTTCAAATGGAATAGGGAGCATGCTTGTTTTCTCCTGCTCTTGACTCGAGGACGTGGCTTCAAGTTATAAGAAACTTTAGGGTTGCCATATGTTCGGAATTTCCCGGGCCTACCCGGAATACTGCAGTTGGAAGCAGTGTCCGGGCGGAAATTGGCAAAATGTCCGGGAAAATCTGGACATACGGCAGCCCATGCCAGCAGTGTCATTTTTGCCGATTTCCCTTAAAAATCAGTTTTTGAAATATGGCAACCCTACAAGAAAGGAAGTTCTGACTAAACATTCGGGAAAACATTCTGACAGTCAGAGCTAATCGGCAGTGGAACAGACTCCCACGAGGGGTGGTGGACTCCCCTTATTTGGAGATTTTTAAGCAAAGTTCAGGTGGCCATCTGTTATGCATGATCTGGTTGAGATTCCTGCATTGCGAGGGGCTGGACATGATGACCCCTTGGGCAGTGTTAGAAACTGAGATATGAAATCCAGGAGCTAAATGGGACCTTCAGCCTAGGTTATGGATGCAACAACAAAATGTCTAGGTGTGCTTTTTTGTAACAAAAATACAAAGCTGAAAATGAGGGAACTGCAGCTAAACTATTATGCTCATTTTTCACACGGTCTAGTCCTTCCCCTGCCCACCCCCTAATACTCTTAAAAGGGTCTCTTCTCCAGTCTTCAGAGAGTAGCTGGAAGTGGGGAGGCAGAAAAAGGTCCCCCGTTCCTTCCTTTCTGCAGTTTTAATCTCCAATCTTAGGCGCAGTACTGCGCCCAGAGCTCAGAAGCTGCTTGTGCTGATGAAAGTTTCGAACCCTGCCCATGGGTCCCTTCCAGCTCTAAGATTTTATGGCTTCCCCCAAAGAATCCTGGGAGCTGTAGTTTATTTAGGGTATTGAAGGTGGTTAGGAGACCCCAATTCCCCTCACAGAGCTACAGTTCCCAGAATGATGCTGCTTTAAATAGGGAGTGCAGATGGGGCTTTAGTGTGCAGAATGAATATGGAGGCAGTTCTGGGGAGACCCAGGGCTGTGACCCTGCACCCACCCCCCTGATTCCTTCACTGCAGCTAGTCATGCCTGCTGCACCATCCCGTTCTTGACCCTGAGACACCCGGGTTGAAGCATTTGCCGCAGCCAAGAGACCATGACTTTTCTTTATTAGACATTGGACTCATTCCCACATGCAGGTAGATACAGTTTGCGACATGGCTGAACACGTGTCCAGGTGTCGCGGTACGTTTGCCCATCCATCCATGTGTGGACAAGGCTTCTCACTTGGATTTGCCATTAATATAACTGCTGGTACCCATAGGAACGACCAGTTGCACACTAGTCTGTGTTTTGTGTATCGTCCATGCGCAAGACTGCTGAAGCATCACATGATGCTTGCATGAGTGAGTGGAGAAAGAGGAACATACACGGAACGGCTGGCTGACTGCAGTTTGCCCCCGACCCCAGCCACTGTTCTGTACCATAAGAAGCCTCTTTTCTCCCCCTGGTGGCTGCTGTCACCAAAATCATAATGTGAGACCCAAACTCCATACCACTGGGTACTTCTGAGCAGTGTTAGAAACTCAGATATATAAGCTAGAAGCCAAATGGCTCATTAAACCAAGGTTGCTGTCGCCAAAAGGGAACGTCTAGTTGCCATTTTTGGGCAAGATGGCTCTAAAGTCATTTTTTTCCAGATGATGGACTGACTGTGATTTATTCTCATCTGTCTGGTTCAGACGAGCTAAGTTAAAAGCTTTGAGAACTTAAAGAAAAGTCCCTTGCTCCAGGAACGGTCCACATGTATATTGGCTTATTCCAACCTCTTTCTCTTAATGGCAACTGCTCCTGCTCGGGCTGCATAGAAAAAAAACTATTGGTTTCCAGAAATTCATTCCGATTGTGCAGATGAAATATGACTGGGTGGGGTTTTAGTGGATGAAAACAGTCCAGATCCAATGATCGATCCCCAGATGGTGGAGATGTCAGGCACCATCCTGGCACCCAGGCATCTTCACTTGGTCACAAGTGGTCGAAAGCCAGGCACAAAAGAGAGCCAGTGTGGTGTAGTGGTTAAGAGCGGTAGTCTCATAATCTGGGGAACCGGGTTCGCATCTCTGCTCCTCCACATGCAGCTGCTGGGTGACCTTGGGCTAGTCACACTTCTTCTCTGAAGTCTCTCAGCCCCACTCACCTCACAGAGTGTTTGTTGTGGGGGAGGAAGGGAAAGGAGAATGTTAGCCGCTTTGAGACTCCTTTGGGTAGTGATAAAGTGGGATATCAAATCCAAACTCTTCTCTTCTGGCCCCTGGCTAATTTCAAACACTGCCTCTGAGCCCATCCCTTTCACCCCTGGGAGAGACCTTTTGGGGTGGATAAGAATGCATGCTTGTGCTTTGCCAGTTTTCTGCACCCAACTAGACACACTCTTTGGGGACTCTGAGATCAGGCGGTTACATTTGAGATTTGCTTTCTGGGGCCCTCATTTTGGCAGTGGTGATGGGCAGGTTCTGGAGCTCTGTGTGTCCAGGACACCGTGGCTCACGGTTGCTCAGGTCTGTGCACATCCTGCTCTGGGGTGCTAGGACATATGAAGGGAAGAGTGCACCTGGGACAGAGGTGAGGACTCAAGCATGCAAGGTAAGGGAGAGCATGGCATGTGCTTCTCCCATTCCCAAGGCACTGGCTCCATCTCCCTGCAGCATCACAACTGCAGTTTGCTGTCTCTCGGCAACTGGTAACCAAGGCTACCATCTCCCTGCTGCTCGCCCGGAGCCCCATCTCTATTTTTATCAGCAACGGGAGAGACCAGATCCAGATTTAGGGGAGTTGTACATTTGTGCATATGGCTTGGGGCTTAGGTGCATTTTGCGCGTACTGCAGTAGTGCCGGCTCCCTAACTCCCACACCCTCACATGCGATGGGTTTATTTGTGTACTCGCACTGAGCGTGGGCATGCTTGCGCAGTTGTGTGCACAGGCATATCCATCGCATGCACACGTGTGTTCTGCAATTGCACCGTGCACGTATTTCCCTGTGGCGCCGCTCGAGCAAACCTTGGGGTATGTTCGCACTTCCTCTGAAAGTGCGAATTTCATGCTTGCAAGCTGGCGTTCCACACCTGTCTTGTGCTTTTATAAAAGGAAACCATCATTCTGTGGAAAGCGATCAGGCTTGGCAGACTTGCATGTGGGAGGGAAACTACAAAACGATCCTGTGGCATCTTAAACACTAACCCATTTATTAGAGTACAGTGGTACCTCGGGTTAAGTACTTAATTCGTTCCGGAGGTCTGTACTTAACCTGAAACTGTTCTTAACCTGAAGCACCACTTTAGCTAATGGGGCCTCCTGCTGCTGCCGCGCCGCCGGAGCATGATTTCTGTTCTCAACCTGAAGCAAAGTTCTTAACCTGAAGCACTATTTCTGGGTTAGCAGAGTCTGTAACCTGAAGCATATGTAACCTGAAGCATATGTAACCTGAGGTACCACTGTATGACCTTTCGTGGACTAGAGTCCACTGTATGCAGTAATCCATGAAAGCTTATACCACAATAGATTCATTAGTGTTTTAAGGGTTGTCAGACATTTTTGGGTTTTTTTTGGCTGCAACAAGTTAGTTTATTTTATATCCCACCTTTGCTCAAGGGGGCATACATTTTTTCCTGTGAGTTAGGCTAGGCTGGAAGACAGTAACTGGCCAAAGGTCACCCAATGAGCTTAATGGCGGAGTGGGGATTTGAACCTGGTCTCTCAGGCCCTAGTCCTGGGACACTCTAACCCAGCTTGTTTTGGACTACAACTCCCATCATCCTTAGCTAGCAGGACCCAGTAGTCAGGGATGATGGGAACGATAGTCCAAAAACAGCTGGAGTCCCAAGTTTGGGAAACCCTGCTCTAACCACTACACCACACTGGCTAAAACCACCCCCCCTCTGGATGTTCTTGCAATGTGAGTCCGAGAGGCTTTTCATGCTTTATTCGCCAGCCTGGATTCACCAGTGCTCATCATGATAAACGTGCAAAGCATGGCTGGGAGGGATGTGGACTCTGACATGCATTAGACGTGCAGCAGGCTCTGGCTGTCTGACGCAGCTCTCTGTAATGTTTGGAGTAGGACCAACCATAGCTCAGTGTCAGAGAACATGCTTTGTACCTAAGAAAGTATTTGGTGCAACAACTGACATCCTCAGGTAAAATAACATGGATCAGGTAGCAGCAGGTTATGGGAAAGACCCCAGGTAGCATGAGAGTTTCAGGACACAGGTCTCCTTTTCCTCTTCCACTGCATCAGACATTAGTGGAACTCTGATGCCCTGGCTTGTTGTATAAGGTGTGATGTGTGTCTTTCTCCCTATTATGTAATGCAGCGTGTACCTAGTTCCAGCACTGAATACCTGCTCTTACACAATTCCGGATGTTCCCTACACCCTGGAAAGTGCCAGGATATTAGTATGGTAAATGATTGTGCTCCCGACAGAGGACAGTGCCGAAAGCACGCCAGCAAGCCAGTTGTATAACACACCCTGCTACAGCCAGGATGCAAAACTCCCCATGCAGCAGGGGCCAGTGTGTGCACACAGCCTACTGCTGTGTGGGAAATCCAGATGGGAACAGATGGCAGCAGGCATCTGCGGTTGCCCTCTTCGCAGCTTTGCATGTGAGCACAAGAACGCAGCTTTTCCCCTACAGTGACTGGTGTTGTATTTGTATCAACACAGTACTAGGTCGACAAATGTTTAATGGCTAGTGGTCACTGGGGGTGGTCAACCTGTGTCTGAGTCGTACCATTTTTGACTCAGGCAGTGACTCAGATGATTGAATAATCTTCCACTTAACTGTGATCAATATCCCTCCATGCCGTTTACTAGCATGTTGAGGAGTAAGGCTCTTGCCTCAACTTCTCTCCCCCCCCCCCCCCGAAGTTCAGTTTTCTATGTGGAATGCATGTTTTTTGTATGGAAGAGCATTGAGTCATGCGCATCTTTAGGCCTGAAGTGGTTTAGCCCGGCTATGGGATGACCACACTGAGTGACGGCTTAGCCTCAGTCAGGGCAGGACAGGAATTAAGCTAGAAGCATATTCGCCTTGAAAAAGGTGGACAATCCCCGTCTCCCTCCGGAGATGGTGGAGTCCTTGATTCGAAGTTTTTAAGCAGAGGTTGGATGGCCATCTGCCATGGATGCATTAGTTGAGATTCCTTCTTTGCAGGGAGTTGCAGCAGTTGACCTTCAGGGTCCCTTCCAGCTCTATGATTCTATGATTCCTCATCTTCCCGTGAAAAAAGGAGGCCTTCATTTCTAGCAGCGTGTTCCTGTGTCACCAAACATGAGCTTTTGCATGTGAGAGAATGTATTTCTCTACAGAGAGCGAGTGTGGGCACTGCAGAAGCAAGACACACACATCAGTGAAACTTCTAATGTTGCTTGCTTGCATTTATGCGGATGAGAACTAGAAAGGCTCTGCGTTCTGGGATAGATCCCTTTATGTGGCCCTGAACTCCTTGGAGGAAGTATGGATTGTCCGGGATCTGGTGGCCAACGCTTAGGTCCATTTAATCTGGAGGCCCTCTGCATTCCTTTTAGACGGATAGGATGGTTGCTGTAAGTTGCCCCTCCCTTTAAGCCACCTTGAAGTAAGGAACTTAAAATACAGCTTTTATTTCTGTCGTTCACGGAGAGAGGTATATCTGGGTTTTGAGTGTCATGTGCCTTCTGTTCTGCGAATATATTTTCCTCCCTCTGTGCTACCTTCTGTCCTTTGCACTCGGCGGACATAAAATGCGCTCGCCGGCAAGAGAGAGAAGGCGGGGTGTGTGTGTGTGTTGCCCTTGGGCTGCAGAGTTTGCAGGCAGAAAGTTCTGCTGGCTCCTGCGTTGCGTGAGGCAGCGGGTCTGCATGCAGCATGCGTGGCTGTGTCAGGGCAGAAGCATGAGGAAGGCTAGGCTCCTATGAGTTATCTGCATGTGAGTCGATGTGCATTGCAGAGTGAGCGTGGGTGGCGCTTTTTCTGTGCAATTGTTTTTCTCTCCCCCCCCCCGGCCCCAGCGTCATGGTCAGTCTTCCCTTCCACCCCGCCCTTGGCGTAAGGCAGTGCGTGCTGGGAGTGGTGTGTTTGTGTCCTCTCCTTCTCACCCCCCCCCAATTCCCTCAACAATGGGATCCTCGCCCAGACCTGGCCTTGTGCCCAGATCTAGTGTGTGTGTGCTTGTGTATTGGTGTGTGTGTCTGTGATGGGGGGGGTGTTCCTACGTGTCTCCTTACTTCACCTCATAGCCTATTGGCTGCCTGCTGGGGGAAAGAGGCTGGCTACAACCCACCCACCCCCAGCTGTGAGCAGAGGCAGCATTGAGTCAGTCTTGCGGGGGAAGGGGCTGTGGTACTCAGGGACGGGAAGGGGCTAAGGGAGGAGGCGAGTGTGAGTCATAGGGAGGCAAGCGGAGGCAGCTCTGTGGAAGAGGAGGCACGCAGGGGGGGGGGTGCCCTGGAGTGCACGACACTCGGGGTTCACTGCCTCTCTGCCCCCCCCTCGCCCACACTCCTTTTTCCCGCCACCCTGCCCCAGGGAGGATAGATTATCCCAGGAATGCGTCTGTGCTGCAAGCTCTTAATCCCCAGCCGCACTGGGCTGCCTGCCAGCAGAAGCAGCTTCAGTGCATATGTGTGAGTAGTATGATAGGAGTGACTTTAATATAAAGACACGTATGTATCTGGGAGCGTGACCGTGATGCACTCATCTTAACGGGTCTCCATTAGCCTGCATGCTTAGCTGGGCTCGCGCCCATGTGCCCCATTCAGGTGTTACACAAGGATGCATTTAATCCCACATGTGGGTCTGTCCATGCATATGGCTAGCCAGGCGTGCACCTTATCAAGGGTATGCCCAGGCTCAGAGGTGGTGACTGGTCCAAGGTCACGCCAAGCCAGATTCACCTCTTGAGCAAGGATTTGAACCCTGGTCTCTCCCAGGTCCTAGACCGTTGTGCGCTAAATCAGTAAGCGGGGGGGGGGGGGGAGGCAAACACCACAAATCTTGCACAGCTTTCCTTAATATCCCCTCCCTACTTTGTTTTGTCTTAAAAACAAAACACCAGCCCTACTTGTTTCCTCTTTTTTCTTACTCTTGACCTGGTTGGCCCCGTCACCACTTCCTGCCCATCCTTACCCACCCCCATCTTCCCTTTTATTGCCCGTCCTCTTCCCCCGCTTCCCCCTTTGCCCCCACCCTTATTTCCCCCCTTCCTCCCTATGCCCCCTACTCTCATTTCCCCCTTTGCCCCCACTCATTTCCATACCCCTCCACCCCCCAGGATTTATGAAGGGTATGCTGGTGTGTATGTGTGTGTCCACGTCTATGCATCTGTTCGATGTGGTGCCCCCTCACAGGCATCTGCCAGGGCATGTGTGGCCACAGCATGATCCAAGCAGGTGCCCACATGGGCGCAAAGTGGGTGGGGAAGGGGCATATGGGGTGTATCATGTATGCACTGCATTTACACTCCACCTTTCTCCCCAAGGAGATCAAGGTAGGGTACCTGGTTCTCTCTCTCTCCCCCCCCTCCCCACATCCTTCATTTAATCCCCACAACAACCCTAGGAGGTAGCCCAGGCTCAGAGGTGGTGACTGGTCCAAGGTCATGCCAAGCCAGCTTCACCTCTTGAGCAAGGATTTGAACCCTGGTCTCTCCCAGGTGCTAGACTTTTGTGCGCTGAGTCAATAAGCGCGGGGGACGGACCCAAACACCACAAATCTTGCACAGCTTTCCTTAATATCCCCTCCCTACTTTGTTTTGTCTTAAAAACAAAACAAAACTGCACCAGCCCTATTTGTTTCCTCTTTTTTCTCACTCTTGACCTGGTTGGCCCCGTCATTACTTCCTGCCCATCCTTACCCACCCCCATCTTCCCTTTTATTGCCCGTCCTCTTCCCCCGCTTCCCCCTTTGCCCCCACCCTTATTTACCCCCTTCCTCCCTATGCCCCCTACTCTCATTTCCCCCTTTGCCCCCACCCCTCCACCCTTTGCCCCCACTCATTTCCATACCCCTCCACCCCCAAGGATTTCCCCACCTTCTCGCGCCCCCCTGCCCCCCTTATCACGCCTCTCTTGCCCCCTCTCCCCTCATTTCGCCTCCCTTTTTCTCTCCTCCGCTCCCCCCTCTCCCCGGGCGTGGTCTCTCCCTCTCTCCCTGGGTTCCGACGGGCGGGCCTGAGGCGGCGGTAGAGTACAAGAGAGAAGACGGGGGGGGGGGAGAGGCGGGAGAAGAGGAGGAGGAGGAGAAGGCGACTGGTAGTAAACCACGGCCAATGGGAATCCCTCTCACCCCCCCCACCTCTCTCTCCCGCCCCGCGATCCGTTCCTTCACCCCCACACCACCCTCGCGGCGGCTCGCGGATTTGCATATGACTGACATTCCAGGGGCGGCCAATGGGCGGCCGCGGTGCGTGCGGCAGGGAGGGGTGCTTATTTGCATGTGAATGACCCAGCGCGGCGGCAGCCAATGGCGCGGCGGGGGCTAATTGGGCATGCGTGACGACGGCAGTCTGTGTGAGTGTGTGTGAGGGAGAGAGAGCGAGTGAGTGAGGAGGAGGAGGGAGCGGGCGAGGAGAGCGAGCGAGAGGAGGGCGGTTCGGGCGAGGGGGCCGCCCTTGTTCGTAGCCCAGAGCGGCCGGGAGAGGGAGGAGGAGGCGGGCAGGCAGTGAATGGTGTTTGGTTACAACGTTACAACCGGAGGGGACGGCGCGACAGGCGGAGCAGCAGCAGCGACAGCCTCCTCCCTCCCTCCGTCTCCGTCAAGACGCTCCGCGACAAGCAACCGCCCGCCTGTCGCCGACAGTGGCTGCGAGGAGGAGGAAGGGGAGGCGGGCAGACGGGAATAGGCGGACAACTCGCGACCTCTCCCCTTCCCCTCCCTCTCCTCCCCTCCCCCCCCGTCTCTTCCTGCCTTCCCAATGCGCGCACACCGTAATCCTGCCAGGCGACAGCCTCTGGCCGGGGATCGGGGCAGGCGGTGTGGGCGCTCTCTCTCTCCGCCCCCCTTCCAACCCCTCTCCTTCCTACCCACCCGCTTTCATCGCTGAGGTGCTAAAGTGCCCTTGCATACTCGCACACACCCACCTCTAGAAACTGCACCTCAAAGCAGCCTGTATTTCCTTCCCTCCCTCCCTCTCTTTCTCTCCCACCAGCACCTTCCTCTCAACGCTGCTGGACCCACACGCCCCTCTCTTTTTGCACACACTGCCAGAGCAGCCGGCTTGGCACATGGGTGCGCGCGCACACACGCCATCGCCACACGGCTACCTACCTCGCCTCCCTCTGCTCCCCCACCCTAAGATGTTTCCTAACTTACCCCATGCCGACTGCCGGACACGCTGCTGCGCCTGTGAGGAGGACCAGAGCAGACCGTAGGAGAAGAGTGTTGCCCCTCCTGCTGCTGCTGCTGTTGCACATGGGCGGCAGTGCGGTGGTGAGCCTTCAGACTGTTGACATCCAGCTGGCCTTCGCCCCGCATGGGACTTTCTAAGGTGGCCCTCTGCCGTGGAGGGGAACTGGCTTGCTGACCCAGCGCGCACCCAAAGCTGCAGACTTCACTTGGCCTGTTAAAGAGACCACCCCCCCCACGCCTCCCTCCCCAGGGCAAGGGCAGGGGGAGAATGCTCTCCGGACTGGGCAGTTGAGAGACACGTGGTCCACCTGCCCTCAGGACAACGGCTCAACACGCCTTGGGATGTTCTCCACAGAAAGACCCCCGTCAGCGTTGCCCCCTCTGCCGCACAGGGGGCTAGGCATGTTCGGTCAGTGAATTCTGGGTTGCAGAGTGGTAATTCTGAAAGGTGGATATGTTTGTTTATGGAGACATGCAAGGCACGCCTTGGTCTTCTCTCATACTCTCTTCATGCTGGAAAGATGGGTGATTTGGAAGATATAGTTGACCTGAAGCTGACCTTTAACCTTTCTTGTGTCGCAAGAGATTGAGGGTGTCTTCCATTTCATACTAAGATGACTGTAGAGGTGAAATCTGCAGGATGGAAGGGGGCGTGGGTTCCTTGATATTTCCATTTCATTCACATAGTCCCCTTTTAAGTTCAGGAGGTCAGTTGGCTGCAGATGGGGAATGGTATTCGAAGTTTCCCTCTTCCCCTTCCCTGACTACAATTTCTATTCCTTGTCTTAAGACGAGGAGCAAATGTTGGATATTTGAATTTGCAGTATTGTGTTTGGTGGTCCATTATGCTAGCAGCAGCTTGGCACCCAGGTGAACTTTTTCTTGGAGTTGGAGATGTTGCAGGTGACAGAACAGCAGCCTTTTTTTCAGCATTTCTGGATGCAGTAAAAAGACACAGCAGCCTGTGGTAAAGGTGGCAACCCTGACTGAGTTTTGTCTGAAGCCCCTCCCTATGGGCACTCCTCCCCTCTCCTCCCCACCCCTTTATTAGCATCCTCTGTAGAAAGGTGATTGGAGAAGATTCCATGTGTTGCTGTTTTCATGCTTTCAGTTCTTTTAATTTGCATGTCATGTCTTGCATCCATGCCAGCTCAGTGAACTTGCTTGCTTTGTCTCCACCTCTGTAGATGAGAAATCGTGGCTTAGAGAATGGTGGTGGGCTTGCGGTTGGTTTATGAAACTGGATTTCTTGTCCTGTTCTCTGTGTTGGATGGGGGCATCTTGGGGGTCAGGAAAGGACGCGGGATGCCATGATTCCACATGGTGCCGCTTCAGACGAGCCCTGTTCTTTGTCACGTGTGTTGTAGTTTTTCTCGATGGACAGCAGCTTCAATCTTGGAAGCTAAATCAGTAATCTTTACTTGGGGGTGGGTGGGGGCAGCCTCCAGTCGTGACATTTTAAGAGCCTTGTTGCTTTGCTGGGACCGGAGGGAGGGTCTTACTATTTTGTGCCCTTCCTTCTGCTGTCGCCCCCCTCCCTTCTCATCCTCCCCCTCCGCATAGGGATGTGGTCACCAGCCGGAGGACAGGAAGCCACTGAGCCAGCATTTCCCGGCACAGTCCAACCACGATGCACTGAGTGCTTTTAATAATTGAGTTAACTTTACACGCAGGCACAGGAGCGATGTGACTGATCCATCAGGGGATGCAAAGGAAGGAAGAGAGAGAGAGGAATGATGGGAAAGGGGCTTAGCAGTGGGAATAGAACTATCCTTTTCTTTCTGGAAAGCAGAGGCCCCCCCCCCTTCTGTTATGATTTTAGCATTTTTCTTATCAAACAAGTACATCCATTTTTTTTAAAACCCCAAACCGTAAGTAAAATCCAAATAAAACCAAAAGCCCTCAGCCTGCAAAGGAATGATGAGCAATGCAGGGACATGGGAAACTTTATATACCAGGACAGATTATTTGTCCATCTGGCTCAGCATTGCCTACTTTGGCTGGCAGCAGCACCCCAGGGTTGTCTGGTAGAGGCGTTTCCCGACCTGACCTTTTTAGCTGGGGATGCCAGGGATCAAACCTGTGGCCTTCTGTGTATTATTCCACCAAAGTATAGTCAAAACTAAGTATGAATTGGTTTTCTGGTAGGTATGTTATTGCTTGTGGAGTGCTGAGCACTTAAGAACGCAGGTGACCCTGAGCAGCAGTTGCTTCATGGGGATGAGGGTAGCATAAAGTATGTTAGGTTGTGCTGTAAGTTTGTGCTGCTGTTTAGAATCAACACTACTCACTCCACAGAATTAAACCTGAGGCATCTTTGTGCACAGCTGATTAGCATGTAGTTTTCCAGTTATGCATGTCAGCTGTGTTTTGTAGAGGCTGTTCGTGGGATGGTGGTAGAGGTGGCACTAATTTTGTGTTTGATGCTGAAACAGAGAGCCCTGCTGCTGCCACTGTATGACTGAAGTTGATCTAGGTAGCCCTGCAATGTGTCCTGGGTTGTTTCCTGTAAAAAACAACAACACATGATGTGGTTTGTTGCAGTGGTGCAAGGCTCTGGTTTAGTCACCCTGGTTTAGTTAAGCTGTAGTGGACACTGTGAGTCCACGTGCCATAGAGCTGAGAGTGTCCTGTAGAGGTGTTTACACAATATTTTGGGCTTACTGGTGTTGCGTATGTGGTTTGTTTTTCGGGTGCCATAGAACCAGGAAGTACAGATGCTGCAAATTTGATTGTGTGTGCACACGCATACGCAAACACATGCAAGCCAGCTCAGGTCTCTCTCTCCTACGCAATAATAGCCTTTTCTTGGAACCCCAAGAAGGAAGTCTTGCTTAGCCTGATACAGGGGCAGCAGGAAGTGATGGGAGGGAGAGCCAGTGCAAGCAGATCACTTCCACCTACAAGGAATAGCTTCTAATGGGGGGTAGTGCTGATGTCTATGGACACTTCTTCCTAGGTGGGGAGGACCTTCTTCTCCTGAGGGCACAACCCTGGGGCACAGTTTGGCTTCCCTTGCCCCACACAGCCTGAGCTCCTGAGGATGCTCTCAAGCCCTCTGGCTGGGATGGAGCCAAGTAGCTTGGCTGCCCCAGCAAGCGTGGGAGTCTGAGTGAGCTGGGCCCCTCACCCCTTCCCTCCCCTTCCCCTCCTGCAGCTGTAAAATTCCTTTGCCTGGCTTCCAGCTGGGAAGGGCGGAGGAGGGGGGGGCTGTTGCTTCCTGGCAGGCAGAAGAGAAAATCTCTCCCACCCCCAGGGACCTAGAAGCTAGCGATAAGGCATGGCACAGATTGTGGCTGCTAGGACTGAGAACGGAAACACAACTGGGATGAGGCTGTTAGAGGTGTGCATGAGAGAGAAAGGGAACTGGAGGAAGGGAGACTTGGACTGTGATTCAACCCTGGAGTCCCGACTCCCAGTCTCCTATTCCCCTTATTTTACTTGCTGGTCTGAGCTGACTGTTGCAACACTTTCTTTCTTCTCCTGTTCCTTCCAGTGTGGACAAATGTGGAGCCACGGTCTGTGGCTGTATTCCCATGGCACTCCCTTGTGCCCTTCCTGGCTCCCAGCCAGCCCGATTCCTCCGTGCAGCCGACCGAAGGCCAGCAGCCTGTCAGCCACCCGTCTACATCCAATCAGAACAAAGGCAAGTGCGCAGGGCGAGAGGAAGAAAGGGGGCAGGTGCAGAATTTCCACCAAGGCTTCCTGCTATGGGACAGGCCAGCAGGTAGGACCGGGCATGCGTGCAACTCCTTGCCCTCCTCCGCAAGAGCACATGGCTGTTCATTCTCTCTCTCTTTTTTTTATAAGATACTTATTAAGGTTTTTTGAAATATTACAGTAAAAATGAAAAAGAAAAGAGAAAAATACAAAATAAAAACAGTTAAAAACACACATATTTTCTATTACTTATTTTCCTTTAGCTTGTTTCCCGGACCTCCTCGTACCTCCCTTTTTTGTATTCCACTTCAATTTATTGGTTCAGCAAATCCTTACCATTAGATTTTAACCCATTTATAACCCTTTTTTCATATTCTCTTAGAACATTACAGCTAGAAACCGCTTAATTGCTATCCAACATCATTCTATCATTCATTAATTTTACAATATTTCTGTAAATAGTCTTTAAATTTCTTCCAATCTTCTTCCACCGACTCTTCTCCCTGGTCTCGGATTCTGCCAGTCATTTCTGCCAATTCCATATAGTCCATCACCTTCATCTGCCATTCTTCCAAAGTGGGTAGATCTTGTGTCTTCCAATACTTTGCAATGAGTATTCTTGCTGCTGTTGTAGCATACATAAAAAAGTTCTGTCCTTCTTTGGCACCAATTGGCCGACAATGCCCAGAAGAAAGGCCTCTGGTTTCTTCAAGAAGGTATATTTAAATACCTTTTTCAGTTCATTATATATCATTTCCCAGAAAGCCTTAATCCTTGGGCACGTCCACCAAAGGTGAAAGAATGTACCTTCAGTTTCTTTACATTTCCAGCATTTATTATCGGGCAAATGATAGATTTTTGCAAGCTTGACTGGGGTCATGTACCACCTGTATATCATTTTCATAATATTCTCTCTTAGGGCATTACATGCCGTAAACTTCATACCTGTGGTCCATAACTGTTCCCAGTCAGCAAACATAATATTATGTCCAACATCTTGTGCCCATTTAATCATAGCAGATTTCACCGTTTCATCCTGAGTGTTCCATTTCAACAGCAAGTTATACATTCTTGACAAATTCTTAGTTTTGGGTTCTAACAGTTCTGTTTCTAGTTTTGATTTTTCCACCTGGAAGCCAATTTTCTTATCCAAATTCTCACCCGAGGCTTTCCATTTCAGAACCTCCAGAATCAGCTGCCGTGGCCCATGAGCTCCCTGGCGTGTCTTCCGGGGCCGAAGCAGGGAGGCCAAACACTTCGCACCCTGACAGCCCGACTCCAGTTTCCCAGCCATCAGCGGCGACTCCTGGAGGGAGCGGAGGGCCAGCCCAGCAGGAAGACGACGTCCCAGGGCACTCGCGCCTGGACAGCGAGACAGAGAGCGATCACGACGATGCGTGAGTTCTGCTGCCTTCCGGGGCTGCTCCATCATGCTTTGTTGCGGTTCTCCTTCCAACAGCCTTGCCGAGGTCACAGTCCCCCCACCCTGCCTGACAGACAGCTGTTTTATAGCTGTGGGTGACTTATGCAAGCTATAAGGCCACGACAGATGTGGGACCGCAGCACAGTGGAGCAGGGAATGTGCTGCTGGAAGGAGCGGCGTGAGGCAGTTGGGAGAGAACCCTAAAACAGAGAGGGAACGGGGAGCATGGTTAAGTTGAAGGAGGATGTCAGCAGACCCAGGCAAGGTGGCGGCGCTGGGAATAGTTTGGAGAAGATGGTGAAATTGGACTTCCTTCTGTAGGTTCCTGTCCGTTGTATCTTCTGAGATTCAACTCCCACTGCTGCCGGGCAAGCGTCGTACCCAGTCACTGAGCGCTCTGCCCAAAGACCGAGATTCATCTTCCGAGAAGGATGGGCGCAGTCCTAACAAGGTGAGGGATCTTTTTCTTCATCTCCTCTTCTCTCTCTCTCTCTCATATTCCTCAGCCTCCCTTCTCCCCATTCAGCTGTGGAATGCTCCACCAGTATTCAGGGTTCACCCTGGGTAAAATATAAGTTTAGTGGTGGCTTTGGTGCTCTTTGCATCCACACACACCTTTTTTTTTTTTGCAGAGAGAAAAAGATCACATCCGGCGGCCTATGAATGCTTTCATGATCTTCAGCAAGCGACACCGGGCCCTGGTGCACCAACGGCACCCCAACCAAGACAACCGTACCGTCAGCAAGATCCTAGGCGAGTGGTGGTACGCGCTGGGGCCCAAGGAGAAGCAGAAGTACCACGACCTGGCCTTCCAGGTACAGCCTCTTAGGGAGCGTAACACGGAGAGTGAGTCGGGAGCCTTATCTGCAAGTGCTGTTGCCTCCCATAGTGCAGCTAGCATGCCTGGCTTAGATCAGTGGCTTCTTTCATCCAGCATTCTGTCTCCCAAGAGTGAGGCTGTTAAGCAGGGCCTGATGGTGAAAGCCAGGGCTGTATGTATATAACCTTTTCAGGAGTACAGAAAAGGTACACAAGCTTGTATGGTTGCAGACCTGAGTTTCTGAAGAATATTTGCTTTCATGTAATTACAAAAGCAAGTCTCCTGCCTTTAGGTTGCCAAAATATGCTTGAAAAATTCATAGCTAAAGCCTAGTAAAATCTCAGAAGCAGCAGTTTTAAAGGGAACATGGATGCTGTGTCTTGCTTTGTTTCTTTTCCCAGTGTATAGCAATGATGCATAATTTGCTCATTTTAGATGGGATTCAGATCTCCATTGCACAGAATTTTAACTTTTGTGGCATGGAGTCTGCAACAGCCATTCCCACTTTTCCCCCTCAGTAGCTGGTACATTGCCTAGGAATCTTTTCTTCATTTTTTTCCGATCTCGACTTTTCTCTCTCCCCGCCCCCCCCCCAAAAAAAAACCAGGTGAAGGAAGCCCATTTCAAAGCACACCCTGACTGGAAGTGGTGTAACAAAGATCGGAAAAAGTCTAGCTCAGACGTGAAGCCGTCGGGGCCAGGGGGATGCTCCAAGGAGACCCGAGAACGCAGCATGTCTGAGACGGGTACTGCTGCTGTGCCAGGAGGTGAGCTCTTTTCATATCTCTCTTCCCCCTGCCACCCCCACTCCTTGCTTTAAGGCTCTCTCCTTCTTGTCTTATCACTCTCTGCTTCCCCACCAGGCCCTTCCGAGATGCAGGTGCTGCTGGGGCCAGAGGGCAAGGCAGGCATGGTAGGATCCGGCCACGGCCATGGGGAGCGGATCCTGCCCTCGGCGGGGCCTGGCGCACAGCGCCCCCGGGCCTTCTCCCACAGTGGGGTGCATGGGATGGAGAGCGACCGTGACAGCCAGGTGCTGCAGGAGCTCACCCAGGTACGTTGGCACACTCTTCTGGCGGCGAGGGGCGGGGCAGTAGGAGGTCATGGAGAATCTGGGTTCCGATCAATTCCAGGGGAATTGGGGCTTTGGGAAGGAGAAGGGATTATTGCTTGCTACATTATTATGGCCTACACTAGTTCTGGGGCTTCCTTGTCGGTTCAGCTGTTGTTTTGCCACCCAGTTCCTTCTTTCAGCTGAAGTCTGACCTGACAAAAATCCTTCAGGTCGCAGATCAAGGATCACCTTGTTGCCCTGGGAGATGCGAGGCTCTAACAGATGACACTATTCTGTTCCAGATGTGCTCAGGACAGTCTCTGTACGTCGGTGGGAAGGGGCAGTTCGGGGGGCTGGGCCCTTCGGGGTCCCCATTTGCAACCCCAGGCGAAGGCCCCAGGCACTCCTTGCACCTGCACGCCTCCCGTGCCTCCCGTTCTCAGCGCACAACCAGTGAGGACATGACCAGCGATGAGGAGCGAATGGTCATCTGCGAAGAGGAGGGTGATGACGACGTCATTGGTAAGGAGTCCCTGCCCCAAATGCTAGCACAACGCTTTTGCTTATCCCTGAACCACACGGAGCTCGGAGTACAGTGGTACCTCGAGTTAAGTACTTAATTCGTTCCGGAGGTCCGCTCTTAACCTGAAACTGTTCTTAACCTGAAGCACCACTTTAGCTAATGGGGCCTCCCGCTGCCACTGCGCCGCCGGAGCACAATTTCTGTTCTCATCCTGAAGCAAAGTTCTTAACCCGAGGTACTATTTCTGGGTTAGCGGAGTCTGTAACCTGAAGTGTATGTAATCTGAAGTGTATGTAACCCGAGGTACCACTGTATTTAAACTTGTTGCCCTAAATTCCTGCATGGCTGCCCACCTCCTAAAGCAAAGGATGAGGAACATTGCAAATACATTGGGGGTGAGGAAGATGACATGTTAAATAAATGCTGTGGCTTCAAGAACTTGATGCAAACCATGAACTAATAGTACAGCATTAAATTTAAGTTGAAAGCTGGAGGACTGATTTTCAGCAATAAGACCTGCACTGTTTTGGAATAGGCTTGCTGGTCTGCTAACTGTTGCCCTCACATCTGCAGCAAGAATAGCGTGTGGTCTTGTATGGCCTTGTTGCTGCTCTTGTGCCATAAATATCAGTGTACCCATATTCTTACCTACCCACTGACCCAACTCTTGCTAGGAGATCTGTTTGCTCCTTGCAGACTAGAAGGTTATTCAGCACTGTGTTATAGGCGCCTCTAGCTTGGGACTAGCAGGGCATCCCTTAAAGCTGCTTTCTGGGGCACTGGGAGCCCAGTTTGTCATCCTGCAAACCCAAATTCATGCAAATCCACCATGTGCCACACAAACCTTGTAGTTAATCTGTTATCAAATGATGTTACATCTGGTAAAATTCAGTGGAACCAAGGAGGCAGGATTTTCTGCGATTTCTGGGGGCTTGTAGAGGCGAAGAAGCTGGGCCCTCTAAGTTATCTTTGACTCTCACTTCTACAATGCTAAAGTTGATTGGGTGGGACTGGAAAGGCTGTGACCCCTATGGATTTAAGAAAGAGTTAGGTTTTTGTGAAATACCTTGTGATTTGCTGCACAGGTAACGTAGCACAAGGGTGAAGAAATGGCTACTCTTCCATTATCGATGGGGGTATCCTTTTTCTTTATGTATTCTGAGATTGTAGTTTGTGGGCATGGAAAATGGTACTGGGAAATTACTGCTTGGGATTTAGCATCTTCAGAATTCCTTAAGTTTCTAACATTTAAGACTGCAAAGATGGGCTGGTGGACTATCTCCCAGATTCTGCGTTCTCCGAAGCTGAAGAGGTGGAGAAAGTTAGTAAGATCTCTAGGGCTTCAGTACCTTGCACAACACTTTATCCCTTTCCATGACTGGGAGAGAAGCAGAGTGAAAATATGCAAACCAAGGAAATATATGCGCTCATTAGCATGATTTATGCAGATTGCAGAATAGTGTGACTGTCCTGAATGCCTGGATAGCTCAGTTGGCTAGAGTGTAGTGCTGATAATGCTAAGGTTTGCAGGTTTGATCCCATATTCCTACTAGATGATCCTCAGGATCCCTTTGAACAATACGATTCTATGATTCCACCGTGTTTTTTCCCTCCTCCCGATTTACACAGTCTTGCCAATAAAGCGGAACTTTAATTTACTTCGGTCAGAGTGCAACACCGACTGTTCTTTACCTGCAGTGACAAGCTGTGCTATTACACTGTAAGCTAAACAAATGTTCCTCGCTACCCAAACCGTTCAAATTTTATTAGCTCAAATAAATGAATGGAATTTCCTCTTCTAGACACAAACTCAATTCAGCAATGGAAGGAGCCACCTCTTTTCGAACAGTAGCTTTAGGCAAGCTGCGGTAATCACCAAATTGCACCACAGAAGGGAAGAAAGAGGGATAAAAGAGGGGGTGCAAAGTGAGGGCAGAGGAGTGATGACGCACCCCCTTGGGGAGCATGGAATCTCCTCCCAGGTGCCATTTCATAGTGAAGTCTTCAGTCTTACCCCCATAACCACAATGACTCAGACTTCCCCATTTATTAAAAAAACCCCCAGTGTTTTCTGTACCACGAGATCATCGTACCTTGCATTAGTTTATGTGGAATAAGCTGCTCTCAAACAAGCATCTGATTCCCTTGCACACAATCTGTCATATGGCATAGAATGCAGAGTGAGGCAGTTTGCTGTGCTGCTTTATTGAGGCTGGATGTTCTCAGCAGTAGAGCCAAGTGACCTGCATGCAAAAGACCCCAGGCTTAATCATTGGCATTTCCAGGTAGACTCCTGCTTGGCACCCTGGAGAGCATCCACCAGCCAGTTACTGCAGACAGTATTGAGGCAGGTGGGGCCAGTGGTCTGATTCTGAATAACGAGTCTTCCTAATCCCAAGAGGCATTTATTACAGGAGTGGGATAGTCCCATTCTTGTTGCTACATGCTTTATAGATTGTGAACGTAGTGGTAGTGGTGCGTACTGGCATTAAAAGGTAACTAAGGGATGCGGGTGGCGCTGTGGGTTAAACCACAGAGCCTAGGACTTGCCAATCAGAAGGTCGGCGGTTCGAATCCCCGCGACAGGGTGAGCTCCCGTTGCTCAGTCCCTGCTCCTGCCAACCTAGCAGTTCGAAAGCATGTCAAAGTGCAAGTAGATCAATAGGTACCGCTCTGGCGGGAAGGTAAACGGTGTTTCCGTGCGCTGCTCTGGTTTGCCAGAAGCGGCTTAGTCATGCTGGCCACATGACCCGGAAGCTGTACGCCGGCTCCCTTGGCCAATAAAGCGAGATGAGCGCCACAACCCCAGAGTCGACCACAACTGGACCTAATGGTCAGGGGTCCCCTTTACCCCCTTTTAAATCTGCATTTAAATGCAATCTTGATTATTTACTGAACAAGATTCTCTGAATGCACCAGAAGCCAGATTGCTCTGCTTCAAAGCTGGGCTGTGGGTAGGTAAAGAGATGGACATTTCTGCCTCTCGTTTTCTGTCCTGCGCAGTGTTTTGTTGTGCCCTGGTTATTGGCCCATTACCAGCACCTTCTTTTCCTCCGATTACTTAGCTCCCTTCTGCACCCAGAGCACCCCTAATTTAGGTCTCTTCAGGGGGCCAGCAGCTACAATTTCTAACACACACACACACACAAACTCCAAAAAATTAGAAATAAACGCTCCGCATTTTGCCTGTACTTGCAGTAAGTGAATTTGCAGATTTGCAGTAATCCTATCCCTCTCGGATAAAAATCTCTGCCTCTCCAGGAGAGTTTTGGAGAGGGAATGGGGGATGTTTGGAGGTGGTCAGGTGTCTTGCTGACTCATGCTTCTGCCCTCTTACAGCTGAGGATGGGTTCAACCCTGCTGATGTTGACCTCAAATGCAAGGAACGAGTGACGGACAGCGACAGCGAGGGTTCCTTGGGGGATGAATCCGACAACAAGGTGAGTAGGTTGGAAGTAAATGAATAAGGGTGCAACTTCCGGGGGATCTCAGACTTGCAACATAAAGAGGTCGTGGCAACGAGAGAGGAAGCTTTGCTTTGTGAGCGTCTGGCTGTGGGATGCTTCAGAGTGTTCAAAGCACTGCACACGTCTTCCTTGCAGCAAGCTAAACTCCTGGCTTTTGGTATGGCATCTTTAGAGGTTTTTAATTAATGTTTTGTGTTAAAATGAGCAAACACAAGCACAGTCCTTTGCAGGCAAGGGGCTGGAGCTGAGAGAGGGAGACTTTGCTGCCCTCTTGGCGGAAGTGAGAGTCAAAATGCGAACTGTCCTGGTTCAGAACTCATTCCTGTTTTGGGACTTAGAATTGTAGAGTTGCAAGGGATTCTGATGGTCATCTAGTCCAACCCGCTGCTATGTAGGACTGGCGATGCTGTAAGGAAGACTATGAAAGCAGCACTGTGGAGGAGATAGCTCACGGGCGTTCCGGCAGCCTTCTAACCCTTTCCCCATCTGCTCGCAGGACTTTGGGCGCAAGCTCTTCTCCCCGGTGATCCGCTCGGCTGCGCTGCCTCCTTCCTCCGGTGCCTTCGCCCCCTGCCGCCCGCCGCCCCCTCTGGACTTGGAGCCACCCCCGCCTCCTCACAGCCTCGACCAGCAGCCCCCTTCCAAGACGTACGGCTCCTTCCAGCTGGCACCCAGCACCTTCAAGGCCCAAGACTCCCGAGGAGGGCTCCGCCCTCACAACACCCCAGCCAAGCGCCTGGAGCCACGCTTCGAATCGGCGGCGGCCTCTTACCGGCGGAAGCGGGCAGACAGTGCTGGAGGGGGCTCCCAGGCAGCAGCCACGGAGTCTGGGGTGGCCCCCCTGGCCGCCCCGGCTCACTCGGTCATCTCTCCGCCTGGTGGAATGTTTCAGGCCGTGGTGCTCTCCGATTCCGCCCGCTTGTCCTCGGGCACCGTGCTGGTGACGGCCCCGTCCATGAGCGCCCCGAATGTGGGAGTGATCGGCTACAGCGGCGCGCCCAGCCTGGTCCGCACGGCCTCCACCGTCGTCACCAACGTGGTCAAGCCGGTTAGCAGCACCCCGGTGCCCATCGCCAGCAAGCCCTTCCCGCGCGGGTCAGGGGAGGGGCTCCCGCTGCTCAGCCCCCCTCCCTCGGATGGGGCCACGAAGGCGGAAGGGATTTCTGTGGGGCGCCTCGGCCTCCTCTACGCCGACAAGAAGACTCAGCCGCCCTCGGCGATGCCCGGGATCCAAGCCACGTCGCCTCACCTTGTAGCCGGCCCTCTCATTGGGCAAGGCTTGACCGCTGTGGGGAAGGGGCCTGCCAACCAAGGCAGCGTGGTGACCAACCTCCTTGTGGGAGCTCAAGGCTACGGGCAAGCGGGCAGCGCGGGAGGGGCTGCCGTTCCGGTGACTGTCTTGCCCCCCGGCGCCATCGCACAGCAGCCCTCGGTGCAGTTCATCACGCAGAATCCGCCTGGGCCCGGGCAGAACGGCCCAGTGCCACTCAGCATCCTGCAGCCTCAGGGCATCCTCTCGGGGGCAGCGGGCAAGGCGGGTGGCATCACTCAGGTGCAGTACATCCTGCCCACCTTGCCTCAGCAGCTGCAGGTGGCCGGGGGAAAGGTGCCGGCAGGAGCGGGTGCTCCTGGAGCTGCCAGCATCCATTTTACTCTTCCGCCAGCCAACGGGAAGGTGATTGCCACACCCCAAGCCATCCCCATCATCCAGCCTGCTCCAGGAAGCGGCAACAGCAATGTCACCGTCATGTCCTCAGCACCCAAAGGTAAGGGCATGGTCCTTTTTTGCTTGATAAGTCGTCCATACCAATATTTTATTTTATTTAATTGCATCACATCAGAGGCTTAGATCTCAGCCTGCCTAGTCTCTCTGTAATTCCCAAGACTGATTGAGAATGCTTCCTGGCTAGTTCATCCATGCCCCATGATGGAGTGCAGAAAGAGATCCATTTTCATTTACGGATCTCTCATCCCTATAGGGTCACCGTGCCCCAAAGCTTTACACATTTTAGATTCTGGCCGCTTTTAATACATGAAGGGGTTTTTACTTGAATCTCCTTCCACCTCTGTGTTAACGGAGCTGGCCTACCTGTTTGTGGTGACAGTGTGGGTCACCGTTTTGTACGGCAGAGTTCACTTCCGGTCCCTGGGCAAGTAAGAGGAGGCCGGCCGACAAGAATATGCACATTGGCTCTCCCTGGTGTAAAAGAGCCAAGAAGAGCCGTGCTGCATTGGGCCAGGGCCCCGTCTAGTCCAGTATCCCATTTTCCATGGCGAGAACCATGTGCCTTTGGGGAGCCCACAGTGCAAGGCATGAGGTCAATTGGCCTCTCCAGAAACGTGTATTATGTGACCATCACAGCTAGTAGCCCCTGATAGCCTTTGCCCTCCATGAATTTGTCTAACCCCTCCCCCAACCGCTGCCCTTTAAAGATTATGGTGAAGGTGCCTCCACCGTATGGGTGCTGCCACCCTGGAAGATTTGATTCCTTGCAAATGGGAAGCAAGCATTACGTGGCCTCTGTCACGGTGCCAGTTCTGTGGATCAAAGTGGTTGGGCGGCCACATACAGGGTAAGGCGATCTTGCAGGAAAACAGTAGAATTACGTAATCCTTGATCGATCTTCCAAACTTCAGAAGCCCCAAATGTAGCTTTCCTCGTAGGGAGAGGTGCTTTTGTCCTCCCGATAGTTGCCCTGTCCTGTGCCTTTCCCAGCTCTGCAACATCCTTTATGAGATATGGTACCTTGGTAGCTCAGCTCAGATGCTGGGCTTTTTGAGATCCGCAAACTGACCTTGCTGTGTGTGCCTCTCTTCTTTCTCCCTCTCTCGCCCCCAGTTCAGTCAGTGTCTCCAGTTCAAGCTCCATCTCCCGGCACTTCAACCCACCTCGTGTCTGGGCAGGTGGTGCCCCCTGCTGGGCTCCAGGTACAAGGCAAGGTCCTGGTGCCCATGGCACCCCCACAGGTGACGGTGCGCACCTCCACTGCCACCCAGCTGCCTCTGGTGACCCCACCTTTCCCCGTCCCAGTGCAGAATGGGAGCCAGCCCGCCAGCAAGGTTAGTTAATTGGGAGTGGGGGCGGGAAGGGGGCTGTGTTGGGTACCTTATGCGACGGGTGAAGGTGGTGGTATCTGCTAATTGTGAATACTACGCTTGGCGTAAATGCTGCAGGACTGTCCAATAATAATAGTAGTAGTTGTAGTAGTAGTAGTAGTTGTTGTTGTTCTGGCAGCTGCTATTAATTACTTTTTTGCACAAAGGGTGGTTAGGTGGCCAATTCATGGAGCAGTAGGTAAGCCTAGGGATGGGGGTTTGAAATTACCTCCATGTAGGAGTCAGTCTTTCCTGTCCTCTGTGTATCCTACTTAGGTCACCCTCTGGGTTTCAAAGTCCTGGTACTTCCCTTGAACCGCAAGGTCTTTAATTCATGGCATGTAAAAAAACAACAAACCCCAAGCTTTCTATAACCTGCCAAGATACCTTTGGCTAGTACAGTTCTTTCATTTGTTTTTGACTCTTGTATTCCCCCTTTTTCTTGCAAATAGTGTAATCAAGTTTCTTTGAGTATATTGTTAATGTAGTACAACGTAGGGAGGAGAGTAGAGCCTCTTAACGTTGTGTAGCAGTGCTTAATTCAGCTGCTCGTTCTATAAGTAAAGTAAAGAAAAACTCAACCCTGTAGGGCCACAGACATGCTGCAAAAATGGAGGATTGAAACTTTGGTACAGGATGCGTTGCTTCGACTGGAATGCTGAGAAAACTCTGCTTTAATCTCTTTCTTTCTGGACGAGTTTATCAATTTCAAGATTGTGGGGAGGGACTTTAAAAATGAAGGAGAGATAAAACTAGAAGGCAATTGGTGGGCCCAGATGGTTTCTTCCTCACAGCTCCCTGTCCCTACTGATCACAGGCTGCAGTTCCCACTCACACTTCAATGCTCCTTCCTCTCTTCCAGTTAGGGCACCTAAGGCAGTATAGGTTACATGATTACTGTTCCTACTACTGCAGATGTTGAATTCTGACAAATCAGACCTGAATGCCGTGTGGAAACAGTGTTTTCATGATGTTGGTTGGCAGCTCTGATTGACAGGTCTGCCTGGCCACCCCGTCTTTCTGCTTTTCCAGATCATCCAGCTCACCCCGGTGCCCGTGGTTCAGCCCCAGCCCTCCTCGCAAAGCAGCGCCACCTTGGTTCCCCCCCTTAGCCCAGCTGCTCTCCAAGGCACTGTGGCCACTGCCGTCATGGGCTCCCCGAGCCAAGCCCAGAAAGTCCTCTTGCCCTCCTCCACCAGGTACAGACAACCCCCCTACTGATTGGCTATGCCAGATCCTGGGGGCACCCTGCCTGGGGGGTGGGGAAGGTGGCAGGGGTGCGATCTTGTTCATTTCAGCATCAGCCACCTCCTTTGCTATAACACACTCCCCCCCTCTCTCTGCCCCCAGGATCACCTACGTGCAGTCAACAGCCGGGCACCCCCTCTCCCTGGGCACCTCGGCCTCCCACACACAGCCCAGCGCCCCCCCGGCCACGCCTGCCACGACCTACGTTCAGTCCCCAGTGGGCCCTGCCCCCATGGCACTGGGTTTCACAGCCATAGGGCCGAATGGGCAGGCCATAGTGCAGCCGCTGCTCTCAGGTAAGGTTGGCAAGGCAGTTGGGGGGGAGGCGGATGGGGCCAGGCTGGGCGGATGCGCTTGGCAGGGGCATGGCGGCAACGAGAGATGGCGCCAAGGGTCGACTGGCCTTGCCTCTGGCTTGCCTCTGATTCCACTGCCCATTCTGCTTCCTGCAGGTCAAAACCCTCTGCTGGCTCCAGGGCAAGTGGTGTCCCCACTGCAGAGCCCCCAGCTCCCGGCGTCCTGTGCCGGACAAGGGCAGGTCATCACTGCCATCTACCCCAGCCCCACCGGGACCAGTCCTGCTCAGCCCACCAGCCACGGCGTGGTCTACACGGTGGCAGCCACAAGCACCGTCACAGTCTCCTCTCCCACAGCCATCCTGCCCAAGGGGGGCAGCAGCACTCAGAGCCCAGGGGCCCCCAGCCAGGGCCTGATTTCCACAGGTACGGGGTGGGTGGGTAGAAGCAGGTGGGGCTTGACCCAGAGGGAGGAAACTGAGAAGTAGGGGAGGCAGCCAGGGAGGACACTGAGCTAAAAGAAACAAATTGTACACCTAGGCTGCAGTTTGTAATCCCCACAAATGTTGCCCATCGCTTTGCATCATTTGAAGTCCATAAGGAGTAGAAATCTTGCTCTTTTTTAAAAAATGCGCATTCCACTATAGTTCATTCCATTATAGTTGAATGTACGAAAAAGAATATAAAACAAAACTGCACGATAATACCATGACAGCAGAAAAAGTATAACGAGAAAGATTGGAAGTCTTTTGCAAAAAATTTTTTATCTGATAGCTATAATGTCAGATAAATTTTGGTCTTTTTTTCTTTTTTTGTCTTTGTTTCAAAATTTTCCTTTCTTCCCCTTTCTTTCATTTTTTTGTATATAAATCTGAAATACTTACCTTCGTTGTATGTTTGTATCTTTGTATTTTGAACCAATAAAGATTTAATTTAAAAAAAAAAATGTGCAGGGCGCTCCTGCTTGGCAGCACTACTTTCCTGTGGTGCTGGATCTGTCCGGATCCTGAGTTAGGTGGGTGTTCTTTCTCTTTTGGGCGTTTCTGACTTGACTCTAACCAGCTTCGTTTCCCCACCTCCCTCCTACTCAGCTACCCCTGCCGCTCCTCCAGCAGTTCCCCGACCTCAGCGGCCGCCGCTCAAGCCCCTCCAGAAGGTGAAGGCCACGATCGCCAGCATCCCGGTCGGCTCTTACGAATCCTCCCCCTCTCCGGGTCCGGCCCGGCCCCCCGGAGGGCAGCAGCAGGAGCCCGGAGGGTCGCGATGCCACCGGGAGGCCGAAGCCGCGGGAGAAGCCCGGACTTTGCGGGAGGCGGGGCCCCAGGAGCCGCCTCTTTCCCCCGCGTGCCGGGGCAGCGAACAGAACCCCCCGCCCAAAGCCCAGGATCTGAAGCGGGAGTCCTGGGAGCCGGTGTCGCCCCCGTCTCCCCAGCAACCGCAGGTCACGGAGGCGGCGTCCGCGGAAATCTGGAGCCAGCGGGAGGCAGGAGCCGGCGAAGAGAGGGCGGTCCGTGACCCTCCACTGGGCAGCAAAGGGACTGAGACGGTAAGAAGGAGACAGGAGGCCTTTGCTCAACCTGTACTTCCAGCGCTTGGAAATCCCGCAACCATCTTTGCCAACCCAGCCCCCCCCCCCAACATTTCACCAGGGCAGGCAGAAACTGGAAAAGTCTTCCACAAAGTCTCCAGCAGAAGCTCCAAGGAGATGGTTCTGCTGAGATAAGATGGCGCCCGGCACACTTCCCCTGTGCTGATGGACGCTTGTGCCGATAGGAAAAACTTGAACTCTTAGCAGAGTTCTTAGCAGAGTTCTTCAGCGGTAGAAAGTGTTGTCTTGTGTGTGGATAATAAATCAGACTGAACGCAGGCTTCTTGCTAATCTCTAACAGCCCTTAATGAGAAGAAAAACATCATAAATCAGTCCCAGCGAGAGAGCAGGCATCCTTCTCGCCTCTCAGCCAAAAACGAAAGGAAACTCACACACAAAGAAAGATTCCCGTATGTGAACCAAACCACGCCTCGTCACACAGAACTGTTTAACCCTGTAAGTTCTGATTCTCCTCACAGGTTCTGTGTCAGGGGAGCACAGCCACTGAGAATGCCTCTCTCTGTTCCAGCCTTGACTAACATGCGCTCCCCCCCCCAGCCAATGTTTTGGCCTACAATTCCCATCAGCCCCAGCCAGCACAGCTGTAGGAATACAGCTGCATGTCCCTGGAGATTCCCCCAAGCTGCAGCCTGAGCATCTCCTGGAGACTTTGGAAGACCTTCCCAGTTTTCACCTGCTTTCACCCAGTTTTAAGATCACGAAAGGTTACAGGGTTTTGAACATCAGGATTGAGTATTCTGGGCTGTGCATTTATATAATAACCTCCCGCACATAATCATCTTGCCTTGCGAACCAAGCGAGAGGGTCTTCCCGCTAGTAGTTCACCTGCCCATTTGCCAGCCTTGCTGATCTGCCTCCATGTTGGCTTGCTCTCCTTCTTAATGCCTCTTCCCAGACGCTCTCTGGTAGTAAACACCCTATTCCTTTCTTCCCCAGGCCCACAAGTTCTCCACTTCCCCGGACTGGAGAACGGCCAGTGCTGAGGGCCGCGGTGAAGCGTCTGCCCCATCCGCAGGCCCGCTGACTTCCTCGCTCAGCCCTGGCCCTTCGAGCTCCACGGAGGCCCCTAGAGGAGGCCCCTCGACCCTTGCTCCAGCAGCAGCAGCCTCCACATCCGAGGCCGGGCCCGAGCAGAAGGAGGTCCCCGTGGGGAAGAAAGTCAAGGTCCGGCCCCCGCCGCTGAAGAAAACCTTCGACTCTGTCGACAAGTGAGTGATTGGGGAGCTGCAGGAATGGGTTGCCAAAGACCTAAAGCACAGGCAGCTGCTGTATGCAGAGTCAGATTATTAGGTCCAACTAGCTCAGAGTGGTCTGCACTGATTGGCAGTGGCTGTCTGGGATTTCAGGCAGGGAGTCTTTCCCTGGAGATGTTGAACCCCAGGACCTTTTTGCATGCAAAGCAGATGCTCTATCACCAAGTTACATCCCTTCCCCAGGAGTTAGGTTTTGCAAAGTGTGCTCTGGGGTATCTGGAGTTCTTCATCAGGGGTTGCCGAATTCCCCCCTCCTACCCCTCAAATGCAGCTTGCTTTTTGATACAATATTATTATTATTATTATTATTATTTTATTTACATGCCAACCATCTGACTGGGTTATCCCAGCCACTCCTTTTCTTCAATAGGCAGTTGGCTGCTGGCAGTTAGCTTGAAGGGACCACCTTCCGTTCATGCTGGTTGTATTTATATTATACGTATTATCACGTGGTTCTCCTAGAGTCATAGAACTGTAGAGTGGGAAAGGGAACCCTGGGGGTCATCTAGTCCAACCCCTTGCAGTGCAAGAATCTTAGCTGAAGCTTCCATGAGAGATGGCCATCCAACCTCTGCTTTAAAACCTCCAAGGGGTCCATAACCTCCTGAGGGAGAGACCGTTCCACTGTCAAATAGCTCTTAATGTCAGAAAGTTCTTCCTGATGTTTAGTCAGAATCTCCTTTCCTTTAACTTGAAGCCATGGGTTCGGGTCCTACCCTCCAGAGCGGGAGAAAACAGGCTTGCTCCATCCTCCATGTGACAGCCCTTGAGATATCTGAAGATGGCTCCTCTCCCAGTTAGAGCTTCCCAACAAGCCTGTGATGTAGACTAGGCTGAGAGAGAGTCCCTGGCCCAAGGCCACCCAGCGAGCTTCATGGCCAAGTGGAGATTTGAGATTGGTTCTCCCAGATGTTCTGCCCCTGCAGTGACATGGAGCCAGGGAGGTTCCGTGGCAGTGCATTCTAATGTGCGAAGAACTCTGTGCAGCTAGGAAGCTTGGGAAGCTGCAGACGCCAGGGGGGAGTTGAACTTGGTTTGGCACGTGTGAAGGCTGCTTTCCGTGTCACTCTTTTCTACACAGCTGTTGATGCTTGTGCCGAACTAACAGCCCAATTCCAGAAAAGGCACGCGCCTCCGTAATGTGCAAATAAGTGTGCAAAGTGCCCTGTTTTGGTCTGAGCTCACACGTCGGTAAGAGAGTACGTGCCAGCATCGCATCCTGCAGAAACACACACGTTGGTTAGCACTCTCTTGCAGAACGGGCGGTGTTGCAAGTTAAATTCACAGGTGAAGGCGTCCTTTTCTGTAGACAAGGTTTTCCACAAAGGCTTGTCACTGGTGGTGGTGGGACCCTGGAGGAAAGCACTGGCCTTTTGAAGAGCAAAGCACGAGGAGGCTGCTGGGTTGGGGGGGCAGCGTGTGTGTTGGGGGGGGCATGTTCTGCGGGAGCCCCTGACTGCACGGTGTGACCCACACCCTGTCCCCTTCCCCAGCAGGGTTCTGTCGGAGGTGGATTTTGAGGAGCGCTTTGCCGAGCTGCCTGAATTCAAGCCCGAGGAGGTGCTGCCCTCACCCACCCTGCAGTCGCTTGCCACCTCGCCCCGCGCCATCCTCGGCAGCTACCGGAAGAAGCGCAAGAACTCCACCGGTAAGGAGCCGGGCAGGGCCAGGAATAGCCTTCTGTGGTAGCGGCTGCTGGGCATTGCAATTCCAAGACAACAGAGAGGACAAATACAGAGCAGCAGATGAGAACGGCAGACATAGATATTGCCAGGGGCTGGACAGAGGAGGAAGGGTGGTGGCCTCATGAACCTTCCTGAGAACAGGAGGACAGTATAGACTTAGAGCAGTGGTTTGCAGAAGGACATAGTTCAGAGAATGTAGAGGTGAAAAGCTGGGCAATATTGGAAGAGGAAGCAGTTTCACTGGGGGAGAGACAGATGACAGTGTCTTTGGAGAGCATTCCTGAGTCTCCCTCCCCCAGGACTAGGCGTGCAGTGAGAGTAGCCGAACAGAAAGCTCAAGAGACAGAAGCCCAGACCAACCAGCGCAGGCAAGACTTACGATAAGAGACGAAGGGGGGTGGGACTTGGAGCAATGCCATTATAGGGAAGGCTGCATTCCTTCATCATTCTCTGTGAATTATTGAATAAATTGCTTAGTAAGAACTTTTATTGTTTCTCTGATTCTGGGCTGCCACCATGGGAGGGCTCTGATTCCCCAAAGCCTGACAGATATGGAGGAAGGGGTACCATCTGTTCTGTGGAGAGTCTCCAGGCAGGACAGGTTTGCCCAGGAGGTTACTGGAGTCGAAAAGCAATGTGGGATATCCGCCCCTTTCACATTTCTGGGATCAGGTGGGAAAGGAAGCGTAACTTGTGCTTCCTATTTCCAAGCTGTCCCGTAATTCTGCATCCTTGGGTTTAATATGGTGCAGGTTTTTAGGGGCAGGACTTTCCCTTCCCCTGACTTGGTAACACGACTTGTGTGCGGGTGTCCCTTTCAGACCTGGACTCCTCTACAGAGGACCCCATCTCCCCCAAGCGGAAGATCCGGCGCCGCTCCAGCTGCAGTTCGGAGCCCAACACGCCCAAGAGTGCCAAGTGCGAAGGAGACATCTTCACCTTTGACAAAACCGGTGAGTAAGGTTGGAGGGCCGGGGGGGGATGATTGGGGAGAAAGGGTGGCAGTGGAGGAGAGGCCACCTGAGCCTCAAGCAGCACTGAAAGGGTCCAGAAATACCCCCAAGCTGTGTACCTGCTTCTTCAGAGGGAGGGTGACCCCATTCAGAGCAGGCAATCTCCCAACTATCCGCTAGCAAACCACCCATACCCCAAACTTTTTAAAGGGGCATTTTGGCTCCAGGTGCATCATAGATCCTTTCTCAATTTAGGCACAGACACGGAAGACGTACTCGGGGAGCTGGAATACGAGAAGGTGCCGTACTCTTCACTCCGGCGTACCTTGGACCAGAGGAGAGCTCTGGTCATGCAGCTCTTCCAGGATCATGGCTTCTTCCCTTCAGGTAAGGAGGAAGCTCAACCCGGCTTTCCCGGCTGACATTGTCCTTGGGGGAGTAGAAGTTTGGATTTTCCTTTTCCTGCAGGGGATTCTACCGCCCCCCCCGCCCTTGGACCTTCCCTCCACTGCAAGAAAAACGACTGTAGTTTTTGGGTTTCAACTGAGCAGCCATGTTAGGGTCCACCAGACAGTCGTGGAAATGTAATCGAGAGCAGCATTCCTCGTCTGGCGGTTTTTTTGGATTCCCGGCTCTCACCAGCCCCAACCACCACGGCCAGTAGCTGGGGACGATGGAAGTTGTAGTCCCAACAGCTGCTGGAGGGCAGCAGGTTAGGAAAGACTGACGTAGAACAACTCTGTGTTGTTGTCCTCCTGCTGCTATCTGAATGGCAGCTTTCAGTTTGGAACAGGAACCGAGACTGACTGTACCCCTCCAGGCTTCTTCTGTATATTTTTTGGCTTTGCTAGTGGGTGGGGTGTATGCTCCAGGTTCTTCACATTGTTAAAGCACTGCCTAGGGAAGAGTTTCTGTATGTGTTCTATCAGAAAGGGTGGCTGCATCTCTGTAGATGAATCACACTTCATTCATTCATTCATTCATTCATCCAACCAACCAACCAACCATTCATCCATATACCCCGCCTTTGAAAAAACAACAATCATTTTAAAAATTGAACATTAATAGAATTAAATTTATCTATCATCTATCTATGAAAAATATATAAAAACCATACAAATAAAAACAGCATAGCACCAGCCCTTTCATTAAAAGCACTCAGTTCCCCAAAGCCTGCTGGAACAAGTGTATGGAGGAAGGACAAAGAGGGAGCCAGTCTAACTTCTCTAGGGAGGGAGTTGCAAAGTCTGACAGCAGCCACTGAGGCAGCCATTTCTTGCATCCCTAACAAGAGTGCTTCTGAGGGTGGTGGGACTTGAGAGAAGGGCCTCCCCTGAAAATCTCAAAACCAGGGAAGGTTCAAATGAGGGAATACGCTCCATAGAATTGTATGGTTGGAAGAGACCACAAGGATCATCTAGTCCAACCCCGAGATGCAGGAATCTTTGCCCGGTATGGGGCTTCAACCCATGACCCTAGCGTTCAAAACATTTCAGAGATTACTGTAATATTTCTTGGTCTTTCTCTGTTTTGTGGCCTAGTTCAGTTCTCTGCATTAGTTTGTAGGCTTTCTCCCCCCACTTTTTTATTCCCCAGCCGTTCTCCGCCGCCCCATCCTCCTTGCTGCGGCACTCACCACCTTTCCTCCCTCCCTTCCTCTTTGGCAGCCCAAGCCACCGCGGCTTTCCAGGCCCGCTACTCCGACATATTCCCCACCAAGGTCTGCTTGCAGCTCAAGATCCGGGAAGTGCGGCAGAAGATCATGCAGGCGGCCACCCCGACGGAGCAGGCCCCGAGCACGCCGGAGCCCGGAGGGCCCGCCAGCCAGGGCAGCGCTGCAGAAGCGGGGCAGCCTCTGGAGCTGACCATGGCGCAGGACTGTGCGCAAGGAGCAGAGGCCACCTCTGCCGCCACCGCCACAACTGCCCCCCTTCCTACAACAGCTGCCAGTTGGGACTGTAACCAGCAGTCTTCCCCAGGAGGCAGCGGCAGCGGAGGCAACACCAGCAGCAGATGAACAGCCGTGAGCAGAGAGAAACAGCCTTGTGGAAAAGGAGTGGGGGGGGGGATATTGGAGCTTCGCCCCCCCCCCGCTGCCATCTCTGTTCGTCACCCCTGCCCTCCTTCCCTTGCTAAGTGCTTCCCCCATTTTCTGTGCCCCTGCTCAGGGACTGGAAGCGGGGAGGCAGCTGTCCTTCCTATGCAGACTCTTCCTCTTTCTTCTTGCACTCCTCTCCAGCCAGTCTGCTCCGAGAGGGAGGGGCTCTGGTCTGCTGCCAGCCCCTTCGCTTCCCCCTCCACCCCAGGACTCGAGTGGTGGTGCTGAAAAACCATTCCAGGACACACAGGCCTTGCTCTCTCTCTCTCTCAATGCAGCGGAGACCGGTGACGGGGCCGAGCTGGGGGACAGTTTTACAAAGGGCCTTGAGCGATGGACCCGTGCAAAGTGTCGGTTTCCAATTTCAAGGCCCCTCCCCGCCCTTTTAATAATGTTAAATATTTTGAGAACCCACATATTCGTTGCTTTTGTGTCCGTAACTGGGGTGGAGGGGAGAGTCTTTCCCCAGACACACACATACACACAGCTGAAGGGGGTCAGGCGGGGAGTTTGCGGCCTTGAGTTCTGGACAGGGTTATTGCTTCGGTCGCCAGAGGCGAAGGAAGAAGAAAGCACACCCAGACCGCTGCTGGGATCAGTTGATTACGACGCCCACTTCTCTTGACCGGTCAAGGCTCTGCGTTGGCAACGAGAAGGAGGGAAGAGGGCGCTATTTGCGGTAGAGACTGCATACAGACCAGCCTACGTCTGGACAGGCGGTGGAGAGGGGTTTCTGCGAGTGAGGGGCTGACCCAGCACTCAAAGAAGCAAGAGAGAGCAGGTGTGGGTAGCTGGGGGGGCTCCCCCCCCCGAGCGTGAGTGCCCTGGCGGCCCCACGTCACATGTTGACCATGTGTGTAACCCCTTCTGTATTGGGGTGCTCCCACCTCACATGCTATTAAAGCTCTTTAACAATCCGTCCAGTCGTGGAGTTTTAGTTGCGCACAACTTTGGGGAACACCTTCTGGTGGGGGATACGCTTTCCACCAAATTCTCCTGCAAGTCTGGTGCAGAGCGGCACAGAACCCAGCTCCTTCCAAAACCTCCACTCCAGCATCCTCCAAAGGCTTTTAACCCTTAAAAGGGAAAAAAAGAGGTATGTCCGAGATGAGTGTATGAGATAAGAAGCCAGAGCGGTTCCTGTGAGCCTTGGCCCTGGGCGCTCTCCCTTCTGCAACACTGCAGCGGCAGAATAAAAGTGTGTACATTTGCAGCGAACTTGTGCAGGCCTCAAACCTCAAGGCGCGTCTGTTACAAAACCCAACAGCAGCAGGATGTGGAGTTGGCTGCATAAATGGAGCCCTTTTGTGCATCTGATTTACAGGTCTCTGGGTTACAATCCTTATTCAAAACGATTTTCAAATGGATCTTGAGTGGCAGGAGGAGACTGAACAGCAGCAGGTTGCAATCAGTGTAGACTAGGGGTCAGCAAACTTTTTCAGCAGGGGGCCGGTCCACTGTCCCTCAGACCTTGTGGGGGGCCGGACTATATTTTGAAGGGGAAAAAAGAACGAATTCCTATGCCCCACAAATAGCCCAAAGATGCATTTTAAATAAGAGCACACATTCTACTCATGTAAAAACACACTGATTCCTAGACCATCCGCGGGCTGGATTTAGACGGTGATTGGGCTGGATCCGGCTCCCGGGCCTTAAGTTTGCCTACGCATGGTGTAGACGGTGGTCCCCTCCAAAATCTAGATTTCTACATATGAAGAGAGATGACCTATGCCTGTTTTTCAGCCATTTCCTGATAAGGCGGGGCAACTTCTTTTTGTGAGTGGTGAATGGTAGGATTATTGAGTAGGCATTTATAGCATTACGAGGTTCTGCACCGAGGCTGTGTAATGTTGGCTTGCACCACATCTCAAACCCTGCTGTGCTGTTGGCATCTGTCTTGTTTTGGAAGACAACAGAAGAGTGAGTCGACAATTTGGAGAGCTCCACCGCTTGCTGTGGCAGTAAGGAACGATACAGGACTTGCACCACGGCGGTTAACAGTAAGCCCCACCTGTCCATTTAGAGATGAGACCCTGCGCTTCAATTACCTAAAGGTTTGGGAGGGAGCAGCTTTAGGGAGAAGGTGCCATTATACAGAAGCACCAGCTTTCTGGATCTTGCATGTGCTCCATCTGATTCAATATTCAACTACCTAGCAAAGATTCCAGGGAACAAAGGTGATATTCCCTGCTGCAGAGACATAATAGGCCCTCCATGGAAGGTTCATGCATATCGGTGGGGAACTATAACTCCCATCATCTGTGACCACTGTCCATGCTGACTGGGGCTGATGGGATTTGGGGTCTCAACGGGAGCTGGAGGGCTTCGTTCTCCACAGCTGCTATTACACGCTGTGGCTAATGCTTTGACAGTTCTATACTAATCCCTGTAATTTTTCAAAGTCTGCTTAAGGCAGGCCACCCCCAGAGAATAGGATAGTGCTTTAGCAAACCTCCATTTTCGTTTGAGAAGTCGCTGCTTGCAAATCTGGGACAAAAAACCCCACACCCAGTCAGAATCCTAGACTTGAAAAGGATTGCAAGGGCCATCTAGTCCAACCCCCTGCAATGCAGGAATCTTTTTGCCCGGCGTAGGGCTCAAACCCACAGCCTTGAAATTAAGGGTCTCATGTTCTACTGGGTGGAGAGAAAGAAGAAGCCAGTCTTGGAGACAAGAAACTTTGTGCACCACTTTTATTAAGTAAACATAAGCAAGTTCACATCAACTTGCCCTGTGCCCAACTTAATTTTTTGGCAAATGCCGGCCAACAGGCCTCCCAACCCCACAGTCTCCCACAATCACTTAACAATCTACAGAACTAACATGCTGAAAGGGATTTGGGGGAGAGAAATCAGCATTCGGTGCTGAATACTAGGTAGATGAAGACATAACAGCTTGGGAGAGAAGCTGTATTTATTGCCTACCCACTTGAAGACCGGAGGAGAGGTGGCGGGAGAGACAGCATTCTAACTTCTGGGGAGATGTCCCTTTGCAGCCACCCAGGCCAGAGCGTGGCTCCATCTTGGCCACAAGCGACAGCATTTGGTCAAGGGCTTTGAGCGTGGCATTCTCCCAGCATGCAAAGCAGCAGCCGGTGCAGGCCGGGGCAGAGTCTGGCGTAGCCGTTGCGGGTCAGGTGGAGGTAGTCGTACATGTCGTGGTGGCTTATGGTCCCGTCCGAATGCACAAAGCCCGGGTCGACGTTGAGAAAGGAGGCGTTGGGCAGCAGAGGAACCTTTGCCTCAAGCAATTCGTTCACTCTGCTGTTCTTCTCCCGCAAGGGGTTGGGGTTCTTGCCCCGCGGCAGCAAGCCCTGCGTTGGAGGAGACGCGAGCCGATTAGAAAGCAGTGCAGACCTTACGCTAGGGTTTCCCGAACTTGGGGTTGTTTTGGGACTACAGTTCCCATCATCCCTGACCACCGATCCTGCTAGCTGGGGATGATGGGAGTGGTAGTCCAACAGCAGCTGCCTTAAACCTTCATCCGTCCCACCAGAGCAGTCCCGCCCAGACACCCTTGACACTCACCAAGACCACCACGCGGGCCTGCGGTTGCTGCTGCTGGATGACCCGCACAATGGCTTCTATGCCGCCAGCCACCTGCTCGGCAGTGTGGCCGTGGTTATTGGTGCCCACCCAGACGACCACGATCTATGGGTAAAAAGAGGGTGGGGGAATGGGGGAATCAGTTTCTCTTGGAGAAAGGAGAGGTTGCTGTCCCGGCCTAAAGAAAGCCACCCGCATCGTTACAACAATTATATTCTCCTGTAGCTGAAGATTCCTCCCTGCAGGGATGGAATGTTGCTGTACTCCCATCAACCACAGGTTCCCCATCCTGCTTTTAAAGCCACAATTGGGCTCTTTTTTCTCAGCAAAGGTTGACAAAGGGGGGGGAGGAGTCTCTCCCCTAACCACTGGGGGCAGTGACAAACAGTATGGGGATGGGGTGATTGGGGCGAGCTGTGAAGGGGTGGGTTTTTTGGGGGGCCAAGGTGCAAAGAGAATGGGGTTAGCATTGGGGTGGGATGGGTGAGCAAGGATGGAAGCCCCTAGCTGATGTTTTAAAAGCTTGTTTCAAGTCCTTAGGCCTGGCAGCTACAGTATACAGTGGTACCTCTAGATACGAACGGGATCCGTTCCGGAGCCCCGTTCACATTTAGAGGTAAACGTAACTAGCGACGGCGCGTCTGCGCGCGCCGCTTTTCGCAGCTTCTGCGCATGACGTCATTTTGAGCGTCTGCGCATGCGCAAGCCGCAAAACCCGGAAGTAACGCGCTCCGTTACTTCCGGGTTGCTGAGGAGCGCAACTTGAACGTGCTCAACTCGAAGCATATTTAACCCGAGGTATGACTGTATGCTTTACAAGGTGCAGATAATCTGAGCAAATCGGGAGAAGTAGTCTGAACAGAATTTCCAGTGCTTTCTTCTTCTTCTTCCCAAGGACTCATTAACTAGTGAAAGCAGAATTAAGCAAAATAAAGAGACATAGGCATATGATGCATGCGTCACAGAAACTGAGTTAAATATTATTTGCAAAGAGTTTATGCAAGAAGGGCTACTGTCGATTTATCTCTATCCTTTTCATCCTCCATTGTGAGTTTTTGGATACGTCCTTTTGAAAAAATGCCGAAGTACACACACACACACACTCCTAGAGGCAGAATAAATTATGCAGAAAATATGAAAATCTGTAAGATTTCCTACTAGTAGAACAGAAACAAACCTAACTCTCCTTAAAGATCAGCAATTACTTCCTCATCCTGCTCTATGTTCCCGTACCACTACTACCCAATCTCGGATGCTTCCCGTAAGGAGACATCTCTTGGGAAAAGCTTTAGGATCACGGGAGAGTGCTCAATCCCTGGCATCTCCAGTTTTTAAAGGATCTTGCTGATCAATGCCTCTGAGATCTTGGGAAATGGCAGTCAGTCAGTTCTGGGCTGGATGGACCAATGGTCTGAGTCGGCATAGGACTATTTCATAAAGATTACCTTTGGTCGGATGTGCTGCAACTCCCCATTCTGCAGGCGCCAGAGCACATGCTGGGTGGCATCGCCCCCAATGCCAAAGTTGAGAGCGTGTAGAGGGGAGAAAAGCTCTCTCCAGATCTGTGGGGGGGAGGAAGCAAATCAGCTGTCAGACCATTAAAAGAGAATTCCACTTACCCATCTCGCCCCTTACAGGTTTCTTTCTGAGCCACCTTACCTCGAACTGGTGCAGCAGCTGCACCAAAGAGTCTCCAATGAAGACAACCTCTGGTTCCTTGTCTTTGCTATCAGCAATAAAGCGATGGTGCTGTTTTATGGGGAGAAAGAGGGCAAATTTCAAGAGACAAAGTTAAAAAAAGGAACGTCATTAGGTGGAGAGAGGAAGCAACCCAGGCATGCAGACCAGTTTCAAAATGAGTTGCAGGTGAGACTCACTATAGTCTTAAAATATACCTAACTCCGCACAGGAGTGCCGCCTTAATCCCTGCAATGTTAAGGCTGCGCACACACCAATTCTTCAAATCACATTAGAAGCACATTCCTCCCTCTCAAAGAATTCTGGGCAATGTAGTTTACCCCTCACAGTGTTACAATTCCCAGCAACCCTTAACAAACGAAAAGTGCCCAGAATTCTGGGGGGGGGGGGAATGTGCTTGGAATGTACCTTAAAGTTATATTGCGTACGCAGCTTTTGTGTATTGTTACCGCCAACCATTTCCCGTTCACTTACCACACAAAAAACTGCCATGTATTTACATGCCAAGACATAGAAATGGAAAAAACTCCACTGTTATTGTCCACCCTGATGAGAAAGAAGTGGCTGAAAAGGAGGCTAAAAGGGGTACCTAACATTCATAAAGCACTTTCCACATCGTAATGTGTGAGGTGGTAGCCAGGCCAAAGGTGAGAAATTAGGCTTAGAAATGGAACCTTCCCAGGGGCATAAATGTACCCCATGCAAACTCAACACTCCATTCTTGGCCTTCAATTAGTGGGTGGTATAAGAGTGGGTCCCACCTCCCTTTACAGCTTCAGGTGAGCCACACTGGTGATACCAGCACCATTTTCTTTTGTAATAATAATAATAAGAAGAAGAAGAAGAAGAAGAAGAAGAAGAAGAATTTATTATTTATACCCCGCCCATCTGGCTGGGTTTCCCCAGCCACTCTGGGCGGCTTCCAACAAAATATTACAATGGTCTATTAAACATTAAAAGCTTCCCTAAACAGGGCTGCCTTCAGATGTCTTCTAAAAGTCTGGTAGTTGTTTTTCTCTTTGACATCTGGTGGGAGGGCGTTCCACAGGGCGGGTGCCACTACTGAGATTATGAAGAAAGAGGAGAAAAGGAGGGCACATACAAGGTTGAAATATTAAAAGCAGGCCCTGGCCCTAGCCTGCAAAAGCATCTCCAACAATAAAAGTATTAATATTTAAGGTGCTCTGTTGGTTTTGCTGCAATAGACTTGACACGGCCTACACTCCTGAAACATTAAAAATAGGTCCCCTGTCAATGGTTAAATGAAAGCCCTACAACTGAGGAGGTAATAGGTGGTTTTATCGCTCTGCACCACAACAGCACCCTTTGCAGGGATGGGGCTCCATTCTGCATCCTTCTCAGGATTAGCATATTGGCAATTCTGGCCTAGCACACAAGAAATGAGCACACAAGCAACTGTACGCTGCCTGAGGACCACCATGCACTATCGCCTCCACTGTAAGTCATTTGGGGTTTCCCTTGTTGTTTTCCACTTTGGGAGAAAAAGCGGGTCACAAATACTAAATAGGGGCAAGTGAGAGGCAGGAGTCTACTTCAGGTCTTTTGTCTGTTTTACAGGTGGTTCATTCATAAGGATGTTACCTCCCCTTTTCACCTTCGCTTTTTAAAAAATGCTGCACATGAACCTGCTTTCTTTTGTGGGAGGGTGCATGCGTTTCAATCTAAAAATACAAATATTTTGCAAGTCTTTCGAAGCTGCTAACTGTGACTGCCACCATCTGGAGACGTGCAAACGAAAACCCTGGAAAATGCAACTGCACCCTCCCAAAGTGGAAAACTATTCTTCCCCCCCCCCCAACCCCCTCCTCCTTGCTTTGTTCTCTACAGCCCGCCATCCTCCCAATGGGCCACTGAGCCAGCTGGGCCTCTCACCAGGGACATCCATCGCCCATCCCCTTGCACATCAGTGACTGGGGTCGGGGTGCTGGCTGGGTTCTTGTCGCCGTCACTCATGGTCCCTTGTGGCTCCTGGGAAGGCGAGAGCAAGAATGAGACCTCACACAATGAAAGCCCCCCACCCCTGTCCCCGCCCCACCTGCCCTGCACAGGGGACTGCACTACCTAGCCAGGGAAGGGAGGGGACTGTGCACACAACACCCAGCCCAGGAAGGCTAATTGCACGCGTGCAAGCCTTTCCCGCTGACCCTCCCGTCGGCGTGAGTGGTTCAGTCCTTTCTCATCGGCTTCACTATGAATCGGCAGTCCCATTTCTCAAAAAAAGGGGGATTGGTCTTATGCCATTGGTCTTTCTCTGGATCCTCCCTCTTCAAAGCAGACAGCACTAGGAAGCGTGATGGTAAAATTATATTTTGTGGGCGTGGTGGTGAGGGAAATACTTAGGAAGCAGGACATAAAATTTTCCTGCAGGCTCCCCTTTTGATACAATAGCTCTGTCCACTGCTTCCCCCTCTGTGTAGCGCATAGTGGTACAATCCTCAAGAGCCAAAGATGCCCCCTCAAGGCGAGTGGGAAATACCAATAAGCACAATGGGGGGAGGGAACGCGGTTTGCCCACAGAACCTCCCCCAAAGTTATGTAATAACTCAAGGTTCCTGCTTGCCTTTTAAAGCACTCTTACCGACGAGCGGGAGTTAGGTTTCCTCAGGCGAAGGGAAAAGCGAGTTTGCCCGATTTCCCCCCCTCTCGTGGGCAGTGGTTCGCTCTGACCTTATCCGCTCTACGCTTGATACAGGCAGTACCATTTGAAACGGAGGGGGGAAATACTCACGGCTTGATCGGAAAGAAGCCAGTTGGTCCAACCCTTCAGCGGCGGGAGGAGCCCCTTTCGCCGCCGACTGACTTTGACGCTCAAGCCGCCTTGGCTCCGCGCTTGGAAGCGGTTGCTTGTGCGGCCTCGGCGGAACCATCTGACCCCGTCATTTGAGGGGAGGAGGATGCATTCCTTCGCCACTCCCCCATCTCGTGAAGGAAATGGTACCGCTGTTCCATTCATCCTCCGGCTGTTCCTGGTACCCTCCCTTCCCCGGTCGGGCTGTGCTCTGCATCTCCCCTCGACTGCTGCTTCCTCGGTGCAGCCTTATGCATGCATAGCCAATGGGCGTCAGCAGTTGGTGCAGGCAGGATTTTTAGAATCGGAGACTTGGAATGCTCTTCTTGTTGTTGTTTAGTCGTGTCCGACTCTTCGTGACCCCCTGGACCAGAGCACGCCAGGCACTCCTGTCTTCCACTGCCTCCCGCAGTTTAGTCAAACTCATGCTTCAAGAACACTGTCCAACCATCTTGTCCTCTGCCGTCCCCTTCTCCTTGTGCCCTCCATCTTTCCCAACATCAGGGTCTTTTCGCGGCCGTCGTCACTTCTCATGAGGTGGCCAAAGTATCGGAGCCTCAGCTTCACGCTCTGTCCTTCCCGTGAGCACTCAGGGCTGATTTCCTTCAGAATGGATCAGGTTTGATCTTCTTGCAGTCCATGGGACTCTCAAGAGTCTCCTCCAGCACCAGATTTCAAAAGCATCAATTCTTCAGCGATCAGCCTTCTTTATGGTCCAGCTCTCACTTCCATACATCACTACTGGGAAAATCATGGCTTTAACTATACGGACCTTTGTTGGCATCATGCTCTAACCCAGTACAGTGGTACATTGGGTTACATACGCTTCAGGTTACACACTCCGCTAACCCAGAAATAGTGCTCCAGGACAGTGGCGTAGCGTGGGGGGTGCAGGGGGGGCCGGCCGCACTGGGCGCAACATCTGGGGGGGGGGGTGCGCTCGCACTCGCAGCTCTCTGCCCCTACCTGGCTCACTCTCTCTCACTGCAGTGCTGGCTGTGCGAATCCGATCCGAGCCGCTGGGTCGCCGCCCACTGTGGAGGGGGTGGGTGCCAGGCGTGCGGTGCGGAGAGAGAGCGAGGGACTATCTGGGGGAGGGACAGTGCAGCGGCCGCCCAGCGCAGCGCTGAGCGCGGGAGAGAACCACACCAGACCAGACCAGGCAGCAGCAAGAAGAAGCTGGCAGCGGCGGCAGGTTAGGGGTTAGGGGGCGCAAATTACTTGCCTTGCCCCAGGTTAGGGGGCGCAAATTACTTGCCTTGCCCCGGGTGCTGACAACCCACGCTACGCCGCTGCTTCAGGATAAGAACAGAAATTGGGCTCCGGCAGCGCAGCAGCAGCAGCAGGAGGCCCCATTAGCTACGGTGGTGCTTCAGGTTAAGAACAGTTTCAGGTTAAGTACGGACCTCCGGAACGAATTAAGTACTTAACCTGAGGTACCACTGTAGTTTTCAACTAGTGTGCTGCCATGGCACCCCAAGGTGCCTTGAATAATGGTCAGGGGTGCCACGGGCACCACTGGCCTCCATACCTCTTTTCATCTCTCCCTCCTCTGATGCCTTCTCGCGTCTCTGCGTCCCAAAGGCTTGCATATCTGTTTGTTGCAGCAGCCTTGGCTCCTCAGGGCAAATGGTGCCTCTGGGGCTGGCCAGGGGGTGCTTCCCAGGCCCCTGTGGGGCAGTGGGAGGAGGCACCTCTCTTTGGGGTAGAGCAGGGGGTGGGCAGCTCAAAGATGGGGGGGGGGAGAGAGCAACTGCTGCCCAGAGGACTTCCAAGGAGAGAGGAGAGGAGGCTGAGAGAACACTCCACAGGGGTGTTTGAAAAGGGGTGAGGGGCTGCCAGTTCTGCAGGGCAAGGGGTGACATAAAGGGGCTCCTGAGCCCCGCAGGGGTGCCGCAGAAGGGAGCCGTGGACTCAAAAAGGTTGAAAACCTCTGGTCTAACCAACTGAACTATCTGAAACTCAATATCAGATCCAACAAGATTTGTGCTCAAAATTGGTTTTTTTGTGTGATAGTAGTTGGAAGCAATATTTGTATAATGTTTTCCTATTTGGTAGTGTACATAATTAGATTTATATAATTCTCACCACACCCTGCAGGCACCATGAGAATAAAGCTACTGCCTCTGTATCCCACACTGCCTTAGCTCCTGCATGTCTGGCAGAAATTCACATATTGAAATAAAGGCATTGCAGCGCTGCCAGGTCAAAATAAAATTGGCAACACTTTCTATTTGGGGGTGAATGGGAGAGAGCAAGCTAATAGAAAGCCAGGGGATATTTGGTTCTCCATATTTTGTTGGCCTGTAACTCCCTGAGTTATAGTAGCTGGGACTGGCTGGATTTGGGAGTCCAACATTTGAAGAGCCAGAGGTTCTGCATTCCTGGCTTAATGCATTCCCAGAACCATTTGGAAGCCCAGTGTATTCCTGTAACCATTCAGAAGTTAGCACAGGTCATTCATTTTAGAATCACTGGATGGTGGTGGTGGAAAATAATAACTTAGCAGACTGTTTGGATTTGGATTTGATATCCCGCTTTATCACTACCCGAAGGAGTCTCAAAGCGGCTAACATTCTCCTTTCTCTTCCTCCCCCACAACAAACACTCTGTGAGGTGAGTGGGGCTGAGAGATGTCAGAGAAGTGTGACTGGCCCAAGGTCACCCAGCAGCTGCATGTGGAGGAGCGGAGACGCGAACCCGGTTCCCCAGATTACGAGACTACCGCTCTTAACCACTACACCACACTGGCTCTCTCCAAAAATGTTGTTGGCTTTGGAAGAAACAAAGGGTTTTTTTGAAAGAATAAGCAGTGAAGAGAAAAATTCTGCGTCCAACGTGGGGCTCAAACCCACGACCCTGAGATTAAGAGTCTCATGCTCTACCGACTGAGCTAGCCGGGCTAGCCTGTTGATAATGTGTTAAATACTTTGACACAGTCATCCCTACAGCAACCTTGTAAGGTGGATCAGTATTATCACCTGATTGCAGAATGGCGTGCTGAGGCTGAAAAAATACTCCAAGCCTGCACAATGTGTGACACATTAATCTGAATGCAGCCAATTGGCCACATATTGTCCACCACGTTAATGAACCTCCTATTTTTGCTGCAAGCACCTGCATGGTCATATTATACAGCTGATAAAGCGCTGCATTTAGTTCCAGGATTCACAAAGTTGTGCTGGCCTGAAATAGTGGCCTTGCTGATGCAAGTTTTAAACCAAGGACTTTCCAGCGCTTGTATATTGAGGCCTAGTCCACCCCATGGTGGTACAGCCACTCCTGGAGTGGCACTTGAATATTCACATTCACATGTGAAGAAACATTGTGTGTTATTACAGTAGTTCGAAAGCACGCCAGGGCAAGTAGATAAATAGGTACCACTGTGGCGGGTGTGGTGGGAAGGTAAACGGTGTTTCCATGCGCTCTGGTTTCCGTCATGGTGTTCCGCTGTGCCAGAAGTGGTTTAGTCATGCTGGCCACATGACCCGGAAAGTGGTCTGTGAATAAATACTGTCTCCCTCGGCCTGAAAGCAAGAAGAGCACTGCAACCCCATAGTCGCCTTTAACTGGACTTAACCGTCTAGGGGTCCTTTAACTTTTTACCTATATCCAAATAGGGACTGACCAGTGGAAAGCTGTTGCATTCTCTCTCTCAGCCACACAGGGGACCCATTTTCCTGAGAATCTCAACAGAACAGCAATAGAAAGGAATAGTGCTGCAGATCAACCCTGAAGGCATGGCACTGTAGGCATGCCTGTACCACACACTAGGTGGACAGTCCCACAGCCGTCTGAGGGGTCTAGAGAACAATAGCAGATAATTCTCAGCCTCTTCTCATAACTATAGTCTGCAAGGTTCAAGCTTCAAGAGGTAAAACACTGACATTGTTTGTAGAGAAGGCATGTCCTGAGGATGTTCTCACATGTAGAACTTAAATTAGTGTTGCTGTCCCTGTATCTGAAATTCAAAGGTCTCTAAGCTATTTTAGATAGAATGTTTCTGCTTATCTTGCCTTAATAACCAAGGCTTATATTTTAATTGTTTTAAGTTGCTCTGTGCTACATGAATGCATTGGAAGGCCTGGATGCCCATCTTTCTAATAAACAAATAAATGGGGTGGTTTTGAGTTACTTGTTTCTGGAATTATTGCTTATGGTAAACTGTGATGTGGGCTCTGTGGGTTTGGAGAGCTGATAATGAAAGCGTGTTCTAGAAGTGTGAACCTACAGAACACGCCCCCCCTCCTCTCGCTAATACATCCATCCTTCTCCCCTTTCCGGCAGAAAGGTGGAACAACAGAACAGTCCAGTATGATCTACTGCTGCAGAACAAACCTCACTTTAACATCTGCTTGATATTTGCTGCAGAGGCTCTCTGTGACTGTATATGTATATGGGAATATGTATATGGGAATCTGGTACACGTCACATCTGGTACAAGTTTGAGAACTTTTTTGTTTAAAAATACTTACAGTTCTTGTTGTGGGTATAAATTTGAAAATGTATAGAAGTGTTTGTAAAAGAATTCAGCATGCAAAGGAGAAATTATCTGTGACACATGGTTTTCTCATCTTACCTTGTGGTTTTCACTCATGGTGTTCTTGCATACCCTCAAAAACCAACATGCTACATAAGCTTACAAATACAACCCTATTAATATATTCTGAGTGCAGAATTTCAGTATAGCTCTAATTTAGAAAACTTGGATCCTTCTTGAAATAGCACTAGATAAAGCAAAGTGAAAAATCTTTCAAACTTCAGCCTGGGGATAAAAACCAAAACAACTGCTGTTGTGTCTCAACATTTTATTGGCAGCAGTCGTGTAGGGAACGTAACACATGTCTTGTTCATTAATCATTTCAGTGTGATTTATTTTTAAATGGTAGAAATCCATTACAATATCCCATTTCTTCAAGAAGGAACATTAACTGCTTACACTATTTGTTAGAAAGCTACTCCAACATGCTATTTAAAAATCTAACATTTTCTCAAAACCCTTTCAAAAACTGTGCCTGTTGCCTGGCACTGAACTAGTTAAAAATGAATTGAATGTGTTAAGTGATGCTGACTTTGTCTTACCACAATAAAGTGGTTGCAATAACTCAGCTGGGGATCTGAAGGAAAGAAATGCAGAGGCTGTGCCCCAGACCATGCCCTGTTAAAAGATCAGGAGAGAAGGGCTTTACCCAACTGAAGCCCTTCTTTTCACAAAGTATTATATATGCACGCACCCTCCCACTGTCAGAAGCCTAGGTGGGGAGCGAGATGGAGCCCATCTGGCCAATGCTTAGGGAAACAGAGGGGGAGGTGTTGGCCTGGTGGAGGTGGCTCGGCTGTTGTTGGCTTGGTGAGACTTGCTGAACAGACTGGCTGCATGCTTGCTTAGATGCGAGGAAGTCAGGCGCTGCTTCTGTAGAACCTACACAGAACAGAGAAACCCTGTTAGATCTCTAACAGTGCAGCTCAATGGCTTCTTCCCCTATTCCTACCTATACAACAATCACACTGATCTTGTGACAGCCATTCAGACAGGCCTCCCGCAGGGTGTCAGCCTGCTATTTGTAAATACCATGTGGCTGACCTGGGTTTGTTCCAGGTCAGCTAGAAGGTAACATGATTGGAATTGCATTGCCTTCTGCCTGATCCGGTGTGAACCCAGGTCAGCTACAAGCAGTAAGTTGACACACTGCAGGAGCCCTGTATGAATAGCTCCTAAGTGGCAACACCGTAATTGCCCCTTTTGAATTCTTTCTCTCAGACACTCTGGGTACTCTGCACATCATTATGACCATGATCCTTAAATCCCATGATTCTCAAGTTGACTGCAATGTGACTAATCCGGAATAAGTGATTTGAATATTTCTGTCTGTGTTCTGAGGAGCCCAGCTGTATGACCTCCTGTGTAACCTCTTGATGCAAAGGTGATGGTGTTTAAACAAAGGAATTCCAGCAAAGCTATATGAGATGTCTAGAGCAGGTTTCTTATTTGCACCATGGACATTGCCACTTGGTACTTCCCTGTATACGGGAAGATCAGCAGAAGATTCTCAGTTTAGGAGAAAAGCAATATGGGTGTAGGTATGTTTTGGTCACAAATCAGGTTTCCTGATAAAGGAGAAACCTGCTGAAGCTAGTTTGCATGCATTCTTAACAATTTCTCTGCAAGGACTGTTCTTGCTAGCGGTAGGAATGTTCCTATACATCAACAGATCAAATCCTTTTTTAAAGAACAACAACCCAAGAACCCAGCATTAATATCTACAGAGCGAAATAAAGATCCCCTCATTCCAGATTCCATGTCTGCCTGTACACGTGCTTAACATTTTGTGCAAATTCCTATGAAAGCAAACAAATTGCTACAGGTATCAGTGCTGCGTCATGGAAGGGCATTTCCAAAATTTAAAATACTTCAGTTTTGTATAGTGAGTTTTTCTAAAAGCTCAAATGCACATATTTGCATACATTATTTCAATAACCCTTACAACAGCCCTGAAAGGTTTACCAATATTATTATCATCATAACTGTTATCCTCCAGCAAAAAAAATCTAATTTTTTTTTTTTAAGTCCAGTGGCTATCACAACTGCAGCCAATTTCATGTTGACTGTGTAAGTGTGAAGTATTTTTGTTGTTAGTCCTGATCCTACTGCCAATCACTTTCATTAAGTTCTAGTGTGTTTATGTGTGAGAAAAATAAAATAAAATCTCTATATACAGCCCTCAGTTATATTTTGGGTACAGGGTGCTTTCTGCACATGTCATTGCTCTTTTGGAGACACTGTTTTCAAAAACACTTGATAACACATATTAGTCCTTCTGGCATCGATTGCAGCTGCATTGTCTATAGTGTACCTTCTGGGTCCTTGCTCCCAGGCGCATTGTGGCTTCTGCCATGTTCTTCTCTTTCCTGCCCCTTGCTGGAATGCTTTCCTTCTTGGCTCTGTTGCTGATGGCATTGTTGTGATTTCTGCCCTGGGGGGGAAACTGGCTCTGGGAAACCTTCCTGAGCTATAATGTAGGGGGTAGGATTCAACAGTGACAGCCTGGGAAGCATGTGCAGTTCCATCCCAAATGGAGTGCATGGGATGCCAGTTTGTAGGGGCACTGAAGTGACAGACACATCCATTGGTGGGACACAGAAGGGCAGAATTTGAGGGCCACTGTGAGTGGAGCTGGATGGAGCAAGGACTTCAACATTTGTCTCGGAAATCCAACCACTGTCTACAGTTTGTGGCATGCAGATGGTATGTGGCATGGAGCCTGAAGCTGTGTGGTAGGTTGCCACGTTTGGAGCAAAATGGTGGTGGCTGACACTGGAAGTCCCTCTGAGGCTGGGTTTGACAGCTTGGATGCTGGAAACCATTACAGAAGTAGCCACTTGGGGTGCCCGGGATGGAGCAATTGAGAATAGATGGACATTTTTGTACTGCTGGGGAAGAGCACTTCCATGGAGCAACGGAAGGAAAAGAGGCCCTGGGGCCTGTTCTCCATGAGCACTGACTGACTCTGGGGACAGCTGGGTTCCTTTCAAAGCTATGTCCTTGGAAGCCTTTACAGGCTGAATGTCACATGGAGGCATGTAGTATGAGGGATGCTGCTGGAAGGGACTGGCCACCCCGGGATTGTGAAATGTTGCTGAAGGGCGTGTGAAAGCTGATGAGGCCAACAGAGCAGGTGCAGAGCTGGTGGGGGGCAGAAGACTGGAAGTGGCCAAAATGGGACCTGGCTGGGGAGCATTTCTTAGCACCATCAAGGCTTCAGCAGCCTCTTTCTGCAGCTGTTGTTCAGAAAGGGGGGAGAAGATAAACCCCCTGGTGGGCCAGACCGAAACATGAGCAGAAGAGGTTGGCTGAAGAGAGAGGGGGAGAGACTATTAACCTCATGATTAACAAACAGACATGAACTAGATTAATGAACGTCTCAGGTACAGATTCTGCTTGTTCTTTTTGCAGAGTTTGGGGAACAGAATAAGAGCAGGGTAAATCTTGCATCCTTCTTTGCTGGTGGGAAAGAACAAAGAGACCTGCAACACCTTAAAAGACTTAACCATTGTATTATAGTATAAGCTTTTGTGGGTTACAGTCCACTTTATCAGAAGCATGAAGTGTTACCCTGATGAGAAGGTGCTAGCTGAAGCTTCGCCCATGCAGGTAACCAGCTCATAGCTCTGGACTCCTTTTCCTCGCCAGAGTTAAGAAGAAAAAAGGAAAGTGGTAGCAGCAATAAGAATGACACAAAACCGGCCTCTGCTGCAGGACAGGTCCTCAATTTTAATCTAGCCCCAGGTTGGCTTGTGGTATGGGCACTTGCAACATGGAATATTTTAATAAAGGTTTCCGATTAGAATAGGATGGAGATGCAACTCTGGCTGCTTTCCATGTATACAGAGTGAAGTATAGACCAATTATTAGTCATTTTACCAATTGCCTGTGCCAAATAACAATTCTTTGATTGCATGGATATCATTTAGCCTTGCCAATCATTGCTCGTGTTCTCCCCAGCTGTGCATTCTGCTTAGTCCAATTTAAAGGGCTGGAAAGGAATAGGAGTTGTTTCACTTTCCAAGGGATAATGTTTACTGTTTCCAACACAGTTCCTCTTTTGCAGCCAGAGCTATGGCATTTCATAACTTAACATTAGACCAAAGAGCATGACTGGCTGACTGTCCCACTTTTACCCTCTCCCACTAAACCACTGGACCAGCCCATGAAAACCCTCTACCAATATAAGGCCCTGGCAAGTTGGGGCCTTCTTATGGCAGAGAAGCAATCACCTCCAAAATGGATCATGGGACTTTTATAGGGGAAGCATCAGTTCTACTATTAGTAAAGAGGTTGCCCATTCCAAGACCTTGAACTACTCTCCATTTCTCTGTGACAAGCTAACACACCTGTGAGCCACCAACTGGAGAGACATCAGGAGAGAATCCTTACCATACACTGGCATGTGTGTATTCACCCTCCCACAGAACAGGGCAGACTAAATAATTCTGACTGCCAGCTTTGCTACCTCCTGCAAGATCACTGAAATGTGTGTTCCCATCTTTCAGGAAGGAGGCTGAAGGTAATAATTCCAGCTCACGGGCAATTTTTGTGCAAGACACAAGGACCAAAATACCTGACCTCCCAAAGGTGCAGCCTTTGGACGTCTGCTGAAATCCATGTTGCCACTCAGGGGATTCAGGGCCATGCGGCTGGAAGAGGGTGGATGGGAGGGGGAAGAGAGAGAAAGACAGAGAGCACATTCAATCCTGTTTATAAAGTTCCTTACTGGCAGCTTGTCTCCCACTCGCCTTCTGTCCTTGCTAAACCACAAACTGTTGAGGGGGAAGAGGGGCTTCTGCATCTGTCATTCTCCCAAGTTCACTTTACATTTCCACCCACAACTTGCTGTTTGCAGTAAATGTTTGTTAGTATAGACAGCTGTTGCTGAACCAGTGCCAAAGAATAAGAGATAAATAATAGATTAGGTAGTGTCTTCCATGGAGCAATTTCTGTTTATTCATTATACAGGACCTGAAGTTACATGGAACTGTTAAAATTGTTCTTTAAATAATTTGTGCAAATACATTATTCTAGCAGTAAAGGCATATACCACCCTCTGGTTCCACTCATAACAAGACAATTATTCTAGCACTGTCTTTGCTATGTCTACTTCATATCTGTGACTTTGTGCTTCCACTAGATTCTTCTGGATCAGCGATAGGAATGTTTTTCAGCCTGAGGGCCACTTTCCCTTGTGAGTAACCATCTGGGGGCCGCATGCATGCCCAAAAGTGGGTGGAGCAACGGATGTGATGCTTTCTTTGTTGTAGGCCAAGCAAACGTCAGAGGTTTTCCCTCTCCACCCTCCATCCAGGCAAGGAAAGAACATCTCCACACTTCAAGAACATATTCAACCAGGCAAAAAATCTTGGTTGCAGAACAGGGCTAATGAGGTGTGTTGCCTGGGGAGAGTTCTGAGGGCCACATTCAGCCTCTGAGTCTGAAGTTCCCCACTCCTGCTCTAGATTAAGACTTCTGTGTAAATGGAAAGTTTGAATATTTCCTTTAGCAACAGAAGTTGGCCAAAAGGGTCATCAGTTTATCTGCTTTGTATCTCATAAATTTCTATAGCAAACTCTACCTTTTATACTTCCCTTTGACTTCACTGTAATTACTTTAGTAACTTTACCTTCTACTTACAATGTAATTTACACAGAGAAGTAGATCACTTAATAAATAACCCATCTTAAATCATGGGCCTTGTGTCTAGCGGAGACTTATTCCTCAACAGCCCTGACGTTAGCTGGATTAGCCCTTTCTTGGGATTAGTGAGCTAATATACACCCTGATACTGTAAACATTGTGGCAGAAGTCAGTCCTATTGACATTAATTGAACATTTATGCTAAGTGCACTTAGGATCGTAGCCAAAAGGCATGTTCATTCCCACATGCGGGAGGCACTACCTGATGGCTAAATCAACCATGTGATTAATACCCAGAGGTACTATTACCAACTGTTTGCTCTCTGTCTTGTCCTGGCTTCTTGTTTTTGAATCCTCAGCAGAGCAGGGAGACAGAACATTACAGCTGCCAGACTTTCCTTAGGGTGTTTACACAACTGTCATGTGCATAAACATTTTGGACAAGGAAATATTTCATAGAGAGCAAATATTTCATCATATAGTGTGGACAAAATGTGAGTGGACAGGTGGTAGAATTGCCAGCTCAAAAGTTCAAACTTGCTCTGGAGCTATGTTACTTTTTACAGACCTCATTCAACATGTTATGCTTGGGAATGTGATATGGCCAGGGCCACCTCTTTAAAGATCTAGCAACTCTAGTGAATGTCCACATTCTTTTTACTAGATAACTCTGCAAGGACTTCTTCTTATCATTGTGATAAGATTCCCTTATTTTCACCAGAAATGTGTTCTCATATGCAAAATAAGCAGTCTTTAAATTTATTTTGCATATGGAAATATTCATACTGACCTATATTATAGTTTTTACAACTATAATGACCAAAGATTTCAGTCACCCACAGTTAAGTCTTCCTGGCTGATTAGCTGTTATAAGAGACATAGTCCTGTTTTTAAATTTTCAGTCACAGACCATTACTTAGCTTTAAATATTCCTGATGCTGGAACACCATACACAAAATACAGTACCTGGGCAGATTGGCAGGTGAAGGTAAGCACCAGGACGTGCCAGGGGTCTGGTGAAACATCTGTCCTGGAGCTGTCATATAACTATCTGGCATGTACAACGCTTCATTACCATCACAACCTGCAGGGGGTGGAAAACAAGCTCAATGATCAGACCCTGAATACAGCATGGTGTTTACAATATAAGAAACCAGAACTAGGGCCAGCCTTTCTGAAGCAACACCTCGTTCCTCAGGGCTGTTTCAAAGAACACCAGGATGCTGGAAAGGTTACATTAAATTCTTATATAATTGCTGCTATTATCGTATAAGAAGTGCAATATACCGTATCTTTCATAGCGTGTGCTATGATCATGTAGGTTTTATTAATTGCATGCAACTAAAATATTAGCCATCAAATCACAGGGTGAGGGTCTGTTGGCTCAGAGTGGGGCCCTGTTTGTATGAGAGACAGAGGGGGAGTGAGTGGGCTTCTATATGTGAAACAGGGAGTAGGAACTCTTTCTAAGACCGCTGGTTGTCTAAAACGTTTGACGGTCTTGTGTTTGTTTTTTACCACGGTATTTGGTTTTTGTAGTTTTGCTTTTTTTCCTTGTGACAAAATTGTTGTCGGGTTTTTTTTTGTAATTTTTGTATGCTGTTGTTTTTACTTTGTTTAATTTTATTAGTTGTGCCCTGCTCTGTGACTGAAAATGTTCAGTGAAGAGCAGACTACTAAATGCAACAAAATAAATAAATAGATTACACCAGATTTATTACTAGAGAAATTGGTCACCCACCTAACATACCTTGAAACTGAAAAGAATGTTCCTGAGGCAAGAATGGGCAGAAGGGTGCAGGGGGCATAGGAAGCGGAGGGGGGAACCAAGCAGTATGAGGTGGTTGATGTCCTCTAAGGGCCCACGGCAGTTCTGTCACTTTAGAGCAGTGAGGGAGAGGCAACCAAGAACATTCCTAGAGAACAATGCACAATGCAATGCAAATACAGCTTATAAATATTGCAAACATCATATCAATTACGGTATTTCCTCAAATAAAAGAAGCAATTTTTTAAAAGTTTCTGCTCAAATCATTAATTCACATGAAATATATTAATTATCGTTGGGAAATCCTGATAGCATCATAGGGGACATTTTCTGTGAGGTTATAGCCAGAGAATCAGTCAAGTCTCCTAGATCTTAAAGGAGTGAAGGAAACAAAGGGAGGCATCACAGGCTACACCTAGATTCCAGAGCATTTTGCCAGGGAGAACACCTTTCCACTCTCTGGCACTGCCCACGCCTGCCAAGCCTACTGTTGCAAGGAGTTCCACAGGCTCAGGTTGGATATATAAGGGGAAGTAGCCCTTACCAAAAATAAAACACCCCTAAGTGCTAATAGTGACTCCAGTGTTATGCTGGCAAACGTATATGAGGCTGGCTACTTTATGTTTAATTTGATGATATCAAGACATCTACATTTCAAGGCTTCCAGCTTTATTTCATTTCTCATTTCCTGGCCATTTTGCTAACAACTCTATGACAACAAAGCTGAGTTTAGCTTTGGAAAAGGCATATTGTTGCCAGTATAAAGAGAAGACCGGAAATCTCTTTCTGCAAGTGCCAACCACAATCTACTGTTAAAATGACCCCATCAAATAAGAAGACAAGATAAGTGATCTAGTCCCTTTTCCTCACCTTCCTGGCTGCTCTCCGCCTTTGTCTTCGTAGGAGTCCTGGAACCCCTCTGAGTCCATCCTCTGAATCTTTCAAGGGTTCTTCATTCTCTTTCCTGCCTGTACAACAAAAGAGAAGAAGCTTGTGGGTCACTAGCTGTGAACTGGAATGTTGCCTGAATTTTGAAAAAGTCGTGTAATGGTAGTTCATTTGGTGTCTGTCATGCTGCACAGCAAAGGGAAGCAGGGCTATTTCACTGACTCTGCTGCAGGTCTGTGCAGAGCTTGTCTGAGACCTGGGGCCTACCCTGGCCCTCTTAGCCTTCCAAGGTCTGGGGCAAGTGTACCTGGCTGCACTCCCCCACAGGTCTGCTCTGATGAGAGACTAACACCTTTGACCCTCCCTGAGCTGTTCCCAGCAGCACTATTCCATCAGATTATCTGAAGTTGGTTGTTTAAGAACTGAAACTTTAAGAACCGATGCCTGAGTTTGCTTACCGCCTCCCTTCCGGCTTTCCCCTTGTTTGCCACAACATTTAGATTAAACTTGAGGGCAAGGACTGTCTTACAAAAATAGTTAGTAAGCGGCTCAAGGAGCCTTTTCAGTGCAAAATAATGGAGTAAAAAATACTTAAAATAAATAAGTGTATTTATTATTTAAAATCTGACAAGCAGCCAATTTACCTCCTATGATACGGTATTTATTTATTTATTTAAGACATTTTTTACTCAGTCTTCAGCCAAAAAGATTCCTAGAGCTGGCTTACAAATGTCAGTAGTGCAACAGTCCCTGCCCACAGTCTTACAACCTAAAAGACATGACAGAAAAAAGAAAAAAGGAAATGGGAAGAATTAAAAAAGCAAACACAGGCACAGAATGCTTCTAAATACCAGCCTGAATGGATTTTTTCAAGGAGAGAAAGAGCCAAAGGTTGCTGGACTTGCAGCAGTCCCTGAGTCCCTGACCCTAAGGACAAAACTACATACATATTTTAACAACCACCCCACAAACAGGTGTGTTTTTTTTGAGAAATTCAGTTTCAGGAGGATAATTTTGGAGCATGAAAAATTGTGGGGAGAATGCACTTAACCCTCTTCCCACTTGTTAATTTTTGTGTGTACTCTTAATCAGCTTTTCCATCTAAGTTCAAAGCATCTGTTTGCAAGGGCTCATGGAGCTGAATTTGCAAAAATCATTCCTTGCCAGCACAAATCCTCATTTATTTCATTGCAGCCATTCACATCGGACATATATTTTCTGCTCCCCTATGTTTGGCAGCCTGTCTTATTATTGTTATATATGTATTTATACCCCGCCTTTTTCTCTGGTTGTGTTGTTTTGTTTTAGAACTCAGAGGCGATTGAGAAAGTCAGTTGCTCCCATATAAGCTGATGGGATTGTATATATAATTAATGCTAAATGCTATAATCCTAAACACATTTAGGACTGGAAGCAAATTCAGATCAATGAGGAGTACAGTTCAGTCCTTTGTATTTTTTTATTTATATAATTCAATGTCCCATGTTTTCCTGTTCTCATAGCAGCTTACCTATGTCTCCCCTGCATGGTTTGATCCCTTTTGGTAGTTTGGCCGGGTGGAGAGAGCTTGATGTGGGACTGTCTTGAAGCTGCAGCAAACCACTGGTCAGCTTCCTCAGCTCCATCTCCTGCTGCCTGCGCAAGGCCACCTGGGCAGCCATGACCCGGCGTCTCTGCCTGGGAGGAGAAACCATTAAATAAAGAATTAAAGTGGTAGCGTGGGCAAATACAAATCACACACAAGCAAAGAGTTCTTGGTCTTTTCTCTACGATGTAACAAATCCTGCTTTTCTCCCTTTGGAGCAGGGTGGTCCAACACATGGCCTTTGAGGCCTTTTTTGCAGCCCTTGGCAACATTTGATGCCCCCCACTCCTGGGCTAGGCTTTGGGAAGAAGGTGTGAGGGCTCTCTGGCAGGGTCCTAAGGTCCTACTGCCTCCTTCCCAAAGCCTAGTTAGTGCTTCCTCAGCTTTGGGAAGGAAGTGAGAGGGATCTAGAACCCTGCCGGAGCCTAGCACCTCCTTCGCAAAGCATGGCGTCTCGCTGGCCGGCTTTGGAAAGGCAGTACAAAGGTTTGGGGTGGGAGCATCAAGTTTTGGCTTTGCTTTCCTCCTCCCACGTGACAAGGCCATAGCTGTCAACTTTCAGATTTGAAAATAAAGGCTCAGCAGCCTCGAAAATAAGGGATCAGCAGCCTCACCTGTCCCAGGGACAGTCTAGAGGATATTTTAACAATCCGGCATAACAGCGGGAAGCAGCGCTGGAATAAGGGAATTTCCCACAAAAAAAAAAAAAAAGGGAAGGTTGATAGCTATGGACAAGGCAGTGTATGTAGCCTGCTGGTTCCATGTTGAAGTATTCTTGCGGCCTACTTGGTATGAAAAGTTGGCCTGCCCTGCTTTGGAGTTTCAGATGCACATTTAACCTTCCTGGTTCTCTAGTCATACCCTCCCAAGATTGCCTTTTTCCAGTTTTCAAAGCCATCCATGCACATTTGCATACAGATTCTTCCTTTAGGATACCGAGCAAGGAGCTGCAAGGAGTGTACTTTAAAAAGAAAAACATTGTGCCGTACATCATTGCAAGTATTAATAGGCTTCCGCGGAGCTAGCAAAGCACAAAGGGGAGAGGTAGTGCTTGCAGCTTAATATGACGAAGGCCTTATTCATAAGGGAACAGTGCCACCTACTGAGACCAGCACTGTGCTACGTTCAACACAAATCCCCACAATGTCAGGGGCCAGCACCCACTTCCAACTTGCTTTCCCACCAGACGTACAGGATCAGGATACATTTTTCACACTGGCACCCCTGGAACTGGCAAGTGTTCTTGTGGCCTTTCAGTGGGACTCGGATGCCATGATTGCGGCAGCGGGCACAGGTTGGAGAGCGTACGATGGCGGGGAGCGCATAATCATCTTGGGTGCTGCTGTCGTCTGTGGTGGAGTCTGAAGGGGAGCACTGCATGTTTGGTGCTGCTGCAGCGTCAGGATCCTCATTGTCTCCCATGGTGTGGGAACCTGAAAGGGAGGGGAGAAACATCATGTCTCATTTCCTTGATCTAAACAGAGCCGCCCATCCTAAATGTTGACTAGAACCAGCTTTGAAGGTTTCCCGATGCGCTCCTTGACCACTTCAAATGTATACCCTCCCGTCTCAGTCTTGCAATATGCCGGAAAAGATACATTTTCTTTGCCTCTAAAATGGCATCTTTCCTATTTTAGATAGTTGCACGCTGCTGCTGGTGGAGCAGGATTACCCAAACAGAGGGTAATAAATGGGTGAGGTCAAAAGTGTGATTGCCTGTGCTGGCCTTTGACATTTTTGCTCTCAGTATGAAAATTGAAAATGACCCTAAGGCAATTGGCTGATTTTATTTTATTTATTTTTTTAATGACAAGCACATCCCAGTCCATACTTGGAAGTGAGCCTTGCCTTTTTTCTAGGGGATTCACTTTCAAGTAAGTATATTTTGGATTGCAGCCACAGAGATGGAGATTAGAGGTGGGAAAATGGCAACCCCTCTGAAATTTGATGCAACCGCTTCATGCGAAGGCCTGCTCTGGTTACGGTCACCTGGACCACCCAAGTTACCAACATTTGCTTCTGGAGAAATATGAAATAGACTCCTGGAGGAGATTATGCCGCTATAATCTTGACATGACCGAGAGGGACTCATGCCATGGAATTACTACAGAAACATGACATAATTTTAAAACGCTGGGGTGTGTTTGAAGCCAGGTTGCTGTTGGGGAAGTATTGGAAGGGCACTTCATGCACGGTGTCCAAATGACGTGAAGTTAAGGCACAGCAGTTGTGTAAAAGGACAGTGTGGGTTTACGAGGGAATTGTGTCACTAGATAGCCAAGTTAAGTAACTGAGTGTTACTACAGGCAATAGTGACGCCATCTTGTTTTTGACAGGATGACGGGATCCTGTGGGATGGTTGCTAGTGATGCCCTCACAATGGTGTGTCAATACTATGAAAAAATTGTTGGGTGAGGAGAATGCAGATTTTATTTCCGAAGGCTAATTAAGGTTCTGAGGCAACATTTTTATAGCATTACCATGTCACTTTGAAACCGATATATATATTGGCTACGGGATACTTTTGTGGAGCGGCGTGACAAAAAAAAGGAGAACAGGAGAGTTTTTCCGAACGCTATAAAAGGCAAGCAAGCATTCATGCACATAAAACGGTTCCTAGAGCACTCGCTTTAACTCCGACGTCAAACAACCAATCACAGCATGCCTATCATTCGCTGCTTGGACGGCGAGCCAATGAAAAGTGGTCTTTTATTACTCCCTTAGCCCCCGTGACCAGACAAAAATCATTCGTTCGCCCCCGCGCCTCGCCAGGTTGCTACTTTGAGTGCTTTCTGCTAAACTGTCGCTCTTCCCTCCCAACTGCAAAAAAAGAGAGAGCCAATGAGCGACGAGAGCGTCCTAGGCTCGAGCGGTGTGGGGTGGTAGTTAGGAGAAGTCCGCTCAAACTATTGAGGGGAGGAAGCTAGCAACAGTTGGGCTGAACCATTGTGGGGGAAATAGGGGGAGAAGGGGAGGACCACTGTGTTTCAAAAACAGTGCTGGTGAAAAAAGTTGGCGAAGGGATGCCTTAAAAAGCAAAATAATATGCTCTGGGCAGATAACTGGAAAATACAGCGCCCACAAAATGCTCTGGTTCCCTCCAAAATTTTGGGTGGTTTGCCCTGAACCAATGAGTAATGAAGAATATACTGTACATGTATAGATAAGATAGAATGAGCAAGAGATCCTAGAAAGGGATCGAGCCCCTCAGCTAAACGACTTGGATGGAATTCCCCTCACCCCTAATTTGGGTGAAAGGCTATTACAACAAAAATGAAAAACCCAAGGGCAATATTGATGGTTTTTAAAAGTGCATCAGCCACCCAAAGGCCTTCCCCCCCCCCGCCCCCAGTGTGATAGGAGTCTGAAGCTATTCCCCATTCCCTGCTTCTTTATGTGAAGCTTTTTGAAACAAAGTTATGAATTTTTATTTTTTGGCTTGTTAGCTTATTAAATTAAATGCAGCTTGAATCAGTAGCTGGGATTTGTGCACCTCTGTGCTGCAAAATAAAGGGTATCATCCCAAACTGAATTGTCACTGCATTTATGTTCCATCTTCCCTTCAAAGAGGTCAGCGGGCTATGCATCTTTTTCTCTTCACCCATTTTACCCTCACAACAATGCTGTGAAGTAAATTACACTGAGATGGCCCAAGGTCATCCAGCGTGCCTCATGGCTGACGGGATTCCGATGTACTCTGCTCTTGTTATTTATTTTATTTACTTATTTACTTTCATCAGGTCTATCAACCATTTTTTCCCCATCGTGATAGAGCTAAAACCAAAATTTAAAATACTGACCAGGATTTCTCCAACATTGTTCTAATCACATTTACAACTTCTTTTTTTGCCTGTCAGTTAGCTACCAAAATAAACCATCCATTTATATTTATATACAAGACTGCTATGAATATAATATGTGGGGGTGCGGACACTGTCTTGAGATTGACAGATATGAAAGAGGGACATGGAATAAAAATGCAAGCTTGTAAATAAATCCACACAAGTTACTAGCCTGCAATGTTATTAAAACAGCCCACTAAGAATTATACATTTCCTTGCTAGCTACAGAGGAGGCGAGTCACAGAAATGCAGGCTGTTAATTCCGATTTCAAGCTATTCCACTGAAAGGGCAATGGGAGCTGCAGAGAGACTTAGGGGCTAGTTGATAATATATTAGTCAAACTGTTGCAGGGCAAATCTGCTGTCTCACTAGAACTATTAATTACAGTGGTGCCCCGCAAGACGAATGCCTCGCAAGACGGAAAAACCGCTAGACGAAAGGGTTTTCCGTTTTGAAGTTGCTTCGCAGGACGAATTCCCCTATGGGCTTGCTTCGCAAGACGAAAATACCTTGCGAGTCTAGAGATTTTTTTTTCGCTTTTCCCCCCCTTTATCTAATCTGCTAAGCCTTTAATAGCCTTTAATAGCCTTTTAGCAGCTAATCCCCTAAGCCTTTAAGCCTTTAATAGCCGCTAAACAGCTGATAGCGCTAATAGCGCTAATCCGTCAATGGGCTTGCTTCGCAAGACGAAAAAACCGCTAGACGAAGACTCTTGCGGAACGGATTAATTTCGTCTTGCGAGGCACCACTGTACTCGTGAGTCGGGTTGAAGAAAGAGTCCAAAAGTTTATTTACTGCAGTAAATAGGTTCAGCACGGTCACCTCCACAAAGGCTGAATGGGGGGGGGGGACCCCCCAGACCTTTTACAGTGGTACCTTGATTCTCAAACTTAATCCGTTCCAAAAGTCTGTTCCAAAACCAAAGCGTTCCAAAACCAAGGTGTGCTTTCCAACAGAAACTAATGCAAAATGGATTAATTCATTCCAGACTTTTAAAAAACAACCCCTAAAACAGCAATTTAACATGAATTTTACTATCTAATGAGACCATTGCTCCATAAAATGAAAGCAATAAACAATGTACTGCAGTCACACAATCAATCAATCAATCTGTAGCTGAACTGGGTTCCACACAGCCAAAAAACAAACAAAAACGCAAAATAAATAGCAAAAACAGACAGACCTCAGCGTAACACTCAAAACGGAAGTGTGGCACTCAAAATGGAGCACATTTGGCTTTCAAAAAAAGTTCACAAACTGGAACACTTACTTCCAAGTTTGCAGTGTTTGGGTTCCAAGTTGTTTGAGTACCAAGGTGTTTGAGAACCAAGGTACCACTGTATAGGTTTTAGAGATAAAATCCAATCAAACTGCTGCAGACATTTTCAGAGGGTAGCTGGCAGAATACTCATTGGATACAACTTTCTAGATGTCCAGCCTGCAACTTGATGTGTGTCCAGCCCTTCTAGGGCCCCTCGCTTCCAAAGTTTTGAAGCCTACATAGATACAAGCCTACATACTAAAGAAAGGAGAATTGTAGTCTGAGATTTATGTTCACCTAGATAACAAGCCTACAAAAGGGGAGTTGTCCTTGGTAAGCTGGCACAGCCAGACTCCCATAATTTTACTCTTCAGAAGTTCACTCCCTGAATGCCTTATCTTTGGTATTTCCAGCAACTGGGCTATGTGTCTTTTATGAACAAAACAAAACTATTATGAACAAGGATTTTAACAGAACTCCAATATATCATTCAGTTGGGGCTTTTTTTTATAGGTTTCTCACACAAAACATAGGGACGCGGGTGGCGCTGTGGGTAAAACCTCAGTGCCTAGGACTTGCCACTCATATGGTCGGCGGTTCGAATCCCCGCAGCGGGGTGAGCTCCCGTCTTTCGGTCCCAGCTCCTGCCCACCTAGCAGTTCGAAAGCACCCCTAAAGTGCAAGTAGATAAATAGGTACTGCTTTATAGCAGGAAGGTAAACGGCGTTTCCGTGTGCTGCGCTGGTGCTGGCTCGCCAGAGCAGCTTCGTCACGCTGGCCAAGTGACCTGGAAGTGTCTCCGGACAGCGCTGGCCCCCAGCTTCTTAAGTGAGATGGGCGCACAACCCTAGAGTCGGACATGACTGGCCCGTACGGGCAGGGGTACCTTTACCTTTACCTTTTACACACAAAACATATTTTGGGGTCCCTTGGGGTCCCCCTACAATACCATTGGCCAATGCTACCTCAGTTAAGAATGAAGACAGGAATGGGAATTTCTGTGTAAACTCAAGGTTATTTTGATGGGGCCTGATTTCAACATACCTTTCTGATATGCCTAATGTTGGGGTGGGAATTAATTGCATATAGAAGTTAATTTGTCTCACTGATGGTCTTCTTATATTCGTGGATGCATATGTCAGGGGTGGGCTGATCTGATCAGAGCATCAGTCCCCTCTGTTATCCATCAAAAGCAACACCAACAACTTGACAAGGATAAACGTCTGGAGGAATAATCTACTACTGACAGAATATCACAACACATAATAACAAGGGCTCATTTCCTCATCTTCCAGTTGTCATTTGCCAGCAACACCCTTCTGCTTTATATAAGTGACAAACAGACCAGTTCCTGAGAATAAATCAGTGAAGGGAAACCCTCAGCTCACAGGCCAAATTAGGCCCACCAGGGACCCTAATTTCAGAAATGAGGCCATTTCCCTCAAACCATGTCCACCTGCTCCACATCTGGCTTTGTATGTGACACCTGGTGTGGGTCAGATAAAGTTGCATCTGCAAAGGGACAATCGGAATAAATAATAAAGTGTGTGCCTGATTGCTTTTTGATTAGCAAGGTTGACATGGCTAGGGAGGAGGGTGCTTGCAATAGCTTGGCTGAACCACTGTGAAAAATAGATGCAGAATGATAAATAGAAGGAAAGGGCAGAAATCACTGTGTTAAAAGTAGAGTAGGGAGAAAAAGATGGGGAGAGGATTCCTTTAAAAGTGGAGTAAAGAATGAAGTATAAATGCTATTTTTGGCATGTTCCTGAACAGAGGAGTGTAGCCGTATATATTTATTTTGATTCCTCGGATTTCCCCAAACCATAAAACAACACAAACAAAATTAAAAATTATGTTCTGGGCAGGGGAATTAAAACAGGACAAAACAAGAAAACAAAAACAAGGTGCACCTGCAGAAATCTGTTTATGTGCCCTACCAGTACATAACTGGTGTAACAGAATTAATAAATTAGAAGGTGGGGACAAACAGAAAAGGTAACACCTACTGGTATAAATTGTAAATTACTCCCCAGATACAAATTTAAATACATATGGGTCTCAACTAGTTTAATGCAATTTGAATGGTGGGGTGGGGAGTAGATTAACAGCTAAACAATGCTTACATGTGGACAAGCCCGATGGGAACACCTTCTCACAGACCATCCTGCCTGCACCTTAAGGTCAGTGGATGATGCCTGACTGGTGGTCCCTGCGCAGGATGAAGTGCATACCTCTGGGACCAATGGAAGGACCTTTTTAGTGGTGGCTCCATTGCTCTGGAATGTTCTCACTAAGGCGTGCCTAGCCAGATTATCATTTTGTTTTAGAAAGCAGGTGAAGGCACACCTATTCCAGCAGGGGAATTGTGACTGAAGTAATGTGAAAATAGTTTGATGCTGCTGCTTTTGTTTGCAAGTCCTTGTGTGGCTTATTATTATGATGTTGTTGTAAAGCACCCTGTGGCCTGTTGGCAACACTTATTTTTAAGCAAAAGGACAAATCAGCATCTGTGTTGGCTACTCCTTGTCATAGACTGTGCTTTTTGTATTGCATTGCCATTTGAAAAGCTTGTGGTGCGATTGATCTGTTTCAGACCAGAATCTCTCCCAGTCCCACCCCCACCTGGAGACTGAACCTGGGACCTTCTGCATGCAAAACAGATGCTGTACCACTGAGGTGCATTCCTTTCTCGTACATTTCTTTTAAATAATATTTATTAAAGTTTCACAGGGGAAAAAAAAAAGAACCACATTAGTACAAAGTAAAAAGAAAAAACAATTAAAAACAATTTCATCTTTTCCTCACTTCTTTTACGTTTACTTGTTTCCCGGACCTGCTCTTACCTCCCTCTTCTGTATTCTAATTAAATATGTTAATCCAACAATTCCTTTCCCTCCTTTTTAATCCTAATCTTTAATCTTGATGTAATATAACTTTAAATTTTACATTTTACATATTAAAAACCAATTTTTCCATATTCTTTTGTGCCTGTACAGCTAGAAACCACTTAACTTCAATGCAACATCATTCTAACATTCATTAATTTTGCAATATTTCTGTAAATAGTCTTTGAATTTCTTCCAATCTTCTTCCACCGACTCCTCTCCCTGGTCACGGATTCTACCAGTCATTACCGCCAATTCCATGTAGTCCATCATTTTCATCTGCCATTCCTCCAGTGTGGGTAGATCTTGTGTCTTCCAATACTTTGCAATGAGTATTCTTGCTGCTGTTGTAGCATACATAAAGAAAGTTCTGTCCTTTTTAACACCGATTGGCCGACTATGCCCAGGAGAAAGGCCTCTGGTTTCTTCAAGAAGGTATATTTAAATACCTTTTTAGTTCATTATATATCATCTCCCAGAAAGCCTTAATCTTTGGGCACGTCCACCAAAGGTGAAAAAATGTACCTTCAGTTTCTTTACATTTCCAACATTTATTATCAGGCAAATGGTAGATTTTTGCAAGCTTGACTGGGGTTATGTACCACCTGTATATCATTTTCATAATATTTTCTCTTAAGGCATTACATGCCGTAAATTTCATATCTGTGGTCCATAACTGTTCCCAGTCAGCAAACATAATATTATGTCCAACGTCTTGTGCCCATTTAATCATAACAGATTTCACCGTTTCATCCTGAGTATTCCATTTCAACAGCAAGTTATACATCTTTGACAAAGTTTTAGTTTTGGGTTCTAACAATTCTATTTCTAATTTTGATTTTTCCACCTGGAAGCCGATTTTCTTATCCAAATTGTATGCCTCCATTATCTGATAGTAATGAAGCCAGTCTCGCACTTTGTTTTTAGTTTTTCAAAACTCTGCAATTTCAATCTGTCTCCATCTTGTTCCAAAATTTCCCAATATTTCGGCCATTTGACCTCCATATTGAGCTTTTTCAAGGCTTTCGCTTCCATCGGTGACAGCCACCTTGGAGTTTTGTTTTCCAATAAATCCTTGTATCTTATCCAAACATTAAACAGTGCTTTCCTGACAATATGGTTTTTAAATGCTTTATGTGCTTTGACCTTGTCATACCACAGATATGCATGCCATCCAAATACGTTGTTAAAACCTTCTAAATCCAAAATGTCAGTGTTTTCAAGAAGCAGCCATTCTTTCAACCAGCAGAAAGCTGCTGATTCATAGTAAAGTTTAAGGTCTGGCAGGGCAAATCCACCTCTATCCTTTGCATCTGTTAGTATTTTAAATTTTATTCTGGGCTTCTTGCCCTGCCAGACAAATCTAGAAATATCTCTCTGCCACCTCTTGAAACAGTCCATTTTGTCCACAATTTGCAATGTTTGAAACAAAAACAACATTCTAGGCAATACATTCATTTTTACGGCAGCAATACGACCCAGCAGTGAAAGCTTCAAATTTGACCAAATTTCTAAATCTTTTTTCACTTCAGCCCAGCATTTTTCATAGTTATCTTTAAATAAGTTCCCATTTTTTGCTGTCAAGTTGATCCTTTCTCGTACATTTCTATCTTTGGAAATTGCTACCCTATATTTCCAGGAACTGCTGATGCTCATTCTGAGAAAGAGGCATAAGAGCAACCTTGTTTTGGGGAACACAGGCAGAAGTCTTTCTTTGTGGAAATATTGCTTAGTGCCAGCACTGAAAAAGCTTTCTGTGCAGAATTGGCAAAGATCAAGGGGTCAAAAATAGTGTTCCCATTATGGTGTATGGGTTCCACTTTCTTCCCTCCTCACAGCACCAAATGGGGCAATACTTCTTCTGTGCAAACAGGAGAATTTCATATTGACTTAAGCACTGACGTCGACCGGAAATGCCATTGCTGTGGGCTGAGTCACCAAGTGCTGGGAGCCAAGCAGCTACAGGGCAGCACATCATGTGTCAAATTTAGAGCTTTGTGAAGGGATTGTGCAGTTTGCCCTGCTCCAACAGTGGGATCTTCCAGCCTCCAGCACCTCCACCTCACCCCTCCTCCTTTAGTCAGCTGAGAACAAGCAGTCCTGCTGGCTGGGTAAGACAGGAAACCAAAAGGGAAACTGAAACCTTTTCCTTAGCAATTCTAATTCCAGTCAAAGCATCTAGTGAGGGGAATTCATGTGAGCGCTACCATAAAAAGCCACTGGAGTTTCCAGTCAGAGCAGAAGTGTTGTAAACTGCTCCAAGCACACATCTGTGGGAAAGGCTTCAGCAGCGGCAGCCCCCTTCTGAGTTTCCTCCTGGCTGAAGTGCCCCGCAGAGACTGCTGCCAAGCCAGACCAGCCAGAAAATTACCTATGTGAGTACCACCTTTTCTCTCCACAGCCCTGTCTAGCTGTTAGCTTGAGAGAAACAGCCACAAGCCCTGGATTTCAGACTTTCAGGCTGGGGAAGAAGTGACTTGGGTCAAATCAAGGCAGGGCTGGCAGGATACATCTTGCTGAGTGTGGCGAGGCAGCAAATGCTTTCTATTTGTGCCCTGTCTTGCTGGCTGTGCAAGGGATTGAGGAAGTAGTCGAGTGATTCTGGCACCTGAGGCAGAAAACCCCACAAATGTCTTGGCAGTGAAAACGCAGTAATAATAAATAACAAACAATTTGCGGCCTTTTCCTGATGCACAAAAACAGCTGCCTGCCCCTCTACCTAATGATAGGGCTCATCCTGGAGTGAGTGAATAGTTTCATAGTTCTTGAAGAAAAACATTCAAAGATCCTATGGGCAGCCCTTCCTTTATCTAGCTAAGGGATGGGGAATCTCAGGTTTGGGTGCCAAATGTTACCCTGTAGGCCTGAGGAGATTTCACCCCTCCCATATCCAAGAATCTCCTGAGGAGTCTGCTGATTCTCCAGAGAGGAGGAGGCGTGTTCTGCTCTCTACTTATTCTGCTCCAGCACCCAGTCAGTCAGTCAGTCAGTGTCAGAGAGAGAGAGGGAGACTGAGTGTTGGAGATTGTGTAGAGATAAGGTTGCTGCTAAGAGCAGCTGCAGACACTCAGTGCAGTGCAGCATTCATTTATGCTTAGACCTATTTAGCTCTGTATATAGTTGTATAATAGTTGTAGATAGAATAAAGAAGATATTCTACAGAGCTGCTCTCCGAGTTGTTTATATACTCTACTAGACTCTGCTGTACTCTGCTGTACGACGACTGTCTTCTTGTGGAAGTGAATCCGGTGCTCACATCTCTAAGCTGTGAGTCCACAGCACTTTGACCTGTTCCTGTGCAGAAGGTGGTCTCTGGAAGTGCTACCCAGCTCGCCTAGCCCAGTCGGGGCTGAAGTGGATGAGTCCAGCGGGTGGCACTGGCTCAAGGGCGATGCTGACAGGGACCACACCTCCTCTCCCCAAGAGATTTTGCCGAACTGAAATATGTCCTTTCATTTTGCTGTTTTAAAATGGTAGGAGTCGCTCACATTCACTGCTCTGGCCCAGAAGCTTGCCCAAGAGGAAATGCCCTTGGGGAAAATGTTTCCCAACCTCGACCCAGCCTTTCCAGGGGAAATAACCTGAGTGCAGAAGCAGAGCTTGGAATTTCTTTTTCTCTTTAGATTCCTCAGCCTCTTCCCTGGGCTGCCTTCTGAACTGCTCAGCCAAGCAGCATGGAAGAGCCAATGTGCCTGATCGAGAACAACCCCAAGGAACAGCTGCGGGTCAACCAGGAAGCCCTGAAGATCTTGCAGAGCATCCAGCAGCCAGTGGTGGTAGTAGCCATCGTGGGACTGTACCGCACTGGCAAGTCCTACCTCATGAACAAGCTGGCAGGAAAGAAGAAAGGTGAGTCTGCAGAAGGAATAGGTGTTGGTGGGTAGAGACTTTGGGCTGGATGGGGCCAGCAAGGTACCTTCAGATGTTACTTCATTTAGGTAACCGCTTTTTCAGATATCGGAGAATTCCACACTAAGAGGACCATATTCTGAGATTACTGCTGATCCCCTCGTACCTGATTCCCTTATTCCTGTCTCATTTGATCCCTATAGGCTTCTCTCTGGGGGCCACGATTCAAGCACAAACCATGGGCATCTGGATGTGGTGCCTTCCTCACCCCAAAAAGCCTGACCACACCTTGGTGCTTTTGGACACAGAGGGGCTGGGCGATGTGGAGAAGGTAAGTTGGAGACACAGAGCAGCTATTGTTTGGGGGAAGGGCCATAGCTTAGTGGTAGGGCAGCTGCCTTGCATGCAGAAGGTCCTAGGTTCAATCCCCGATATCTCCAGGTAGGGCTTGCCGTTTGTGTCTCACGCCTTCATTGTATACCTTTAGGCACCAGGCAAAAACATTCCTTTTCAACTAGGCTTTGGCTGATTAATATTCTACAGCCTTTTAAAATGTTTGGGGGGGTATTGTTTCCTTTTCTTTAACTATTTACTTTTGTTTTTACCTTTTACCCAGAGATCTTGTGATGAAGGGTGGTATATAAATCTTAATTAACAACAACAACTATACAACAGGAGAACAAGGCTAATCAGGAGCACTTTAAAAGCTCTCAGGTGAGGAAGCATGCTCATAGGAGTAAGGCAAAGGTGAGGGAGTGCGAGCAGAAAGGGATCAACCAGGCAGAGTTCTTTACTGTGTGTAGGGATGCAGCCTAGGTGCAGATCAAGTGTGTAACAGGATTCTGCACTAATTACTTACATCCCACCCTACAGAGCAATACTGCGAATGACTCCTGGATTTTTGCCTTGTCCATTCTGTTAAGCAGCACCTTTGTATACAACAGCATGGGCACCATTGATCAATATGCTCTGGAGAAACTGCAGTATCCTTTGTACAAATGGTGTCAGGCAGTTCACTGCCAGTTTTCCTGCTTTGCAGTCAGAATAGATGGTGTGTAGATGCTTTCGGTAGCAATGTAGCTGTGTGTGCACGCTGGGAAATGCCTCTTCGTACATACATTTATTTTCACGATACTGGATGGTGCAATGTAGGTCACAGTTAGTGGGGACACCACACTGGTTTCCACGAAACACACTAATTGACAAATTCAAACGAAGATGAACAAAACTGTGATAATAAATAAGACAGCAATTTTTAATCAGTTAGCTGGTTAGATTTCTTTGGGAGGGAAACAGCATTAAAAAAAGACACCTCTCCAATGAGGCAGCAAAAATCTGTTAATTCATTTAAATTCAAGTCCTATTGATTTTTATCAATAGAGGGCAGCTGCCTTCTTAAAAGAGTCATTCTGCCTTCTCACACACACAGAAGTAATGTCTCTTCTAGTACTGTGTCTGCTATGTCGCATGCATACATCATCTGAAAACGAAGGAATTGTGCTTTTTGATTTGGAATTACTGTTTTTATCTAGAAGCAAGATTTATCTAACTGCGTGACATTTCTAATAAGGCCCTTAGGAATAGTGAGGAGGGATAGAGGAGGAAAGGTGAGGGGTATTTGAGAGATTACTGCCCTGTGAAGTGGAAGAGGCATCGTAATTTCCTTAGCGTGATCCCAGGTATGTGACAGAGCTGACTAAGCGCATTAAGGTGAAGAGCACACCTGCAAAGGACTCTGAGGGTGAAGAGGGAGATTCGGGTGACTTTCTCAGGTTCTTCCCAGCTTTCGTCTGGGCTGTGCGTGACTTTTCGTTACTGCTGAAACTGAATGGGAAACCTATCACTGAAGACGAATATCTGGAGAATGCCCTGAAGAGGAAGAAAGGTACTGAGAGTCGGAGGGATCCTAGCCTGGATGAGTGCCGGATTTAGGACGGTGTGGGATGTTCCCCCTCACAGGGGGCCGAGCCAAGGGGGCACAAAATAATAGCAACAGCAACAATAATAACCTTATCTGTGATTCTCTCTCTCTTAGACAACCCAGAGAAGTTGGACCTTGCCAAGAAATGCATACGCCAGTATTTCCCCAGCCGCAAGTGCTTTGTCTTTGACCGCCCGGCCTCAAGGCGAGCTTTAGAGGAACTGGAGGACCTACCTGAATCTAAACTGAATCCTGACTTTCTGGAGCAGGTTCAGCATTTCTGCAGCTATATTCATGAGCAAGCTCAGGCAAAAGTCATCCAGGGAGGGCACACGGTGACAGGGACATGTGAGTAGAGGCAAAGGGCGTGGGGTAGAGTGGCTCATGGGGAATCCTGGGTGGGGAGGCCGGGGTTTCACCATGAACTTCAGTATACAGCCAAAGGGTTTATGGACTGGAATACGTTTTTGTTTATGGACCAGAATCCTTTTTGGTTGTTTTTTCTGCAAGAGACTAAGGGCCTGTCAACACTTCCACTTGCCCCAGACTTTTGCACAATTTGTGCTAGACCATTACCACTTATTTGAGAGCTTTTTCATATATCCTGAACTATCTCATAATAATAATAATAATAATAATAATAATAATAATAATAAATAAATAATATTTATACCCTGCCCATCGGGCTGTGTTTTCCCAGCCACTCTGGGCCGCTTACATTAGTTCATCATTTATCCATTTTTACTCATATCATATCCAATCACATTAATAACTTATTAAACCATATTTCTCTCCCTTCCTACCCCTTGCAGCACTGGGGCTTCTGGTGGTGACCTATGTGGATGCCATCTGCAGTGGCTCCATACCCTGCATAGAGAACGCGGTGGTAGCCTTGGCGCAGATTGAGAACACAGCTGCTGTGCATGATGCCATTACATACTATGAAGCAGAGATAGAGAAACACTTGAAGCTGCCCACCGAGACTATCGAGGAGCTGCTGGAAGTGCATGCCCAATACGAGAAGGAGGCCATTAAAGTGTTCTTGGCACGAGCCTTCAAGGATGTCAATCACGAGTACCAGAAGGAACTTGGGGTATGGGGATTAACTCACCAGTGAGCATGAGATAGGGGGCTCTCCATATCTGATATAGGGAAAACTAGGAAGGATTTTGTGTTGGATGGAAAGTTGGATACTCAGAAATAGGAGGTTCCTTTCTATGGGGCAATGTATTCATTCCTGTCCTAGTTCAGAGACTGAGTAGCCAAGATGTCAAGGGATGAGATCCGGCTCCTTAGCAAGGTTGTGTTGGCCATTGATTGGATGCCATTGGAAAGTTTAGGGAAGTTTTTAATATTTAATGCTGTATTGTTTTTAACACTTGATTGGGAGCTGCCCAGAGTGGCTGGGGAAACTCAGCCAGATGGGTGGGGTATAAATAAATTATTATTATTATAGTTGAGATGAGCTAAGATGCCCCCAGGAACACGGAACATCTGGCAACCACTTGGTTTTGTTGGGATGAAAAAGTAACCCTGTTCCCAAGGGAGGTGTTTAGAATGAGGAACTAACTGTGGGAGGACCAGTTTGAGGAAAGGACAGAGGGTAGTAGGTGGGCCACCTTTTTCAGGCAAAGTAGACTTACAGCAGGTATCCACACTTACCTTTTGCCTTGCTCTTTCTGAGCTTTAAAACATGGATTGTGCCTGGAAAGAGCGGAGGAAAGGTAAATGTGAATAAGCCCTAGGTCTTTTAGCCCTTTTTTGCATCTCTTCTCCTGGGTTGACAAATGGGAAGCCAGTTGGCACTCAGCAGAATGGACTTTCTGATCTGTATCTAAGAGTCATTTTCTCTCATGGATTTCAAGGGCATTGCAGCCTTCCTCCTGGGTCTCCACGTGCAAGATGCAAGCAGCTTTTTACCTTTCCCTGCTCAGTGCTATTTATGATAAATCTAAAAAGCAGAGTTAGGGGCATTCTGGGTGCCAACTTGCTTATTTGTTTGATGGTGCTGGGAGAGTAAGCAGAACAACAGCTAACTTTCAGAATAAGGTCCTTTTATTTCATACACTGAATCACACTTTGGAACCATGTTATCCGTTGCTTCCCCTTTGCACTGGTCCACTGGGGATAGTGCCTGCAACAAGAGGGAGCCCTGAAATCCCTGGAATAAGGAATATAGGACTGTTCTCTATTAGGAAGCACCATTTGCCTCTCACCCTGTGCCCCCTTCTCTCTTCCCCTCCACTCTTCCCTCTTTCCTCCAGACCCAGCTGCATGCCAAGCTTCTCGAGTTGTGTTCTCGCAATGAGCAGGCATCATCAGATCGCTGCCAGGCTGTGCTTACACAGCTGTTCCAGGACCTGGAAGAGGAGATTGGCAAGGGGAGCTATTCTGTGGCTGGGGGCTACCAGCGCTTTCTGGATGACCAGAAGGAAAAGGTGGATCAGTATTACCTGGTGCCTGGGAAAGGACTCATGGTGAGTCAGACTTGTAGGCACAGCAACAGGAGGGATAAGAGGACATGCAACACACCCACAAACCACGTTTAGCTTCCCCCAGGGATAGATACTCTCCTTATAACTATTTTACTGTTCCTTTGCTATAATAGGTTTCTCCAGAGCTGTCGCTCCATTCCCAGTCAGCAGCCCTGTCAGCATTACTGTAAGAGACACTGTGGTGCAATGGTTAGAGTGCTGATCTAGGATCTGGGAGACCAGGGTTCATATCCCTACTTCAGCAACAAACCCGCTGGGTGATCCTGGCCCAGTCACTGCTTCTTTGCTATCTTGCCTCACAGCTTTGTTGCAAGCATAAAATAGGGCGAGAGCCAGGCACACCACCTTCAGCTCTTTGGAAGAAAGGTGGGATATAAATGTAACCCCTGCCTCACTCCCCTGCCTTGCCCGCTCCCTGCTCAGCCCGATAACCACATTTCTCCCAGTGCAGTTCTGATCCTGAAGTGAATCAGGGTGGGAGAAGATTTCTTTAAAGGATAGTACACCTTGGGGTAAAGCAGAGGAGGAAATTACTTTTTAGATAAATTACATTTTGCTTTAATTGATTAATTAGGTAATACCCTGCCTTTTCTTCAAGTAACAGAAGGCAGTGTGAGTTGTGTTCTCCCAACCTTTCTCTTACAGCAACCCTGTGGGGTAGGCTAGGGAGAGAAAGAGAGAGAGACTCCAAGATCTCTTCATGGCTGTGGGGGGGACTTGGACCTGGGTCTCCACAGTCTTAGTCATACACTTAAAGTAATACACCTCACTGTCTCTCTCTCAAACCCAGCTCAGCTCCAGATGTGATTGGGCCATTAATCTAGATAAAGTACGAATGGCTACTCTGCCATATCTAGACTGGCCTTCAGGTTTTTGCAGTGTCTTCTTCACTGCATATAGCTTTGCATGCAAGCACAAAGCCAAAAAATTTGCCTCACTCTACCCCTCTTCTCCCCTTTAGGCTTCCCAGGCCCTGCAAGACTTCCTGAAATCCAAGGAGGCAGCAGCCCAATCCATTTTGCAGGCTGACCGGACCCTCACGGACAAACAGAAGGAGGTTGAAGGTGAGCCCCAGTTCAGAGGCCTCCTCCACAGACAGACCTTACAGACCCATAACAATCTTGGCTGGGATAGTTTTAGCCTCCTCCGTCAGAGGTGGGAGTCCCCACTTCCTATCACTTTTGTTAGTTCCTGATTCCTACCAATTCCCAGGCCTCTGAATGAAAGCCAAACTAGGAACATCTTGGAGGGTACAATGATCAGACCTGCCATTTAATAATAATAATAAAAAAATTGTAATGGCCACTGTGGAGTGGTGACTTTGACTGAGACCACAGGATGGGAGAGGAAAATGTTGCTGGGAAGATTCTTGTCAACTCATTAAGGGAAGTGGGAAAGGCCCACTAGACTGAAGTTCATTAAAATAACAATGTGACTTCCAATGATATGATAATTTATTAAAACTTGTTTTTTTATATTAAAAATCCCTGATACTGAGCTGTCACAGTAGCCCAGCTGAAATGTGATGCAGCAAAAAAAGAACTGATGGTGCTGTATACTGTTAAATACTGTCACAACAACAACAACAACAACAACAAATTAATAATGATTATGCTACATGCACACCACTCATGTAAAACACATTCCCTTCCCTAAGAATCCTGGGAACTTAGTTTGTGAAAGGTGCTGGGAATTGTAGGTCTGTGAAAGGTAAACTAAAGTTCCCAGAATTCTTTAGAGGAAGCTGTGTTTTTAAATTTGATTTCAGTGTATGTACACAACCTCCAAATACGCTAATGCAGCCTTTGCCAACCTGTGTCTTAATGTACAATTAGCATTCACCATCTCTCTTTCCCTCTAGTGGAGCGAGTCAAGGCTGAAGCCTCTGCCCGGGAAGCAGAGTTGCATGAGAAGATGAAAGATGAGGCTGTCCGGAGGGCCCAGCAGCAGGAAAAGAGTTTTGAGGAGCACAAAAGGCAGCTAGAAACAAAAATGGAGGAGGACAGGAGGAAGCTACTGGCAGAGCATGAGATGGTGATGAATGCAAAGCTCCAGGTAACAATATCCTTAGTAGTGTAAGCCTGATCATTTATGCAGTCCTACCAGCTTTCACTAAAGAGGCCAGAGTCGAAGAAGGAGGAGGAGGAGGAGTTTGAATTTGATATCCCTCTTTATCACTACCCGAAGGAGTCTCAAACAATCTCCTCCCCCTTCCTCCCCCACAACAAACACTCTGTGAGGTGAGTGAGGCTGAGAGATGTCAGAGAAGTGTGACTAGCCCAAGGTCACCCAGCAGCTGCATGTGGAGGAGCGGAGACGCGAACCCATTTCACCAGAGTATACGCTCTTAACCACTACACCACACTGGCTCTCTATAAGACACTATATATGTATGCAATTTCTATGCATGTATTTTTACCCCACTCTTTAGCCAAAGAAGGCCTCCTGAGCAGCTCACAGCAAACAGTAATAAGCATTCAGGCTTACAATCTAAAAGATACAGCACAAAAAGAAAAGGGATTGGGAGGGAGGACCAAAAAAGCAACCCCAGGCACTACTTCTTAGTCACAATGTTCTTTTGAGTCTTCTTTCTGGCAGACTAGAAGGAAGCAAGCTTCCTCTTCCTGCTGCTGCTGCCGCCTCTTTGGATGATGAATGGAGTCTGGTTTGTCTCTCTTGCCATTGTTATTTTATCTGGGGACTTGTGACCATTGGGGAGCTCTACAACATACATCCTTCAGGAATCACAGGGCCAGTTTGTGCAAGATGGCACCATTCTAGCTGAGGATGCCTGTGTCATCTTGAGATAGTCTTCAGGGACCTAACATTAGGGGGGGAAAGCAGTTGGATTGGGGGCATATGGAGAAGGGAGGAGGAAGCAATTGCTCACCTGTCTCAATTCAACACCTGAATTGGCCTAGCTCTGTCCCCGTCTCTTATTGCAGTCTCCAGCTTTGCTCTGTGATCAACTGGCATTGACTTTATTCTTTATCCCTGCCATTCCTTAGGAGCAGAGGCGGCTTCAGGAAGAAGGGTTCAACCAAGAAGTCAACAGGCTTCAGGGCGAGATCCAGCGCTTGCACTCTGCGATGAGTCAACAGCCGGATGAGGGCCCTGGATTCTGTGTGATTCTTTGAAGCTGCTGGCATTTCCAAAAGGCCCTAAATGGATGAGGAATGGGATGGAGAGGAGAGATCTACTTTGTATCTGGGCTCACTGAGTAGATATCTTTGGTGTGACTTTTTGTGTGTATATGAGAAAAATGATGGCATATAAAGACAAAATGGGTGAAATTAAACAAGAAGGAAAATCTGATAGTTGATTGTATTCTGTTGGTATAATAGGGTTCATGCCTTGTAACCTTGTCTTAACTATTATGTTTATGTTGCAAATAGTTCTAGCTGCTGCATTGCAAGTATTCATATAACTATGGTTTATTTATTTTGGTTTTATTTTATGTCTGTATTTCTTCGACAGTGATTTATAATTGTATATGGACCATGTATATTGCCACTAGATCATGTTTAATAACAGTGAATTTTGCAGAACCTTATATAACAGTTTTTGGACAATAAATAAATTGGAATCTGCCATGGGTAGAGGCTTCTCTGTAAAGGTAAAAAGTCTCCAGCTTGAAACAATCTAAAGGCAAGACAGTATGTGAAAAGTTTATTGGGCTTGGATGTGGGGAAATTGTGCTCAGCTATGAAGCTTTCATGGATGGGTTTTAGGAAGGGTGGAGGGAATCGCCCCCATATACATTTCAGATGACATTATTCATTAGAAGCACCTTTATCTCAGGCAAATCTGCTGCATCTTTGTATTGACTGGCTTTTGTGAACAATTACATTTCTCCAAAGTTCTTGATTGCCATTAGTCATATGCAAACCACACCAAATATGGACATCATATTTTCTCCAGGGGAATCGGACTTCTGCTGCTTCTCTCTCATACACAAACACACCTTTGCTGCTGGAGAGCACACTTCAGCTGTGAATATTTGCAGGTTTCCCATCATCTCACTGACTGCTAAAAAGGTGATCTGGAGCCATGCTGTTCCTTGTTTTTCAGACAATTAACATTTCCACACTAAGGTCTGCCAGTGTCGTCCAGACATGGCTGTTCTATGGTCAGCTAGAAGCAGAATTATAAATGTCCACATCAGCAAATGTGACTTGATATTGCAGAAGAAATTTTGACCCCAAGGCCTCAGTCCTGGTCTGTGACCGCCAGTTTTTTTTTTTTTTAATGATATTTATTCCAAATTTAAAGTTGCAAAAAAGAGAAAGAAAAACTATACAAAATACAAAGAAAAATTTAACCTTAACAAAGCGAAAAGTAAAAAGATAAAAGTGAACAATAAAATAGAATAAAAAAAGAAGACTTAACAAAAAGTATAAAAATGCATTAAGTTAAAATGAAACAAAAACAAATTAAACCTTTACATAGCCTTTTCCCTTTACTTATGTCCATGACCTCCTCTCACCTCCCAGTTTTGTATTCTAGTTCAGATCGTATTTCCAGCAAGTCCTTCTAACCTTATTTTCATTTACGTATTTTCATTTAAAATAATGTAATTAAACCTCCTCTGTTTCGTCAATTTCATCAACTCATTTTACTTAATCCTTTATATCATATCTACCAAAACGACCTAATTTTCATTTTCCAACCTCTTTCTAACAGTCTTTTATATTACAATATCTGTCACCGCCAGTTTTGACCCCATGAGCATATATGTGAAATGTAAGGTTATTTTGTTCCAGCATGAATCATTTTACACTTGAATTGCATTTGCCATTCCACCACCTGTTCACTCACTTCGGTGAGGTTCTTTTGGTATTCTTTGCAATCTCTTTTTGTTTCAACAAATCTGAACAATGATGTATCATCAGCAAACTTGGCCACCTCACTGTTTACCTCTTAACTCTAGATCATTTATGAGCATGTTAAAAAGCACAATCTTTGGGATAATACCAATCTTTGGAAGACTGCACTTTCTTCTCCATTTGGAGAACTGTCCACTTATTCCTACCATTTGCTTCAATGAACTTAACCAATTCCTGATCCACAAGAGGACCTCTTATTGAATAACCTTAGCAAATAATGTGCCCATTTTCAGTCCCTGTCACTTAGCTCTGCGGGGGGTGGGGAGCAAGCAAGCAAACACCTATTATTCATACCCCACTCCTCTGCTTTTGTATTCAAGCTGGTCCAACCCAGAGAACGCAATCATCAGGTGAAGTGGGGAGGGATAAGGAAGTGGCAGAGTTCCACTCACACTTCTCTGAATTCAGGTTGCTCCTTGTTAGCCTACTCTTTCTCTTCAAATAAGGTGGCAGTACTATGCATGCTGAATCCACTGAATCTATTCTTGTGATGCATAGGATCTGGCTGCTCCTGGGATAAGCCCTGCTGGAACAGACCAATGGCCCACGTAGCCCAATATTCTGGTCTCACTGTGGCCCAGCAGATGACTTTGAGAAGCCCACAAGCAGGGCTTGAGCACAACAGCATTCTCCCCTCCTGCCGTTTCCAGCAACTGGCGTTCAGAAGCATTCTGCCTTTGAGGACAGAGATGGATTGTAGCATTGCGGTATAGAAGACGTTGATAGTCTTATCCTCCATAAATTTGTCCAGTCCTCTTTTAAACTATCCAAGTTGGTGGCCATCACTACCTCTTGTTGGAGCGAGTGCCATAGCTCATCTATGAGCTGCACCAAATCTTCCAATATTCAGCCTCAGTGGGTGCCTCTGAGTTTTAGTGTTATAAGAGAAGGAGAAATTATGCACACACTAGTGGGGACATTATAAAGGAGTATAAATTATGCATAATCTTATACACTTTTATAGTAGGCTTGCCCTATTTCAAAAAGTAAAAACCAGGACGCCCCGAGAGTTGTAGAGCTTTTTTTAGGAAGACCCCCAAGGACTGATTTTTCAATAGACCTGCCTAACATCTAGGACAAAGCAATGGCCTTTGGAAATTCCCCCCGGACGTCGATTCTGCCTTTGAAATCCCAGTAATATTCAGGAAAATCTGAATGTATGGCAGCCTTGCTTTATAGTGTTTCCACTTACTTGCCTTTTTATTGTTATATATATATATATATTAAAGATTCTTGGTTTCCAAAAGTATGTGCAATGTCTCTTTTTCAAGCTGTGTTTTCTACAGATCAGTTGCATTTGTTGTGAGGCATTAGTGTTACATTAGGAAGTAAAGAGTGGAATGGTGAGTGGGGTGGGGCCAGGTGTTACTTGACTTTTTTCTAAACTACAAAGACTCAAACGTAATATTTTCTCATAGGGACCTTTTTTTTTTTTTAATAAATTTTATTTTATAACACCATACAAACAAAGAAGACAAACACAACACATTCACACCAAAAAAAACTAAATAAAGAAAAAAATATATATAAAATATATATATATATACTCCTGACATAAGACAACAACAAATTAACTACATTAACTACTTAACACACAACACTGACTGACTTCCCTTCATCTCGGTTTCGGAATGTGTTATAAAATTTTTCTATCTGCAGTTTCTTTTCCTCAAAAAAAAATTCTTTACATCACAAGTGTTATATCACACCTACTGTGTTTTTTAGTTTTTTTTACCTCTGTTTCCATGTATGCCATGAATTTATTCCAATCTTTATTAAACTTTGTGTCTTTTTGATTTCTTATTTTCTGTGTCATTTTTGCCAATTCTAGATAGTCGAGTAGTTTCGATTGCCATTCATTTATGGTTGGGATTCTTGGTGTCTTCCAATTCTGCGCTATTAGAGTTCCGGCGGCCCCTGTCGCGTACTGAAAGAGTGTTTGATCTTCCTTTTTGATTTCCTCTCCAATTATCCCCAGCAAAAAGGCTTCAGGTCTTTTTATAAAGGTATATTTAAAGATTTTTTTTAGTTCATTGTAAAATAGATTCCCAAAATTTTCTAATAGGCTCGCACAACCACCACATATGATAAAAAATTGCCCTCCTTAATCTTGCACTTCCAGCATAATTTATCACCAGTTTTATATATTTTTTCCAGTTTTACGGGCGTTACGTACCACCTGTACATCATTTTGTACATATTTTCCCTGAGTGTTGTGCATGCCGAGAATCTCATACCTTTATTCCATAGTGCCTGCCATTTATCAAACTCTATGTTATACCCAAAGGGACCTTTGATCATGTTGTGTTTGCTTACATTGCTTCACATTTGCCATTTTGCTGTCCAGCTGGGAGAAATTGTTTTGCAGCTTCTCAAAATCCCTGCTTCTTTTAGCAACCTCCAGCAGCATAGAACACCGGTCCTAAAATATCTGCATTGGCTCCCAGTACACTTCCAAGCACAATTCAGAGTGTTGGTGCTGACCTTTAAAGCCCTAAACGGCTTCCGCCCTGTATACCTGAAGGAGCGTCTCCACCCCTATCGTCCAGCCCGGACACAGAGGTCCAGATCCAAGCGCCTTCTGGCAGTTCCCTCACTGTGGGAAGTGAGGTTTCAGGGAACAGGCAGAGGGCCTTCTCGGTAGTGGCGCCCACCCTATGGAACACCCTCCCAGCAGATGTCAAAAAGATAAATAGTTATGTGACTTTTAAAAGACATCTGTATGCAGCCCTGTTCAGGGAAGTTTTTAGGGTCTGATGCTACGTTGTGTTACTCTTCCCCCAGTCTAACACAGAGCATCTGGTTGTGAACTAGAAGTTTGGTGGTTCAAAGATTGTGGGAAGTATTCCTGCCTTGCAGGGGGTTGGACTAGATGAACCTTGGTGTCCCCTCCAACTCCACAATTCTATGATTCTTTGATTCTATGGCTCCTCATCACCACCACCACCTTGGAAATTGAGCCATGTCTCTTCTGCAGGCTTTCGTCACAAACAGAGGTGTGTAATGCTTCAAGCCTTGAAGCAGAAGAAACAACCCGAATTACAGTTACTGAGGGCTGATTCATGAGCTGGGAGTCAACGAATTATACAACTCAAGCCCGTTGTGTGCAGCGCAATCATCCCGCTTCTCCTAATCACCCCCCCCCCCCCGCTTCCAAGGCTGCGAGAGTTGATCTGCTCAAAGGACAAGGGCAGTTTCCCTGAAAGGGAAAAGCGAAACTAGAAGTAGACATTTCTCATGCTGAAAGAAGGAAGATTCCAGGCAAGGAAACACCCATCCCACCACCATAAAAAAGCCAGGGGGGAGTTCAGTGAAAGGAGAAGAGGTGTGCCCGGTTCCAGCAAGAGAAGAGCCACAGCAACTTATTGCCTTTGGTAGAAGTTCTGTCCACAAGCAGTGAGACTCAGCAGCAACCCAGATCGTCAGCCGCTGCTCCCAGTAAATTAACTCTGTAAGTACCATTTTCCTGCCTTCTGTCCCTCCTGTTGGCTTGAGAGAGACAGGCATAGGCTTCGGAGGCCAGACTTCTCAAAGCAGGGAAGGGACTGCTTAGATGAGTGCAAGGATGCTGGCCAGCTAGTAATAATAATAATAATTTATTATTTATACCCCGCCCATCTGGCTGAGTTTCCCTGGGCAGCTAGGGATGGAAGCATTGAACAATTTCAGCTCTCTCAGCTTCTTGTTCTTCCAGTCTTAAATTTGATTCTTTCCATTTCTGCAGCAATCTGCAATCCCCCTAAAATGTGCCACCTGAGGCAGCTGCCTCACTCTGCCTAATGGAAGGACCACTGCTGCTTTTGTCTGCGGTCTGCTTGCTTGCTTTAGTGGTTGTGTCATTCTTGCTGTTACAATATATTAGGTTTTCATTGTCATTGTACACACATACATACTCTGGGATCTGCTTGGATGTTTCCGACCTTTTTTAAAATAATAATAAAAATTAGTTCCCCAGATCTTACAGAAAAGAGTCTGAAGAAGCCACAGGCAGGCTTTATTAAGAATTCTCCTAATTTTCCCTTACTCATGCCTCAGCTGATGACAGCCAGTTCATTGCTTGTCCCTGAGCTTGCCTTGCTCAGTAGGCAGAGAATACAGAGTAGAGAGAATTCAAACAAGGGAGGTTGGGATCGAACGGAGTTATCCTGGAAACGGGCACAAGTGGCTGGCTGGCACTATAGAGCACACTGCACAGCGTTTTGTTGCAGTTTTCACTTGTGGGACTAGAGATTTCTCTGGAAGTTGATCTTCAAGCAATTAAGCAGTGGATCCAGACTTAGTTAGACATAGACAGACCCATCAGATCAATGGGACAATCTCATTGCCTGCAATGGATCTGCACATCATACAGAGAAAACACATTTTCCCCCCTTAAGAATCCTGGGAGCTGTGGTTTATCCCTCACAGATCTACAATTCCCAGGATTCTTGGGGGGGGGGGGTTGCTTTACATATATGGGGTGTGCTCAGCCCAAATGTGAACCCAACCCTTACACTATGCTCTGATTCATCAGCAGTGCGTGTTTGGGCTACAACAAAGAGGCAAAGTTTCCAGAAGCTTGGAATGTGTTTCCAGATGTGGAACAACAAAGAGGCAAAGTTTCCAGATGTGGCTTGGAACACAGAACCAAGTAAAGGGGAGGTGACCTTGGGCATAGTCCTGTTTGGTGCTGTGCCCTATAACTGATCAGGAACACTGACCACAGTGCTATCAAATCCATTAACTTGGGGTCCTTTCCAACTCTAAGTTTCTATGAACTATGTAAACAGTTGCAGGGAAAGTCCAGCTCTTGATTTCAAAAGAAGAAATTATTTTAAAAACAATGGGGTTCTGGTAAAAAAAGAAAGGAGGAAGCTGAAAGAAGAGCATTTCCAGAAACAGCTTGAAAGCAAAGCAGACAGTGAGTTTCATAATGCTTTTCTGAACACCCTTTAGCAGTGCAGAAATAACGTGGCCAGCTATCCGTTTGTGCATCAAACTTGGATGTCTGCAAAAGGGGTGCCTATGTTTGAGAAGGTACACCTGCATATGCCCTCCACACAATTTAATATCTGTACTTTCTAGGGTCCTGATACCACGGAGCACCTGAAACCTTTGTCGATGTGCAGGACTGTTCTAAAAAGGGATAAAACATGATAGCGTTGATTCATAGAGGGTCGACATGGACCTTAAAAAAGGAAATAGTTAGTGCCATCAATACAGGCCCTTAGTAGCCAGAATAGCAGTGAAATAGGCCATCTACTCTTAGGAAAGCTGAGCAGCTATTCTTCTGAGTTAAAAAAAGCCAGATTTTCTGAACATTTTCCTTTACTTTTTCTCCCAGGAGGTTCTTTGTCCTGATCCATCCCTCTCATGGGCTCTCCGCGGCCTCCGTCAGTGAACATGGAAGAGCCAATGTGCCTGATTGAGAACAACCCCAATGAACAGCTGCGGGTCAACCAGGAAGCCCTGAAGATCTTGCAGAGCATCCAGCAGCCGGTGGTGGTGGTGGCCATCGTAGGACTGTACCGCACTGGTAAATCCTACCTCATGAACAAGTTGGCAGGAAAGAAGAAAGGTGAGTCTGCAGGAAGAATCTGCTCTGTGCTCCTGAGTAGAGACTGGGGTGCTGAATGGGAACATTCACACCACGCCAGAGTTCCCTGAGAAGAGGGATTGATTGGAGGGGAATAAGGAGGCCTCCTCTCAGCTCCCTTAACAAACTACAGGTCCCAGTTTTCTTTGGGGAAAGCCATGACTGGCATCATAGCAGTTCAAGCATAGAGTGTGAATGTGGTCAATGAGAAGGGGGCAGTTATAGTATGAAGTCCCTTAATAATGGGTTGTACCAAACTAAGTGCTCAGAGTTATGGATGGATTGATGGATCTCTCTCTTTCAGTTCTTGCAATTTCTCATCTCTCCAGGCTAAAATTCAGTTCCCTATATTTCTGAAGCAATTTGCAAATAAGTAAAATAAAATAAAATCCCCATCAGCTTTTCTCCTAATAAAAGGTTTTCAAGGGTCTCGGAAGCCAAACGTTTCAGTTTTTGAACGCCGAAAACTCAGAAGTAAATGCTTCTGTTTTTGAACGTGCCTCAGAAGTTGAACTTCTGAGGCGGCTTCCTGTTTGAGTTTTCCATACGTTTTGAGGCTTCCATATTGAGTTTTTGGTTTTCGAACATTTCGGAACGTTTCTGGTCTTCCGGAATTGATTACGTTCAGAAACCGAGGAACCACTGTAAAGACCTTTTTGTATGCAATTTTGCCCAACATTTTTGGAAAGCTGTTATTTTCCCTAAAATATGCATTGCCATGCACAATTTACCCTAATGTATGGATTTTTGTGCACATTGCTCTGCTGGACAGCTACGTTTCAAAATCTGGAGAAGTGTGGATTTCAGAGGACGGCTGGGTTTTCAGTAAACACATTGTTTTGTAAAGCATGGATATGGTTGGCTTGCCTTTGCAAGCGAACTTAACTGAACTTTCCCCCCATCCTCATTCAGAACAGACACAGTGAAATTCATGAGGTTAGTCATGCCCAGTAACTTCATTGGGTCCACTTTGAGTTGGGCTAGCAGTGCATACACATCATATCCCTGTCTCAAGTGCATGTGCAAAACTGTTCTAAAAAGGCTAAAATAGAGCTGATTTGTAGAGGGTCAATGTGGACCTTAAAAAAGGAAATAGCAAGAGGCCAGAACAGTAGTACAACAGGCCATCTGCTCTTCAGCTACTTGCTGGCTATAGGTTTTTGGTCTGCGTTCCCTGCAAATGGAAATACTTCATTCACTCCTTCTGATCTTTTGAACCTGTTCCATCCTCCCTTCTGTGCTGGAGCAGTCATCCAACCCACTTTATGGGCAATTAAGTGGCTGACAAGAGCCCCAAGGTTCCTTTTACAACCAGGCTATTGCTGCAGTTTGTAGTTATGGTGCTTCTTTGCATGTGCAGGGGATATAACAACAAGAACAACTAATTTATTACTTATACCCCACTTATCTGGCCAGGCCTCCCCAGCCACTCTGGGCAGCTCCCAAAAGAATATTAAAAACACAATAAAACATCAAACATTAAAAACTTCCCTAAACAGGGCTGCCTTCTGAGGTCTTCTAAAAGTCAGTTGTTTATTTCCTTGACATCTGATGGGAGGGCGTTCCACAGGGCGGGTGCCACTACCGAGAAGGCCCTATGCCTGGTTCCCTGTAACCTTACTTCCTGCAGGGAGGGAACCGCCAGAAGGCCCTCAAAGTTGGACCTCAGTGTCTGGGCTGAACAATTGGGGTAGAGACACTCCTTCAGGTATACTGGGCTATTCCTTTCATGCTGGCTTGGAAAAGAACATAAGTATTTGGCCAAGCCGCTAGAAGATAAGATGTTCACCCACCTGGTGCCATGCAGATGTTTTTGACTACAACTCTGGATTAGGCTGATGGAAGTTGTGGTCCAAAGCATCTTCACCGAGTTGGTGATGGATGCTCCATAGGTGCCTACTTGTTTGCAAAGGGTGGAAGCCCTTCATTTTAAGAATTGGAGTGAGTACTATTGAGAGTTGAAGAACAACACCTCCACCCACAACAAACACACAGGTGATCCCCTAATATCTGATCTCCTTCCCCTTTGTACCCTACAGGCTTCTCTCTGGGTGCCACCATACAAGCAGAGACCATGGGCATCTGGATGTGGTGCCTTCCTCACCCTGAAAATCCTGACCACACCTTGGTGCTTTTGGACACGGAAGGACTGGGTGATGTGGAGAAGGTAGGCTGGAGGACAGGGCTGGAGCCAGTGTGATGCAGTGGTTAGGGTGTTGGGCTGAGACTTGGGAGGCCAGGGTTTGAATCCCCACTCAGCCACAAAGCTTGCTGGGTGGACTTGGGCCAGTCACTGCCTTTCAGCCTAATCTACCTCACAGGGTTGTTGTGGGGAGAAATGTGTCACACTTAATGAGATCCCTGTGACATCATAGGTCTCAGGTTTTGGCCTTGAAATCTCAGGCTCCTGAGCTGGCAGTCCTAAGAGCTAGGCTAATCTGGAACACTCCCAAAGCTTTTGGACGTGGAGTGGCTGGGCGATGTGCAAACATCTGGAAGTAGGGAGTTGATGCCTTGAAGAGTTTTCTTTTTTAAAATGATAATAATTTTTAAATTCATTTTTAGCTTTAACGATTAGCATCACAAATAAATCATATACATATAGGATTCTCTGAATCCCCGGACTTCCCTCCACCTCTCCACGGTTTCCATAGTTATTCTTTTCCAACTGTATCAAATAATGTTCTCCGTATTTTCTTTAACCTCAATTCTCACCATAGTTCTCATTACACTGCAAGTGGTTTTTTTTTATCCCTGCCAATGCTTTTAATTGTTTACAGTGATATTTTAAGTAACTTATAAATTTCCCCCATTCTTTATCAAATTTATTATCCTCTTGAACTCTGACCTTCCCGGTCATTTTTGCCATCATTTTTGTCAGCCATTCTTCTCTTGTAGGTACTTTGTCTTCCTTCCATCTTTGGGATAATAACATCCACACAGCTGTTGTAGCGTACATAAACAGTCTTTTCTGCTCCTTTGGTATATCCGGACCTAAGATTCCTAATAAAAAAGCTTCTGTTTTTCCCCACAAAAGTTATTTTAAACATTTTTTTCAACTCATTATAAGTCATTTGCCTAGGATGGTTTTCTATGCAGTCCTTACATACAACAGGAAAACTAGACTAAGAGCAGCCCCAGAGCTCCTGAAAGTCACCACAGTCTGAGGCAGTGGGAACAGAAAATACCCACCAAAGCAGTATCTCTAACTCTAGTGAATGCAACAACTCTAGGTTGCTGATATCAGGAAGGCACCATCATTGTACTCTTTCCTGCAAGAAATGTAAACTTTTTTTTAGGTAAACCTAGCATAGATGTTGATATGCTTTTAATCTCTCTTACTGTAGATTTCTTAAAATTAAAAAATCGCATTGCCGGGAGTTGGACTATATGACTCCTGGGGTACCCTCCAACCCTACAACTCTACAATTCTGTGATTCTATGTTTTCCATTGTTTTTAGCTTTTTAAATTGATGTCGTTTACAAATTTATTGCAAACCTCTTACAGGCTTTGCCGCAATCGAGCGGTCTATAAATGGCGTCAGATGCAAATAAATAAAACAGGTGCAAGCCCAGTGTACAAGGGTTTTCTGCTAATTACGCCTATCCCTCCCTACAGAGCAACATTGAGAACGACGCGTGGATCTTTGCCTTGTCCATTCTGCTTAGCAGCACCTTGGTCTACAACAGCATGGGTATCATTGACCAGTTTGCCTTGGAAAAACTGCAGTATCCTTCCGTGCAAACTCCATTTCACCTCCAGCTCCCTGATTTGCAGCCAGAGTAGATGGGGCAGGGACTTTGGTTTGCATGGTATCTCCATGAACATTATGGGATCTCCCCCATGCACTTCTTTGCAGGATACTAGATGGAGCTCGCAAGCCTGCAGTGCCACCGTTCTCTCTGGACTCTTGTGTTAGGAAAACATGCTTTAAGAAACAGATAAAGGTTCCTGGAAGCTTTAAAGAGGGTTCCAGAATTTTCTTTAGTGTGTAGGAGTGGCGCTCTAGGCTTGATTGGTGTCAGCTGGAGGTGCAAATAAATAATAATAATAATAAAAATTATTTATACCCCGCATCCCCAATAAAGGGAGGAAGCTGCAGGCTGCAACTTCCGCACGAGGAAAGTACACACACACACACACTGTCAGCACGCACGCTGACCACAAGGTTGGAAGTAGGACTATGCGCTGCTGATACTATGAGTTTTTGCTGTGTCAGGATTGTTAATTACTGAGATTATACCGTGCTGGAGAGATAAGGAAGGAATGTAAATAGCTTGTATATAATAGTAACAGAAATGCTTGTGCAATCAGTGAAGCAACAAAGAAGCTCTTGACTGTGAATTTGAGTATGACTCCTGTTCTTGTCCTCTGCCTCCGGGGAAAACTCTGCTACAAACAGTAAGAAGTGGTTTTACCGAGGTGCCACCACACAAGCAGAAAAGCGCAGCAGAAGTGTGTGGGCGGTAGCCTCTAATAGTGTTATCTAAGTTATTTAACTGAGAGATTATTGCCCCAGGAGGGGACAAGAGTCATCTCCATACATTCCTTAGTGTAATCCCAGGTATGTGACAGAGCTGACTAAGCGAATCAAGGTAAAAGCTACAGCCACAAAGACCTCTGAGGATGGAGAGGAGGAAAACAGTGATGACTTCCTCAGGTTCTTCCCAGCCTTCGTTTGGGCTGTGCGTGATTTCACGCTGCAGCTGAAGCTGAACGGATGCCCCATCTCTTCCGACGCATATCTGGAGAACGCCTTGAGGAGGAAGAAAGGTACGGGAAAGAGGGCTGATGGGATCCCACCCAGGCCTTGCGTCAGCAATCTGAGGCTGTGACAGGGACTGACTCTATCGGGGCGGGGAACCTTTATCCTTCAAGGGGCTGCATTCCCTTCTGAGCAACCTTACGGGGGCCACAGGGCAGAGGAAGGTGGAGCAACAGCTGTAGAACTGACCTTAGTACAGCAGGTCAGCATATTCCTCACCCAGGCAAGCAAAAAGCCTTATCAGAGTTCAGGGACACAGTTCAGCCAGGCAAAAACTCTCAAGGAGGCTGCAAGGCAAAGCCATTGAGGTTTGTAGCCTGAAGAGAAGGGGTGTGGACTGGGGAGAGTCCTGAGGACTACCCAGAGAGACCTGCAGGGCTGTTTTTGGCCCACAGGCCTGAGATTCCCCATCCCTGAACGACATTCTTGTTAGCTTTTTATAACATCCGTGTCAGTGGGAAGTCCAAATTCTACAGACAATGATGAAAAATGGGAGAGACTCTTTCTGTGAAATGGGGCCTTTGAACATAAGAATCCCAAAAAAGCCCTGCTGGCAGGCAAGAACTGTGTACGGTCCCCAATTCTGTCATTTTCTGGGTTAATGGGGTTGCAAACAGATGTTTGTTTCTGGAAGCAATTAACGTGGAAATGAGTGCTAAACCTCTTGTATATTCTGCTAGATTTCTGGAGGTAATCATAATCATAATAATTACTATTAGTATTATTTCCCCAGCCACTCTGGGCAGCTCCAAACAGAATATTAAAAACACAATAAAACATCAAACATTAAAAACTTCCCTAAGGGCTGCCTTCAGGTGTCTTCTAAAAGTCAGACAGTTGTTTATTTCCTTGACATCTGGTGGGAGGGCGTTCCACAGGGCGGGTGCCACTACCGAAAAGGCCCTCTGCCTGGTTCTCTGTAAGCTCACATCTCGCAGTGAGGGATCCGCCAGAAGACACTCGGTGCTGGACCTCAGCTTCTGGGCAGAACGATGGGGGTGGAGACACTCCTTCAGGTGTACTGGGCCAAGGCCATTTAGGGCTTTAAAGGTCAGCAAAAACACTGAATCGTGCTCGGAAACATACTGGGAGCCAATGTAGGTTTTTCAGGACCAGTGTTATATGGTCTCGGCAACCACTCCCAGTCAACAGTCTGGCTGTCGCATTCTGGATTAGTTGTAGTTTCCGGGTCACCTTCAAAGGTAGCCCCACATAGAGCACATTGAGGTGGCTTTTACATTGTATGAAAGCTCAAATATAATGCGGATACATGAGGGAAACAGAATGAACTGCTGATGTGGTCTTTCAGGACTACATCACTTAGGATTGCATATGGGGGACTGTTTACTTGAAAGCACATCCTTGACAGAATCTGCTGGCAAAATGAACAGGAAAACAGGATGAGCTAGAATTTTCCTCCCTGGTTCGTCAGCTTTCTGCACGTGGGAGGATTTTGGCATAGGGGTGTTTTCACCAAAGCCATTACAAATGCGCATTCCAAAATGCTGTTGACATGAAGGATTGCACCGCTTGGCCAGCTGAATTTGATCTGAGGCAGGCATGACATCTAGAGCAAAGATGGAATGCCGCAGCCCAGAAAGACTGATGGCTTTGAACTTTCTTGCAATTCTCCCTCTCCAGGACAACCCGAGAAGCTAGATCTTGCCAAGAAATGCATCCGCCAATACTTCCCCAGCCGCAAGTGCTTTGTCTTTGACCGCCCGGCCGGAAGCCGAGACTTATCGGAACTGGACGACCTGTCTGAAAAGATGCTAAGCCCCAACTTTGTGGTGCAAGCGCACCGCTTCCGCCAGCACATATATGAAAGTGCTCAGCCCAAAATGATCGAAGGAGGACACCTGGTGACCGGGATATGTGAGTAGAAGGGAAGGGACCAGAAAAAATGGATGTGTTTAGCAAAGTCACTTAAGTAACACAGACGGAGTCCAGAGGGAGAAAAGGAATCGTTGTAACACTTCACAGGAGAGAGGGGAAAGTCCCATTTCACAAGTAGAAATCCCTGACAGATACCCACAACTTAATATAATTGATATAGGAATACAGCATGTCTCACCATAGAAACGCAAGTAGCTAGCTAAAATAAATAAACTGGCTTTCTTCCCTCCCTTTGCAGTGCTGGGGCACTTGGTGGTGACCTACGTGGATACAATCTCCAGTGGCTCCATACCCTGCATAGAGAACGCGGTGGTAGCCTTGGCGCAGATTGAGAACACAGCTGCTGTGCATGATGCCATTACATACTATGAAGCAGAGATAGAGAAACACTTGAAGCTGCCCACTGAGACTACTGAGGAGCTGCTGAAAGTGCACGCCCAATACGAGAAGGAGGCCATTAAAGTGTTCTTGGCTCGGGCCTTCAAGGATGACGATCATGACTATCAGAAAGAACTTGGGGTATGAGGATTAACTCACCGGTGGGCATGAGATAAGGGGCTCTCCATATCTGATATGGGGAAAACTAGAAGGATTTTGTGTTGGATGGAAAGTTGGCTACTCAGAAATGGGAGGTTCCTTTCTATGGGGCAATGTATTCATTCCTGTCCTAGTTCAGAGACTGAGTAGCCAAGATGTCAAGGGATGAGATCCGGCTCCTTAGCAAGGTTGTGTTGTTGGCCATTGATTGGATGCCATTGGAGCTAGTTGAGTTGAGCTAAGAGGCCCCCAGGAACATGGAACAACTGGCAACCACTTGGTTTTGTTGGGACGAAAAAGTGATCCTGTTCCCAAGGGAGGTGTTTAGAATGAGGAACTCACTGTGGGAGGACCAGTTTGAGGAAAGGACAGAGGGTAGTAGGTGGGCCACCTTTTTCAGGCAAAGTAGACTTGCAGCAGGTCCTGTTATTTGAGGCCTTATCCACACACCATTTGCCCTGCTCTTTCTGAGCCTCCCCACTTAAGCAAGTGGCCGTTCCTATATGGGGAAAACTGAAGAGGATTTGTTGTTGGAAGGAAAGTTTGAGACTCAAAACTGTTTCTTTCCTTTTCCACAGAGGGTAGCAGGTTGATGCTTGCCCTGGTTCAGGGAATGACTGGCCAGGATGTCGAGGAATGAGACCTGGATTCTTGGCATGTGTCATGAATACACCAGCTCCCAGGGAAGAAGTGCAGACAGAGGGAGAGGGGAGACAGGAAGAGAGAGGTCTGCAAAACAAAGCTGAGGGAAGATCAAGTTACAGGGACACAGGACAGGAGCAGAGAGGAGAGCGGGAGAATTCACAGAAGTTCCGAGTCCTGAAATGAGGAAGGGGATAGCGTTGACCCCATTAGCCCTCACTCTCTCCTAATCATAGGACTCCAGAATCGCCTTCCTCACAAGAAGAGGGTAGGCTGCTTTTGGTTTCGAAGGAAGAAAAACCCCTAGTGGGAACATCACCAATGATGGACGGCAGGCAGATGTTGCCGCTCTGTGAACCTTGCCCACGGTTTCCAAGACTCCCTGACAGCATGGTTGTGTTGGCCATAGATTGAGTTTGGTTGGAGCCTGTTGAGTTGAGTTGCCCCCAGGAAGGCAGGGCATCCAGCAGCTGCTTGGTTGTGCAGGGACAAGAAGTTCAAGAAGTTGATCCTGTTCCCAGAGAGGTGTTTTGAGTAAGCAACTAATTGTGGGAGTACCATTTTTTGGAGTGGAACAGAGGTTTGTGGACCAGCTGTTCTCTTCTTCAGGCAAAGTGGAATAGCAGCAGTCCTGTTATCCAAGTCCGCTAGTCCTTCTATTCATTTCTTCTCCCTCTTAGTTGGCAAATGGGAAGCCAACCAATGACAACGAGATTTGGTTCTGGAGTTTCCAGTTGTTGATCTGTAGCTAAAGCCACTTCTTCTCACATCAAGGGCACCTTGGTCACCCCCCTGGGTCTCCAAATGTGCTTTTTGCACTCGCCCACCTGGTTTTATACACAAATGGATGAGAAGGTTGAATTAGGGGCCCTCCAGCCTCTTACTCCGAATAGGTTAATCTTACATTGCATGTTTGGGTTACATCCTGCTTGCATTTGTCGACGTTGCTGGGAGGGTTGGCCCAATGAAATTTTGTGCTTTCCTGCAGACTTTCCGTTTGAGACAATGAAGCTTTTGACTCTGGTGATCCCATTGTTTTACTTTTCCTTTGGCCTTCTGCCTGGGAAAAGAGTGAACCGTGCCAACAGATTTGTCCTTGTTTTTAGGATGCTTAGAGTTTCCAGACTCTCTGGAATGGGGAATATAGGACCATCCTCTATTGCTGAATGTCTGTTCCTATCTGACGCTATCTGCTTCTTGCCCAACCCCAGGAGCGGCTGCAATCCAAACTTTCCGAGTTGTGTTCTCGCAATGAGCAGGCATCGTTGGATCATTGCCAGGCGGTGCTCCTGGAGCTATTCCAGGACCTGGAAGAGAATTTCGGCAAGGGGACCTACTCTGTGGCTGGTGGTTACCTGAAGTTCCTGGATCACCAGAAGGAAAAATTGGAACAGTATCACCTGCTGCCTGGGAAAGGGATCATGGTGAGTCAGACTCAATGGGAGAGCAATGGGGGAGGGAGGATGGCAAGGGCCAGAAGGATACCTCTGAGAAAAATAACTCCCCCTTTAGCAACCTCAGAATGTTATTATTAGTTATATAATGCCAGATGTGTACACAGGGCTGTATCCAACAAAGTGATAATGTAAGACCCTATTCGAGCAAGGATTATCGCTGGCACAATGTGGCTCAATCACCCCCATCTCCTTTCCCTGCACCCCCCTAAATCTAGGGGTCCCTCTGACCCTTCAAAGTAAATTTGGGGAGAGTGTGGGGTGTTTGTGTGTGGGCGGAGTTGAATAGAAACAAACAAACAAACAAACAAACGACTTCACTCTCTCTCAGGCTTCCAAGGCCCTGGAAGAATTCCTGAAATCCAAAGAGGCAGCAGCACAGTCCATTCTGCAGGCTGACCGGACCCTCACAGAAAAAGAGAAGGAGCTTGAAGGTGAATCTGTTCAGGGACAGCTTGTTACGACTCGCAGACACATAGGCTGCTTCCACACTGGCCATTTAATGTGGAATCGCCACTTTTTGCTCACACCCTTTTTGTGAGATCTCTGCAGGTGGTCGCGAAGAAAACATCCCCCTCTCATGCCTTTGTGGTTTACCTTCAGCTCTTTTCTGTCCCGCCCCCCCCCCACGCAAAAAAGATAAGAAAATCTACATTTTTAAAGTTCAGAAGAAGAGCTGTGTCATTTCCCATCCCCATGTAATGAATGCCCCTGCAGGGCAGATTCAAGAAATCTCGTCTGGAGTCCTCCCAGTAGATGGTGGCAGGAGGTAGACTAGAATAAATCCGCAGCTTCTTTCGGAAATTTTAAATAAATACCAGCATGAACTCCCTGCTTGTCTCTTTCTGTGCAGTGGAGCGAGTCCGGGCCGAGGCTTCTGCACGAGAAGCTAAGCTGCATGAACAAATGAAAGAGGAGGCCATCAAGATGGCCCAGGAGAAAGAGCGGAGTTATAAGGAGCATGAAGCACAGTTAATGGCCAAGATGGAAGAAGACAGGAAGAAGATGCAGGCTGAGCACGAGATGGTGATGAACAGGAAGCTTGAGGTACTAGAACAGCGCCCTCTATGGGCAGCCTTGGTCATCTACACCAGAGGTGGGGAGACTTGGGGCTTGGGGGACAGGTCATAGCTGTCAACCGTCCCTTATTTGGCGGGAAACTCACTTATCCCAGCGCCGTTTCCTGCTGCTGTCCCGGATTGATGATATCCCGTAAATTTCCCGGGTTTCAAAGGAAGCAGCTCCTCTCCCTCCCTCCCTGCCGGCCAGGGAGGCTCCAACTGCGTTGCTTGGCTGCGTTGCTCACCCAATAAGGAGTCTAAGAACGACTTGGGGGTGGAGCTTGCATGCCTTGTGCCAATCAAATCGGCCACGTTGCCTGGGGACTTGCCTTTGCTCAGCGCTTCCCAGCAGAGAGGTGACGGTTGTTTTCCTTGCTGCATCTCCTTTGCCGGGTTGCTGTGCTGTGGGAACCACTGCTTGAGGCTTCGTTTGGCTGCTGGCTGGGCTTTCTGCCTTTGGCTCGGAGGGGCTCAGAAGTTGAATATACCTGTGCTCGGAATCAGATGGATACGTCATCGATGGCCCACTCACCCTTGCCGGGGAAAAGGTCTGTCTGGAGTGGGGGCACATGGGGGGGGAATCCCTTATTTTGGCTGCTGATCCCTTATTTTCGAGGCTGCTGGTCCCTTATTTTCAAATCTGTAAGTTGACAGCTATGGGACAGGTATGGCCCCCCAAGGCCTCAGGCTCCTTGGAATCGCCTTAGGCCTCTTCGTAGCTACATTTCTTTTTTTATTTCACTTTTAATTTGTATACCGCCTTTCTATATAACTATGCACAAGGCGATTTACAGCTACAAAACATACAATAAAGAACACGGGCCTTGGAATAATCTGATCCAATACAGAAAGTCATAATACAACGTATCTTTAAAATGGAACGGCTTATATCAAATTCAGTAATCTAGTAGAATGTAATAATACACAATGAAATTAACTCTCAATACATGAGCAAATAATAATTAACAATTGCAATGAATAATTAAATTCCTTCCAGTAGCACCTTTGAGACCAACTAAGTTTGTTATTGGTATGAGCTTTCGTGTGGACACGAAAGCTCATACCAATAACAAACTTAGTTGGTCTCAAAGGTGCTACTGAAAGGTTTTTTTTTTATTTTGTTTCGGCTACGGCAGACCAACATGGCTACCTACCTGTAAATAAATAATTACTAAACCATGACCAATAAACATAACTGCAGGTCACAATGCATAAAATGCCACAATACATACCAAACCATGTAAAAGGATCAAATTGAGAAAAAAAGGACACACAACTGGTAACATAATTATTATTTAAATCCCTAAATTCCTCGCCTCCCTTCCCACCTGTTATGGACCCTGCATTGCATTCCCCCTTGAGGCTTTTTGCCTGACTAGAATATGCCCTTGAACTCTGACACCACTTGCATAAGATTTCCAAATGTTAATTTACACGGACAGCACCACGTTTAGAAATAATAACTGCAGTAGAAATACAATACATCTCGCTCCAGTGAGGAAGGCAGTGACCAGGGGATCTGCGTGGTTGCTCAGTCTGTTGTCTAGGCAGGGCTGTGCAATGTATCGATACATCGTCCCATGTAGGTTTGTAGACCACACCATGAGAACCTTTTCAAAACGAATGAGCTGGCAATTTATTTCTGAAGCACAGCTTCCAAAACTCCAGGGGGCGGTATAATTGTGAGTCATCTGACAACTGGCTGGCTGCCGTCCCTTTCGGCTCCCTTTCCCCTCCGATAGCAGAATAGTCCCGCTCCCAGCCTCAGTGCCTCCCTGCAGCCACGATATCTCTACTCGATGTAGGAATCGTGGCTGGGCTGCTTCTTCCTTCTCCTCCTCTCTGTCCAGGGAGGAATGGAAGGAGTTTGCCATTCAAAGGCAAGGGCTCACCTTCCTCCGAGAGGAGGGATCCGCATTGCACAGGGTACATAGCAAATAATAAATAAATAAATAAATAAATAAATAAATAAATAAATATTTATACCATGCCCATCTGGCTGAGTTTCCTCAGCCACTCTGGGTGGCTTCAAACAGATTATTATTATTATTATTATTATTAGTGATAAAACATCAAACATTAAATACTTCCCTAAACAGGGCTGCTTTCTGAGGTCTTCTAAAAGTCAGATAGTTGTTTATTTCCTTGACATCTTATGGGAGGGCGTTCCACAGGGTGGGTGCCACTACCGAGAAGGCCCTCTGCCTGGTTCCCTGTAATCTCACTTCTCACTGTGAGGGAACCGCCAGAAGGACCTCAGAGCTGGACCTCAGTGTCTGGGCTGAACGATGGGGGTGGAGACGCTCCTTCAGGTATACCTGCTAATCTCCATGACCGCTCTTTCGCCTAATCTTCGCCCTTCCATTATATAGTTCCATGTTTCAGACATTGTGATATATACAGTATCCTATTGTTTAGCTGGGGATACCTTGCGATGTCAAAAACCAGATATCGCCCAGCCCTACAGCCCAGGTGTTGCTGATGAGCCTCTGCTCCCTTCTTATGGTTCTTTATCTTCCCAATGGATTTGCACTGGGCAGCCTTTAAACAGAGGACTATCCTTTATATAGCATAACACACACGGGCACTCTAGACAGCCCTGTGCCCTTTTATTCATTCCTCCCATTCCAGCTGCTTTGTGAGGAACTGGGGCTGACTTCTATCTTCATCCTTGCCACTCCCTAGGAGCAGAGGCGCCTTCAGAAGGAAGGGTTTGAGCAGGAAGTCGTAAAGCTTCAACTTCAGATCCAGGCACTGCAGAAGACGATGGAGATGCAGAGAAATAGTGGTGGCTTCCGGCGTCGCCGCCGCTGTGTAATTCAATGAAAACAGCATCCCTGGAAGTGTCGATGGGTTGAATAAAGTGTCTAGATTGGCCTCAGGACTGTGGATGGGAGTGCAGCTAGGAAACCAGGGGATGAACGGAGATCTACCTTATGTTACCATTTAGCTGGTGTTTGCAGTCTGTTTGCGCACAAAGGAACCCCAACTCTGCCTTTTTAAGTCTTTCTAAGGGGTCATCTACACTTCCACTTGATCTTTGCCTATAAAGCACAGGTCTGAGTGGTTTTCCATTTGCCCCGCTCCTTTCCCAAGGAAAACCTGCTCTTTAGTTCTCAATCGAAGCAAACAACAAACCCAAATTGCTCTTTGCACTGATCGAGCACTAAAGAGCAGTTTCCCCCCACCCCCAGGACAAGGGGAAGTGTGGATAAGCCCTAACAAAAGAGAAACATGAAACAGACTGTGACATGAAGACTCGGCCTTGGGCCAGTCACTGTCTCTCCGCCTAACCCATGAGCGTAGCCAGGATTGTTGCTGGGGGGGGGGGAGCAGGACCAATGTGATTGGTCAGCTAGTTAAGTATTTCTATTGTTTTATTTGTTTTGGGGTGGGGGGCAGCTGCCCCCTGCCCCCCCTTGGCTATGCCCATGACTTTTGAAGGAAAAGTGGGAAATTAATGCAATATATATTATCATCTATTTTTAAAAAAGAAATGCATATTATTGGTTTTTCAGTGAAGTTGTACTGTTGAAAAAAGGAAGAAATCAATAAAGTACAATTGAACAAACAGAGATATCACATCGTTTTTCCTGTGGAGTAAGATATGGGGAGAGAGGGTATAAAGCCAGTATAGATAATACAGAACAAGAAAAACAGCAGCCATTCATGTCAATTCACAGAGCCACCCCCACAAAGCCAGCATATGGAGCAGAGGGCTTTAAATGTTTGCAGGTGGAATTAATGAGAGTCAGAAATGGAAACCACACGTCTGCAAATGCATCTCTTTTAGTTCACTTGCCCTTTGGTTGGCCTCAAATTATGAGAAAGCCTCTCCATCAAAGCCAGATGCCAGATATTATGACTGTACCATATTATGAGTGTACCAATTTTCAGTGGAGAAGTCCAAGGGTATTTTCCTCCCTCCTGCTACTGCCCCCCAAAAGACAGCTAATGAGATCCCTGTGAAATAGTTTAGGACCAACAAAAGAGGAAAGTAGAGTTAGTGAGGGAGACTTTGGAACTGTTTGGGGCTGGGTATTTTCAGAGACATGGTTAAATACAAGGCCCAGACCTGAGCCACATGGAGTCAATGCTACCACATAAGAAAGTTGGAGCCCCAAATGGACCATCCGCTCCAGCAATTAGGAGAGAAAGTGGGGCCCATATAGCTCATGCATATCATTATCTTGATACAATTTGAATGCAACTCTGGGTGCTGTGGCAGGTTTGGGCTTAAATGCGGGGAAGCTGAGCTGCAAATGCGTGCTCAACTGCAAAGCTCCCTTGAATGGGGTTTCAGAGATGGTGGTGTAACAGGGAGTCCATGGAGCAACCCACAATCGCCTAACCTTGACTCCCATAGGCTCAGGGTGGGGTCACAAGCAAGCGATTTCAGCCAGGAGATAGAAGCAAAACAGCAGCCGGTTAGTCTGATCTTCATTGTTACAACAAGACTTTCCGCTACCACAAAAACGAAGCAGCCAGGTCAATGGTTACATCCATATTTTAAAGTTTCCCAAAGTTTCCCATAATACAACTTAGGATGCATCATCAAGACATCATAGATATGTCACAGAAAAGGTGTGGCCTCAGGTAGAACCTGAGATCCAGGCATGCCCCTGTCAATCAAATACAGCCTTTCACACTTACCCCATCACAGTACAGAGAAATGTATTTTCATTATTTTCACTGCCATGATCCTACACTTTGTTGAAGGGAAACTCCCCTCTGGAGTAGAAATCATATACAGTGGTACCTCGGGTTACATACACTTCAGGTTACATATGCTTCAGGTTACAGACTCCGCTAACCCAGTGCTTCAGGTTAAGAACTTTGCTTCAGGATGAGAACATAAATTGTGCTCTGGGGGCGCAGCAGCAGCAGGAGGCCCCATTAGCTAAAGTGGTCTTCAGGTTAAGAACAGTTTCAGGTTAAGTATGGACCTCCGGAACGAATTAAGTACTTAACCCGAGGTGCCACTGTATTGAACAGATGGAAAGCTCTTTTATCTGAGTAGGCTGAAAGAAGAGTAAGGTTACCGTAACTTTCGTCATAGAACTTCAGTATGCTGATGACAACGTAGTGTGGGCACGCTCTGAGGATGACCTCCAAGCCATCCTAAATATCTTCGCAGCAGCTTAGGAAAAGCTTGGCCTTTCGCTCAACATCCAAAAAACCAAAGTCATCCAAAAAAACAACATCCAACAAGCACAAAACAACCCCTCTGCAGCGCCACAAATCCAACTCAATGGTGTAACGTTGGAAAATGTTGATCACTTCTCCTACCTGGGCAGTTATCTTCCCACAAGGGCCAACATTGATGCCGAAATCCAGTATCGCCAGAGCTCTCAGAGTACAGCTTTCTCCCAATTGAAATGCAGAGTGTTTGAGGACCGGGACATTCGCAGGGAAACCAAAATGCTTGTTTACAAAGCTATTGTACTACCAGCCTTACTGTATGCTTTTGAAACGTGGAACTGAGAAGATTGATAAAATGAGTGATTTCTGATGACTTTCTAAAGTTCTCCCACTGAGCCAGCACATAAAGGTAAAGGTACCCCTGCCCATACGGGCCAGTCTTGCCAGACTCTAGGGTTGTGCACTCATCTCACTCTATAGGCCAGGAGCCAGCGCTGTCCGCAGACACTTCCGGGTCACGTGGCCAGCGTGACAAGCTGCATCTGGCGAGCCAGCGCAGCACACAGAACGCCGTTTACCTTCCCGCTGGTAAGCGGTCCCTATTTATCTACTTGCACCTGGGGGTGCTTTCGAACTGCTAGGTTGGCAGGCGCTGGGACCGAGCAACGGGAGCGCACCCCGCCGTGGGGATTCGAACCGCCGACCATGCAATCGGCAAGTCCTAGGCGCTGAGGTTTTACCCACAGCGCCACCCGCGTCCCCTGAGCCAGCACATCTATGTGTGTGTGTGAGCCAGCACATAGATACGTTTAATAGTGAATTTCTACATTTGGTATTGACACTTTCCCTGTTTTCCTTTGTCGTCGGCTCCTGAGCTGAGCTTCCCTTGCAGATATGTATGTTGCTGTTATTTTCTCTTGACACTAGAGGATTTGGTTTGATGGGTTGAAAAGGCAGCGAAATAGCTCTGCGTGATATGTGTACGAGTGAATGGTAATGTGCAGCGGAGACTCTTTGTCTTTGCCTCATGTTGTGGAGAGGCAAGACTCGCGGCGGTGGTGGGGAGGTCTCTCACCTCCCTTCCAATTTCCCGGTAGCAGTGGGTACAGACGTTTCACTGCGCACACGTGTAGGCAGAAGGCGTCCCCGCCCTTCCTACAGTCCCTAGAGTCCATGTCACTTATTCCCATCTCCCCTTTCCTCCGAGGAGCAAGAGGCGGCAGACCCGGGTCTTCCTCGCTCCGTTTCATCCTCACAACCCTGTAAGATCCAGCGCACAAAGCGGTTTAGGATAATGACTCGGGAAAGTAGATCTGGCCTTTGCCACGACCGTGGCAGTGGCGAGAGGAGCACCAGGCAGGCTCCAGAGATGGGACTTTCCCCCGGGGAGGACGAGGCGAGATCGCGTCGCGTATTAAAACGCCCCTCCCCGCAGCAAGCGAAACCGAAAGTACAGCTGCGTGTCGGCGAAGCTTGAGCCGCGGGGTCTCCAGGCAGCGGCTCCTTTGCTGGATTGTCTCCTCGTCTTCCTGGGGGGAAATCCTGCGGCTCCCTTGCACTGCTTTCCGCACGAGGACGCGCCTGCCGTGCGCGCCGGATCAGCGTCCCACAACCAGGTTTGCGTGCCGGGTTCCGCCACTTTATTTCTCCCTAAGCTTCCAAGAAAGGATTGCGTAACGCGTCGGAGGAAAAGGAGGGGTGAGTTTGCGCGGAGGAGTGAAGGGGGGCTGGGGAGGGAGTCTTTTTGCTTTGTCTTTTTTTTAAAAAAAAAAACATTTTAAACAAATAAAACAACACACTGCACAAACAATTACGATAAACCACAATCTCTTCTGTAATGCATTTGTATCCGGAGGGTGGTGGTGGTGAAAATATTTGGAAAACCAAACAAGCTATGATTCAGCCAGTCCCTCCCAAACAAAGCCAGGCACAGAGCTGTTATTGTAGCGAAATGTTTTGGGAGGCAGCCAAGGTTTTATTTTTAGTTCTGTTCCTCTGCAGGTCCTCTGCTGGGAGCTGTAACTCTGTGAGGAGGAGAGGAGTCTCCTAACAGAAGCCAGCCCCAGCCCCCTAACAGGCTACAGCTGTTTGGGAAGTCATGGCTGTTCAAAAGGGCATTCAGTGGTGTAGTAGAGCCCTTAATTGGCCCCAAAGCAGCGTGATACACCATTTGCACTTGGGGAAACTGGGCTCCACCAAATGAAGGAAGTCGGGTTTTCTGAGCCCTGAAAGAATAAAAGGGAAAACAAGAGAGGGAGGTGTGTTGCTCTATGAAGTACAGATGACCTTTGAACAGTGAGTAAAATATGGCTGTTTCACAGTGACTGTCCAGTGTGGAAGTGGAATGTATTAACCTTGAAAATGCCCAAACCTCTAACCAGCTACCTGCACCATCACTCCAGCCATCTTTGGCAGCAGCATCTTGAAGTATTCTTCTTCCTGTTCTTGACATTCAGTTCCCCGTGCTAGAGTTTTGGGAGGGGAAATCCCTGATCAGGACTTTGTGCAGAGTAGGAATCGACAAGCTCTCCACAACAAGAAAGAGTGCCGAAGTTCTACTGCAGTCTCTTAACTTGTTACAAAAAAAGTTGCAAATACAAATCAACACATTGCTCTTAAACAACTAGCAATGCAGTCTAATTATATATATTTTTTAGGTTCTCACTTGTTAATACAGTGGTACCTCGAGTTAAGTACTTAATTCATTCCGGAGGTCCGTTCTTAACCTGAAACTGTTCTTAACCTGAAGCACCACTTTAGCTAATGGGGCCTCCTGCACCACCGGAGCACGATTTCTGTTCTCATCCTGAAGCAAAGTTCTTAACTCGAGGTACTTTTTCTGAGTTAGAGGAGCCTGTAACCTGAAGCATCTGTAACCCGAAGCATATGTAACCCGAGGTACCACTGTACAGATAAAGAACTATTCTCTTTCTCAATAAGCTGGCAGCTTCTGAGAGAGACCCAGACTGCCAAGGATGAGTCACCAATTAAAATAAACACTGAAAATAATTTTCCATCCCCTTGTTGCAGCTATAGCTGCAAAAACACTTTTTTCTTTTTTCCTTTATTGCACTTGTACAATTTTCTGCAAAAGAAACATCCTGCAAATGCAGACCACTAAGTTTCATACACAATGCACACAAACGTAGCGTTTTGTGAGTGTTAAACTTATATCCTTTGCAGCCTACAGATTCCTCAGTGTCCCCGGTCTCCTTCCTGGCCTGGTTTTGGCTAGAGCTCAGCCAAGCAGCATGGAAGAGCCAATGTGCCTGATCGAGAACAACCCCAAAGAACAGCTGCGGGTCAACCAGGAAGCCCTGAAGATCTTGCAGAGCATCCAGCAACCTGTGGTTGTGGTGGCCATCGTGGGACTGTACCGTACTGGCAAGTCCTACCTCATGAACAAGCTGGCAGGAAAGGAAAAAGGAGGTAGGAACATAAGACATACTTTTGTGGGATTGGGTATGGCCCACGGCATTTAACTGCCTGTGGCAGTAAAGCAAATGGTTCCCCCCCTCCCGGCTGTTGCCCCATCCCCAAGTTAAATTATGTAATACTCAAGTCTAGTCAAGTGATTTTGGTATTTGAAGCAGAAACTCCTCCAAGCACATAGCAGAAACCACTGCCTGTTCATGACACCCAAAATCTGCTGCCCAAGGTGACGTTCTCACTCTACCTAACAGTAGGACTGGCCCGTATATTTGCTCTGTGAGCTGGCATTCAGGTCCTTCTTGCAGACTTGCAGGAGAGTTGCTTGCAGGTATCTGATTGGCCACTGTGAGACTAGAATGCTGGACTAAATGGGCCAGGCTTTCCTTATGTTCTTCAGTGCAGTGACGCCTTTCCCATTGACTCCCATCTCTTTTCCCCCCCTCAGTACAAGAGGAGCTTACGCTCTTGACCGATTTATTTTATTTCAACCATTTGTATGCCACTTAGCACAGTGGTTTGTAAGCGGTGTAGAAGGGATGTTACAAAAAGATACAATCAAATCAGTTTAAAATAACCCCAGATCATTCTGCTGGAATAAGAGGCATTGTCACTGAGTGCCAGAAGTTCAACAGGGAGGGGGGAATTGTCTGCCCTCAGCCTGAAGGAAGTTCCATATAACTGAACACACAGTTCCCAGCGGATAGGAGCAGTGTGTCTGAGCTATTGGGGGAACCTCTCACAGTGAGTCCAGCAAAAATCTCAACGATCAGGCAGGGATATAAGGAACCACCAGAAGTCCTTGGTGGTGGATCTCAGTGTCCGGGCAGAACGATGGGAGTGGAGATGCTCCTTCAGGTATACTGGGCCGAGGCCGTTTAGGGCTTTAAAGGTCAGCACCAACACTTTGAATTGTGCTTGGAAATATGCTATGCTTTGAACACGGACATCTATGTGTGAGCAGATACTCCTGTTTTCTGTACTACTAGGATTCCCGTGCTCTCTGGGGCTGTGATATCACCTATACCCTCAGTGCATGTGTGGACATCCCTGACGGGGTTTGTACGCTATGGGCTCTGGGACCAGGAGGCGTGGGGTTGCTCTGACCTCCACATCCTCATCTATAGGCATGGAAAACTGCTCTAAAAAGTGTACCCAAAACAGTTAAGGCAATTTCACACTACCCAGAAACCTGAGACTTGATACACATGATGCCTAAGGCACCTTGATTTACCAGCAAGTCAGAAGTGTTGACATTGTATGTTTTCGTTGGCAGTGGTTGAGAAATTGCAGAGCTGCGTGCCTCACCGCTTCTGTCCTTCCCATTTCTACCCTGCCCGCTACAGGTTTCTCTCTGGGATCCACAGTGCAAGCAGCCACCAAAGGTATCTGGATGTGGTGTCGCTCACATCCCCTGAAGCCTGACCACACCCTGGTGCTGTTGGACACGGAAGGGCTGGGTGATGTCGAGAAGGTGAGTTAGGGGTGGGGCAGCCAGGATAGCTCACCATGGAGCCCTTACCTGCAAGAGGACTTCAGAGATCAGGGCCATTCCCTAGTCAGCAGGAGCCACACTAGGATTCAGTGGGAACAGGACAGCACCCCAGGGGCCCCAAAGGGTGGAGAGATTTCTAAGAGATCTGAGATTTCTGACAAAAAAATTGCCAACGTTCACATTCTTGTCCCATGCCAGGAGTGGAAATCAATGGATATGACCCATACTGAAATGAACAGGGTGAATAGTGACAATGCAACTTGCTTACTTGATGCAATTTCCATAATCAATCACACAAATTGTGTAAGTTGCGGAATTTTGCTGCAGCAGACAGCCAGACAAATAACTGTGTTTGGCAAAAGATGAACTGCAGTGGAATGGAAACAGTGCTGTGTATGACACATATGGTTTATGATGCCATCTTACGCCCCTAGTGGAGACCTCGGTCCAGTTCTAGTGCCTTGTTGCCCTGGAGTTTTATGCTCACCATGCTCCTTTGCAGAGCAACCCTGAGAACGATGCGTGGATCTTTGCCCTCTCCATTCTGCTTAGCAGCACCTTTGTCTACAACAGCATGCACACCATTGACCAGTATGCTCTGGAGAAACTGCAGTATCTTTTTGTAAGAGTGCTCCCTGGCAGAAACACGGGTTAGTGAAGTGTGTGGGAATCCCAATGCTGTGTTGTCTCATCAGGCCCCTGTCAGGTGTGACAGTGAGGGCTCCAGGGTCCTTAAATGAGGGGCAGGAGTCTTTTTAAGTGAAGTCCGAAAGGGCTTCAAATGAAGGAGCTGGAGGGGGAGAGAGCAGACTTCTCAGAATGACGCAGGACCTTGTAGAGGGGTCATTGTAGAATTAGAATTTGTTGAGCTTTATGGAATTGGGAACGTCTGTTAGAGGGATTAAGAGACTCTTAAATTATACTAGTTCTGTTTGTACAGTCTCCTTCCTCTCCAGTTTGCCGAGCAACTTTAAGTAAGGTATAGCTATAAGTTAAAAACCATTATTAAAAGATGGGAGAAAGGAAAAAATGGGACATACTGTATAGGAAAGATCCATCAAAGGGGAAAAAAGACTGGGGTCCTATTTTGCTGCATGTTTTGATGGTGTGAGGATTCCAGCTTAGTGCAGTAAGTGAAAATGCTAAGCCATTCCAAGTCAGGGTGATTTCGATTTCTGTGAGGGCAAATTCAGGTTTAAAAGAAAGGCACATGGTGCCATTTCACTGCACAATTCAATGAGAAGTAAAATGACTTGCACCAGAGAACCCTGGGAAATGTAGTTTGGTGTTGGGGGGATTAGACTTCTCCCTTGGCACAGGCTTGGCCAACCTGTGGTCCTCTAGATGTGGCTGGACTACAACTCCCACATCCCTGACCACTGGCCTGAATCCCCATCCCTGAATAAAAACTGAAAGGGAGAGAGTCAGCTGAGATTCTCAAGGAAGGACATTACACAGCCTTGGTGCTGCTACTGAGAAGGCCCTGTCTGGTGCCCCAGTCAATTGTGTCTCTGAAGGGGAAAGGAAACAGAACCTGACTTCTGGTGATGATCACAGAAAGGTAGACAGAGGATACCAGTATAGATATCACAGACACAAAACATTGTAAGGAGGGACTGTTGAGAAACTATTATTCTATTTTGGGATGGGGGTGGGGAAACATGACTCATTTCCTTAACTCAGTCCACAGCTACGTGTCTGAATTAACTGAACATATCAAGGTGAAGACATCGGCCAGGCAGAACAGTAACAGATATGATGAGATGCCTGATGACTTTGCCTTCTTCTTCCCAACCTTCATCTGGACTGTTCGGGATTTCACACTGCAGCTCAAGCTCGATGGGTGCCCTATTTCAGAGGACGAGTATCTGGAGCACGCACTGAAGTTGAAGAAAGGTGCTGTGGGGAGCTTTCCTTGCTTGAAAAGATTGGGCCTTGCTGCTTTTGAAGCGGAGGCCTAGTAGGGTTGCTTGTAAAAACAAAACCTGAAAGTGGTTTACAAAAAGAATGCAACGGTGACATTACCAGTACAATTATACAGTTTAAAACTGCATTGCAAGGGGGTTGAACTAGATGCCTTCCAATTCTACAATTCTATGATTCTAAAAAAGGTTCCTAACGTGTTTTTTAGAAGTACTTAAAATCCACAATAAGATAAAAACCATATTAAAAAAAAAACACATGTCAACATTCTGCAGGTCTGGATAGGCTTGTCCAAGGAAAAAATGTTTTAGCAGGTGCCGAAGAGAGCATGTTGTTGTTTAGTTGTTTAGTCGTGTCCGACTCTTCGTGACCCCATGGACCACAGCATGCCAGGCACTCCTGTCTTCCACTGCCTCCCGCAGTTTGGTCAGACTCATGTTTGTAGCTTTGAGAACACTGTCCAACCATCTCGTCCTCTGTCGTCCCCTTCTTCTTGTTCCCTCCATCTTTCCCAACATCAGGGTCTTTTCCAGGGAGTCTTCTCTTCTCATGAGGTGGCCAAAGTATTGGAGCCTCAGCTTCACGATCTGTCCTTCCAGTGAGCACTCAGGGCTGATTTCCTTAAGAATGGATGCGTTTGATCTTCTTGCAGTCCATGGGACTCTCAAGAGTCTCCTCCAGCACCATAATTCAAAAGCATCAATTCTTCGGCGATCAGCCTTCTTTATGGTCCAGCTCTCACTTCCATACATCACTACTGGGAAAACCATAGCTTTAACTATACGGACCTTTGTTGGCAAGGTGATGTCTCTGCATAGGGAATGTGATTGCCCGATGTCAGTAAGCAAGGCGTTCCAAAGTATGGGTTCTGCCACACTAAGAGTGATTTCTTGCCAATGTGGACCTGGTATTGCATGGCAGCTGTGCCAGTTATGCGGATCAAAGCAGTCAAGTGAGCAAATACAGTGGAACCTTGGGTTACGTTACCCTCAAGTAAAGTCAACTTCGGGTTGTGAAAGTGGCAAACCCGGAAGTGTTTCACCGCTCGCATGCGCAGAAGCGGTCTCTCTGGTTGCGAAAACTTCGGGATACAGCAGGACCTCCGGAACAGATCCCGTTCACAACTGGAGTTACCACTGTATATGGTGTAAGGCAGCCTTGCAGGTAAATGGTCCCAAGCTGTTGAAACACTTTATACTAACAGTATTGTGTGTAATTTGATTCTATATTAGATGCCCCCGAAAAGCAAGACCTTCCTAAGAAATTCCTGCGGCAGTATTTCCCCAACCGCAAGTGCTTTGCCTTTGAATGCCCAGCCTCACGGAAAGACTTGGCCGTCTTGGAAGACCTCCCGGAATCGAGGCTGAGCGCAGAGTTCGTGAAGCAAACGCACTGTTTCTGCAACTACATTTATGAGAACGCCCAGGCCAAAGTGATCCAGGGAGGGCACTTGGTGACTGGGACATGTGAGTGGAAGCAGGGGAAAATATATTGAAAAGGCTTCTGGAATATTCCAGATGCAGCAGGGGTTGGGCCTCTTTGGCTCATCAGGGTTCCATTTTGACTTATGAGGCCATTTTTTCCAAAACCATAACCGCCTGTCTATTAGCTAATATCGGTCCAATGCATGTGTGACATCAGCTGTTGGGTGAGGGGGGGGGCAGTTCTATGTTGGCTGCTCATACCAGTTCTCCACACAAAAAACTGGCCCACGCATCCAGTACAGCAGGATTAGGGCTAATCCTGCTCCATTTTTCTTTAGGGAACTCACCCATGTAGCCAGAGCAAGGAGGATTTAACCCTCATTCATCAGGTGATGAGTGGGGAGTTCAATCCTGCTCGGTTTGGCAGGATCACAGCTTCCATTGAAACAAAGTCCCCCTGTCCCCTCACTTTAGCAGTGCCTTTCTTCCTGCAAGAGGCTTTGAAGTCTGAACTTCAGAGCACCAAATCGAGTGACGTTATTGTGACGCCAGGTGATGGTCAAGTGGGTTGCCCTGCCCACTTCTCACATTTGGTACCAAAGGTCAGTTCTCATAAGAATGTGGCCCATGAAGCCAAAGAAAATTCCCAGTCCAAATGCGGGTCTACTCAGAAGCAAGTCCCATTGGATTTGAGGGAGTCACTCGCAAGTATAGAGGGGATTTTAAAAAATCTTTTTATTTCGTGCAAGAGGCCAAAATTTAGACATTAGTTTTTTGGAGAAGATTCTGATGTTCTGTTTAAAAAAACAAAAAAAAACCCTCTGGATTTTATGAAATAAAACAGCTGTTGCCTCCTTGAGTTCCCTGGATGAAGAAAGACAGAAAGTTAATGAAATAAAATAGACAACTGAGTTAGCCTGCCCTTGTCCTCCTCTCCCTTTTGCAGCCCTGGGGAGCCTAGTGGAGACTTATGTGGACTCCATCCGCAACGGATGTATGCCTTGCATCGAGAACGCTGTGGTGGCCTTGGCTCAGATCGAGAACCAGGCTGCCATGAAGGATGCTCTGAACCGCTATGAGGCAATGGTCGACCTCATGTTGAGTTCTCCCACTGAGGACGTCGCAGAGGTTCTGCAAGTGCACGCTGTTTGCGAAGAGGAGGCCATTCAAGTGTTCCTGGCCCGTGCCTTCAAGGACGATGACCAAGTGCACCAGAGAGAATTAGGGGTACAGGATTCTATGTCTCTCGTGGGACTAGGATGTTGGCCCTATTGGTTGGTTTCCTAAGTTCAAAGAGCCTTTTCTGTCTGCTGCAGAACTCCTGTGCATCCCAGCAAATCCTGGAGCATGTTCTAAGGCAGGGAGAGCCAATGTGGTAGCCTTCAGATATTTTGGACTCTTAGTTCCCACCATTCCTGACCATCTCCCATTCTGGCTAAGGATGATGGTAGGTTGGGAGTCCAGCAACATCCGGAAGGGAACATATTGGCTGTCCTGGTTCTAAGCATAGGATGCTTCTCAGGCCTTTTGGACCACATTCTTGCCCTGAGTAAATGGGGGGGGGGTATCTTGGACAACATTGAAGACTCTTCTGTGACTTCAAGTTACAGGGGAGGATTGGCAGTGGTGGAGAAGCAGTATTTCAGGGAAGCTTGTCCCCCCATTGATCTCCTTTTTAAAATAAAATAAAATACTTTTTTGATATTCCCCCCCATTTTTAACAAAAGGAGAAATCGTATCTTAATCTGAGTTGTCCCCCTATCATGTTCATGAGTAGGGATGGATTAACCTGTCAATTTTGGTTTCTGTCAGTTGCTCGTTTTTCCAATCTTAAATGGGAAAATCTCATTGAGTTTCCAAGGAACAGTAGGGTTGCCCGGAATATCATCTGAAATTGCTCCAATTAATATCTGGGCCCGATTCAGAAAGATTGGTTGGAGATTTTTACCCAAGTTTAGGATGAACCAGCTTAGATGGCAGACGGTGAAAATCTGGGTTATTGGAAGGAGTGGACCACCTATGAACTGCCTTGGTCAGCTGGACCAGCAAAGAGGTTCAGGGTTGGAGAACTCCTGGAACAGGGGATAACAGGCTTTTCTTTATTAGGGAACATCTGCTTTATCTGACTCTGCCCACCTCTCTCCTCCAGAGGCAGCTACAAGAAAAACTTCAAGAGTTGTGCACTCGCAACGAGCAGGCATCATCAGACCGTTGCCTGGCTGTGCTCATGGAGCTATTCCAAGAAATGGAGGAGAGGATTAGCAATGGGGAATACGCAGTGCCTGGTGGTTATCAAAGGTTCCTCGAGGACCAGAAGAAAGTAGTGGAGAAATATCACCAGGCACCTGAGAAGGGAGTAATGGTATGTTGGTCAGCAACCTTGGCTTCTTGGGTTAAAGTTAGAGGATTACCAGTTCACAATAAATAGCCATCTGGAAGTGCCCAGAGGTGTCTTTTGTGATTCTTCTCCAAGTTCCAAATGAGCCACCTCATTCTCCCCTCTTCAGGCTTCCCAGGCCCTGCAAGACTTCCTGGAATCCAAGGAGACAGCTGCCCAGTCCATTCTGCAGGCTGACCAGACCCTCACGGACAAACAGAAGGAGCTTGAAGGTAAGCGCCTGTCCAGTAGGCTTTGTTTGCCTTGAAGACATACTGGCCCCAACAGGCCATTGTAGCTGCGAAAATATGGCAACACAGTAAACAATGGATTGTTTCTACAGTCATACCTTGGGTTGTGAACATGATCTGTGCGGGAGGCACGTTCGCAACCCGCAGTGTTCGCAGCCTGAAGCGCTGCGTGGTCCGCAACCCAAAAACGCACAACCGTATTCGTAACCTGAGGTATGACTGTAATACAGAGTGCACCCAGTGAAGTTAATGAAGAAGAGGAGGAGTTTGGATTTGACATCCCACTTTATCACTACCCTAAGGAGTCTCAAAGCGGCTAACATTCTCCTTTCCCTTCCTCCCCCACAACAAACACTCTGTGAGGTGAGTGGGGCTGAGAGACTTCAGAGAAGTGTGACTAGCCCAAGGTCACCCAGCAGCTGCATGTGGAGGAGCGGGGAAGCGAACCTGGTTCACCAGATTACGAGGCTACCGCTCTTAACCACTACACCACACTTAATGAACCTAAGTTAGTCATGTCTGTTAAGTTCAATTGGTCTACTCTGAGTAGGACCAGCATTGGACACAACCCACTAAGACTCTGTGTAGGCACAGTGGTAGGTACTCATTATCCCAGACGTTCTTGTCCTAAAAAGTTGTGTGAAACAACCTGTGTCGCTGTATCAAGCATCTCCCCAAGTAGTCTGTTGCCGCTTGAGTTGTTCCACCTCAGGTGATGCCAGCGCTGCGTTTTTGGGCTGGACCAGCCCTGAATGCAACTGCCCTGAATTCCCAGCTACTCCTCCTACTGTGCTGTTCTCCATCTGGGAGCAGGTTCTGCACCTGGCAAAAGTGGAAACTGCAAGGCTCCACCCCCTTGAGGTGCAAAAGACAGGAGGACTCCAGCATCTTAGGTAGTTCTGCAGAACCTGCTCTCAGGTAAGGAACAGTGCGGTTAGAGGCATAGCTGGGAACCTCCGCCGGCAGAGGCAATATGTTTCTGAATACCAGCTTCTGGGGTTCACAAGTGGGGAAAGTGCTGTTGTGGTCAAACCCTTTTTGTTGCCTTTGTATAAGCATCTGGCTGGCCCTCATGAAAAGAGTTTGCTGGACTAGGTGGGCTGCTGACCTGGCTAAAGCACCCTGCAGAGTCGGAGGAGGGCTCCCAGGAGTTCGGATATGCAGGAATTCCAAAGAAAGATGCCCAAACCATCAGAACGATCAGGTGTAACAACTTATTAAGGAAGGGTTCAAACCTGGAGCAAAAGTCTGACAGCTCCCTCCGCCCCCCTGCTCACACCATTCCATGGGATGGACTGCAGCAAGGAGATGGCTTGTCTGCACCCAAGTAAAGATACACACAATCTTCATGGGCTCAGTGCTCTAAACCACTGGGCCTCTTGGGCTTGCCGATTGGAAGGTTGGCGGTTTGAATCCCAGTGACGGAGCAAGCTCCCACTGCTCTGTCCCAGTTCCTGCCAACCTAGCAGTTCGAAAGCACGCCAGTACAAGTAGATAAATAGGTACCGCTGTGGCAGGAAGGTAAATGGCATTTCTGTGTGCTTGGGTTTCCGTCATGGTGTCCTGTTGTGCCAGAAGAGGTTTAGTCATGCTGGCCACACGACCTGGAAAGCTGTACCTTTACATCACATGGAAACACAGGTGCCTAGTATTAACCATTGCCTGGGGTATCTTGGGAACACAAGTGGGTGGTATTAACCATACCTCCCCCTCTAGCTATGCCTGGGGCCTGTGGATACATCAAAGCATGTGAAGCACACATGTTCTCAGTGCTGCAGCTGCTACCGATTAGGCAGGGGTCATCTTGACCATCAATATGCAAAGTTTCCAGACCAGCTTACCTTTCAGTTCAACACACCACGCCTGATCCAGGAGGCTGTTCTTATGTTCTTCATTACAGGAGGACACTTCATTAAGTGTTGCTTGCATGAAGAGCAACACCTACTTAACATTACCTCTTCCACCCAGATAATGTGCAGAAGCCCTGACCTGTATCTGCCCACCTAAATTACAGGCCACTCTAAAGAGCAGGGCTCATTGCAGAGCAGGGAATGGGATGGCTGTGACCTTCTGGAGGTGGCTGGACTGCATCTCCTGTCCCTCACTAATGGTCACATTGGCTGAGACATGCTGAAGACCCAACGGATATCTGGAAGGCCCCCTCTGTTCTACAGCTCGAAAAACATCACCGGTGGGAGAAGACATTCCTGCTAATTGTGTTCCTCCCCCACTATAGTGGAGAAAGCCAGGGCTGAGGCCGCCAGGCGGGAAGCCGAGCTGCAAAAACGGATGCAAGAACAGGCCGAGCAGATGATCCGGGAAAAGGATCGGAGCTATGAGGAGCACAAGCGCCAGTTGTTGGCCAAGATGGATGAAGACAGGAGGGCCCTCCTGGCTGCGAATGAGAGACTGTTGAACCAGAAGCTCCAGGTAACAGCCCTTCTCTGCTCCCATGTTGTTTGCTTTTCTTAAAAATGAGGTTTCAATACATGCAGTGCCTTATGTGTAGGTCTCATGATCAGCAAGGGCACACCAGTAAGTGGAGCTTAAGAGGGCCCTCTAAAACTGGTGTTTCATTGTATTCTGCGACATGTTCTTGACACAATGGTTAGTGCACTAGGGATGGCTATATTATTCTACAGGCCCCATTCACACCATGCATCGAAAGCCCCTGTGATACCACTTTGAACAGGCCCAGCTTCCTTCAAAGAATGATGGGAGCTGTCATTTGGTTAAGGATGCTGAGAGTTCTTTCAGAGGCCCCCTATTCCCCACCCCAGAGCTATAATACTCAAAAGTTCCATGTGAAAAGGGATTGATTATTCAACCCCTCTGGAAGCACCCTTCATCTTGCTTCCTTGGCTAGAGAGTGGAGCATGTGTAGAAGCTAGCCTACTGTCAGACACAGGTCTCCGTTGTTGGTGAAGTTGACTCTTCAAGGAAACGAATATGCAACTTGGCCTCGTGATCTCAGCAACACTCCCCAGTAGGTCTTGCCCCATGGAAGGGTTGCCAGGACTGAAGGTCCCTGTCTTCCACCCTCTCTAAGGCTGCTCCTCCTCCTGGATGTTTCCTAAGCAGTCTCTAACTGCATTGGCATGCCTCTGGCCTCTGCTCAGCCCATCTTGGAGACAACTGGAGCCCATCTCAGAGGCAAGTGGAGAGGGGAGTTTGTCGCAGCAGGAGAGGGAGACTTCCTGGGTTCTTCAGCAGTCCCTTGACCCACCCCCGCTCCTCTGCTTCAGCCTCAGAGTCTGAACTGCTCCCTGTCAGGTTCTTCCTGCTCACTAAAACCTGTGCCCCTTCAGCATCTGACACCTTCTCCTGCCCAGCCAGTCCCTGACACCTACTATACAAGGCAACAAAATTTACATGAATTGCTCCAACCACTTTTGCTTCTGCCCCCTCCCATCACTGACATGTGCTCTCTGGAAGATGGTCCAGAAGGAAATGTGACCCTCTTTGCTTCATGGGCAGGGGATGAAACATGTTTTTGTTTGTTCCTTGAAAACTTCCATGGATCCTGGGATCTGCTGGGAGCTGGCAGCTCTGGGTTCTGTTGTAGCCCAGTTCCATCTGTTTTGTGATCCTCTATGCTTCCCCCCCCCCACAAAATATGTTACAATTAACAGATGCTGACTTTGTTATGCATCTCTCCACCCGCTTCCTCTGACAGGAGCAGAGGCGTCTTCAGCAAGAAGGGTACCAGCAGGAATTCTTAAAGCTACAATCTCAGGTCCAGAGCTTGAAGTCTCAGATACAGCAACAGAGGAGTCAGAAAAGAAGAGGATGTGTGATCTCTTGAGGACTGCATCTCTGAACAGCCCTGATGGACTGAGTGAACGAAGGGGAAATCCTGGCCTGGCTTCAGGGCTGTGGGTGTGGTTCAGCTAGGATGGGAAAAGGAGAGAGCTCTACTTTGTACCACTTTTAATAGATGTTTGCAGTGTGAGCCTATATATGTGTACATGATAAAAAAATTTGCTGCATTTTCAAAAGAGCTGGGATAGGTCGCAGAACAGAGGTTTCTATGTAAAGATTAAGAGTACAGTGGTACCTATGGTTACAAACTTAATTCGTTCCGGAGGTCCGTTCTTAACCTGAAACAGTTCTTGATCTGAGGTACCACTTTAGCTAATGGGGCCTCTCGCTGCCACCGCACAATTTCTGTTCTCATCCTGAGGTGAAGTTCTTAACCTGAGGTACTACTTCCGGGTTAGCGGAGTCTGTAACCCGAAGTGTTTGTAACCCAAGGTACCATTGTATTGTATCCAGGCTTACAATGCAATCCTAATTATATTTACTCCAAAGTAAGTCCTGTTGTATTTAGTGGGGCTTCCTCCAAAGCAGAGTTAGGGTTGAAGTCTTAGACATGTTTAGAGCAGGTGAAGCCAGTTGGACTTAGTTAGACTAACATGATTTCAACAAGTTTACTCTAAGGCTGTAGTTCTAACTTCATTGATTTTAATAGGACTTGCTTTTGATACGATAATCTTTATTGTCATTGTCCCATACAGAACAACAAGTAGGCTTGGTTAGGGATGTATCCTAAGCTGGGCTCCAACCCAAGATTTTCAGCTTGAAATTATCTGAAGGCAAGTTAAGTGTGTGGAAAACCTATTTGGTTTAGATGTTAGGAACTGACCACTGATTTTTCTATCCATGAAACTCAGAAGGATGGGTTTTAGGAAATGGGAAATAGAGGTCATCCACCATCATCCCACTCGTTTATTTCAGTATGTGTGTCATTATTCCTGAAGGGCATCCTTTATCTCGGGCAAATTCACTGCACCTGTGTACTGACTTCTGTTCTAAACAATTGCCTGTGTCTGTGTGGAGTGAATCAGTCTTCAGGGGGCGTTTACAGTGTTGTCTATGGTTGTACACTGAACTGCATTTTGATATGGATGGTGCTAATATAAAACCAGATGGTTGGATCCATCTCTTAGGAAGAAGATAGGAAGCTGCCTGATACATAGTCAGATCACTGGTCCATTTGATTTTGTCTGCACTGACTGGCAGCAGCTCCCTGGGGTTTCAGATTGGGACATTTCCAACCCTATCTGGAGATGCCAGGAATTGAACCGGCGACCCTCTGCATGCTAAGCAGCTCCTCTACCACTGAGCTACGCCTTTGCCCCTCTCCCGCATTGCTAAGAACACTCAGAATCAGCTGTGTAATGGGGCTGTTGCTGCCCAGTCCACATGTACGAAGCAGCTTAAGGTGGAGAATCCCTCATATTTGGCTTGTGGTGCTGTGTGTTATGAACTGGTCTGCAGCCAAAGATGGGTAAATGTGTAGCTGCTGTGCTTTTGCAACCTCTGAATTCCTCACCCCCCAAACCCAGATTCCTGGCATCCCTCCAACCACCAGTGATCTGCACTATTGACAAGGGAAGGAGGAATGAATCTAGTCAGTTTGCTGGACTGGGGCTGCTGCCAAGTCTTTTGAGCTCAACCCCCTCTCCCCTTGTGCAGAATGATTGGGGGTAGGTCTTATGCATGCTTACTCTGAAAGTATTGCAGCCTGAGACCTGTCACTATGAGAATTGTAATGAAATGTGCGTGAAGTGCTTGTGTGTTTCAGTATTTTTTAAAAAATAAAAGCTTCTGTCTTTGAGTTCTCCTGCTTTGTTTCTTGTCTCTTCAGCTAACAACTTCTTTTGAAATGTTTTTATTTTGGAGAGTTGTTGTACCAGCTAGCATTGCCAATTCTATCCCATTCCAGGAAATCGGTCAAGCAACGCTCTTGCTGAGGGAAAGAGTTCAGTGATCTCAGTACCACTCACAGGTTTTGTGTTGGGGAGCCATTATCTCCCAAGGTTAGGATACCATGTTAAATCTTAAAACTAAGACAAGGAACTAGTCAGTTCTCAATATGACAGCTGAGCAAGCAGATGCAACTGCCTCATTTGCTTGTGAAGCAATTCCTGCCTTGAGAAAGACTTGCGGTTACAGCTAATTGCGGCTAAAAGGTCATCTCTTTGGGTCTACTCAGTTTGGACTGTCACGGCTTTCCCCATCAAATGCAGACCCTGAAATTTGTTTAAAGAGTGTCTAGTCAAGTTAAAGGGAGGCGGGAAGTTATGAGTGTGGTTGGGTGAGGAAATAGTAAAAAGTGAGGTCAGAGAGAAATGAAATGCAGAAAAGTACAGGACTGCGGCAATTCTGAGGACGCAAGGTGAGAAACAGGCAGAGGGGTGCAAAAAAGGGAAGGGGGAAATGAGTGGCTGCTGGTTCCTGCCCCATCAGGGCAACATTTGGGGGCAGACGTCCAGGGCCCCAGGGCCAGGCTTGCTACTGCAAAAGACCGAGGGTGTGTGTTCGCATTACTGCCTCAAAGTGCAGTGAAGTTTTTGAGGGTTTTTGTGTGTGTGTGCATTTCTCATCTCCCTCCCTCCCACCCAGCTCCTTTTTATCTGTAAAAGAAAATAACAAGCATTTAAAAGAATTCAGAAATAATAATTAAAATCAACTGTAATCTAAAACCAGATTAAAACACATGACAGGCTGGATATTTGATGTGCTCATAGGCCCTCCTCCCAGGTTGGTCACCCCTGCTCTGGTGCCACAGAATAATGTTGCACGCCACCTCAATCTGAGGTGCGGGGTTCAATTTCCATGGAATGAGGGTCAGTGGTGACTGCGGTGTCTTTATGATATATGGTTTATTTGCATATATAAGGTAAAGGACCCCTGGATGGTTAAGTCCAGTCAAAGGCGACTATTGTTGCACAACCCTCATCTTGCTTTCAGGCAGAGGGAGCTGGGGTTTGTCCACAGGCAGCTTTCCGGGTCATGTGGCCAACATGACTAAACCGCTTCTGGCACAACGGGACACCATGATGGAAACCAGAGCGTACCTTCCCGCCGCAGCGGTACCTATTTATCTACTTGCACTTGCTTTTGAACTGCTAGGTTGGCAGGAGCTGGGACAGAGCAACGGGAGTGCATCCTGTTGCGGGGATCCGAACCGCTGACCTTCTGATCGGCAAGCCCAAGAGGCTCAGTGGTTTAGACCACACCACCACCCCATTTGCATATTTACCTATTTGCGTACACGCCCACCCACCCTGACAACAGAAATCAAGCATGGCTTTCCTTCCCTGGCTTCCGCCTGAAGGCTGCTTCCAACTCTCACACATGACTCTGCTGCCCCTACCAGCCAGGTGATTGAGGGGGAGCACCCATTTGGCACAAAGCTACTTCCCTTTGTTATAGGTAAAGGTAAAGGGACCCCTGACTATTAGGTCCAGTCACAGACAACTCTGGGATTGCGGCGCTCATTTTGCTTTGTTGGCTGAGGGAGCTGGCGTACAGTTTCCCCAGTAAGTCACCAAGAAGATGGCCTGGCTAGTTCATACCAGATTTTAACCCTTGCTGTGGGTCTAGGAGCCCAGGAATTAGGGCTCGGGCATTATGCAGACTACTAGTAAAGGTAAAGGGACCCCTGACCATTAGGTCCAATCGCGGACAACTCTGGGGTTGCAGCGCTCATCTCGCTTTATTGGCCGAGGGAGCCGGCGTACAGCTTCCGGGTCATGTGGCCAGCATGACTAAGCCGCTTCTGGCGAACCAGAGCAGCGCACGAAAACGCCATTTACCTTCCTGCTGGATCGGTACCTATTTATCTACTTGTACTTTGAACAAGTAGGTTGGCTTTCGAACTGCTAGGTTGGCAGGAGCAGGGACCGAGCAACAGGAGCTCACCTCGTCGCAGGGACTCCCCCCCCCAAAAAAAACCTCTCAACACTAAAATCCCACAAAAGCTAGGCATATATCAAGTTCATAAGTTTATTGTTCTAGCCAAAGTCCACAACAAACTGGCGCCAGGCAATAGTATTAATAAAATAATACAAAACAGCGTCCATAAAAGGGCATACATAACTGGCAACAGTTCAGAAGCACCCAGATCCGTGCTTGAAGGCAGATAAAAACTCAGAAAGGGATGACTCGGATGGCGCTGCCGGGAACTGCCCGCTCTTCTTGGAATCCTGCGCTTACAAGCAGGAGCTACTTTCACTTTCACTTCCTGGTCGAACAAAAGCCCCGCTGGGCAGGCGAGGAGCCAGAGTTAGCAGGGTCGGCGGGAGGTCTGGGAGCCAGAGGCCGCTGCTGCTGTTGCTGCTGCTGCTGCCGGGAGGTAAGGAGAGCGCCCGGCCGCGTTTCGGGCGGACCCCGCCGCGGTCGGCAGTTTCGCCGCGATCCCAGTTGCTGAACAGCCGCGGAGGCGGAGCTTGGAGAGCCGCCTCCTCGTTTGCCAGCTGCGAGAATCCACACGTGCAATCCCAGCCCTCTTTACCCGGGAGTCATCCTCGTGGCATAGGGGCCAACTCCCTGGGACCCTGGTGGGTGCGCCATCGCCCACAAAATTCCCCATAAAGGGGACCGGGCACCCACAGATTTGGGTGCCAGGGTCATGCACGCTGCATGGCACCCACGGCCCCGGGGCCAAGTTGGCACTCCTGCCCCGTGGGGTTAAAGGAAGGCTTACTTCTGAGTAGACGTTGCACCGGAAAGTTGGGAACCGCCGCGCTCCTGCGCGAGAGGAGAGGGGGAGAGCCGTCGCCGTCTGGTTTACTTCCGAGTAGACGCGCGGAGGATCGGTTTGCTGGTGCGCATGCAAAAGCAGAGCAGCGGCGCTCACGGGGCAGCGAAGGGCCGGTTGTTTATTCTGGGATCCCCACCCGAGCTAGTTTTAGCCAGCCATTTGGAGCTGCGCCGAAGCGAAGCTCTTTTTGCTTACGAGGTGCTGCCAAATGTCTCCGCGCGTCTGAGGCTGATTTAGCGCCAAGCTGCGGGGGCCGGGGGGGGGGGCGATGAGCTAAGGAAAGAGTTCTAGCCAGGGGTGTCAACTTCAGTAAAATTGTGGGGGGGGGGGGAGGTAAGCCTCGCACCACATAATCGATCACATGACACGGCGCACGCACATTGTTTGAATGGCGATGCGGGGGGGCGCGCGACCCCCTCAAACATTTTATTGCGGGGGGGGGGCGAAGGGACCAATGATGCTAACTAAGAAGATGGGTTTTGTGCATTTGGCATCATTACCCCTTTGGGGCGTGTCTCGTGACAATCGGCCTGGGGATTCCCACACGAACCCTGTGCGGTTTGTGGTTTTGCGCGATGGGTTGCTTTGCAGGCTGCAAAGAGGCCAGTCAACCTTCCGGGTCCTCTGTGTGTCTCTGGGCAAGGCAGGGCCTCGATCCGGAAACCGAAGCAAGTTTTAACTGCCTCAGTAATTATCACAGGGAGGGAGGGAGACCCCACGAAGCTGGTGGTTTTGAAACGGTGTTCCTGGAAACACGGGGCTCCCCAGAGATTCTTGGGTGAGAAGTTTGCTCATTGCAGACAAAGTGCTCAGAACATAGTTTCTTCCTAATAATAACAGTAACAGAAAAAATTGTTTGTCTAAATTGTACGCCACCTTTCATTTCCAATAAAAGCCATGGCAATTTACAGAAAATTTAAAATATTAAAACAATATTATTATTGTTGTTGTTGTTGTTGTTGTTGTAACTTCAATATGTGTGGTGTTTTGCAAAAGGTTAGCTCCTTGCCTTGAGGACCTTACAGTCTAAAATATGACGCAAGAAAAACGAAGGAAGAGGAGAGAGGTGAAGGCAGAGTTTAAAGGGAGAATCCTATTTTAATCATTTCAGGGCCACAAATGCAGGGATGCGGGACCTGCAACCTTCTAGATCAGGGGCCAGCAAACTTTTTCAGCAGGGGGCCGGTCCACTGCCCCTCAGACCTTGTGGAGAGCCGGACTATATTCTGAAGGGGGGAAAACGAATTCCTATGCCTCACAAATAACACAGAGATGCAATTTAAATAAAAGGACACATTTGACTCATGTAAAAACACACTGATTCCCGGACCGTCCATGGGCTGGATTTAGAAGGCAATTGGGCCGGATCTGGCCCCCGGACCTTAGCTTGCCTACCCATGTTCGAGATGACAGAATCATAGAGTCAGAGAATTGTAGATTTGAAAGGAACCCTGAGGGTCAGTGCAGGAATCTCAACAGGTGGTTCCCCATCCAAATCGAAACCATACCTGGCCCTGCTTAGCTTTGCAGATTCGTCAGTGGTTTTGTTGCTGCGCCCCATTAAGGCAATAAACCATCAAGTTGTCCAAATGGTAATAAATATAATATCTTGGCAGTGTACCATGAAATCATTAAAACTTCCAGAAATTATAAATTCATGGCATACAGAACAAATGGTCAACACTGAATCAAATTCATTATCTAAATTTTTTAGCTGTGTTTTATTAATGGATTTATTTGCACATTGCTTGTGCACATTATAAATCATCTATCTTATCTTCACTGGTGGTGGTGTAAATATGTAAACTTTTTTTGGCAAAGGGAGTTTAAGGAAATAACAGAAATCACTGCGTTAAAGCTGACCGAAAGTCCAGAGGTAGCATTATTATCTATTTACAATGGGGTGGAAGGTTCACAGGCTATGAAGGACTTGCTTACAAATTTATTGACAGCTGCACGAATTACGATAGCTAGGAAGTGGAAGGGGCAAGCAGAATATAAAATGGAAAAATGGTATAAAGAGGGGTGGGTTATAGCTATTAATGATTAAGTAATATGTGCCATTAAGATAAGATGGGGAATATGCAGGAGAAATGATTTTGAGGAGACAGGGAGAGTGTTTGTAGAATTTATACTGTTAAAATGAAAGGGGTCAAACCATCGCAAGACGTGTTGAAATTTTGGGATGTTAGATAGTTGCAATGGAATGGTCTCGGGGGTGGGGTGCACATTTTTATTCTTATATATTTGTGATTATTACTTTGTCAAAACAAAAAACAAACAAACATCTATCTAAATATAATTAAATAAATAAATATCATCTTTCTGATTCTTCTGGCTGCTGGATCCGTGCAGCTCATATTTTTGATTCATAGGTGTACGTGAAATATATCCCATGGTGACTCTTCCTGGTTTTCCATCTGTCTCCTACCCCAAACAGTACTTTCAGGTTGAGAGCAATGGCGCCCGAAAGCCACATGTCCGAGCCCATCTGCCTGATCGAGAACAGGGACAGGAAGCTCTTTGTCTGTGAAAAGGCCCTTCGCCTGCTCTCCGAAATTCACCAGCCGGTGGTGGTGGTTGCCATTGTGGGACTCTACCGAACGGGCAAGTCCTACCTCATGAACAAACTAGCTGGCAGAAACTCAGGTGAGAGTGAAAATTGCAGCGAACCCTGGAGAGGGAGGGGAGCAAATGCTAAATTTAAGTGTTTTATGCTCAAATGGGTTTGTGTGTGTGTGTATGGACCACAGAGTGCCCTTCTGTGCAGAGAGAATCATGTAGTAACTTATTCTGAGCACAGTTCAAAGTGTTGGTGCTGACCTTTAAAGCCCTAAACAGCCTCGGCCCAGTATACCTGAAGGAGCGTCTCCACCCCTATCATTCTGCCCGGACACTGAGATCCAGCGCCGAGGGCCTTCTGGCAGTTCCCTCATTGTGAGAAGTGAGGTTACAGGGAACCAGGCAGAGGGCCTTCTTGGTGGTGGTGCCTGCCCTGTGGAACACCCTCCCTTCAGATGTCAAGGAAATAAACAACTATCTGACTTTTAGAAGACATCTGAAGGCAACCCTGTATCAGGAAGTTTGTAATGTCTGATGTTTTATCATGTTTTTAATATTCTGTTGGGAGCTGCCCAGAATGGCTGGTGAAACCCAGCCAGATGGTGGGGTATAAACAACAACAACAATTCAAAGACAGTTAATGTGTTCCAAGACAACAATTTGGACACAACTTCCACAAGAGTCCAGCATGACTCTAATCCTAGTTTTCCTGGTACATCTCTTTGTAAAATGTAGAATATTAGTAGAGTATCTGATCTGCATGTTTAAGTTCCCAGGTTGAATGTTCGTAGTCTGAAAACCCTGGTGAATTGCTGTCAGTCAGGGTAGTCAATACTGGGTTAGATGGGCTGATTCAGTGTCAGGAACCTTTCTAGTTTCCTAAACAGAAGCCCACTTTTCCTACCACCCTATCCCCCTGTGTGGGAGAGGGAACTACACCCCTGAAATGTTGTCACTTGTACAGTGGTACCTCGGGTTAAGTATTTAATTCGTTCAGGAGGTTCATTCTTAACCTGAAACTGTTCTTAACCTGAAGCACCACTTTAGCTAATGGGGCCTCCCGATGCCGCCACGCCGCCGGAGCACAATTTCTGTTCTCATCCTGAAGCAAAGTTCTTAACCTGAGGTACTATTTCTGGGTTAGCAGAGTATGTAACCTGAAGCATATGTAACCTGAACCGTATGTAACCCGAGGTACCACTGTAATCTGTTTAAGATGTAAGAGCCTTCCAAGAGAAAGGGTACCAGCCCCGTTCCCTGATCTTACTAGCTCACATGTTTCTGGCTTCCTAAATCCTGAAAATTTGATTATCTCCATGGTTAGGTTTCCCCCTGGGTTCTACGGTGCAGTCGAAGACCAAGGGAATTTGGATGTGGTGCGTCCCTTACCCTGGCAGGCCTGGTCAAACCCTTGTGCTTCTGGATACAGAGGGACTAGGCGATGTGGAAAAGGTAATTCTGAACTCTTGGATGGCGCACCCGCTGAATTTCTGCCTAGCATGTACGGGCATAGGACATAACAGCATTTGTGGCAGGGCCAGGCGCAACATACCTGCCACCATACCCAGCTGCTGAAGGATCATTGCCAGGTATTTGTCTACAGAACCAGAAAATGCACACATCAACAGAGATAAATGTTTTATACATTCAAAGTGCCACTCTGAGGCTGAAACCAGGTCTTGGCGAAGGGACTGTGAAAACAAGCAGGTGTGAGGCTGCCGAACTCTTTGTAAACTACAGGAAAGCCCCAAGTATGACTAATTATTTTGGCTGCTGGGATTTTGATGGCTCAGCACAACTTATGTAATTTTTGGAATTTCCAGTCCGTTGAAGTTGAGAGCTGGAAGAAGGTCTATAGTGTGAATCTGGTGCTTGTTGCTTTCCCATCCACAATGGTGTGGGATAGCAAAGGACAAGCTCGAGCCTACATGAGCAAACATCGCTACACCAATGGTATTTCTCAACTTCCTTGCACACTTGTGCTTTAGAGTTGTGCCACTTTGTTTCTGGCAACAATAGCATCAGCCTGAGGAACAGAAAGTGTTTAGGGAAGTTTTTAATTTGATGTTTTATCGTATTTTTAATATTCTGTTGGAAGCCTCCCAGAGTGGCTAGGGAAACCCAGCCAGATGGGCGGGGTATAAAATTACTATTATTATTATTATTATTATTATCCTTGAAAAGCTTTTCTCTGGCATGGGAACAAGTGTTGGGCAAAGCTTTCCCTGCTTGATTTTGACGTGACTAGCTGCTGTTAAAAACCCAGAATCGGGGACAGCCCAGCACCAACAGCACTTTGGTTCTCAGTAGTGCAACTGCGTCAGTGGCAGTCCTTAGCCCGCTACGCCAGCTTTCCCAGGGCCAAGTAAAAGCAACAAATAACTTGAATCAGTACTTATGTACTGTGCAGCTCAGTTGGTTAGAGCATGGAGCTGATAATGTGAAGGTTGCAGGTTCGATCCCCGCATGGGACAGCTGCATTGTATTCCTGCATCGCAGGGGGTTGGACCAGATGATCCTCAGGGTCATAGAATCAGTTCTATGATTCTGTGAACAATATTTGCAGCAACACTGCGGTGGAAGGGGAGAAGCAGAACCTAACAGCTTCGTGTGACGTTAACATCTGAGAGAGTGCTGGAGGTGAAATAGTTAAACAGGTTACCCAATCAGGACCCAGGGGCTTGGAGTCAGAGGGATTATAAAACCAGCTCTGGGAGGGTTGCGGGAGTTTGTTGGGAGTTGGGTGGTTGGTTGGAGTGGGAGTGAGTTGGAATAGAGTCTGTGGGTAGGTTGAGTTAGTGTAGCAAAATAAGCTGAGTCATGAACAGTTAGGGGCTAGGAAGACAAGTAAATATCTGAGAGGTGGTTTAGTGAGTGAGAGCAGGTAGTGGAAGTTATAGGTCTGGATAGGCACCCCATGAATGTAATTGACTGTTACTGTTTATGAAACCACACACTTGTTAAACTGCAATAAATAAACAAAAGTTTATGTTCCAATTTAACCCTGACTGGACTCAGTATTGTCCCAGGTAGGGCTTGGGTGTTGGGAGCAAGAAATAAAGTGGTGGCACAGGGATCAATAGACGGTGAAATGGCCGGGGCCCCTGTGTGATTGCCACACTTTCTTCCTCCTTTCTTAGGGCGACACTCAAAACGACACCTGGATCTTCGCTTTGGCTGTGCTCCTGAGCAGCACCCTGGTCTACAACAGTTTTGGTGCCATTGACCAGCAAGCTATGGATCAGCTTCAGTATCCTTCCCAAGGACTAACTCTGATTTTCATTTGCTGGAGGGAGTTGGAGGAAGTCCTGTATTGGCTCTCTCTCTTTAGGACATTCCCTCTTGTTACTCTAGAGCAGTAGGAAATATTTTTCAGCCCAGGGGCCACATTATTTTATGTGCAACCTTCCAGGGGCCATGTGTCAGTGGTGGGTGGGACCAGAGGCAAGAGTGTGCAGAACAACGGGTACAACTCTAACCTTTGTAGTGTTAGGTTTTCATCCTTTTTTGGTATTGTGACCCACAAGTCCACAGAGCAAGCCAGCAGTAAATCATACCGTTCAAAGTTGGTGATAACTTAGAAGAGGAGTCAGACTGGGAAGAGGAAGTCTCAGAAGATGAGGAGGTTATGTTAGCCCCAAAATGGAAAATGAACAAGCTTCCAACCAAAGAAGAATGGCAACTTACTTGACAGACTATTCACAACTTGCAGGCTTAGCATACAGAGTAAGAGAACAAAAAGAACATACATTTAAAGAAGATTGGAAAATGTTTATTGAATATATGGAAAATAATTGTGCCCAGCTGAAAACGCTGGCAACATTAAGATAAATTCAACAGTGTAAATGAGTTTTGATGGATGCGATAACGGTAAACTGATTGGTATAGTTTTTTGTACAATATGCAGGGATTTAAGATATGTAAAATGAACCATGGAAAGAGAAGAGAAGTCATTGACATCTTAAGGATGTAAAATGAGAATTTGAAATTGTAAAACAGAAAATTTAATAAAAATTATATACATAAAGAAGATGAGGAGGTAACAGGGTTTAGTGAGCAGGAAGAATCTGTGGCAGAGAGCAGTCCACAATCAAAGGCAGAAGCCAAAGCCGGCGAGTGGGAGGATGCCAAGAGGAAGATGAGTCAGGTCGATGAAAAGTCACAGGAGTCTCCCCATCCTGCTGCTACAATCTTCCCTCCCCACTTGTCTCCCAGAACCAGAAGAGGGCTGAAATGGGCAGAGCAGTGGCAAGTTGCATGCAGGCGCAGTCTCTGATTGTTTGGGGAAAGCCCTGGAGAGGAGGGACCTAGACTGCTGTGGGGAGGTGGGGACTTTCAGTCTCAGCAATGGAGTCAAGGGGCAAGACCTATCGGAGGTGAGCTGCTGCGCTCCTTTGGCCTGACACTCAACCAAGTCCATGAAGATCCTGCTTTTGCTAATAAAGAGTTAACTCGCAACTTTGAACATCTTTGACATCATTTTTCTAAAACTGCCATCCATGTGCCACATAAAGTTGAAGGGCTTTTCTCTCCTGCTGTAACTTTGTTTTCCTGTGGCAATAATTTCACAGCAGGCCACCATTGGGGGCGGGATGGGGGGGGGGAGGACTTCCGGGGTGGCGCCATCGGCAATGGCGGACTCCCTCTGATCTGGAGGGACCAGCTCCGCGCGAAACGGGTCTTTTCCGCTACGGCGAAGCGGGGACCCTTCTAGAAATCACAGGCGGATGAAGCCTGTGACCATGGGACTCGGCGGGCACCCTTAGCGCCCCCCCAACCCGCAAAGGAACCCATTAACGGGCTCTGAAGCGAAGAGGGGGAAGTGGCGTGGTGCTGTGAGTCAATTGCTTTTTCCGTGGAGCGAAGCCGCATAGCCATTGCCGGAGAGCGCTGCCTTTTTCCTGGGACAATTTGGCATCTAAAATAATCACCCGTGAGTACTTAAACATTGAACAACTGGACTTTAAATAAGAACTGGCGAGCAGAAAGGAATTGGACTTTAAAATTTATTTCAATTTGGTACTGAAACGGGAAGGTCTAAACAGGAAGTCAGCCTTCCGTTTCTTTGTAGTCAGAATAAAGCAAAGACAATGTAAACTAGAGCTTAGAAAATCACTTCCAAAGGATTGGCTTTCATCATTTAAAATTGTTGAACCCCCCTTCGGTAGCAGGAGAAGAAGGGGGATCTTTTTTGGACTGTTTAAACCTGCAGAAGTGAGTTTAAAGCAAAGTAACTTTCCACCGTCCTGATCCTGGAGCGGGGTGTCAGAACTGACGTTTGAAGCTCATTGACCAGAGACAAATGCTTTTGACAGACAGCTAAAAGAAGAGTAACATTGTGATGCCACTGTTTCCTTTCGCATTTTTAAAGGAACAAATATTGACAAAATATCTTAAAAAAGAAACTTTGTTGCTATTGTCTTTAAAAGAAAGAACAACCAGAAGTTTTCCCCCTAGAGGGAGACTGTGAAACTGTAACTAATTCCAGGGAGCTTGCAGCTGCCACAGATTACAATCGTGGGAAAGGACTTGTGACCTTGCAGGACAATGTTTTCAGAGGCTCTGTTGTGTGCTCTCTGTAAAACAAATGCCCTATTGGATCAGTTAAGTCAGAAGACGGATTTGATGACTAATGCGGTCAGAACTTTTGAACAGGTAGTGGGAAACTATATGGAGCCCACCCAGGAACTAAAACAGGAGTGTGCCATGACAGAACAGATGAGAGAAGAGGACGTTGCTGAATCTTGGGTGCCAGAAAGGGAGGGATTTTCAGCCCTGCAGGAATATGAGCCTTTGGATTTGACAAATGAACTTGGGAAAAACCAGATTTGGAAAGATAAAGTTTGGATTGGTTTGGAAATGGGGGGTTGGACTGACCCCCCCATGCAGGGAAGTTTGGACTTTCCGAGTCTGGCAATGGGCCGTCAGATGTTTGGAGCTGTGGGGGCTCTCAATTTTGGAGGGAATCTGAAACATGTCTTTAAATACCACATGGAGTTTAGTCTGCACTATGGAAAAGGGGCTGATTTGTTGAAAAGGGTCAAAAACATTACCAAGCTGGAGTTCCCACGAGTGAAAGGAAAATATGAAGAAGAGCCGCGGAAGGGACATGGAAGAGACTTGAGGGCCTCGGATATAAGGTCACCAGGTTAATGCACTAGATCAGTGGGATAAAAAGGACTGACAAAACCCGGGACCAGGAGGAAGGGACGCTGGATGAAGATTGGATTGTTCTTATTTCTTTTTTTTATCATTAGGATTGTTTTATAAAATTGATGAATGTTAGAAAAATGTTGAAATGAAATTACTTGGCTCTAGTAAAAATGTTTAAAGAATTAGGTAAGAATGTTATGGCTATGAGAAGCCGGTAAAAATAAGATTTAAGTTTTAAGCTTTAAGGTTTTCTATAAGATAAGGGGAAAATAGATTAAGGTAATGTAATGACAGAATATTATGAATTATGGAAAGGACTTGCTGCGATAATTATTAATTAGGATACAAGAAAAGGGAGGAGGAGGAGGTCAAAGAAAGAAGGTAATGAAAGTGGAGAATTTGAGAATGATGGATTTATTTTTTCTTTTTCTTTTTCTGTTTTGTCTTTTTTTGTAATTTTAAATTTTTTTCAATAAATATCATTAAAAAAAAAAGGGATGGGGGGGGAAGAGGCATGGAAAGGGCACATAGTGAGGACATCATCACCACAAATGCAGCTGCATGAGGATTTGTTCTGCACATGCAATGGAAAAGGTTAATGAGATGGCGCTCCAAAATATGCAGCAGTTTAAAGGTACAGGACTTTTCTCGTTTGCATCGAACTGTCTGTTCTGTATTGCATGGTGGGGGTATTTTGAGGGGCTGCTTGTTCTCCCCCTGTGCAGGCAACTGGTCTCTTGATTCCTAAACCTGGCCAACAGCTATGTGACAGAGCTCACAGAGCGCATCAAAGCCAAATCGTCCCCCGGGGGAGGCAGTGAGGGACTGGAAGACTCTGCTGAGTTTGTCCGCTTCTTCCCAAGTTTCGTCTGGGCCTTGCGGGATTTCACCTTGCAGCTGGAGCTGAATGGGCGCCCCGTCACTGAAGACGAGTATCTGGAACATTCCTTGAAATTAAAGAAAGGTACTGACAGTGGCGGTGAATTCAATGGCTTCCCCCAATGAATGCCAGAAAATGCTGTTTGTTAAATGTGCTGAGAAGTGTTGGAAAACTGCTCTTCCCCTTCCCAGACTACAGAGTTCCCTGGGAAGGAGTATTGGTTGTTAAACCACTCTGGGAATTGTAGCTTTTGGGGGAGATTAGGGGTCTCCTAACAACTCTTTGCACCCTTAACAAACTCCAGTTCCCGGAATTCTCTGGGGGAAGCCATGACTGGTCAAAATGGTATCATAGTGCTTTGAAGTATTGTGTGAATGTGGCTTTAGTTTAATACCAGTCTAGGTGTGTTAACATCATGTCTTTACTACCTAGCAGAGTCGTGCTTCAAAGCACGTTTGATGTGTTTACACATCACATTTATTTGAAACAGTTGCAGCTTTCCTCTGCACAAAATTCCTCCCAACAAACCACAATAAAATACAGTATATAAACTGTTCCAAAGGGGTAGCCAAGTTCCTCTGTTGCAGCAAACGCAACGGAACCTTGCTAACTTACTAACAGCTGTAGGAATAACTGAGACCACAGGTTGAATGCGGGTGAGCTATGCGGAAGCAAGCTAATCGGCTAGCTCGGCAGAGCCTCTTTTATTGGCAAAAATCAACAGTTGCAAAGCTGTAGTGAAACCACTCTGAACTTTAACATATTTCCATCTAAGCACAGTCCCAGCATTAGCAAATACACATGTCAGCAGGTGTTTCCCTCAAATGTCCCCCCCCCATACTTGATAACACCTGCTTTCCCTGCCATGCTCCAGCCAGGCGATATGTCTAAGCAAACAGTTTGTGAAAGGACAAAAGGTCAGGGGGAAAACCCTGTTTTCTAGCCAAGAAGGCAAAAGGTCAGGGAAAGCAAGCGTAACATTGACATGCTGTGGCATGTCTTTGTGCGAGGTTTGCCTTTGCAAAACGGAGCGTTACCCCCACAAACAGCCAGCTCTGGTAGGCCCCAGTCAGCATGGACACTGCTTAGGGATGATGGGAGTTGCAGTCTCCCATCATCAGGCTGGCTAACACAGCTTTGTAACTTGCATGTGTGTATATATCTGCCAACTTGGGATAACATTCCATGCACCTGAGAGAGTAAGCTTATGCCATAACATACTTGCTAGTCTTTAAAGTGCATGAGACTGTTGTTTTTAGCATATATATTTAAAAACACTCAGAATTCATAATGCACCTGAAATTACTAGTTGTTGCTTAAAACTTAGAAACTTAGAAACTCATGCCTATAGGCTTGCCATCTAAAGTTAGATCTAAGAGTCAGAATGGGGGGGGAAGCAAGGAAGAGGGGAAAGGGTTGTGTGCCTATGTACTTGATAAGGATAACCATGAAGTATAGTATGCCTTCGCTTCTGTAGTATGAAATATCCGCCTTGCTCAAATCCCACTTTTCCTCTTCCATGTTCCAACCCACTGGTATCTTTGCATTTCCGTGTGCCATTTCAGATTTACCCACAAGCTCCCCATCTCCTGTTAATATTTGTACTGGTACTGTATTTGTTAGAAAATGTATTTTACAAAGAGTGATTTGTACTGGGGGGAAAGAAAACCTATGTAATGTAACAGCTGCAGAATCTTGTGACTCCGATTAAGGTCACAGAAATGCTGACTCATTGCCTTGTTAATTTGTTAACTCCCTTTAAAAGTGAGTGTGTTTCTTAGATAGGAGGGGAGGGAGTTGGAGGTTGTCTTGTTGTTGTTTCATTGACCAACAACAACAACAACAACAACAACAACAACAACGGAGTGTGGAAACTTCAAGCAGATGCTGTGTCTGGAGGAGTTTGTGAGGACAGACAAATCAGCAACTCAGCAGTTCTCAACCTGTGGGTCCCCAGATGTTGTTGGACTACAACTCCCATCATCCCTGAGCTCTGGCCTTGCTAGCTAGGGGTGATGGGAGTTGTAGTTCAACAACCTCTGGGGACCCACAGGTTGAGAAAGGCTGTCTTACTGCTATGAAAGAGTTTTTGAAGCAAGAAGCAAAAAGATCCTCTCTTGGGCTCAAATGCATTGTATTGGACTTTATATGCACAAATAATACTGATTGTTAACAGCTGCCACCCTGCAAGTAAAGAGTCATCTTCAGAGTCCTGGTTCTGGAGGATACTTCATCATGAAGGCTTTGAGGGTGAAACCCCTGCATGACTCAGGAAAATAGCTAACATCTCCATCGTCTTCTTTCCAGGCGATGCCTCTGATGTTCAGCTGTACAACCTGCCTCGCAAATGCATCCGGATGTTCTTCCCCACTCGCAAGTGTTTCATTTTTGACCGACCCACTACTAGGAAGAACCTGCCCCATCTGGAGTCGATGCAGGAGAGCCAGCTGGAGCCCGACTTTGTGGAACAAGCCGGCCAGTTCTGCCGTTACATCTATAGTACATCCAAGGAAAAGACCATCCCCGGAGGATACCTTGTCAATGGCCGCTGTGAGTCCTGGTAACTGTGTAGTCCTCCTCAGACTAGCTGGTTGGCAGCTGGATGGCCCTGTGCACCTGCCATAATTGCCCCAGGGAGGAGCTTGGGATCTGGCCCACCATCCTAGCTACTTGGTTTTGCATTGCAATGGGCCACTCTGAGCACAGGCAGTTCAGTGTGTCTTCCCACAACTAGCTCCTTTTCTTTTTCCCCCTGGTAGTGCTGGCAAACCTAGTGACAACCTATGTGGACACCATTCGCAGTGGGCAAGTGCCTTGCATGGAGAGCGCAGTGCTGGCCTTGGCTGAGATTGAGAACTCGGCTGCTATCCATGATGCTACTGTGCGCTACAGGGAGCTGATGGATCAAAAGCTGAAGCTTCCTACGGAGACGGTCCAGGAGCTGCTGGGGATCCATGCCGAGTGTGAGAAGGAGGCCCTGCAGGTGTTCCTGGCTCATGCCTTCAAGGATGACAAACAACGGTTCCAGGTGGAACTCATGGTAGGTTGTCCCTTGATCCCCTGTATATTAACATGCTGCAAACTGTATATTATACCCAAATATTCAGATTTTTGTCCACCACACGGGAATCTTTTGGTGGAGGGTGGTTAAGAAATGTCTTGAACAATTTTATTCTGAAAATAAATCTGGGCGCACAAAGTCTGTTCTCCCAGATTAGAAATGTTTCGAAGTGCTTAGCTATGTCTCAGCTTTATTTTGTTTGTGTTGCCAGAAAACCATGGACCAGATGAAGGAGGGCTTCTGCCAAAAGAATGAGCAGGAATCTTCAAAACTCTGTTGGGCTGTGTTGATGTCCTTGTCTGGGGAGCTGGAGGAAAACATCAAACAAGGGGTTTACTCCTGCCCTGGCGGTCACAAGCTGTTTTCGGATGACCTGAAGGAAATGGAACAGAGATACCACCAAGAACAGAAGAAAGGAGTGATGGTGAGGAAGCGCGAGGGCTGCTGAATGAACATCTTAAAGGGGCATTATAAAGCTCGGCTAATTGGAGGGTGGGGGTGCACTCCAAATCATGGTTTTCTCAGAATTCAAATTGCCAAAACCTGAAACACATTTCATAGGTGTGGCTGAAACAGGTGCAAAGTTCATATCTGAGTACCAGAGCTGGAGATTGGGTACTGAAATTGTGACTGGGGAAACCCAGCCAGATGGGCGGGGGTATAAGACAACAACAACAACAACAACAACAACAACAACAACAACAACAACTCTTGCTACACAATTGCACCATTTTTAAAATTCTGAATCTATGAAAAATTAAGGCTTGTCTGACTGCAGTCTAATAGCTCATTGTTCAACCCGGTAGGAAACAGAAAGGCATACAGCTGAAACAAGCTCAGATTCCTGGTCCAGTCGAGAGACATATAAAAAGTAGACGGGGAGAAAGATTGTGGGAGGTTGTTCTGCTTCCCCTAGCAATGTGCCTGAGCTTCCCAATTTAGGACCTATGTAGATGTGACACAGGAAGTCCACAGTGCTTTGAAATTTACTTAAAATCAATTGCTAGAGATTGCAGATTGGACTAGGACACAGTGGCACTGAGAGATCCTTGCGTTATGGGATATTTGGAGGGCTGTTTAGCTCAGGAAAGCAGATGACCTTTTCTTCCATCCTGGCTGCTCTGATGTGATGTGCAGTCCCCAGCAGTGTTAAGTAACTTTCAGAATGCTAGCAGATCCAGTCACAGGCATCCCTCAACATATCTGCTTAGGCTCTTGTTGTTGTTGTTTAGTCGTTTAGTCGTGTCCGACTCTTTGTGACCCCATGGACCAGAGCACGCCAGGCACTTCTGTCCTCCACTGCCTCCCGCAGTTTGGACAGACTCATGCTGGTAGCTTCGAGAATACCACCCAACCATCTCGTCCTCTGTCGTCCCCTTCTCCTTGTGCCCTCCATCTTTCCCAACATCAGGGTCTTTTCCAGGGAGTCTTCTCTTCTCATGAGGTGACCAAAGTATTGGAGCCTCAACTTCATGATCTGTCCTTCCAATGAGCACTCAGGGCTGATTTCCTTCAGAATGGATAGGTTTGATTTTCTTGCAGTCCATGGGACTCTCAAGAGTCTCCTCCAGCACCATAATTCAAAAGCATCAATTCTTCGGCGATCAGCCTTCTTTATGGTCCAGCTCTCACTTCCATACATCACTACTGGGAAAACCATAGCTTTTACTATACGGACCTTTGTTGGCAAGGTGATGTCTCTACTTTTTAGGATGCTGTCTAGGTTTGTCATTGCTTTTCTCCCAAGAAGCAGGTGTCTTTTAATTTCGTGGCTGCTGTCACCATCTGCAGTGATCATGGAGCCCAAGAAAGTAAAATCTCTTACTGCCTCCATTTCTTCCCCTTCTATTTGCCAGGAGGTGATGGGACCAGTGGCCATGATCTTCGTTCTAAGAGCTTAGGCTCTTATAGGGCCACAATTCTAGGGGTGAATAATACAGAGGACGCGGGTGGCGCTGTGGTCTAAACCACTGAGCCTCTTGGGCTTGCTGATCAGAAGGTTGGCGGTTCGAATCCCCACGATGGGTTGAGCTCCCATTGCTCTGTCCCAGCTCCTGCCAACCTAGCAGTTCAGAAACATGCCAGTGCGAGTAGATAAATAGATACCGCTGTGGCGGGAAGGTAAACCGTGTTTCCGTGCGCTCTGGTTTCTGTCACGGCGTTCCATTGCGCCAGAGGTGGTTTAGTCATGCTGGCCACATGACCCAGAAAGCTGTCTGTGGACAAACGCTGGCACCCTCTGCCTGAAAGCAAGAGGAGCGCTGCAGCCCCATATTCGCCTTTGACCGGATTTAACCGTTCAGGAGGAGTCCTTTTTAATACAGAGGTAATAGAAGAAGGAAATCCACAACCCTTAGCTGCACGATGAGATCTACTTTGTGCCTGAAATGAAAGGGGTGCCTGCCAGGGAGTCAAATGCCATCTGGGCCAGCTATCTTCTCACAGTCCATGCTTCAGACAGTCTCCCTTCCTCTTTACTATTAACATCACTGCAGAAATGTTCATGCATTTGTATTTCTCCTTTCTCACCTTATTAAGCAAAAATGGGAAACTTGAAGCAGGCAGGGGACCCAATCTGTTTTAGCCGGCCTCTCTTCATTCACTCTGCTGACTCTTCTGTTGCAGGCGGAGACAGTCCTACAGCAGTTCCTCAAGGAGAAGGAGAATGTCAGCAGAGCCATACTGCTAAGTGATAAAGCTCTGTCAAAGAAAGAGAAGGAAATGGCAGGTAAGGGGATGGGAAAGTAGCATGCATGGGGCAGTGGTCAACAATGTGGCTCCCTGGAGGTCTTCCCCTGGGGCCCATGAAGACTCTGGGCCTCCCCACATGCTGCCCACTTCGTCATGAGGTTGTGGGTGTGGTTATCTTTTTACCCCTTGAAAATGACATAGAAGCATGTTGGAAAAAGAGACATTTTCTCCCACTTTCTCTTTCACCTCTGTGTGCTTTTCAAGGCTGATGGTATATGGCTGTATATAAATTTTAATAATAATAATAATAATAATAATAATAGTAATAATAATAATAATAATAATAATAATCATAATCTGCTTACAGAAAGCTTCTGCAGAGGTTTGATTAAATCCCACGTTTGCTGAGCATTCATTGTGATTTGTTTATGACATTGAACATTCATCCTGACTTGCTTGTAGGGTGCTTATACATTTTCCCTTTTACTCATTCACATCCCACAATTTTCAGTTCAATTGCCTGTCACTTTCCTAACAGCAGAAAAAGTTTCTTTTTTAAGTGGAATTCTTGCGCTAGGGCAACAGAATTCATTAATTAACTTGAATGTGCAAACCTAAATTTCCTAGTGTTCACTTGAATCTGTCCCACAAACTACTGCTCTGGAGTATTTATTTATTTCTGCTACTACTTTTCTATTTTCTAGTTGTTTTGGGGCTTCTTACTTTCTCCAAATACAGATATGAACGGTATGCAGGGCCACTGAGCATTAACAAACTTCAAGCAGTAATTCTGGCCCCTTTAATCCTATTTTAGCCAAACCCAAACTCCATAGCAGTCAGTAACCGTAGAACAATATATTGTGGCTCTGCACAAACACCTGCAGTTATTCGTTCTTCCTTTTTTTCATTCCCGGGACAGAGGCGAAGGCAAAGGCTGAAGCTGCGCAGCGAGAGCAGGAGATCCAGAAGCAGAAGCAAGCTGAGCTGGAACAGAAGATGGAGGATCAGAAACGGAGCTACGAGCTGAACATCCGTCAGCTGGAGGAGAAGATGGTGAAAGAAAGGGACAATCTACTGAAAGAGCAGAATATGATGATGGAGAGTAAACTCAGGGTAACTATCACAGGCCCATCTTGGGCCTCTTCTCTATTTGCAACAAGCAAACACAAGAATGCTAGTTTGGGTGGTTCTGGAGTTCTGTGCTTCCTTACAAAATGGATCAAGTCAGGCTCAGGGGAATGTTAGCCCTCTTCCTCACAAGCCCAGGGCCCCTATCTAATTTAGTTAGCAGTGTTTTTCCTGGTCAGGCATCCTTGCAAGACACACTCAGCTGTGGAGTGAAGCTTCTGGGGTTGGAAGGAAGTTCGTCGTGATCTGAGCCATCTCCTTGGCTGTCAAGTGGCACAGACAATGACGTTAAAAACTTAAATTCCATTCAATTAGATGCCTTCTTTAGAACACCAGAAGAAAGCTTTTGCCTTTCGGTTTGGCTGGAAGTATTCTTAAGCACACCGAAAGCCGAATCACACCCCTTTTTTCTTTTGATGTGAATGCTCTCTCTTTTTGCAGGAGCAAGAGGCTTTGCTGAAGGATGGATTTCAGAAAGAAGCAAATCGACTAAATGGGGAGATTAATCAGCTGAGACAACAGGCTGAAAATATCAAGAAGCCATCTTGGTTTGCAGAGATGTTGGGTGGTCTGGTAGATGTCGCCACATGTTTTTTGCCTGGTATTGTCGCCAAACTTTCTGGATCGCTGGCTTCTAACTTTATAAAGCGCTTGTGATCAAGCAGGAAAAGGCCTACAGATCAATTACATTTGTCATGAGACAGTGGTGGTGAAGGCATCCTCTTCTATTTCTCCCCATGTCAGTTTCAGTCTCAGTTTATTGATTAACTTTTCTAGTAAGGCTGTTTCCCATACTACTTGATACCCGTGTTCCATGTTTATTCCTGACAGGTCCCTCCAGTGTCTGCCTATGAAGTTTCTGGCTGCTGAGAGTAGGTGGGCTATGAGCTCTTTATAGTGTGAGTGGGCATTGCTATCTTGGAAGATGTTTAGTAGGGCCAGTTCTGGGGTGACTTCTAGTACCTGTTTAGTTATTTTGCTTCTTTCTTGTATGACTGCTGTCCAGAAGAGTTGGGTTTTGGGGCATTCCCACCACATGTGGAAGTATGTGCCTGTGGAGGTCCAGCCTCTCCAGCATTTTGGCGAGGTTCCTGGGCATATCAGCACCAGTTTCCGTGGTGTTAGGTACCATCTGTATATTGTATATTGTGGATACCATCCCCTTGCCATGTTCTGTTGCTGTTAGGAGAAGGTTTTCGAAGGTGGTCAAGGGCTTAGTAGCTGTTAATTTTACTACTGAATTGTTTAAGAAGGTGTGTAGTTGATGGTGTGTTAGCCAAGGCATTTGGGTGTCCCCTAGTTTAGCTTGTTGTTCCCTGACACACCCACCTATTAATATATTTGCCAGGATTTCCCCACCCTCCCCATCGGAACTGACACTTCCTTTTTCTTCTTCCCTGACGTCTGTATTATGAAGTTAATAAGCAAAAAGGAAGCTGTAAAAAAATTCCACTTGCGAGTGGAAGGCAAGAATGCCTTCCAAAATTGTATTGAAGATGCAGATTGTGTACAGATTTCCTTGAACACCTTAAAATGGTGCTGTATTTGTCAAAGGCAACCTCTTTAGGAAGCCAGTTAGCTACTTGCATGCCTGTTGCCTACGAAGAACTTTTTGCCATACAGTGTCTCAGGTCACACCAAAGCCACTATCACAAAGAAAGCTGCTGTGTTGATGTAGCCTGAGTGCCATATTGCAGTATTAGCAGAGTGATGCTTACCACAGACTTGACCTGAAAATGTGGTTGGGTGCAGATGGTAAGCACATGGAAGCTTACAAATTTGACCGTCACATCTGAGGGTAGGTTTAATCGCTGGATTTGAAATATGCCTGTTTGCTTTGATCTTGTACTGTACACTTCTTCTTGTTGTTTTTTATGTGAATAAACATCTGGCAAAATAATAAAATAATTCTGGAGTCCACAACATTGCATTTTTAATTGTGTGTTTCATTAAATTTTCTTGTGGCGTAGGAGAAGAGGTGGCTTATTTATTTATTCAACTTTTTTCTCCCAAGGAATTCAAGGTGGCATACTCCTCACTGAATCTCCGCAACAGCCCTGTGAGGTTGGTTAGGCTGTGGGAGGCTTTGAATGTCCCATGGTCATCACTCAAGTGTCGTGGTCATGTGGGGATTTGAACCCTGTCTCCCAGGTCGTTGTCCAACCACTCTTAACCACTATGCCAGCCTGGACAAAGATGTACAATATCCACAAAAATGTCATGCTATCTGAATTGGCTTTTTGTAACAGCCCTGTGCCCCAAATCCTACTTATAGGCCCCAGCACCTGTTTTCCAGTCAGTCAGGAGCACAGAGTCTGCTGGAGAAACCTTGGCCTGATAGAAAGTCTCAAATTTCACATGCAGTAGGGCCAGAGTTTGAAACCAGGGTTGACTCCCAATCTGCAAAAGGTGAGAAGGAGTTTCTGCACCAAGGCGAAGTTGAGTTATATCAGGAGCAGCAAAGTGGGAGGGTAAGACATAGGGCTTGTGCACAGCAGCGCAAAAGGTTCTTTAGCTCGTAAGTTTCTTGTTCTAGCCAAAGGCCACGACTAACTTGTATTAGTATTAAGAAAATAATACAGAACATATGTCCATAATATAAAAATTCGTAATATAAAAAATGACTTTGCCAAGTTCCTGAGCGTTAACCTTCTGCATCCCTGACAGCTCCAATTCTGATATTATTTTGCCTTTTTAAAATTCAGTTTGCCAACATCCACTGTACTGGCATTTTCTCCCATTTTGAGATCCTGTTGGTCTGCACCAAATGCGGTTGCCTTATACTCTTCTAGGCTGTAAGTGCTGTGAAGATCAGCAGCTGTCCTCCTCCAATGGGGCTTGGGAGTGGGTGCAAGTGTGCACCTTATCTCTCCTGTGGGCACAGAGTAAGGTTCATGGAGGGTTCAAGGCGTAGGCGGTCCTTGTAGCTGAGCCAAATACATTTCATGTCTCGGGCATGATAATTTGTCAAACTAGGCAGGTGCCTGACAGTTGGCCAAATTCTCATTAAATAACAAAGCGAGGGACAACCCCTTATCCATATGATACATGGTCCTAATTATATCGACAGAGAGTGACGTCTCGTGTCAATTCCTCATTATAAGTTGGCTATATGAGGATGCCCTCACTATACGGATAAACATATAAAGATTTAAAGCTACAATAAGCGTTGAAACCAGGAAGTGCCAATTACTGGCCATATGTGGTAATATATCCAGCAATACATATAATCATTGCTGTGGTTTATTTTTGTCCCACTTTTATTGTGCTATAGCTCCTCCAGGCAGCAATAATGTGGAAGCACTAGGAAGCAGAGCAGAACATATCTGTCACGAATGCACTCTTACAGTGTAGAGAGCACATTGCAGGATACACCCACAAATAAAACACCAGTCAGGGAGGGGGGAACCCGAAGACCCCATATCTGATAAGGTTGACATATTTCAAACTGAAAATCCCGACAGAAAAGTTGTTGAGCTTTTCTTGGCAAAACAAAATGCCGTTTTTGAGCTATTTTTATGGGGAAACGGCACTGTCGACTTAGGTATTCCAGATAAAGTGGTACCTTGGTTTAAGAATAGCTTAGTTTATGAACAACTTGGATCAAGAATGCTGCAAACCTGGAAGTAGGTGTTTTGGTTTGTGAACTTTGCCTTGGAAGCAGAACATGTTGAGTGTGTTCCATTTGGAAACTGAGTTCCCCGCTGCTATGGGAAAGCACACCTTGGTTTAAGAACGCTTTGGTTTAAGAACACACTTCCGAAACGGATTACGTTCGTCAACTAAGGTACCACTATATGTCAGCCAAGTTCACCCTCAATTACCAAATGTTCTGGAAAACTCAAGTTCACATACCAATTTGTGACATTTGGGCTAGCTTAGAGGGACGCGGGTGGCGCTGTGGGTTAAACCACAGAGCCTAGGACTTGCTGATCAGAAGGTTGGCGGTTTGAATCCCCGTGACGGGGTGAGCTCCTGTTGCTCGGTCCCTGCTCCTGTACGCCGGCTCCCTCAGCCAATAAAGCGAGATGAGCGCCGCAACCCCAGAGTCGGCCGCAACTGGACCTAATGGTCAGGGGTCCCTTTACCTTTACTAATAATAGAAGTATTGCCAGGTACATATATTGGCATTTTTCAGAACAGGTATTTGGGCATTTCCCACAAACTATCTCCAGAACCGTTTCTCAGACCTCTGGACTCTCCTTCTTGGAGGTTTTTAAGGAGAGCTTGGATGCCCATCTGCCATGGCTGCTTTAGCGAGATTCCTGCATTGCCGGGGGGGGGGGGTGGATTCGATTATTCTTAATGTTGCTGCCTGAAGTGGAACTGCAAATGGTGCCTTTCCACCACTCAGACCAAAGGCCAATCAAGTTCATTTGGCCCCTCAGGCAGAAAAATCTCACAAATGCCTTTCCCCCACCGTGGAGGGGGGCGAAAGAAAATAGAATTTAAAACGACCTAACCACTCGATCCCCCCCCCCCACTCCCGGGGCAACGCACACAAACGAGTCATTTTGCGAAGGAATTTATTCAGTTTGGGATCAAAGTGCTGCAAGGGGAATTCAGAAAAAAGTCCCTATTTTTGTCTGGAGACGGGAGGGTTCTTCCTCGTCTTCACGCTTGCCAGGGAGATCTATGTCGAGCCGGGCCTGATTTCCTGGAAGAAAAGAGGCAGCCGGGTGCCTGCTTTTACTTTCGATCCTCCGCTATCTCGCCACCCAGACAGACGAATCTCACGTTCCCGCCCACGTTTCTGAACGTGGCTCTGTACAGATTTTGCTGGACTCCTGCCTGTCCCGGCCAGGATAACTAACTGTAAGCGGGGGGGGGGGGGGAATGAACTTCCAAGACCAAAACATGGGGGGGGGGCGCTGGGTTGCAAAAAAAGGGGGGGGATTCTGCTTGGAAATCTCGGCGTCTCTGCCTTGACTTTGGAGCCTCGCCCTCTGCTCCGCCCGCCCGGTGCCACCTTCCATTGGGCTCGGGCTGGCGCTCGTAACCGTCCGAGGCTGAGCTGCTGCGCCGTCCTCGCGAAACGAGCCCGATTTCCTCGGCGTCTCCTTCGAGGTTTTGTTTGCACTTTTCTTGCTGCTGCTGCTGCGGCTAGCGCTGGATCTTTGCAGAGGTGAAATCGCCAGACAGAGAATAAAGGGAGAGGGGCGCTTTCCAAGAAAGAGATCCAGAACTGGTAACCCGAGCCTTCCGGGAAGAAGGTGCTGTCAAGGCGCTGGAATTTGGCCGGGGAGGGTGGGAAAGTGGACGGGGGTGATTTTGTGGGAAAGCAACTGGCAGGCAGGGGAAGGGTTAAGTCAGCCTTTCCGCGCCCCGCCCCCCAATCTTTGCAAGGGCGAAATCGGAAGTGCGCAGTTCTTTAGAAAAGGGTTTAAAGTGAACTTTGCTTTCCCATGCTAATACAGTAAATCTATCAACAGCACCATCTGTGTCTACCCTGAAATGGGCTCCACTGTATTCAGTGGGACTTATTCCCGTGTAAATGTATATGGGAGTAATGTGTAAGCATTCTACACAGTCCTTACTTCTGAATACATACATACATACATATATATATATATAGAGAGAGAGAGAGAGAGAGAGAGAGAGGATTGCACTGGAAGGCTGCAAGCCTGAACACACTTTGTATTCCCTCCTTGAAAGCAGTGGGCCTTACTTCTGAGTAAGCTTTGCAAGGTTCTTGCTGTCAATCTGCAAATCTGATTCACTGGTAGAATTGTATTGGAAGGAAAACCTGGACTCTATAAAAAAAAATGTTTCTGTGTTATGACAGCGCATGCCTCTGATAAAGATCTTAAAACTCCTTCCCTTTTTCTAGTTTGATTTTGTAACATATATCAGATTGGAAGAGTGTATTTTATTGTATTAATCAAATGATATGTTTGACTCATGTACTGTACTTAAAAAAAAAAGGCCTGCATATTGGATCAATTTCCTCCCAAAATCAGTTTAAAAGGTTGTAATTCTATACACAGCCCTCCCGCTAATAGATCAGCAATGTGAAAAAAAAGTTAATTATTTTTAGTGTCGGTACATAAAATAAAAGGTGGCAGTCATTCACCTTCAAAAAATAGGCATTTGCTCTTCTGTCTCTTCTGCTATGATAAAAAGAAGGAAATGTTTTAACTTCCAGCCAACCCAATGTATTTACACTACTGGGCATGGTGCATAGCAACAGGGCCTTCTTAAGTATATCTGACACTGTGGTGCAAAGATCCCTCCAACAAAGATCCCTCCTCTTCTCCAGGCTAAACGGCTAAGGGAGCTGGGCATGTTTAGCCTGGAGAAGAGGAGGTTAAGGGGTGATATGATAGCCATGTTCAAATATATAAAAGGATGTCACATAGAGGAGGGAGAAAGGTTGTTTTCTGCTGCTCCAGAGAAGCGGACACGGAGCAATGGATCCAAACTATAAGAAAGAAGATTCCACCTAAACATTAGGAAGAACTTCCTGACAGTGAGAGCTGTTCTGACAGTGGAATTTGCTGCCAAGGAGTGTGGTGGAGTCTCCTTCTTTGGAGGTCTTTAAGCAGAGGCTTGACAACCATATGTCAGGAGTGCTCTGATGGTGTTTCCTGCTTGGCAGGGGGTTGGACTCGATGGCCCTTGTGGTCTCTTCCAACTCTATGATTCTATGATTCTATGATTCTTCTAAGGAAGAGGCGGAGGCTCCAGGCGGTGCTGCTTCAACAAGATGGGCGAGGGCAGCGAGCTGACGCTGGGAGGCGCCACGTCCAGCCTCAGCCTCTTCCCTGGCGTCCTGCGCCACTAGCCTCTATAGGCAAGACGCCCCTGCATAGCAAGTAACCCCCCCCCCAACACCACCTTTGGCTTTCAGTGTCAGCATCTGATGCTCTAGAACAGGTGTAGACTTGTCACAGCTATCCTGAGAATGGTGATCTGGGCAACGTGATCTGTGCTGTTCCTAACGTCTTGCCCTGCCAAGTCAGGTTTCACTTATTCACTCACTCCAGGGTTTCCAGCTGTTGTTGGACTACAAATCCCATCATCCCCGGCTATTAGGACCAGTGGTCAGGGATGATGGGAACTGTAGTCCCAAAACAGCTGGAGACCCAAGTTTGGGAAATGCTGGCTCACTAATAGGCAGAGACACACTTGAGTTTCCACTGTGTTGTGAGCTTCTCTGTTTTCCTTTTGCAGACCCATCATCTTTTGCACGATGGCCCCAGGGCAGGTCCACATGGCGGCTCCTGTTTGCCTAATTGAGAACATGCCGGACGGGAAGCTGGTGGTGAACCGGGAGGCTGCAGAGGTGCTTGCCAGGATCCGCCAGCCAGTGGTGGTGGTGGCCATTGCAGGGTTGTACCGCACTGGCAAGTCCTATCTCATGAACAGGCTTGCCGGCAAGAGAAAAGGTGACTGGCTTCATGAATAATCCCCGTTATTCAAGGGAAGGGCTGGAGTCTAGTAGCTTTGCATGAGGCCTCTTTGGAGCAGGGGCAGACTTCAATAATATTTTGGCCTCCCTGAGCGAGGCTAAAATTTGGCGCCCCAAAACAGATCTTCTCAATTATGGAGCTTCACAATTTTGCACCCCTTCGGTTCATTGCCCTGTGCAGGGGAACCACTTTCACCACCCTTAATCCAGCACTGTTTGGAGCAAAGCAAGGACGTCTGCTACAGCTGGAATCGGCTTTCAGGGCCCCTGGGTTTTCTGCCTAGCCTAGGGAGAAGCATAGAGACAGAGGAGTAATGGCTGTCGTGGAATATTTATATAGACTTATCAATGTGCATGGTGCATTTCAGATAAAATCGTCAGTAGGTCCCTGCCCTGGGGAGCTTCCAGTCTAAATTTCAACAGGCGAGAGTAATAAGGAGCATCAATATAAGTAAATGGGGTTACACACACTTGGCTTCTTTCCCAACATATCTACTTTGTTTCTTGTGGGATACATATTCTGGGTTTAAGCCAAAATAGCCTAGGGAGTAAAGTGATCTTGCAGCCTGATCCTCAGAAGTGAGCCTCGTTGGGTTCAATGAGGCTAAATCCCAGGGAACTGTGCAAAGGATCAAAGCCTTGGGAGCTCTCATTTTCTTGATGGGAATCATTGTCTGCTCCTTCCTCAGGTTTCTGTCTGGGTACCACAGTGCAGGCGCAGACCAAGGGAATATGGATGTGGTGCCTCCCTCATCCCAAGAGGCCTGACTTCACCCTGGTGTTACTGGACACAGAAGGGTTGGGTGATGTGCAGAAGGTGAGCTGGGGGAGATGGCAGCTGGGGGGGGGGCTGTGGAGGACTAGCACTTTCAAAAGAGCCTCGTGACAAAATACATTGAGCTGGTGGCCAGCAGTGGGGGATGATATCTAAGTGAATTATCTGACATCCCTGTGTCACACGTTTGGGAATGTCTTTGTATCTCAGAAACAGCCGTACCTGGAAGTCAAATGGAATCCTGCACCCAATCGGAAGCTGCGGTCGCCACGCCGGACGTTTGGCTTCCGAAAATAATTAAAAAACCAGAACAATCACTTCCGGTTTTCAATCGTTCGGGAACTGAAACTTTTGAGTTTACAGGTGTTCAGCTTCCAAGGTTCCACTGTAGTAGGAAAAAGTAAGATTCTGGAGGGGAAAAAATCTTTTAAAACCCTATGGCTAATCTTTATTAAAATGTAGAAACTAGAGAGGTCTTGGTGCAGGTGGTCAGTGGATGGGACACTGATGGAAGCCCACAATATTATATTATTATTTCAACCTTCAGAACATTTTATGTATGAATGCATAAAAACAGAGGCAATCAAGGGAGCTTTCAAAATGAATAAGGACACGATATCACTGTTAATCAAGAAATATGATCAAATCTGTAAAAAATATATAATTTTGACAGTCAATACATCGAATTAACACCTGAAAGAGCCAAGATTAAGAACAGAAAAGTAGCAGATAAATTAGAAGCTGCTGCAGAAGAAGATTTATCAGGTGACAGTAAAGGGGGCAGAATAACCAAACTTCTGTGAGTTCAGCATTAGTCCCATAGGAGAAAGGTCCCTTTCTTACTTCATTGCTAGTGAAACATGGGAAGGTAAAGGGTCTGCTCTTGCTTTCCGGGCCACCTAAATAGGACCCATGTCTCTGTGTATGTGTGTGAGAGAGAATCAGACAGGATGCTGCACAGAGAGAAAGCACTATGCCAGAGGTTTTCAACCTTTCTGAGTCCACAGCAACCTTGACCAAGTACATTATTTCTGTGGCACCCTAGTGGGGCTCAGGAGCCCAGTTATGTCATCCCTTGGCCTGCAGAACTGGCAGCCCCACACCCCTTTTCAAACACCCTCCCTTGTAGGAACACCCTCCTTCAGCCTATCTCTTCTGTCTCCTTGGGAGTCCTCTGGGCAGCTGCCGCCCCTGGTCTCTGAGTTGCCCCCTGTCCTCACACTGCCCCACAGGAGCCTGGGAAGGACCCCATGGCCAGTCCCAGAGGCACCATTCGCCTGGGGAGCTTGTAGCCAGGGCTGCTGCAACAAGCAGATGTGCAAGCCTTTAGGAGGCAGAGAAACAAGAGGGCATCAGAGGAGGGAGGGAAGGAAAGAGGGACAGAGGTCAGTGTTGCCCGCAGCACCCCATCATTCAAGGTTGAAAACCACTGCACTATGCAACCCTGTCATGCTGGAAAATTTTGCCAGTACAGTGGTACCTTGGTTTACAACCATAATCCGTTTTGCAGGTCTGTTTGTAAACTAAAACAGGTTGTAATCCAAGGTGCACTTTTGCGAATGGGGCCTCCCCCCCCCAAAATTGTTCGTAATCCGGAAAAAAAACCACGGGTTGTAATCCAAAAAAAGGTTGCAAACCGGAACACGCATTTCCGGGTTTGACGTGTTTGTAATTCAAAACGTATGCAAACCAAGACGTATGCAAACCAAGGTACCATTGTATCTACTTTGGGGTCTAGCTCTGTGCCCTTTTGACAACTTCCCCCAATTGATTTTTGCTGTGGGTCAGCAGTTCTTCATAGTCAAAAAGGTTCCTTACACTTACCTTAGGGGCTAGAAGCTGGCTTCGACATTTAAAGTAAAAATGTGCTTGATTCCTGTGCCCAGTACCAAATTCTGATACAAGCCCACTTTGTGGGCTGTGTGCAGGGTTGAGTGGCACGATATACACAGTAATATAAAATAAATAAATATGCTTTAGCTCTTCCTGGGGCACATGCCCACAATTGTGAAATGCGCACAACTGCTAAGCACCACAAGCCTTCCAAACGCAGTCTGAACAACTGCGAGCAAGTCACGGTTTGCATTCATTTTAGACAACGACTTCGCCTAGTGCAACAGAAGCAACAACTCAAATCTCAAAGCAGCTGCTTTGCACATGCAGGTCCCAGAGGAAAAAGCTGCAGATAAGAATGGGGCATCAGGATTTTGGGTATCAGAGGCTTGGGATGAGAAGTCTTAAAAAAAATATATGGCTGTATCTGTTTCAGGGAGGCATAGAGAATGATTCATGGGTCTTTGCCCTGGCCATTCTTCTCAGCAGCACCCTGGTGTATAACAGCATGGGCACCATTGACGAAACGGCCGTGGAGAAGCTCCAGTATCCTTTTGGGGGCACCATCAGTTCCAACCAGCCCCACAACATTGGGAAGGCAGAACCACGTGGCAGCTGGATGTCTGTGTAGGACAGCACTTCCTGGGGGGAGAAAGCTTTTGGTGTAGTCGCAAGTGGAGCAAACCTTCCCTTTCCAGGTCTGCCTTGGAACACAAAGTGCTGGTGGAGTGCGGGGTGGGGGGGCAAGGAAACATGCAGGGCATGTAGCTGATGGGGGTGGGGCAGGCAGCCTGCCAGGGATCAGGTGAGCAGGTCACTGGGGCAGAGCAGGGATGGGGAGCCTGTGGTCTTCCAGGTGTTGGTGGACTCCAACTCCCATCAGCCCCAGGATGGGAGTTGTTTGCTCAGCCACATCTGGAGGGCCAAATGTCCACCCATCCCTGGGTTTGTGCTTTCGGAATGAATAGATGAGGGTCAGACCACCCATGAACTCAACTGGATAGTTGAGTATAGGGTCCTCATTCTCCACAAAAAAACCCCACCACAAGCACCTGCCTGGTGTCCCAATCCAGAACAGGACTTCAGTACGGAGGAGCCAAGGGCTTTAACCGGTTACCCCTGCTGTGGTCCTGATTCAGATTGGATCAGGATCTGGGTGCGAAAAGCCTGGAAAAGAGGAGACCGAGAGGAGATACTAAAGCCATCTTCAGATCTCTCAAGGGCTGTCACACGGAAGAGGGGACAACCTTGTTTTCTCCGGCTCCAGAGGCTAGGACCCGAACCAGTGGATTCAGGTTACAAGAAAGGAGATTCCGACTTAACATCAGGAAGAACTTTCTGTCTGTCAGAGCTCTTTGACAGTGGAACGGTCTCCCTCACGAGGTTGTAGACTCTCCTTCCTTGGATGTTTTTAAGCATCTGTCATGCATTTAGCTGAGTTTCCTGCATTGCAGGGGGTTGGACTAGATGACCCTTGGGGTCCCTCCCAGCTCAATGATTCTATGATTCTATGGCATATCACAATTTGCATGGCAAAAAGGCACCATTGAAATGACTTGGATCTTTGCCCCACTTTATTTTGCAGTGCTTATTGCAGGTATGAGGCTCCTGGTCAAGACTGGGATTGCAGGGAGAGCAAAGGGTTAAATGTCTCCTGTCCCAGGATCCTGATCTGTATCTCTCACACTGCACTGACAATTTGTGTGTGAGTGGCACACCTTGCATTAAATGGCAGGGCTACAGAGTTAAGGTCATGTAGTTTCACCTTCAGCTGCAGTTCCTGTTGGGAACTCCCTGAAGTGTGCTTCACTGGCAGGCAGCTAAATAAGGGCATCTAGGAACCCTGGAAGCAAGCAGGAATGGGAATGGGCCCTAATGTGTAAAGCAAGATATGCCAGGAGGGGTTAGGGCCAGGTTCAGCCGTAAAGCCTTGCCCAGCCCACTACTGTGTGCCCACAGTGAGGAAATCACAGGTAGAGACACAAACCGTTCCAGCCAATGCATGACTTGGGAGAAGTTCAGATTGCAAACCCCCATGATAACCTTGCAGTCCTTTTCCTTAGCAAGCCCCAGCTATGTTACTGAGCTGACAAAAGCAATCAGAGCAAAATATCCCTCCGGGGATGGCCAAGAAGAGGAGAATTTCACCGAATTTGGCCGATTCTTCCCAGACTTCATCTGGGCCTTGCGGGATTTCACACTGCAGCTGCAGCTAAACGGACGCCCTATCAGTGCAGACAAGTACCTGGAGAATGCCTTGAGATTTCTGCAAGGTGCGGTAGCCGAAACCAAATGCAACATCAGGACAGATCCTTCCTTGACCCTTCTTGTTTCCACTTACCTCCTTCTAATTGATTTGAGTTTTCTGTTCAGCAGGGAGATTTTGTTTTATTTTGAAAGGTGTTCTGGGCATCACTACCTGCTGATGACAGAGTATGCTTGCCGGGGTTGCTGGGATTAGTAGTTCTGCAACATCTGGAAGGCCACAGATCCCCTACACCTGGATTAGAGAAACCAAATGACACCTGCAGACTGTCACTGTTTTGCAAGAGGTGCATTCTGGAACTTTAGGTCGGCACAATACTAACAAAGAACTGCACCGCCCCCCATACCTACACCCCTTCTTCGTCTTTTCTCCTAGGTGATGCTGAGCACATCCAGAAGCACAACATGGTCAGATCATGCATCCACAGTTTCTTTCCTTCACGGAAATGTTTCATATTTGACCGTCCAACTAACAGGAAGAAGTTGCATCTGCTGGAGGAACTGAAAGAAGAGGATTTGGAGGAAGATTTCTTGGTACCAGTGGCTCATTTCTGCCAACACATCTGGGAGACATCGCGACCCAAGATGATCCCAGGAGACCGAGTTGTGACTGGAACGAGTAAGGAAGCTCCAGCAAAATTGTAGGCTTGGGGGATGGAGGAAGCTTTCTTTCATTGAAGCCATAAGGAGCAGTGTATTGACTGTGCTGCAATGTCACAGAGGTCTTAATTTGTGCTCTTCAACCCTTTCGTGTTGGTCAATTACCTGTATTGCACTTTGAATCAAGCCCAATATAGCTTTGCCCAGCTTTGTTATGGTATCAATAACAGCTGTCAAACTGGTGGTGGAGGGACCCTTTGTCACCAGAGCAACATGAAGGTGTAATGAGCTGTTGGCCTGACCATTGTAGATGGCTGAAGTTAGCAGTCCAGCAGGCATCAGGTGCATAGCTGTCAACCGCCCCTTATTTGGTGGGAAAGTCCCTTATCCCAGCGCTGTGTCCCGCTGCTGTTCCTTATTGATGATGTCCCTTGAATTTCCTGGGTTTCAAAGGAAGCAGCTCCTCTCCCTTCCTTCCTGCCGGCCAGAGAGGAGGGAGGCTCCAACTGTGTTGCTTGGCTGCGTTGCTCACCCAATAAGGAGTCTAAGAATGACTGGAGGGTGGAGCTTGCATGCCTTGTGCCGATCAAATCGGCCGCGTTGCCTGGGGACTCTCCTTTGCTCAGCGCTTCCCAGCGGAGAGGTGAGGGTGGTTTTCCTTGCTGCATCCCCTTTGCCGGGTTGCTGTGCTGTGGGAACCACTGCTTGAGGCTTCGTTTGGCTGCTGGCTGGGCTTTCTGCCTTTGGCTCGGAGGGGCTCAGAAGTTGAACATACCTGTGCTTGGAAAATCCCTTATTTTGGCTGCTGATCCCTTATTTGCGAGGCTGCTGGTCCCTTATTTTCAAATCTGTAAGTTGACAGCTATGATCAGATAACATCAAAAACCAATGGGGTTCCCCCCTCCAACCATATGAAGTTGCTGATTCTGCCTTGGCCCACTTGATTGCCTGCTGAAAGCACCTTTGCCAGCAGGTGAAAAAGAGTGGAGAGATGAGAAACAAAGGAAAGTTGAAATGGACAGATTCGCTAATCCCAAATGATGAGTTGTTTTGTTATACTGTTGCCTTGTCATTTGGAAATGGTCAGTCTGCTGCAGCACCCTCTAACCTGCTCTTTGTTCCTAGGGCAGGGGTGGGGAATCTGTGGCCCCCCCAAATCCTCAGTCAGCATGGCCAATGGCCAAGCGTGATGGAGTTTCAGTCCAGCAACACCTGGAGGGTCACAGGTTCCCCATTCTGCAACAAGAACACGCAAATTCTGTTGCATAAATTATGCAAATCAAATGAATTGGTTTGTTTTTCATTATTTATTCTGCTTTCAGTTTAGGTTTTAAATTTTTTTTAAGAGTTTCAATTTTAAGGGAGGCACAAAGGGCAAGAACCAGAGTCCAGCACAGAGGGATCAAATTAGGACTGAGATTTATAGGGGACGGGGATTAGAGCAGAGCAAAGTAACTATGAGAGATGGTGATTGAATGGTGGTCCTCATCCCCCTCTGCTTTTTCACATCTTCAAGCTCTTATTTGTAGCTAGGAAGGCTAAAGCCCTTCTTCTGAAAACGAATGGGATTACTTCATACTACGTTAGGTGCAAGATCCTGATCCTGTTCTTGCATGACACAAGAGATACAGAATACTTGGTCCTCACTCTCTTGATGATGTGGGCGGACACTTCAAGGCAGTTTGGGTCTGCAAATTCTTTCTCAACGTAAGGCGGTTAATCAAGCCGTGCATTCCACGTCTATTACCTCTGATTCTTTGACTTCAACAATCTTTCCCTTTTCAGTGCTCGCAAGCCTGGCAAAGACCTATGTCAATGCCATCAACAGTGGGGACGTGCCCTGCTTGCAAAACGCAGTGCTGGCCTTGTCCCAGATCGAGAATTCGGCTGCTGTGCATGACGCCATTTCCTGTTATGAAGAACGGATGCAGCAGCTGCTGCAGCTGCCGACTGACACTCTTGAAGAGCTGCTGAGGGCACATGCCAAGTGTGAGAGGGAGGCCATTGACATCTTCATAGCCCGTGCCTTTGGGGACAACGTTAAACAATTTCAAGAGGAGCTTGAGGTGTGTTCTCTTTAGTGCCTTGTCAGCTGCCTGCACTTTAGCCCATGCCCATTTATTTATTTAATATGCTTATACATCACTTTTGGTCACACACGACCTCGAAACAGTTTACATAAAAATTAAGCGTTATCATTAAAAATCACAACAGAAGATCAGTGACACAAACAGTAAAACCACAAAAATCGGTGCTATAAAACAAATGTTTAATGTTTTACTGTGACTTCGTAATTGTTGGAAGTTGCCCAGAAGTGGTTACTGTAGATGGGTGGCATATAAGTAAAAAATTATTATTTATTGCAGTTGCAGACAGTTCCCACATTTTGGGGGGTGTGTGTGTCTTGACATAACTATTTCAATTAAGTCAATCTCACACTGATTGACTTTTGTAATGGAAACAACAACAGGACCCCTCCCATCTGACCAGGTTTCCCCGACCACTCTGGGTAGCTTCTAACAAATATAAAAACGTATTAGTATGTGGCCTTACTATGTCTTCCCATTGTATAGTACACTGGGGAGGAAACTTTTCATCATTGCTAACGTGTTATCTTTCTGCTGCTTTGTTCTGTTTTCGTCCGGTAGAATAAGTTGAATCAGAAAAAGAAGGCATTCTGCAAAAGAAATGAGAAGGTGTCTTTGGACTACTGCCGTGATGTGCTGCGCTTTCTTTCCTGGGACCTGGTATATGAGATCCAGGAGGGGATTTACGCAGTGCCTGAAGGCTATAAGCACTTCCTTGCCAAGATGAACAAAATAAAGGAGAACTACGATGCATTTGATGGAAAAGGGGTTCAGGTAGGACAGGAGGAGAAGCACTTCTGTGACACTCAGAGGGTGGGGATCCTGTTGCTGACTGAGGGCAGACTTACAGTGCAATCTAATGCATGATTACTTGGGAGTATGTCCCACTGAATTCACCAGTTGGGGGTAAAGATGCAAAGGTACTAAACTGGTTGAAGAGGAATCCTCTCATTGCAGGATTGATAGCAATCACAAATGTGTCTGAAAATTGTCCCCTTTTTAGTGAGGGATGCGGGTGGCGCTGTGGGTTAAACCACAGAGCCTAGGGCTTGTTGATCAGAAGGTCGGCGGTTAGAATCCCTGTGACGCGGTGAGCTCCCGTTGCTTGGTCCCAGCTCCTGCCCACCTAGCAGTTCGAAAGCACGTCAAAGTGCAAGTAGATAAATAGGTACCGCTCCGGCGGGAAGGTAAACGGTGTTTCCGTGCGCTGCTCTGGTTCGCCAGAAGAGGCTGAGTCATGCTGGCCACATGACCCGGAAGCTGTACGCCGGCTCCCTCGGCCAATAAAGCGAGATGAGCGCCGCAACCCCAGAGTCGGCCATAACTGGACCTAATGGTTAGGGGTCCTTTAGTGAGTTTTACAAGTACTCTGAAACATTTTTAATGCCGATCCACATTTTATTTACTTTTTTCAATTATTATTGTTAGGATCGTCCTACTCGTGTGTAGGACCCTGGCAGAGACACTTGCCCAACTGGCATGTTCTCTCCCTCCTGGTCGATCATTCGGGAGCTTCAAAAGCTTTCTTCAGCAAGAACATCACAGCGACTGATACCAAGAAGCATCAGCGCACTCAGGGATCCTGCAGAGTATTTGCAGTTTGCGTAACAGAACTCAGTAGCACAGCATTTTGGCTAATCTACTTCATTTACATATAATACACTCGGAGCATTCTGCTTTAGCTCCTTCCTCTTTCTCATCAGACAGCAAAGAGAAAGAACAAAGGACACTTCACGGAACACAGTAATACCAAAACATCCTATCTCCGTCACTTCCCACACTGTGGAATGAAAACATACACTGTCATGTAATAGACAACAATCTCATGACTGCAAACACAGGGCAAGAATCCTAACAGTTATATCACTGGTGGTTTTTTTTTTTTACTGTTCTTTTCTGGCTCATTTTAAGGGATATATTTGTTTTTAGTTGTGATGATTTCTCTCCGTTACCTTGTGAGGACTTCTGTTCTAAAAGGCTGGATATATATCTTTCAATGAGTAAACAACATCAGTTTCTCAGCGTGTCAATAAACTACTCGCTTACTTCATATACTACCTTTGGGTCTTTAATCCCAACAGGACAGCATATTCAGTTTCCTCATCTTTTGGCAAAATTAATAACATTTGCTCCCAATGTATTATCAGGCAGACAGAGCTCTTGAAGAATTCCTGAAATCCAAGGAGACGGTGGCAAAATCTATCCTTCACATGGACGATGCCTTGAGTGACAAAGAGAAAGAAATTGAAGGTACAGATTTGGGCAAACAGAAGCACTATATTATAATTTATGAATGCCACAGATTAAATGCCACTGTAAGTGTGGGGACACCACAGATTTTAATTGGTATCTAGAAGATAACAGCATGGTGATGTTCTAAAGCAGGGTTTCCCTGCTGCTTTTGGACTACAACTCCCATCATCCCTAGTTAGCAGGACCAGTGGTTACAATTATGGGAATTGTAGTCCAGAACCAGCTGGAAACCCAAGTTTGGGACCCTGTTCAAAAGTCCAGATTAGGGTTTCCCCAAACCCTGAGTTCACTGACACCTTGATGAGTTTATAAAGTTGTAATTGACTGCTTCTTAGGAATGTAAATGAGGGGAAAGTGCAGTGTGGGTGTCAGATGCTGATGATGGTTGCTCGTGTCTAACCAGGCAGGACACCAACCTATCTTTTACAGGTTTTATTGTGCAAACTATTTACAGTGCAGATGTACAAAGTTCATGTCTGTCTTAGTCACTTGCAGAATCCGGGAACGGCCCCTTCCGGCTTCTCCCCCAACGTAAGAACTTTGGCACCCCAAGCCTCCTCCTGCCCTCCTTGCCTTTCACCCCTCTGCACAGGCTGAGCGATGGAAGTGGTGTGTGTCCCTCCTGGCCAGCCTGGCGAGGTGAGGAGCTGGGGCTCTCAGCAGCACCCTTTCCTCGCTTGGCTGGCCCCTTCCCTCTCTTCTCTACTGGAGGTGTGGCTTTTCCCACCACTGGAAGAGGAACTGCTCCTCAGGAGCTTCGGAGGCTCTCTGTATCCCAACAGCCGCCCTGCCTCCCTCCCCTGTTCCGATGGCAGTCCCCTGACAGTGGGGATTATTTCTTCGATGCTGCAAAAACAATTATTTAAAAAGTGAAACACTGCGCCTATGCACCATAGAATCATAGAGTTGGAAGAGACCACAAGGGCCATCGGGTCCAACCCCCTGCCAAGCAGGAAACACCATCAGAGCACTCCTGACATATGGTTGTCAAGCCTCTGCTTAAAGACCTCCAAAGAAGGAGACTCCACCACACTCCTTGGCAGCAAATTCCACTGTCGAACAGCTCTTACTGTCAGGAAGTTCTTCCTAATGTTTAGGTGGAATCTTCTTTCTTGTAGTTTGGATCCATTGCTCCGTGTCCGCTTCTCTGGAGCAGCAGAAAACAACCTTTCTCCCTCCTCTATGTGACATCCTTTTATATATTTGAACATGGCTATCATATCACCCCTTAACCTCCTCTTCTCCAGGCTAAACATGCCCAGCTCCCTTAGCCGTTCCTCCTAAGGCATCGTTTCCAGGCCTTTGACCATTTTGGTTGCCCTCCTCTGGACATGTTCCAGTTTGTCAGTGTCCTTCTTGAACTGTGGTGCCCAGAACTGGACACAGTACTCCAGGTGAGGTCTGACCAGAGAATACAGTGGCCCTATTACTTCCCTTGATCTAGATGCTAAACTCCTATTGATGCGGCCCAGAATTGCATTGGCTTTTTTAGCTGCCGCGTCACACTGTTGGCTCATGTCAAGTTTGTGGTCAACCAAGTCCCCCGTCTTGTATTTGTGCCTCTCATTTTTTTTTGCCCAAGTGCAATACTTTACATTTCTCCCTGTTAAAATTCATCTTGTTTGTTTTTGCCCAGTTCTCTAATCTGTCAAGGTCGTTTTGAAGTGTGATCCTTTTAGCAATAATGCAGCGTGCTCTGAGAATACTATTGTATTGTGGAACCATCTTATTAAATTCAGGGGTTCCTCGCTGGCAAGGAAGGTGGACCCTGTACCCATGCCCTTTATTTCTAGGGATAATAATTCCTATTTATTTTTTCTATACCTTGTAAACCTCATGTGTTTTCCTAGTCCCTTTTCTACCACCTTTCTGCCCCTTGGTCTTTATTTACCTGCTGCACATTCCTGTCGATCCCAGGGGATTAACATCTGCCACTTGGGGAAATCTTGGCCTAGATCCACCAGTGCAATGGCAAGCCCCAGAGGGAGGCCTGAGCAGATGATTATAGCGCACACGGCCAGCCAAATTCATATGAGCGTAGAGGGTTCCTCCAGATTATTCACCTTGGATGCTTGATCTGACTGCCAGCAAATCACTGCCTCTGTTTCTTCCCTGGACCACAGTCCAGCGTGCTCAGGTTGAAGCAACCCAGCTGCAACAGAAGCTTTTGGAGCAGGAGCTGGCCAACCTGGAGCAAATGATGGAGGATAAGAAGCGACATAATGAGGAAGGCATCCAGCGGCTGAAGGAGGAGTGGGAGGAAGAGATGAAGAAGATGAAAGAGGAGGCTGAAAGGAGAAAGAGGGATTTCCGCAAGGTAATGAGAGGAATGCATGGCACTGTATTTACATTTACATTGTCACTGTTGTTTTAATTTCATTTTTGTATTGCTCCCTTGTATTCATGGATGCATATTTGTACTTATCTTCACACTGATTTGAAGCAACTTTGTGTCCTTCCAAAAAGAGACTCCTGGGGGGCTGGAGGGACATTGCTGGAACACCTCTTGGGTTGGGGCAGTTGGCTAAAATGTTTTAAACGATTCCAATTTTGGTTTCTCTGTTTTGTTTTTGTCGGGTTGATGTTGGTTAAATGTTTTGTTGGGATTGGCGGTTATTTTAATTTGGGTATAACTGTAAACTGTTTATTATTGTTATTATTATTATTATTATTATTGATTTATTGGTTTGTTTGTTGCCCATGTAGGATATTTTGTTTTTTAATATTTGATGCTTCGTTGTGTTTTTATATATGTTGTAAGCCACCCAGAGTGGCTGAGGAAACCCAGCAAGATGGGTGGGATATAAAATTTATAATAAAAATAATCATCATCATCATCTCCAGCTAGGATAAAGTGTTTTCAGGGAGCCCCTCTCCAGCATGCTGGGAAATGCATGTTTATTTTGTAACCAAAGGCAACGTGGGCCTTGTGACCCAAGACAGGCCTGATTCCACCGTGAGTTTGTATCTGTTGCCCTCACTCATCTGTTTTCTTAGTTGAACAATGACTGTGTGCTCCTTGTCTCTCTAGGGGCTGCTAAGACAGAGGTTTTTGCTGATGGCCATGGAAACAGAAGTGGAGCTCCTAAGTCTCAAGGTATAAAGGAACAATACCTCAGAGCTTATGCTTACTACAGAAGCTGTCCACAGTGGAGTTTTGAGGACCAAATAAAGAGGCCTGGAAGTCAGGACATAACCGCAAGGCTGGACAATTGGAAACTTCAAACTAGTGCAGGTTATGGCAGCCTGCTTGTTGACTGGCACGAGCTGTTGAATACCACATTGCCTGTTTTGAACCATCTGCACTGCGTGAAGTATCATTTCTGCAATCACTTCGAAGTGCTGATTATTACTTTTGAAAGGTGATCAGCCTGGTTTCCTCAAGGAATGTCTCCTCCCATATGAGCCTCCCTCATAGAAAGAACTTACAACAATGGCTTGGTCCAGCTTCTGTCTAATGAGGAAGTCATAAGAGGAACTGCTTTCCAAGAAATGGTTCTACTGTCACAGTCTTCCTGCTGGCTAAATAAGAAAAGAAAAGCAATAACCCTGTTTATTTCAGCTGGCCTGTGCTGTTTTGTGTTTCTTTCTCTTATTGTCCAGCTTCAATGGGGCACTGTGTTGTTGTTGTTGTTGTTGTTGTTGTATTTTAAATCTGTAAACCACTGTGATATAGTTTATGAACAGATATATGTAAATTTCAAATAAAATAAATGTGCAGTCCTGAGTGTGTCTATTCTGAAGTCGTATTAATTTCAGCAGAGTTACTCTCAAGTAAGTATGCATAGGACAGGCTGCATTCTTACACCATATATCATAACACTGAATTCATACCATGGTTGGCTAGGGGAGCATTCACACAATACATATATATATCATTATGTGTTAGTTTACCTTGTTGAAAATGCAGATTTCTGTTTAAACATAGCTCTTCTCTTGATAGGAACACCTGGGAATTTCCTTTTAGTTTTTATCATGTTTATGTCCCCTCTTTTCATGCATTGACGGATGTTTTAAATACATCGCTGTAGTACTTGTCATACTGCCACTAGTTGTCACTATAGTACTCCCCGCACAGCTAACAGCGACTGCAGCAGCAATTTGTGAGGAAGGGGAAGGAGACATTTTTTGGGGAAGGAAACCCATCATTCTTTAAATCCCTGTGGTTCCAGTTTGATGGGACCAGACAAACTAGAACAACAGGCCCAGTTTACTGAGAACTTCTTTTTTTTATTATTATTAATTGCATTTTCAAAAACAGGAATAGAGAGCATATTTAACCCCCTCCCTCTGTCCCACTTACAACTTGTACCAAACACAGCATGTATACTAATACCAAATGCCTTCCCTTCCACGCTTTTCCTGGTTTGTTTGCTTTTCTACTACTCTGCGTAATCCACATCATTTTTAATTATCCAATTTGTTATCTATTAAAAACTCTTTATCTCTGCTGGATTTAGTTCACTGAGAACTTCTTGAGTGCAGCGGGCTAGCAAATGGAGAAGCATTCATGGCTGCTTTGATTTCTAATGTGCACAAGAAATTTCACAACCTTAAACATGACAAAATTAAGAGCTAAGAAACAGAGAATTAGAGAGAGACTGGGTTGCTTTGGGTTTGTTTTTATTTTCCCCACATCTTCCAATTTGGGCAGTAGGATTATCCTGTTGGTTCTAATGGGCCTCCTGTTTCTTGAGAAGGCAGTTAGCAATCTGTGCAAACCTGTGAACATTTACCATCTCCTAACAAGCTTGCTGGGACACGGGTGGCACTGTGGGTTAAACCACAGAGCCTAGGACTTGCTGATCAGAAGGTCGATGGTTCAAATCCCCATGACGGGGTGAGCTCCCGTTGCTCAGTCCCTGCTCCTGCCAACCTAGCAGTTCAAAAACACGTCAAAGTGCAAGTAGATAAACAGGTACCGCTCCGGCAGGAAGGTAAACGGCGTTTCCGTGCACTGCTCTGGTTCGCCAGAAGCGGCTTAGTCATGCTGGCCACGTGACCCGGAAGCTGTACGCCAGCTCCCTCGGGCAATAAAAGCGAGATGAGCACCGCAACCCCAGAGTCGGTCATGACTAGACTTAATGGTCAGGGGTCCCTTTACCTTTACCAAACTTAAAACCATGGAGATGCCTGGTCTGAATAGAGACATTGGATTCTTATCTCATTATACATCTCACCCCTTGCTTTTTCCTGTAAGACCAATTGCAGTCGTTAACAGTCGTCAACAGGTTTACAACACCTATCGGCCAATCACCCATTCCCACCACCCTTCTGAGTAATACCCCTCCCCACCCTCTCATTATATATAAGGGTCTGGTGACTTCTGTTTCAGTGTACTGTATCTGAAGAAGTGTGCACGCACACGAAAGCTCATACCAATAACAAACTTAGCCGGTCTCTACGGTGCTACTGTTGCCTTTGTCCATGGAGTTTGTCCATGCGAAAGGCTGGGCTGGATGAATCCCAAGCCGGAATTAAGATAGACGGAAGAAAAATCAACAACCTCAGATATGCAGATGACACAACCTTGATGGCAGAAAGTGAGGAGGAATTAAATAACTTTTTAATGAAGGTGAAAGAGGAGAGCGCAAAATATGGTCTGAAGCTCAACATCAAAAAAATGAAGATCATGGCCACTGGGCCCATCACCTCCTGGCAAATAGAAGGGGAAGAAATGGAGGCAGTGAGAGATTTTACTTTCTTGGGCTCCATGATCACTGCAGATGGTGAAAGCAGTCACGAAATTAAAAGACACCTGCTCCTTGGGAGAAAGGCTATGGCAAACCTAAACAGCATCTTAAAAAGCAGAGACATCACCCTGCCAACAAAGGTCCGTATAATTAAAGCCATGGTTTTCCCAGTAGTGATGTATGGAAGTGAGAGCTGGACCATAAAGAAGGCTGATCGCCGAAGAATTGATGCTTTTGAATTATGGTGCTGGAGGAGACTCTTGAGAGTCCCATGGACTGCAAGAAGATCAAACGCATCCATTCTTAAGGAAATTAGCCCTGAGTGCTCACTGGAAGGACAGATCGTGAAGCTGAGGCTCCAGTACTTTGGCCACCTCATGAGAAGAGAAGACTCCCTGGAAAAGACCCTGATGTTGGGGAAAATGGAGGGCACAAGGAGAAGGGGACGACAGAGGACGAGATGGTTGGACAGTGTTCTCGAAGCTACCAGCATGAGTCTGACCAAACTGCGGGAGGCAGTGGAAGACAGGAGTGCCTGGCGTGCTCTGGTCCATGGGGTCACGAAGGGTCGGACACGACTGAACGACTAAACAACAACAAAGCCACTTCTGGCCTGCCCAGGAGGTGGGGTTGCGGGCTTCACGCCCACCCCCACGTGAGCGGGGGGTGGTTTCAGCCCCTGCGAGAACAGGGGCCGCGTGGCCTGCCCTATTTAGGGCCGGCGCAGAGGGGGCTCGCCCTCTTTTCGCCGGCTAGCCCCCACGTTTTGGTTAGGTTTGTATTTGGGGGGTTAGAAGTGGTTTTCTTCTTGCTTACCTTGTTCCTTTAGGTGAATCTTTTGCAGGTTTTGAACAGCGTTTGGACCTTTTTCCTGGGTGCCTTCCGCGACTGGGCTGACCATTGGTAAGAAGGGGTTAAGAGGATGTGTGTGGGGGGGGAGGAACGCCATCACCTCCCCCCCCCCAGCGAAGGGTGGTCCATTAAAGGACTGGGGGGGGCGTGGCCCTGTCCGAAGCCTATGGAGGTGTGGGCCAAAGGCTCGCCCCGAGCGGTGACCCAGGGGAGCTCCTAGCTCAGCAGGATGCCTCAGCAGGAGACTCCCCCATATAGTGTTAACCCTTCCCCGTGTCTCCAGCAAATGGGCTGGAGCCGGATAGTCGATAGGACCAATGCCTAAGCCAATGCCTCTCATTCCTGAATTCAATAAAGTTGTGGCCTAATTCGCCCATTTAACCTTAAACTACGGTGTCTCGTGTCTTTATTTATCCTGGTGGGGGGCGGGAACTCGACACGCAACACGGTGCTACTGGAAGGATTCCCACCCACCCCCATTGCTTAATTCCACCTGCCTTTCTATTTGCTCGTTTCCCAGAATCGCGCTCCTTTCAGAGAAAGAGGGGCGGAGGCCGGGCACTTTCGCTTTCGGTCCTCGCATATTTTGAAGCGTCGCCAGGGCAATAAAGGAGGCTGATTGGTCGCGACGACCTCCCATTTCCTGGAAGGGCAGCTGGGGCGCTACAAGAGCTTTCGAGCCACAGAAGCGTCTCGCAATTCCTGAGTTCTTGCTCTTACCCTGAAGGCGAGGCTTGAGCTTCTCCTGCTGTCTCCGCTGGGAACTCCGAGCAAGGCTCTCTCCCTCTTCCTGCCGGCCTGCCAGCTCGTCTGCAAGAGAGAACCCGCAACAATCGAGTCCGGTCCAGACCCATCCTCCCGAGGCCCGTCCCTGCAAAAAGAAAACAACACCAAAAAGTAAGAAACGGCAACTTCGCGATGTCGCTGTTGTTGTTAACCCCTAGCGCTCCTTTCTTTTTGCAAGGTAAACACGGCGCGGGAATCTTAGCCAGGAGCAAAAGCAGCCGAGGGAGTGTAGGAACCAATTCCGAGGGGGTCTTTGCGCCCCCCATAAAATATTTGACCCCCCCCACCCCAAGTTGATAGGCATTGTCACTCAAATGGGGTGCGTGCACCGTGTCATGTGATCGATTATGCGGGGCGGAGCTTACCGGGGCCGCCCCAATATTTTATTCAAGTTTTGGCACACCTGCGAGGAAGGGAATCCTAGCAGCGGGGAGGGGGCTGGCAAGGAAAGGGTTAATCAAACACGCAAGTCCCGTGTCGTCGTCGTCCCCCCCCCCCCGCACTGACCTTTGCAGTGGAGACTTTTGCTTTCGTGGCTGCAGCGTGCAGCTAGAACTTTTGCTTCAAAAGATGCCGATAGTAGAAATAATACATGGCGCTTGCAACAGAGGCATGGGAGGGGCGGAAATTAAAATGTCAGCACACCATTCAATGGGGAGGGGGGCAGTTCTGCCGGCTTCGCATCAGTTGCGATAAAATGAAAGCCATAGGTGTGGTGCTGGGAGGCGAATGGTGACAGCAGGGACAAAGTCTATTTCCAGGTCTGCATGAAAGAAAAATGACAGCTTCTAGGACAGACTTGTCACAACTATCCTGAGAATGTCCAACTGGGTAACTTTCAGGTGCCAGAAAATATCTAGGATCCCAGGGAGGCGAAGCTGAATCGTGATTTGTGCCCTTCCTGAACTCTTTTTCCAGTCAAGTTTCACTCATTCACATGCTCACTGGCAGAGAGAAACTTGAATTGAATTGGACTACAACTCCCATCATCCCTAGCTAGCAGGAGCAGTGGTCAGGGATGATGGGAACTGTAGTCCCAAAACAGCTGGAGACCCAAGTTTGGGAAACACTGACGCACTAATAGGCAGAGACACACTTAGTTTCCATTGTGTTGTGAGCTTCTCTGTTTTCCTTTTGCAGACCCATCATCTTTTGCACGATGGCCCCAGGGCAGGTCCACATGTCGGCTCCTGTTTGCCTAATTGAGAACATGCCAGATGGGAAGCTTGTGGTGAACCGGGAGGCTGCAGAGGTGCTTGCCAGGATCCGCCAGCCAGTGGTGGTGGTGGCCATTGCGGGGTTGTACCGCACTGGCAAGTCCTATCTCATGAACAGGCTTGCCGGCAAGAGAAAAGGTGACTGGCTTCATGAATATTCCCCGTTACTCAAGGGAAGGCCTGGAGTCTAGTAGCTTCGCATGAGGAGTAAGGCAGTGGTGTCTGGTGTGTCTGGAATGGGGTATCAGAGCCCCTGTGTTTTCTGCCTAGCCTGGGAAGAAGCATGGAGGAAGAGGTGTAAATTAATATTTATACAGAACCAGAGGGGAGATAGGACTTTGAGGCAGAGGTTTGGGGTCCCCACTCAGCAGAATTCACAGGAGGATCCGGAAATACGGCAGGTTATTTTTTATTATATATATATCCCGAGTTTCCTCCAAGGAGCTCCAGGTGGTATTCAGTTTTCCCCATATACATTTTATGCTCACAGCAACCCTGTGAGGTAGGTTCAGCTGAGAGACAGCAACTAGGGTAGGCAACATAAGGCCCGTGGGCCAGATGCGGCCCAATCGCCTTCTCAATCCGGCCCTCAGACAGTCCTGGAATCAGAATGAGTAGAATGTGTCCTTTTATTTAAAATGCATCTCTGGGTTATTTGTGGGACATAGGAATTCGTTCATTTCCCGCCCCCCTTCAAAATATAGTCTGGCCCACCACATGGTCTGAGGGACGGTGGACCGGCCCACAGCTGAAAAAGGTTGCTGACCCCTGAATGAGCCCAAGGTCTCCCTGTGTGGATTCCAAGTCTGGTCTTCCTCATCCTAGTTTCAAGTTCAATGTGCACGACACTTTACAGCTTACATAGGTTCTTCTTTGTTATGTGCACTTAAGTTTTCATTCACTAAGGGGACAGGTGCTAGGGGTTTAAACCAGAAAGAGTTCATCATCTGATCCCTCTTTACGCGGAAGTCAGGTCACATCTGCACCATAAACCTAAAGCCTGGGAACTGTAGTTTACTACTTGCTGAGCTACTATTCCCAGCACCCAAGCAAAATGCAGTTCCCATGATTCTTGGGGGGTGAGTGTGCTTTAAAGCTATGATGGGGCTGTGACAAATGTTTCATTGAGTTCAGTGGGGTTTCCCAGTGCCCTGCGCCTTAAGCCATGGCACCTGTTGTTTTCTCTCTCTGAATCATTGCCCGCTCTTTCCTCAGGTTTCTGTTTGGGTGCCACAGTGCAGGGGCTTACAAAGGGCATCTGGATGTGGTGTCTCCCTCACCCTCACAAGCCTGACCTCACGCTGCTGTTGCTGGACACAGAAGGGTTGGGTGATGTGCAGAAGGTGAGCTGGGAGCTAGGATTACTGCAGAAGACTAGCCCTTTCAAAAGAGCCTTGTGACAAAATATGCTGACCTGGTGTTAAGAATACCACAACACACACGTAACTGGCTGTAAAGTAACATAACATTATATAATAACATTACAGTGGTACCTCAGGTTACATACGCTTCAGGTTACATAAGCTTCAGGTTACAGACTCCGCTAACCCAGAAATAGTGCTTCAGGTTAAGAACTTTGCTTCAGAATGAGAACAGAAATCGGGCTCCGGCGGCACGGCAGCAGCAGGAGGCCCCATTAGCTAAAGTGGTGCTTCAGGTTAAAAACAGTTTCAGGTTAAGTACGGACCTACGGAACGAATTAAGTACTTAACCCGAGGTACTACTGTATATATAATTGTCATATCAAAAAATTGCAAAGCACAGTTCCTGGTGGCAATAACATATCATATTACTATTAACCTTCTATATGTTTTTATTGTCGTAACGTCCAAGGATAGTCAAGTCCAAAGATTGTCAAGTCCAACGATTACAACGTACAGTTCCTGTGGGCAACGACATTTCATACTGATATCTTCCTTCTGCATCATCCTATGTCTTAAGAGTGTAACAAACAGAACTACTTAGTAACAATAAGGCAGCTGATGATAGACCAGTTGTCAGGATACACCCTTGTTTCACCCATTGGGCTTCTTCAGCGACAAGGTTTCCAGGCGGTTTTTTCCAGCCGAAATAGTCCACAGGAACGCAGAAGTTGCCAGTCAGAGACAAGTGTGTGTTGTGGTATTCTGAACATGATTTACGTAATGAAGCAACTGTGGTGTGTGTTGACCTGGTGTTAATGGCAATGGTGTCTACCAGAGGTGGCAGAACTGAGTTCTGGCTGAACCCCCCCCCCCCGGTGGTAACTGATATTTATATTTCTGTTTCAGGGAAACACACAGAACGACTCGTGGATCTTTGCCCTGGCCATTCTGCTCAGCAGTACCCTGGTGTACAACAGCATAGGCACCATTGACCAAAATGCGCTGGAGAATCTGCAGTATCCTTTGGGGGCATCAGAAATCCCAGCTGGACTTGTGTGCTTGGCCTGGAGGATCTAGGAGGAGGCAGTTGAAGGTTGTCCCCCTAGGAGTTTCGCTCCATGGGAGACAGATCTCTTGATGCAGAAGCAGGTGGGATGAACTCTCCTGGTCTGAGACTCCATGATGCTTAGAGTGGTCTGATGATGCTGAGGAAGTATGGGGTGGTGCAGGAGGAAACACAGAGGGGAGGCTCTTCGGAAGGTGGGCGAGGAGCTCATTGGGACACGTTGTGAGGGGGGTGGATCAGTGATTACAGCTGCAAATTGGGAACCAGGACTAGCCGCCTGAAAAACAGTTTCTACGCTAATGCAATTCTGGTTCTAAACGCAGCATAAGGGGTTTCTGTAGTATAGTGTGTTTTAAAATGGGGTTTTAGAGTTTTTAGGGGTTTTGGAATGTTTTATGTAGTTTTGTAGTAGTTTTATGTAGTTTTGTAGTAGTTTTATGTAGTTTTGTGGTAGTTTTATGTAGTTTTTATGTAATTTTATGTAGTTTTCAATTTCATTGTTCCGCAAGGGACAATGACAATAAAGATATCGTATCGTATTGTACCGTAACCTCCACAGATATATTTTACAGATAGATAAGGGGGTGGGGGTGCAGGCAGGAACTCCAGAAGGCATAAAATTAGGAATTGGCCTTAAGGTGTGAAAATGAGAGATGTCAGCCCCTTGCCACAAAACCCTGCCTAAATTACAATTGCAATACAGTCGTACCTTGGTTGCTGAATGCCTTGGAACTCGTGCATTTCTGTTCCCGAGCGATCGAAAACTGGAAGTGAGTGTTCCGGTTTTTGAATGATTTTCGGAAGCCGAACGTCTGGCACGGCTTCCGATTGGCTGCCAGAGCTTCCTGCAGCCAATCAGAAGCTGCACTTTGGTTTCCGACCGTTTTGGAAGTTGAACAGCCCTCCAGAACAGATTCCGTTCCACTTCCAAGGTATGACTATATGTGGTCTTTCTGTACTATAAATCTCTCTGCTCAAAAGCCGTATCATCATTTCTGGCCAGCCCACAACTGCAGGTTCAAACAGGCCCCAAACCAGCCCTGGAACTGTTTTCCTTAGCACTCCCCAGCTATGTCACTGAGCTGACAAAAAAGATTAAAGCAAAAGCTTCCTCTGGGGAAGATGCAGAGGAGGAGAACTCTGCCGAATTTGTCCGTTTCTTCCCAGACTTCATCTGGGCAGTGCGGGATTTCACACTACAGCTGGAGATAGATGGACACTCCGTCACTGAGGACGGGTACCTGGAGAATGCCTTGAGACTGCAGAAAGGTACAGTAACTGCAAGAAAGAAAATGCAGTGTCTGAGATGGGGAGAGGACACTGCTAGTTTAGAGGTGCACAACTGATCTAAGTCAAAAAGGCCTAATATTCAAGTGGGTGAATTTATCCAGTCACATAGCCACTGAGGGCTAAAGAGGTTTAACTGATTTCCCCTGTGCTACATGGAGCAAGACAGAGATACATCCCACCGGGTCCTGAGGCACATATCTCTGGCTGCAGACTGCATTAGTAATAACTCTTCAAGCTAATCCTCAGTTGTGTTCCCAGGGAGGTTTACAAACGCCCTACAACAATTACAATGCCAATACCCAAACTGTAAAAGCTAAAAGCCACAAAATTGTGAAAACCCTCATACCACCAGGTTAGTTGCTTGTACAGTTGGACTGGGCTCCCTGAAACTCCTATGACATAGGAGTCTTACCCGCTAATCTCAAATATACACATGTGAGCTGTAAGTGCGCTATGAAGAGGGAAATACATATACAGTGGTACCTCATGTTACAGACGCTTCAGGTTATAGACTCCACTAACCCAGAAATAGTACCTCAGGTTAAGAACTTTGCTTCAGGATGAGAACAGAAATCGTGCTCCAGTGGCAGCGGGAGGCCCCATTAGCTAAATTGGTGCTTCAGGTTAAGAACAGTTTCAGGCTAAGAGTGGACCTCCGGAACGAATTAAGTACTTAACCCGAGGTACCACTGTACTCAGAGCAAGGCCATAACATTGGAGTGCTGAAACAGAGAGCAATATCCTAACTCTGTTTACAGAGGGACCTCTGTAACCCCTGGGACCTCAGGTGACCTCAGGTGTCAGTCGAGTTGGCATGGATAATTGAATGTTTACAGGTAACCAGGTGAGTTTGCTCCACCAGGGAGATGGTTGGCACATTTTGTGTGGAATTTGCCGATAGTAACAGATTGTCTTGTGTACTCTCACTTCTCCCCCAGGTAATAGTGAGCAAATCCAGAGGTGCAACATGCCCAGGTCGTGTATCCGCAGATTCTTTCCTTCGCGGAAATGTTTCACGTTTGACCGTCCAGCTAGCAGGAAAAAGTTGTCTCGGCTGGAGGAACTGGAAGAAGATGATTTGGAGGAAGATTTCTTGGAACCGGTGGGCCGTTTCTGCCAACACATCTGGGAGACATCTCGACCCAAGACAGTCCCGGGAGGCCAAGTTGTGACAGGAATAAGTAGGGAACATTTTTAAAAGATTGTAGGCTGGGGTTGGTGGGTAGGGAACCATTCTGAGTAAAGTAATTAGTTTTACCCAGTGCCGGTCTAATAATACTAATAACTGGTCTCAATCTGGGAACCCCATGGATGGGGGGCTTTTTCCTCCAGAGCAGTTTGGGGGTGTAGGAAGCTGTCAGCTTGAGGTGAATGGTGTTACTCAGCTACCAGCCAAGAAGGGATCAGGTGACATCAGAAACCAATAGTGACCCACCTGACTGTAGAAAATGCTTTAGTTTGCCTTGCTCTGCAGTTTGATAATTTCTTTGTTCACGTCCAGGCTGAATTGCATGTAAGCTGCTCACTTGATTGCCTGCTGAACATCATTTAGCTAGAATTTATTTTGAAAACTATATACACAGAATAAAATACAGTAACGATTCTGTGATGAAACCCAAATTCTACTTTCAGAGAAATTTGGTTGCGTCATTTGTGCAGAAAGCAACATTGTATGCATTGTTTTAAACTCTTACATCATTTATTATGCTTCTGCAGCAAGCAAGGACTTGAACCCATGACATTTGGCTACTAAAAGCCTGTTCACCCCTCCCCCTTTTATTTATTGAGAATTAATAGACCCAAACACTTCCATGCCTATTTCTGCAGAGTTAATTCCCCATGGTGTCGCTAATATAGGGGCTTTGTTCTTTGTTTTGTTGATGTTTTATTTCTTGTATTCAATAAAATATTGGTTCTGAGCTGGGTTCTGAGCCCAGTTGTATTGTTTCGTACTTATCACAGTGTGGCCCCACAGCTGCAGGATACACACTGTGCTGACAATGAGTTATGGATTGGGCTGCTTCCAGTTTTGGCAAGAACCAGAAGTATGGAAGGCAATAATACATATGTAGCATAGAGGTAAAGGTAAAGGGACCCCTGACCATTAGGTCCAGTCATGACCGACTCTGGGGTTGCGGCGCTCATCTCGCTTTATTGGCCGAGGGAGCCGCCGTACAGCTTCCGGGTCATGTGGCCAGCATGACTAAGCTGCTTCTGGCGAACCAGAGCAGCACATGGAAACGCTGTTTACGTTCCCGCCGGAGCGGTACCTATTTATCTACTTGCACTCTGACGTGCTTTCAAACTGCTAGGTTGGCAGGAGCAGGGACCGAGCAATGGGAGCTCACCCCATCGTGGGGCTTCAAACCGCCGACCTTCTGATCTGCAAGTTCTAGGATCTGTGGTTTAACCCACAGCGCCACCCGCGTCCTGTAGCATAGAGAGGTAATAATAATTAGGAATGAGATGTGGGTGCAGGGCAGAGAATAGTAATCTCTGCTTTTTAAGCATTCCCAAGTGCTTCCTTCATATTTCAGATTATTTTCTACAGGCATGAGGGCTACAACATTACTTTTAAAAACATGTCTTCTCTGCCTCTTGTTTTGTGCAGAATATCTATTTCTTTCCTTTTATGAGAACAGTGGATGATGTGTCCCCAGTTATAGTACAAACGTTTGAAAGATGTTTGACTTGGGATACATTTCCTTGGCGTACAAAAGTTAAGTGGGATGGGCATCCCTGTTCTGCCATTTCTGATTTGGTGACTTTGCCCAATTCTTCCCTCTTCAGTGCTTCAGAACCTGGTGAAGACCTATGTCAATGCTATCAACAGTGGGGATTTGCCCTGCTTGGAGAATGCCGTGCTGGCCCTGGCAGAGATCGAGAACGCAGCAGCTGTGTGTGATGCCATTTCCTGTTACGAAGAGCGGATGGGGCAGCGGTTGAACCTGCCCACGGGCTCCATCAATGAGCTGCTGGCGGTGCACGCCGAATGTGAGAGGGAAGCCACTGGCATCTTCATGGCCCGTGCCTTTGGCGATGCGTTGGTAAAAAAATCACAAGAGAAGCTTGAGGTAAATCTGTTCTCTTTTTAAAAAAAAAACACCTCTGCCAGCGTGGCATATCAGGGAGTCTCCTCTGCCTGAAGTTGTGTTGAACTGCTGCCAGTCAGTGCAGAAAGAGTCATAGAATTGTACAGTTGGAAGGGGCCACGAGGGTCCTCTGCAATACAGGAATATTTTTACCCAACATGGGGCTCAACGTGGTTGCTCAACATGAGACAGGATTAAGAGTCTGATGCTCTGTTGGCTGAGCTGCCCCAAGGATAGACCATACTGGTCTGACTCTGTACGAGGGAGCTTCCTGTGTTCCTACATAAATGTTAATTGGCTGAAGGAAACATTTAAAAGAAAATAAGATCTGGAAAAAATAAATAAAACTTAGCAGAATACAGTGGTACCTCAGGTTACAGATGCTTCAGGTTACAGATGCTTCAGGTTACAGACTCCGCTAACCCAAAAATAGTACCTCGGGTTAAGGACTTTGCTTCAGGATGAGAACAGAAATTGCGCGGTGGCAGCGGGAGGCCCCATTAGCTAAAGTGGTACCTCAGGTTAAGAACAATTTCAGGTTAAGAACGGACCTCCAGAACGAATTAAGTTCTTAACCTGAGGTACCACTGTAAACACTTACCTAGCTTAGCTCTGAGCATCACAGCTAGGAGGGCCTTCCAAAACTCGCACGGTTTTCTAAAAATCTCACTTCAGAATGGAGACAGCCTCTTGTTATCCAAAGGCAAAAAGGAACATAGAAAGGTGGCATAAAGCAGGCCGGTGTAAGTTAAGCTGGTGTAAAATTATATACCAAACTCCATTCAGCCATTGAGCTACTACTTGCCTAGCAATCCTAAGCCTGGCAGAGGTAGAACAAACCTTTAAAATAAGTGTTTGAACTGCACCATCCCCTTGGCCATCTGAGTTTTCATTGGGTTTCCAGGTCATATGACTGAGCAGAATAGACTTAAGATTCCCCCCCCCCAGTCCTGCCCCCATCATGCCCCTTAAATGCCCTCTTTTCAGGCTTTAGGCCAGCTCGAGATGTGAGTCATGGCTGAACCGGGATCAGGGGGATACTCTGGAGTATCCCCGACTGAACCGAGCATGAGGGAGCGAAGCCAGCATAGCTTGCTTGTGTGGGGAACTTCCTGGCTCAGCCAGAGATCCGCTGGATCCTAGCCCGTTCATCGTGGAGCATCTTGCTGTGGGATTGCTCGCTTAGTTACCTGTGAAAGACACATTCTCCAGATGAAATGGAAGACAAACACATATCCCAGAAGACTGGTAGGATTGCAATTTGATTGGGTACGCACTTAGTTTTTAACTTTAGGAAAGGTGGAGCCAGACAATTTAAACTGGCCTACATTTTAGAAATGCAGCCGTTATAGATCATTGATGTTGTAGCCACGATTTTTGGTGGGAGTAGGGACAGCTAAGTCAATTGAAATTTGTACTGTAGTTTTGATGTGGCCTTGTTAGTAAGTCTTTCCACTGAAGAGGAAAAGCTTTTTCATCATTATTAACAGATCATCTTTCTGCCAATTTTTTGTCTCTTGTAGCAAGAGCTGAAGCAGAAAAAGGAAGAGTTCTGCAGGAAGAATGAGCAGGCATCTTTTGACCGCTGCTTTGCCGTGCTGACGGATCTTTCCCAGGAGCTGGAAGATGAGCTCCGGATGGGAATTTATTCTGTGCCTGGTGGCTACCAGCGTTATCTGGAGAAACGGGATGAAATAGAGAAGAAATACCACTTGGTACCTGAAAAGGGAATTCAGGTAGGGCAGGAAGACAGCATTTCTGTGATATCCAAAGAATGAGCATTCTTATACTGACTGAGGACAGATCCAAACTTTAGACCTGGAGTGCAATACTGTGAATATTGTCTTGGGAGAAAGCCCCACTGAATTCAATAGGGCTTGATTCAAAGTGAATTAGTTTGTTCGTCTACTTACCAAAGTGAATAAACTCTGTTCAATGAAAAATATATTAAATTGGTTTACATAAAATAGTTTAAAAGACCTTTGACTTGTAGGCTATGTGAGAGGGAATAGGGACCACTATTATCAATTTCTCAGCGCCTCATTAAGATACAATTATTAATTTACTATACACCAATTTTTGCCCACCAATTTTTCACAATATATAATCTCGTCTGTCCCATTATACTGTAAAATGAATAACTTTTGCTCTCAATGTGTTATCAGGCAGACAAAGCTCTTGAAGAATTCCTGAAGTCCAAGCAGACGGTGGCAAACTCTCTCCTTCAGATGGACCACGCCCTGACCGACAAAGAGAAGGAAATTGAAGGTGCATATCTAAGGCAATGAGTATATGTTATAAATTATATGTATTAGAAAGTAAACGTCCTGGCCTTCTCTGGCTGGGCTCTGAGTTCCCAGGGAAGGGTTACAGTTGTGGTACCTTTTTGCAGAATGGCATAGTGACAGATGTAGTATTCTCATCTTCAGGCAAGGAGAGAACATTGAACAGAACACAGGGTGAAGGGGAGATGGCGGCGGGAGATGTCAGCCCCCTCAGTATTCATGTTGTCTCTTTTCCTTCGCTGGCCCCCAGCCCAGCGCGCTCAGGCCGAAGCAGCCCAGCTGCAGCAGAAGCTGTTGGAGCAGGAGCAGGCCAGACTGAAGCAAATGATGGAGGATGAGAAGCGAAGCAACGATGAACAGCTCCAGCTGTTGAAGGAGAAGATGGAGAAAGAGAAAAAGTTGATGGAAGAGGAAACAGAAAAGATGATACGGCATAAACTCAAGGTAAAGAGAGCTGAGTCAGATGCAGACTGACCCACTGGAAGATTCAATATTTAGGCCAGGGGTGGGGAGTCTGTGGTCCTCCAGATGTGGCTGGAGCCAACTCTCACCTTTCCCAGTCAGTATGGCCAGTGTTCATGGACCAGAAAAATCTGGAGGGTCCCATTTCCCCTGCTCCTGCTTTCTTTTTAGGATGATGCATAGAAGCCGAATTCTTCCTCCATTCAAGGCCAGATCTGGTTCACAGATAGCCTCTTTTACCCTTCTAAATGTCTCAACATAAACCATATATTCCCGGATATGCCATCACCCTCTTTATACAGGCCACATAACCCTATGTCTTTCAAGCAAAATCAAGAACAAATTATTTAATGCTTTAAAGGTGATTGCCGTCACCTTGATTTGTGCCTGGAAAAATCCCTAACTAGAGAACCTGCTTTAAAATAGGCATAACATGCTCTTGCAGGCAAGAAAGCTGCTCTGTCTGGGAGCTTTTCAGTGACTCACTGTGGCTTGGTAAAACCTAGGTTCCATATATTCAATAGACGTTAGCTGGCGTTTCTACAGTACTTTTCCTGAGTGTTCAAACAACTTCTTATACAATTCCTTTGTTCTCTTTACAACAACCCCTTGAGGTGGGTCAGGATCTAATTTTGCCCATACAGTATAGGATGGAATAGTCCGCATGGTACCCTCCAAATGTTAGTGGCCTCCAGCTGCCATCGGCCTCAGCCAGTGGTCATGGATGATGAGAGTCCATTAATATTTGTAGCGTTGACTGTGGGTCTTATCTGTGAAGGTATGGGTCCAGCTGGGATTGAGAGATATTGGCTTGCCTGAGGACACAGAGCAGGACTGAGCTGAATTTTGTTTGTTGCGCATACATAGCCAAGCTTCTGTTGCTCTTAACCACGTCAGATTTTGCACAAATCCCTATATGCTCAAAATAAAAAAGCAGGTCTAGTTTGGAGACAGTTGGTTTTATGGGAGGCCATTTGGCAACACAGTGGGAAATGCATTGGTTGGCTATGAAAACGCAACTGCCACACAAAGTGGTCCAGGTCTGGCCTGATCCCATCCCTGTTCATAGATGCTGACCCATTTCTTATCCATCCGTCAACTAAACTGTCTCTGTGTGCTTCTCAACTTCCCAGGAACAAGAGGAACTGCTGAAGGAAGGATTTCAGCAGAGGGCCAATGAGATGGAAAGTGAAATCCAACGTCTCAAAGAAGAAAGTAGTAACTCCAAGCTGGCCCTTGTGATGTCTTTTGTAGAAAAATTGTTGTCAACTGCTGCAGCTGTGGGAACACAGGCTCTGCAGTACAGGATGCAGAGTAACATGCTTTCCAGTGCTCTAAATCAACAAAAGAGTGAAAGTGCACCACAGAGTGTAAAAAGCACACCAAGGAGTAAAAACCCACCCAAGAATGTAAGGAGCACACCAAAGAAAAAGTAGTTCCAGCATGTGAATAAATGGGGCTAGTTGTTCTTAGTTTTCTGCTGACTTCCCTATCTTATCACCACATCCACACCTTCATTGCAGTGTTATGTACAGATCAGTGTTTGAAATTCGCCAAGCACATTTAGCACCCAGTTACTGGCCACTTTGGGACCAGGTGAAGGTGGATGCCTGGGGATCCTTGGCTCTTGCCTGTTTTAAACATCCTGTAGAATTCTCTGTAATATTTTATCTGCACAATCAGAACAAATTTCAGGAACCAAAAAGTTGTATTGAAAAATATGACTTTTGAGCTGCCTGGCCCCAAAATGGCAACCAGACATTCTGTTTTTGGCGACTGTAACCTGTTAGTATTTCCCGCCTCCAATGCTACAGATGAGATTGGTGTAAATCACATGCCTGTCTGGGAAGAGTGTGGGAGCAGAAGACGGCCTTATCTCTTCCGCTGTATGTACTGTTTTAAGGAGTCATTTGGCGCCTAGCTTATATATCTGAGTTTCTAACTGGCTAGAGAACTAAGTGAATAGTTGTGTCCAACTTGTTTTCTTATATGCTATTTCTTTTCAGGCATGCAAAGCTGTATAGAACATAAATAAATGAAATAAATGGCCTGGTCTCTGCCTATAGCCTTATGATTTTATGCCTCTTCCAGCAAATCTTGCAGCCAAGCTGGTGCCAAACACATTGCTCTGCTTTCCTTTGGACCACATCAGTGAGGCTGAGAAGCAGGGTCTTGTTGGCTGGGCAGCCCAGGTCCTCCATGCACACTGCCCAGGGTTGCATCATGGAGAGATCACTTCAGTGCTGCTAATGCAGCAAAAACAACACGGGAGGCAGACGTTTAAAAGTTACCGGTCTCTGCAGCCACAACCAGTGCTGTGATTTTCCAGCGGGTTGGCTTCACCCCCGGAGGTGCACTCCATTGTCTCTTGAGACAGACAGATGCCAACAAATGGCACATGCAGGGGAAATAGCAGAGGACAGGCATGAAAACTGGGCAAAAGCGGGGAATTAGGCAAAACCACAGAGTGCTAAAAAAAAGCCTGGCTGTCACTCACTGTCTGCTGTTCAGGGATTAATGGGAAGTTTTTTCGCTGCATGAAATGTGAAACTTTATCACTGATAATCAGGCATTTGAGACTATACAAGTAGATGACTGGCCCAGCCCTGTCAATAGGCGGAGTGACACAGGTGCCTCAGTAGGCAGGTGGTGAGGAAGAGAAGGGAAAACAGCAGCAGTGGTGGACCTTGGGCTCTCAAATTCCAGCAGAGCCCTGTGCAAAGCCAAAATTTGGTTCCCGCTGCGTCTTGGGACTCCATTCTAAATAATAGTTGTGGTGTCCTCTGCGGTGCTTCCAAAGCTCTGCAGCCAGGGCGACTGAACTGGTCGTGTGTCTCCTAAATGTGCCTCTGGCAGCAGCCTACCCAGCCATTCTGACTGAGGTCCCCCTGCTGCCACCAGTTCCTCCTTTAGGATGAGAAAAATGAATGTGTCCCTCAATTTGCCCTGAGACCTGCAAGCTTCCCTGCTGCCTTCATGTGTGGTGGAGGATGCTGCCTTGTTACCAGTGTTTAAATAATAGTCAGCTGCCAGTCCAGTCAGCTACTGTATGTGGACACTGCCTCAGGTGGCAAAATGTCTTGTGCCAGCCCTGGGAGCAGCCGGTTCATTAGACTTCTAGCCTTCCATTTTGCTTTATCCTGTGTCAAAAGTTACCTTTCCTTTCTCAACTGTATTATTTCCTCAGTGTGGTGAGAGCTCCTCAAAAGGAACCCAAAGAATCTTGGGAACTGTAGTATGCCCCCACAAAGCTGCAATTTCCAACACCTTTAACAAACTACAGTTCCCAGCATTTGGGGGGGGGGAGTTTTGTGACACCCCTAAATCAGCTGACAATAAATCATAAAGCCGATGCCATGTCTGTGAATAGTTGAAAGGCAGATTTTTACAGCTTTGGAACCATCTTTCTTTCCTCAGTTTGGAGTTTTAAGTGCTAATGTGAACATTAGTGCCCCAGAAGGGTGTGGACCATGGGTAGGCAAACTAAGGCCCAGGGGCCAGATCTGGCCCAATCGCCTTCCAAATCCGGCCCGTGGACGGTCTGGGAATCAGCATGTTTTCACATGAGTAGAATGTGTCCTTTTATTTAAAATGCATATCTGGGTTATTTGTGGGGCATAGAAATTCATTCATTTTTTTTAAAACCAAAATATAGTCCAGCCCCCCACCAAGGTCTGAGGGACACTGAACCGGCCTCCTGCTGAAAAAGTTTGCTGACCCCCGGTGTGGAAACTATTTTTCTTTTGCTTTCCCCTGAGTCAAAGTTATTTACCCAGCTCTCAACAGTATTGTTTTTTTTTCCAGTGTGGTGTGGCCCTTCAAAAAGCACATTCCTCCCACTCCAAAGAGTCCTGGGGGCTGTAGTGCAGCCCTCACAGAGCTACAATCCCCAGCACCTTGAAAGAAACTACAGTTCCCAGGATTCCTTGGGCAGAAAGACCTGCTTTGAAAGTGCTTCGAAGGCATCGTGTGTACAAGCCTGTATAATGCAAATAGGACGAGGGAAGGTCCTCTATGCAAATAGGACGAGGGAAGGACCCCCCCCCCATCCTAGTAGTTGCCGCTGCCAGACAGTGTAGGCAATACGGAACCAGATCGGTCTGACTCAGCACAAGGCAGCAACCTCCTCATCTCTGCCACTTAAGAGGCGGACGGCCCCCTGTCCGGGCTGCTTTAGTTGAGACTGCGGCATTGCAGGGGGTTGGGCTAGATGACCCGCGGGATCCCTTCCACGTCTGCAATTCTACGATCCCAAGAAAAGCATTCAACTGCGGAAAAGGTGAATTCCCGGTATCGCTTGCCTTTCCGAGAAAATGGCAGCCGGCGAGCTTTCGCTTTCACTTTCGGTTTTTTATATATATTGCCAACGGGACGCCAGTTTTCCGGGGAAGGGTGACCTGGGCAGTGGGTGCAATTTTTGAACCATTTTCCTGCCCCGCAAATCGAGACAAGAGGCGGAGCTTGGGGGATTGCTCCATCTCTGAAGACCCAAGGCAAGCGGGGAGCGCTTTGCAAACCACCCGGGAAAACTTCGAGCTGGGGGAGAAGGAAAAAAAAACAACAAAAAACGAAACATCGCAGCTTTGGTTTCCTCGCCGCTCCTCTCTTTTTGCGAGGTAAACGCGGCGCTGGCATGTGGGCGGGAGCCAAAGCTGGCGAGGCTGGGAATCCGCGCGGGGTAGTGGCTGGCAAGGGAAGGGTTAAGCATTTCCTCCCTCCGCTGCAAATCGCCCCGGCCTTTGCAATGGAGCCTGCGGGGCGGGGCGGGGGTGCTGAATGGCCGCGCGGCGCCTGCAAGAACTTTGCTCCCTTTTGCTAATATTAATGCTAACACGTATCTCTTGCAACGCCCCCATCCCATGTCTCCTCGGCAGTAACTGCTACTGTGTCCTGCGGTGCTTACTTTCAGGTAAGCGTGTGGGGTTCAGTTTCCGAGCTCTGAATAAACTTTCATCGAGTTTATCTTTCAGGTTTCATTCACTAGAAAGTAGTTATAAGCTGATAAACTTATATTAAGAATATCTTTTTAAAGTGGTGCTGCACTGTTGATTTGCCAGTATGAGTCACAAATCGAACTGATTGTGGGGTGGAGGGAATCGGGGCTCCCACTATTGTAGATAAACTTTACTTTTAAAGGAAGTTTTGAGTTGTTATTTAGAGAGGTATTCCTTGTTCTTCGTACTGAGATATTTCTGTCAGCTTCTGGGGCTTGAAGCCAGGAACGCCCTTGTTGACTGCGGCCAACCTAGCAACCTCCTGCCACTGGCTTTGTGTTCTCAGGCCTTAGTTCTTCAGGAAGAGAGCTAATGGCACACACCCTTGACTTGGCCAGCTCCTGGTCTCAGAGGTACCAAGGCAAGAGGTCCTTTGGAGGCCTCCTGCTGCTCCAGGGCCTCCCTCTGCTCTGCCAGCCTAGGGTCAGTGGCGGCGGCAGTAGGCTGTGGCATAATGAGCGCCTCTGTTTTCCTTTTGCAGACCCATCTTCTCTTGCACGATGGCGTCAGGGCAGGTCCACATGGCGGCTCCTGTTTGCCTAATTGAGAACATGCCAGACGGGAAGCTGGTGGTGAACCGGGAGGCTGCAGAGGTGCTTGCCGGGATCCGCCAGCCAGTGGTGGTGGTGGCCATTGCAGGGTTGTACCGCACTGGCAAGTCCTACCTCATGAACAGGCTTGCCGGCAAGAGAAAAGGTGACTGGCTTCATGAATATTCCCCGTTGCTCAAGGGAAGGGCTGGAGTCTAGTAGCTTCGCATGAGGAGCAAGGCAGTGGAGTCTGGTGTTTCTGGAACAGGGTATCAGAACCCCTGGGTTTTCTGCCTAGCCTGGGGAGAAGCATAGAGGAAGAGGAGTAAATTAATATTTATATAGAACCAGAGTGGATGGGAAGGACTTTGGGGCAGAGGTCCCCGCTGAGCAGGGAGATACCTTAATATGGCAGCTAACACATGTTGCCATCTTAAGGGGTATCCTAGAACTATTACCTAACTGCCCCACTGAAGAAACATCAGCACAAGTGGCACTTTGCAGACTCCCTGGCACCAAAACGATAGGCCCCTCCTGTGAGTATATTGCAATATATATTTCAACAAGAGAGTACAGTTCAATAAGAAGGAGAATCAATGTGAACAATGGACTCAATAGGTCCTGGTTACGCCTCAAAGTCCTGTGAGGTGTCTTGAGGATGTCTGGAACCCTGTGGCAGCTGGGCCTTGAGCCAAAGAGAGTTTGTCATCTGATCCTAGGTATCTTTACTCAGAAGTAAGTTCCACAGAGTTTAGAAACTCTGTGCAGGATCAAAGCCTTCAACCTTGGCACCCCTTGTTTTCTAGAGTGGTTGGGGCAACCCAGTCAGATGGGTGGCATAATAATAGTGATGATGATGATCTGCTCCTCCCACAGGTTTCTGTCTGGGTACCACAGTGGAGGCGCTCACCAAGGGCATCTGGATGTGGTGTCTTCCGCATCCCTACAGGTCAGACCTCTCACTGGTGTTACTGGACACAGAAGGGTTGGGTGATGTGCAGAAGGTGAGCTGGGGGAGATGGCAACTCAGGTGGGGGCTGCAGAAGCCCAACACATTCAAAAAAGCCCTGTGACAAAATGCCCTGGCCAAATATTGATAGGGATGGACGATACTTATGCCTGTTAAATCCCTGGGTTACACATTTTGGAATGTTTCTGTAACCCAGAATTTGTTAGTAGGATAAAAGCAAGGGTGGGTATAGCTGGTTGTTTCTGGGCCCCCAAGTTGTCCCTGCCCCAAACATGCCATTTTTAAAGATGGCCACACCCACTTTTATAATTTGGCCACAGCTACTTTGACATGTGACTTCCAGAAAGTTAGCCATACGCCAAGGTGGCGGCCCTTGGGGGAAAGTGAAGAAAGCCTCTTTTGCTGGAGGGGCCAACATTTGTTCCGAAACTAAAGGGTTCTTGGTGCAGGTATTTGTGGTTTGCAAATGGGGCATGTATCATGTTTACCCGAGTGACAATTCATTGACACAAGGTGCAGCTCTGAAAACATTTTAAGTACACAGAAAATGCTGCCACTCAAGGAAGTTTACAGTGAACTATAATGCTTCACTGAAGAATGAGAGTTCTCGATGAAGGCATGATATTTTAATATGCCAATGGGGTCATGTTTAATAATGCCCTATAGGTGCTTTATATTTATAGTTTTCCTGGGACACATTAGACAGCAAAAATGATATTGAAACATTTAATGTTTTGGATCAACAAAGGTTTCAGTTTCAGGCTTGTTTCCAGCAATAACTGCTCTGGGTGTGCCAGGGCACATTTTTCACTTGCCAGAGTTGTGCCACACAAGGTAATTAGTCATCACAAACACAGTGATTCTGCAGTCAACTATGTGGGCTGTGTTTGCTTCGTCTTGAAATGATAAAAAAATCCCCCTGAAATTTGTGGCCTTAATGGTAAGCAGTCTTGCATTTATTTGCTCATTTTGCAAGCTGCACGCAGGTTTTTTGGTCTCTGCACCACCTAAATGGCAAATGCTGCTTCTTCCATGGTGTGTGTGTGATTGAGAGGTAAGAAGAGCAAGAGTGGTGCAGTCCTGGAAATTCTACCAATCATTATTTCTGGCTCTGCCCACCATTGGCTGCATGTACCCTGGCTAGCTTTCGCCGTGGTTCAGCAGGTTTAACCACTCTTACCTTGTGTGCTAGAATTTACTCTTTATATTAACTGAGTTCCTGTGCCCATCACCAAATTCTGGTACAAGCCACTTTGGAGGCTGTGTGACAGGCTGAGTGTCATGGATGTAAAAAAACCCCTAAGCATACAGTAAACACATGTGTTTGGTGCTTGTGGGGTAGTTGCCAACACTTAGGCAATATGCCTCTGCAGGGCTTCCAAGTGCAGTCTAAGATGCTGCAAGCAAGTTATGATCTGCATTCATTTCTAAGAATTCCTTAACCTGGTGCAACAGGAGCAGCGGAAAAGCAACAACACAAACCTCGAAGCAGCTATCTCTGCACATGCAGCTCCCAGAGGAAAGAGTGCAGCTGGCAATGGGGCATTGGGATCTTGGGTGATGGACTCTTGGGATGTCCTAGAAAGGCCCATTTTATGTTTCAGGGAAACACACAGAACGACTCGTGGATCTTTGCCCTGGCCATTCTGCTCAGCAGCACCCTGGTGTACAACAGCATAGGCACCATTGACCAAAATGCGCTGGAGAATCTGCAGTATCCTTTTGGGGCATCAGAAATCCCAGCTGGACTTGTGTGCTGGGCCTGGAGGATCTAGGAGGAGGCAGTTGAAGGTTGTCCCCCTAGGAGTTTCGCTCCATGGGAGACAGATCTCTTGATGCAGAAGCAGGTGGGATGAACTCTCCTGGTCTGAGACTCCATGATGCTTAGAGTGGTCTGATGATGCTGAGGAAGTATGGGGTGGTGCAGGAGGAAACACAGAGGGGAGGCTCTTCGGAAGGTGGGCGAGGAGCTCATTGGGACACGTTGTGAGGGGGGTGGATCAGTGATTACAGCTGCAAACTGAGAACCTTCAGAGACATGTTTTTATAGCTGTCAACGTTTACCTTTTTTAAAGGGAAATTCCCTTATTCTGAATAGGATTCCTCGCAAGAAAAGGGGAAAGTTGACAGCTATACATGTTTTACAGATATGGGCGGGGGGCAGGCAGGAACTCCAGAAGGCATAAAATCAGGAATAGGCCTTAAGGTGTAAAACCGAGAGGTGTCAGCCCCTTGCCACAAAACGCGGTCCAAATTACAATTGCGATATGTGGTCTGTCTGTAGTGTAAATCTCTGCTCAAAAGCCCTATCATTATTGCCAGCTAGCCCACAACTGCAGGTTCAAACAGGTTCATCATTTGGCTGAATTCACGTCCAACGCCCCAAACCAGCCCTGGAATTATTTTCCTTAGCGCTCCCCAGTTATGTCACTGAGCTGACAAAAAAGATTAGAGCAAAAGCTGTAGGTGTTGTCTTTTGGTTCAGAATCAAGTGGAATGAACTCTCCTGGTCTGTCTCAGAACAAATAGAACCGTAGAATTGTAGAGTTGGAAGGGACCCTGAGGCTCATCTAAGCCAACCCCCTGCAATGCAGGAATATATAGCTGTCACATACAGGGATCGAACCTGCAACCTTGGAGTTATCAGCACCACACACTGACCAACTGAGCTGCTCAGGAACTGGGTGAAGGGCAAAGAAACATAGAGAGACATAGCTGATGGGCAGGATAGGCAAACCCCAAGGATCAGGTGCTAGGTGAGGAGCTCATTGAGACACAGTGTGAGAGTTGGGAACCCCCAAGGGCATGTCTTACTGAGAGATAGGTGGAAGGAGTAGGGGAGCTAGGAATCCTAGAAGGGGTGGAGTCAGGAATTGACCTAAGGGTGTATAATAAGAGCTGTCAGCAGGGCATAAGGCCACGATGCTAAAATAAGTCCCTTGCCACAAAGCTCTCCCCAAATCACAACTGCAAGAGGTAGTCAGTCTGTAGTGTAGAAAATCTTGCTGCACCTGCTAGGAGGTCATCTCATTCTCCAGCCACTACTGCATCTACAGACAGGTCAAGCCAGTTCATGATTTGGCTGAAGTTCATATTGCAAATCCCCAGACCAGCCCTGGAATTGTTTTCCTTAGCACTCCCCAGCTATGTCACTGAGCTGACAAAAAAGATTAAGGCAAAAGCTTCCCCCGGGGAAGATACAGAGGAGGAGAACTCTGCCGAATTTATCCGTTTCTTCCCAGACTTCATCTGGGCAGTGCGGGATTTCACACTACAGCTGAAGATAGATGGACACCCCGTCACTGAGGACGGGTACCTGGAGGAGGCATTGAGACTGCAGAAAGGTACAATAACTGCAGAAAGATAAGGCAGCGTCTGAGATGGGGAGGGAAAGCTGGGGCTTGTTAACAGCCTAGAGGACACTGTTAATGTGGAGGCATACAACTGATGTAAAGAATAAGGGCCTAAAATTCAAGTGGGTGCATATGACCAGTCATGTACCCATTGAGGGCCAAATAGGTTTAACAAGTGTCCCCATGCTACTTGCCTGATGGAGCACACATATGGGTACATCGCAACAATACATCAAAACTGCATACTGCCAAGTGTACCATGTTGCTTGTGCATTTGGACTGGGCCTCCTGAAACCCCTCTGACCTAGATGCCTTGCCCATAATCTCACATATACATGTGTGAGCTGTATGTACATGCTCAAAAGCGTCATTTATACCATCACATTTGCAGTGCTGAGACAGAGAGCAATATCCTAACTCAGCTTACAGTAATTCCTGGGTCCTCAGAGGTTGAGTCAGCATGGAAACTTGAATGTGTATAGGTAACAAAATAAGTTTTCCCCACTGTGGAGATGAATGGCATGTTTTCTGTTAACAAATCGTCTTGTGTGTTCACACATCTTCCTTAGGTGACACTGAGCAAATCCAGAAGTTCAACATGCCCAAGTCATGTATCCGCAAATTCTTTCCGTCACGGAAATGTTTCACGTTTGACCGTCCAACTAGCAGGAAAAAGTTGTCTCGGCTGGAGGAACTGGAAGAAGATGATTTGGAGGAAGATTTCTTGGAGCCGGTGGGCCGTTTCTGCCAACACATCTGGGAGACATCACGACCCAAGACAGTTCCAGGAGGCCAAGTTGTGACAGGGAGAAGTAAGGAACGCTTTTGCAAGTTTGTAGGTTGGGACAGGTGGCAGTTGGAAACCATTTCAATAGGAGCCATTTCACACTCTTCTGTTGTCTCTCGAGACAGGTGGATGCCAACCAATAAAAACCAATAATTGGCCATTGTACAGAACACCTCAGAGCTCTCCAGGTGTTGAAAGTACACCTAACACACCTTAGTGCTAGTCAGTGACCTCTGATGCACTTTGGACTTGAGACGTAGATACTTTTGCCCAGTGTAGTTCTGATGATACTACAGTCGTACCTTGTTTTTCAAATGCCTTGTGACACAAAAGTTTTGGCTCCTGAACACCGCAAACCCAGAAATGAGTGTTCCGGTTTGTGAGCTTTTTTTGTAAGCCGAACATCCGACACGGCTTCCACGGTTTCCGATTGAGTGCAGGAAGCTCCTGCAGCCAATTGGAAGCTGTGCCTTGGTTTTTGAACATTTTCAGAAGTCAAATGGACTTCCGGAATGGATTCCGTTTGAGAACCAAGGTATGGCTGTAATAACAATTTTCAAACTGGGAACTTCATTGGTGGAACCTTTTCCCCTCTGTCAGCAGAGCAGCTTGTGGATGTTGCAATGTCTGCTGCATAGCAGCGCCACCATTCTAGTTGGCTTAGGGCGAAGGGTGTTACTCAAACCAGCCCATTAGGGAACAGGTGACATCAGAAACCAAAGGGTCCCACTTGGCTGTAGAAAATGGTTGGTTCTGCCCTGACTCCTCAGTCGGAGCAGGTGCAGACTAAGGACTTGCCCAAGGCAGAGCAAAATATGGATTTGCACATGCTCCCCATTAATCTAGGAGTGTTCACATGATATATTCTCTTGTCTCAGTGCTCCCCTTGTCTCCCCTTTTCCCTTCTTTTAAGTACAAGTTTTTTTGAACCTGGCCATTTCATAATTTCCAAGGATCAACTGTGCCCTGCATTTAAAAGGGGAAATTGTCAGTTTTTGAAAAAGAAAAGGTTCTGACCTCCTTTCTACTCCTTTGCCTAGTCCTCAGACCTTAGTTGGCACAAAAGAGTTTTTGAGAAAGAGTATTCTTGCGGAGTGGGACGTGGGTGGCGTTGTGGGTTAAACCACAGAGCCTAGGACTTGCCGGTCAGAAGGTTGGCGGTTCGAATCCCCGTGATGGGGTGAGCTCCCATTGCTCGGTCCCTGGCTCCTGCCCACCTAGCAGTTCGAAAGCACACAAAGTGCAAGTAGATAAATAGGTACTGTTTCAGCAGGAAGGTAAACGGCATTTCCGTGCGCTGCTCTGGTTTAGCGGCTTAGTCATGCTGGCCACGTGACCCGGAAGCTGTACGCCGGCTCCCTCGGCCAATAAAGCGAGATGAGCGCCGCAACCCCAGAGTCGGTTACGACTGGACCTAATGGTCAGGGGTGCCTTTACCTTTATTCTTGCAGAGTATTGCTGCTTTTATTCTTAAAAAGTCTTCTTCTCCAACCACGACCGACAGCTTTTACACACACCAAACGCAACCAGCTTTCTACCATCTAACCAACCCACACCCAACACTAACATTGACCACTCTATATATACAGGTACAATTTGGTTAAAAGTTGCATGAGTCATTGTAGGATGCTGACTCATGCTGACTTAGTTCTTTTAGCATTAAAGAAACAGCGGCCAATGTTTAGCCGTGACAGAAATGTCCAGGACAACAAATGCCCCTACTTTATTGGGGAGACAGGTAAGTAAGTGCAAATCCACATTTTGCTCCAGTGTGGCCAAGACCTCAGTTGCATGTAAACAGCTCACCTGATTGCTGAGTTGTGGGAGAAAGCAAGGGAGGAAGGCAAACGAGTAACTAGGAGGATGTATGTGATGGATTTCTATCAAGATCCCTCCCTGCTTTTTCAGCCAAATGCTATTTACATGTATTCAAGTTATTTCCTGCAGCCACAAGGGACAGAATCTTTCTTTTGTAAATAGAGAATGGGTGGCTACTATGCCTTTTTTTTACGTGCAATATAACTGTTTTCTGCTCTCGCTTGGTGAATCTGCAGCTACAGCAGAATACTTGATGCAGACAATCAACTCAAGGGTGTTTGGGGCCTGAAATTACTCTTTCAGTGCAAGGAGGTTAGTTCTATGGCTTCACTGATCCTTCCCTCTTCAGTGCTTGAGAAGTTATTGAAGATCTACGTCGATGCTATCAACAGTGGGGATGTGCCGTGCTTGGAGAACGCAGTGCTGGCCCTGTCTGAGATTGAGAACGCAGCTGCTGTTCACGAGGCCGTTTCCTGTTACGAAGCGCTGATGGGGAAGCGGTTGGCGTTGCCCACAGACACGGTGGATGAGCTGCTGGCTGTGCATGCCGAGTGCGAAAAGGAAGCCAACGCTGTCTTCATGGCCCGTGCCTTTGGCATCGCACAGGTTAAAAAATTCCAGGAGGATCTTGAGGTATATGTGGTTTCATTTGTGCCTTGTCAATTGTCTCTGCCAGTGTGGCTGGAAACAGAACTTAGGGTCATTTTTTAAAAGTTCCTTCCCTGCTCCTCAGTCTGTTTCACAGGCCCGAAAAAAGGCCTCAAGAATGCTGAAATGTAGACAAATGTAGGTCCTCTGCCCCCTCAGACGCACCCCATCTGCATCATACATTTGAAGCAGTTTCCTATCACTTTAAACAGCCATGGCTTCTCCCTAAGAATTCTGGGCACTGTAGTTTTTTTAACCACTCTGGAGACTGTAGCTCTCTGATGGGGAATAGGGATCTCCTAACCAGGGCTGGCCGAGACATTTTGGCATTCGAGGCAAACCACAAAATGGCGCCCTCACCTCCTGAAGATCTACATCAGGAACAAGACGGGTGGGGAGAATAAAGATCTACATCAGGCTCTGCAGCCCCTGTGGATTTTGCCATCTGAGGTGGTCACATAACCTTGCCTCACAGGCTGGCCGGCCGACCCTCTCCTAACAATTCTCCAGACCAACTGCAGCTCCCCAAATTCATGGGAGTCCTAAAGCACTTTAAATGTGCAGTGCAGATGGGGTCATGGAACCAGAAACGTTCTCGGTGGTCAGAGAGGAAACCCACAAGGCAGAGAATGCAATTAAAAACTGAACTTTGGAGAAGGGCTGGAGCACCGGAAGAGAGCACCTGCTTTGCATGCAAAAGGTCCCAGGTTCATTCCCCCGCATCTCCAGGCATTTGTGATATGAAAAAAGATCACACTTAGTAAAGCTTATTTAGACAAAGTCCTGTTGCATAGCTATAGACATCATGGCTAGCAGGGCCTTCCATACCTTACTTATTTATTGGGTTTATATGCCGCCTTTTCTTCTAAGGTGGTTTAAAACACCAAAGCAAATAAAAAAGGTAAAGGTAAAGGACCCCTGACAGTTAAGTCCAGTCGCAGACGACTCTGGGGTTGCAGTGCTCATCTCGCTTTACTGGCCGAGGGAGCCAGCGTTTGTCCGAGGAAGTTGTTCCGGGTCATGTGGCCAGCATGACTAAGCCACTTCTGGCGCAACGGAACACCGAAATCAGAGCAGGACACGGAAACGCTGTTTACCTTCCTGCCGGAGAGGTACCTATTTATCTACCAGGGCCGTCTTAAGCATACCTGGCGCCGTGGTGCAAAGATCCCTCCGGCGCTCCACCCCCGTTTCCCAGAGTTGTTGACCTTTTCCCAAGCTTCTGCGGGGATCGCTCCCCTCCCGTGGGGGCTGGGGAGGCAAACTGCACGCCCGCCAGCCATATAGTTGACAGGGCGCAGCTGGCAGGCGTGTAGGAGGGAAAGGGGAGGCCTCTGGCAAAGCCGCGCAGCTCCCCCACTTGCTGGGGTGCCCCTGAGAGGCCGGCGCCCTGGTGCAATGTGCCAGTAAGCCCAGTGGAAAAGACGGCTCTGTTATCTACTTGCACTTTTGGGTGTGCTTCCGAACTGCTAGGTTGGCAGGAGCTGGGACCGAGCAACGGGAGCTCACCTTGTCGTGGGGATTCGAACCGTCGATCTTCTGATTGGCAAGCCCAAGAGGCTCAGTGGTTTAGACCACAGCGCCACCCGCATTATATTAAAAGAAGACTGACAAGAGTCCTCTCATGCCAACTGGGAGCTGATGGTATGTGCACTTCCTGGCCTGGGCTCCTTCACTTCTGCCTGAAACTTAACATGGTTTTCTCAGAGTCTCTTTGTCCAAAATGGAGATTTGCATGTTGCATGTTGTCCCCAGGCAGCGACAGACATTGAAATGCAGGCCATGTTGACCTCAACTCATTTACTTACGTAGCCTAGAGAATGCTAGCAGCAAGCGGCACATTTTCCAAGTGAAATTGAATATATGTGCATCTCCCAATAGACAGGTGGTTGAAAATGGCAAGGGGACCTGGCTCTGAACTCAAGGAAAGATGTGGTTGGACAAATAATAAAACTCACGTCCAGCACAAGCAGTTCCAGTTCGACTGAAATCTGTGCTGTTGATTGTATGTGGGCCTTGGTATGCCTTTCCCCCTGCAACAGGGTACAGAACGGGGCAAGTTCCCCCTCGTTGTTAACACACCATCTTTCCGCTGGTTTTGTTTTCACTTTGTTCTGGCAGCTTCAGCTGAAGCAGAAAAAGGAAGAATTATGCGAGAGAAACAAACAGGTGTCCTTTGACCGCTGCAACCATGTGCTGGTGGAGCTTTACCGGAAGCTGGAAGATGGAGTCCACATAGGAATTTATTCTGCTCCTGGTGGCTACCAGCGTTATCTGGAGAACTGGACCGAAATGGTGGAGGAATACCATTCGGTACCCGGTAAAGGAATTCAGGTAGGTTCACTACTTGGAAGTACCTGAGCCAACTTTTCCTCAGCATCCAAAGATTCAGCATTCTGGTGCAGATGGAGGGTAGAAGCAGACTGTAGACCAGAGGTGAGGAGCCTCAGGCCAAGGGGGCCAACTGTGACCATCCAGGCATCCAGGCTTCTCCTTCTGGACTCTCCCCAGGCTACATCTCCTTAGCCATACCCTCTATGCCCAGGTCACAGCCCTCACTAGCCTTACTAGAGGGTTTCTGCCTTGCTGGAATGTGCCCCTGAACTTTCATAATGTGTCTTGCTTACCTGTATGGAGGACAGAAGGGTGTGTGTGTTTGTGTGTAAAACTAGCATATTGAACAAACTAGCATATTACACATGTTGCTCCTCCTACTTTTACCTGTGGCTCCACCTGCCACTGGCAAGCACCTCCCAGAAGTTTCCCAGTAGGGAAGGGGGTATCAGTCGGGGGGGCAGGGCGGGAAGGATTGCCGCCCTTACTGTAGATGTAAACTGCAATCCAGTGCACGTTTACTTGGGAGCAAGCCCCACTGAATTAAATACGATTTGATTCAGAGTAAGTATCCCACGGATTGCACTGTAAAATCAGTTTAAGAGGCGTTCCTTCATTGCAAGCTATGTGATAGGGATTACAGATCACTAACATCCATTTCTCAGCATCTCACCCTAACTACTATTATTCAGTTATTTGCTACATTAATACACCAAATTTTTTGTTGTTGTCTTTAATCCCTGCATGTACCGTATTTTTCGCTCTATAGGACGCACTTTTTCCCCTCCAAAAATTAAGGGGAAATGTGTGTGCATCCTATAGAGTGAATGCAGGCTGCGTGGCTAAGCCCAAAGCCAGAACAGGGAGACGGAGCGCTGCGCCTATGCACCTATGGTCTGGTGCGTCCTATAGAGCGAAAAATACGGTAATCTGCTTTGACTTCCCCCCATCTTTGCATTCAATTAATAACCTTTGCTTCCGATCCTTTATCAGGCAGACTGTGCTCTTGAAGAATTCATGAAATCCAAGGAGACTGTGGCAAAATCTCTCCTTCAAATGGACCGCGCCTTGACTGCCCAAGAGAAGCAACTTGAAGGTGCAGATCTGGAGGAGGGGACTTTACACATCATAAATTATATGTCATTGTTCTGCCTGCTCTGGTAGGGCTCTGAGCTCCTAGCAAAGCAGGTTATAGTTGTGGTACCTCTTAGCTTTATGATATTGTAACAGGTGTGGTGTTGTCACATTGAGCAGCATAAAACTCCAAAAGCACTGGGTGAAAGGGAGATGTCTGTGATCTTAAAGGGCGCTTGTCTTGTTGTGTAGCCAGAGGCTCTTATGGCTTGGGGTAGGAGGAGTGATCAAGGGATACCCTGAGAGAGAGTATTTTAATTCTGAAGTGTCCCTGGGAAAGGCGTATATTTTGGAAAGACCTGATACAGTGGTACCTTGGTTCTCAAACTTAATCCATTCCGGAAGTCCGTTCCAAAACCAAGGTGCACTTTCCCATAGAAAGTAATGCAAAATGGATTAATCCATTTCAGACTTTTAAAAACAACCCCTAAAACAGCAATTTAATATGAATTTTACTATCTAACGAGACCATTGATCCATAAAATGAAAGCAATAATCAATGTACTGTACCATAAAATAAATGAGACAGTATTGTAGACGATAAAAATTAAAATAATTTTTTTCTCTTACCTGCACTTATTATAGTCATTGTTTGGATGGCGGGCTTTTATCCATTTCCACAGTCAATCAATCAATCAATCAATCAGTCAATCAATCAATCTATCTATCTGTCAGTAGCTGAACTGGGTTCCATACAGCCACAAAACAAATAAACCGAAAAAGCCTCAAAAACAGAAACGCAAAATAAATAGCAAAAACAAAAGCGCCAAGGTACCTTGGTTCTTGAACTTAATATGTTCTGGAAGTCCGTTTGACTTCCAAAATGTTCAAAAACCAAGGCGTGGCTTCTGATTGGTGTAGGCTCCCCGGAAACAATAACCGACAGCCGCATCGGACATTCGGCTTCCGAAAAACGTTTGAAAACTGGAACACTTACTTTGGGTTTTCGGCATTTGGGAACCAAAGCATTTGAGAAGCAAGGCGTTTGAGAACCAAGGTACCACTGTAAAGAAAATGGAGATCCTTCATCCAGATTGCCTTCAAATTTTTAAAGAGTATTAAATATAAGACATGTAAAATCTTGGGTACATAAGAGATGCCTAAAAGATAACAATGGAGGCAGCCTGATGAATATGTCCAGGGAATGTCTTCTAAAGTCTGGATGCCACCACAAAGCAGGCCCTGTCCCCACCTCAGCTTGGAAGTTGGAGACACTCAAAGAGTGAAGACTGTAAAACCAGCCAAGTTCATAGGGTAGCAGGGGGTGGTCCTCCGAATTATGCTCTTTCAATGCTTTCCTGTCTGCCAGCAGTTCAGGTTGTCTCTTTTTCTTCGCTGGCCCCCAGCCCAGCGCGCTCAGGCCGAAGCAGCCCAGCTGCAGCAGAAGCTGTTGGAGCAGGAGCAGGCCAGACTGAAGCAAATGATGGAGGATGAGAAGCGAAGCAACGATGAACAGCTCCAGCTGTTGAAGGAGAAGATGGAGAAAGAGAAGAAGTTGATGGAAGAGGAAACAGACAGGGTGATAGAGCAGAAACTCAAGGTAAATAGAGCTGAGCCGGATGCAGACGCTCGCCACTGCAGTATGTAGTCTTTAGGTCAGGGGTGGGGAGCTTGTGGTTGGATCCAGCACTCATCAGCGCAAGCCAGCATGGCCAGTGCTCAGGGGCCAACAAGGTCTGGAAGGTCATATTTTCCCAGTTCCTGTTTTGGGGCATCTTATTAAGATGGTGCTTGGAAGCGGAACCCTTCCCTCCACTCAGGGCCAAATCTAGTCACCCCTGCCCTTCTCAGTGACTCCCCACCAGTCATTTATATACCCTAAGATATCCTCACCCTCTCAGTGCAAGCCACATGTCGTTTAGGTAAAGCTTGGATCCAACTCATGTAGTGCTTCTTCAAACTCATGTAGTGCTTCTTCCTAACCCTAACCCTTACCCTCTATTATAATAATAATAATAATAATAATAATAATAATAATAATAATAAATTTTATTAATATCCTGCCCTCCCCAGGCAAGACCGGGCTCAGGGCGGCTAAAGCCAGGTATAAAAACAATTGATTAAAATACAACTTAAAAACAAGATTTAAATACAACATGCAGCCTCATTTCAGTAGAAACTCAAATAAAAAACTTTTTGGGGATGAAAACGTCAAATCTTCACCAAGGCCAACTATCCAGACTGGTCCTACGTGGGCCAGAAAAAAGCCAGGGAAGTCCCCAAATAGGAGTTCCACCACAGAAGGAGAAAGGGAAAAGGAAAGAGCGGGAGGGGATCAAGTTGATTCCAAGCCAAAGGCCAGGCGGAACAACTCTGTGTTACAGGCCCTGCAGAAAGAAATCAGATCCTGCAGGGCCCTGGTCTCTGAGGCAGAGCGTTCCACCAGGCCGGAGCCAGTGTTGAGAAGGCCCTGGCTCTGGTTGAGGCTAATTGACTTCCTTAGGACCCGGGACCTCAAGGGTGTTGCTATTTTTGGACCTTAAGGTCCTCCGCAGGGCATACCGGGAGAGGCGGGCATACCGGGAGTATACTTATTATTATTAAGTTGATTTAAGTAGCTTTGAAAGGGAGGGGAGGTTTAAAAGTCCACCTGACAGCTCCCAGAGTCTTTTACTGATAAAAGTTGGCAGATATTTTCATAGGTTGAGCCTTTTTATCAGGGTAATTTGGTCATTAGAGCTCCTACTCACACAGCAGAGACTCAGTTGAGACTTGACCCGTCGCCATCTTCCATTATTATTATTATTATTATTATTATTATTATTATTGAAAACCAATTCTAACTTGGAGACAGTCTATTTTCAGGTTGTGTACACACAACATCTTATTCTAGAATTGATGGAGACTGAGTCCTTGTTTCTTATACATAGTCCACAAACAATCTGCACATTTTTATCCCTGATAAGTGCTTCTTGAGAAACCGCTGCAATTCCAAAAACAAAAGCTCATTGCAGATTGATTATGTGTTACCCCCCAGTGTGTCCACCCAAAAACAGACGTAAATGGTCCCAGCCATGGGGCGTATGTTGGTGTGTGTATCTATAGCTGCTCAATGACATTGTGGGTGAGCGTGTTTCAAGATCGCACTCAGTACTTCCGTCCTTCGTTCTGCTGGGGCATGTGAAGTAGCCACACTGGCCCTTGTCTTGTGAATGGTAGGATCTAGAATCAATCTGGATTGAAAGCAGCATGTTGAGGATGAGCATAAACAATTCTAGATTGAGCAAAACTACATTTTTTTGTGCTATTAACACCTGGGTGTGTACGCAGCCTCAAAGGGTGCCTCTCATTTGGCAGCATGCTGGGAAAATGTACATTTTCATATCCAGCTAGTGTAGTGGACATTCTGCTCCAGTCCTGGACTTATTCTATCCTGTGTCTGTAATTTTCTGCCCTCGCTCTTCGATTCTTAGTTGAACGAGTCTCTGTGTGCTCCTTACCTTTCCAGGAACACGAGTTGCTGCTGAAAGAAGGATTTCAGAGGATGGCAAGGAAGATGGAGAGTGAAATCCAACATCTCAAGGAAGAAAAGAAAAGCTGGGAACGGGTGTCGTCTCTAGTGGAAAATTTGATCCCAGTTGTGTCATCTTTGGTGATGCACGGTGTGCATCTTGCAACAGTTTCTCAAACTGGTAGCACGCCAAAGAAATAGTTCCAGTATGGGGGGGTGGGATTAATGCAGATTGCAAGGTTGCATTTGAATGTATTATTAGCTGCATCTGCACAAATCAGGAAGCTTGAGAGCTGTATCTATACACCTTTAAAGCACATTCAAACCATGTTCTTTCCCTCAAAGAATTCTGGGCACTGTAGTCACAGAGTTAAAAATTCCCAACAATTCTAAACAAACTACAGTCCCCAGAATTCTTTGAGGGGGTAAATGTGCTTCCAATGTGCTTTAAAAGTATAGTGTGTGCAGTGTTAGCCTTTTGTCCACTGACATTTACTTAGGATAAAGGTTATGCAGGGAAATGTATTCTGGGTGGGTCTCCTAAGAGAAAGCCAGCTATTAGCTTGTGTGTGTGTGTTTTTGGAACATGGTTGTGAATGCCAAAATGTGAAGTAATGTTACATTTTTAACATATTAAGTCTGAGCTTCACTATACACAACTTGCCACCCCTGCTCTGGAGTTCCTTTGTGCAGAACTAAAAATAGGATAGGCTACTGTATTTCTAGAAAGAAAACAAGCCGGCCTTGCATTGCCCTCTAGTGGGCAGAGACCAGATGGTGATTGTCTACATAAAGTGTGTCTACTTAAATATCAAGGATCACACCTAAAGCCAATATTGTCTATAGTCAAAACACATTGGGTTCAATGGCGGGTGGGATTGCCCTTTGGCAATCATTTCCCTCCAAGCCCCACCCCCTTAAAAAAATAAAAATCCACACACATAAAGCTGAATGCACGCAAGTTAAGTGTGCATAAGTTGCGGTCTTGCTGTATTTGACTCAAGCAGCCTTCAACTGCTGATGTTGTGGGACTACAACTCCCATCATCCATGACTATTGGCTATACCAGCTGGTGGGAGTTGTGGTTCGCAACATCTGGACGGCACCATCTCTGGGAAGGTTGGTTTAGGAGCATCTACAATGATTACCACCTTGACCTAGTGCATTGTTGTTAAATTTGATACCTTCTTTCTCCCTTCCTCATCTTCTGCAGCCAGGCACAACTTAAATTGATTCCCTTCTGGAATCCGTGGTGCGCAAGAAATCAGCTCTGAAATATATGCAGTAGCAGAACATGCTCAGAGCCAGTTTCCCTCTGTGCTGCGCAACAACACCCTGCTGCATGTATCCAGGGTTCAGTCTTTGCCCCTGTGGTGGGTGGATGTGCTGGAATTGCAGCCTGCAGTGCTGATGAGCTGGGTTTATCCGCATGAGAGTAAAATGTGAATTTGCACCGGCATTTCTCTCCAATAAGGGACATGGGTGGCACTGTGGGTTACTGAGATTCTTCCCCATAATGATAATTTCATTCATCCCCATATTTCCACATTTCTCTTAATATCATTCCAAAATTTTTTATAGTTCTCTTTAAAAATGTTTACATTATTTGTTGTCAGCCATACCCCTAAATATTTCACCTTCTTTTCTATCCCCAGCTCTGTTATCTGTCTCAGTTCGTTTTTCTCCTGTTCTGTCATATTTTTTTTGCCAACAACTTAGTTTTATTTTTATTCAGTTTGAAACCTGCGACTTGGCCAAATTGGTTAATCTTATCCAACACCCTTGGTATACTTTCCAAGGGGTTTTCTGCCATTATTACCAGGTCATCCGCAACACAAAACACATTCCATGTGAGTAGAATTCATTCCTCAAGAGCATTTGGAATCTTGAAACAAGCACAGAGCATGGTACCTTGCTTGTTAGCAGGAACAAACTGTTACCTATCTTACCTGTTTTGAATCATCTGCCTGTACTGAGAATTTGCTTCTAGACCTGGTTCTTGCTTTTTAAAGCCATCAATGGCTTTAGGGGCTCTGATTTTCTTTAGCATTGCCACCTCCCATGTGAGCCTCCCCAGCATTTAATATATTTTGATGGGGTCTGGGTTGCTTCAGATTCTACCTTATGGGGAGACTAGATTGGCCACTACCAAGAACAGGGCCTTCTCTGTTGTAGCACCAATGCTCTGGAACTTCATTCCACGACAGTATCACCACTGCCTCCCTGTTGGCCGACTAGATAAAAACGTATTGATTGCAGTTGGTCTTTGAAAACTGCCATATCCCATGTTTTATGGCTATTTTGTGATGTTATTTCTGCTTGGTTTGAATGAAGAATGGTCGTATTTTGAATATGTAAACAACTGTGGTGTATTTTGTGAACAGGCGTATTTAAATAACCTTAAATAAATAACAGTGCAATTATACTAGTCCGTGAATTGCCCTGTTGTGTTCAATGGAACTTACTCCCTGGTAAATTTGTATAGGTCTGGATTGCATCAAACTGAGTGCTCATACACTAAACATCATGACGGCAGTACATCATTCTAGTACTGATGGGGAGAGTTTAAACAATCATAACTACATGGGTCCTTGGGACAAAGGCGATGGCAAACCTAGACAGCATCTTAAAAAGCAGAGACGTCACCTTGCCAACAAAGGTCCGTATAGTTAAAGCCATGGTTTTCCCGGTATTGATGTATGGAAGTGAGAGCTGGACCATAAAGAAGGCTGATCGCCGAAGAACTGATGCTTTTGAATTATGGTGCTGGAGGAGACTCTTGAGAGTCCCATGGACTACAAGAAGATCAAACGTATCCATTCTTAAGGAAATCAGCCCTGAGTGCTCACTGGAAGGACAGATCGTGAAGCTGAGGTTCCAATACTTTGGCCACCTCATGAGAAGAGAAGACTCCCTGGAAAAGACCCTGAAAGATGGAGGGCACAAGAAGAAGGGGACGACAGAGGATGAGATGGTTGGACAGTGTTCTCGAAGCTACAAACAAACATGGGGTCACGAAGAGTCGGACACGACTAAACAACAACAAACTACATGGGTGTCTTTAATGGCTACAGGTTTTTGTTTAAACATATATCCTCTCTGGAATATTTGGGTGCTTCCTTCTTGCTTTTAAAATATTTACATCCTTCACTCCTTCTCCTTCTTTGGCCAATGTTTTAAATACAGCGCTGTAGTATTTGTTATACTCCCTATCTGTCACTAGGTGTTGCTGTCGTGCACCCTGCACAGCTAATAGCAGTGCATCAGCACTTTGTGACAAAATGGGAAGATACATCTTTTGGGGAAGGAAACCCATTGTTCTTGAATTCCCTGTGCTCCTGGTTCCAAGGGACGAGGCAAACTGGAACATCAGGCCTTGTTCACTGAGAACTTATTGAGTGCAGTGAGTTAGCAAATGGAAAAGCATTTATGGCTATGTCACATTCCGTTTATTTCAATGTGCCTTGCAAACTCCCCAGTGGGCTGCTCCTGTGATTTTTAATGAGCACAAGAAAAGCTCGCAACATTAATATAAAATTAAGAACTAAGAAATGGGGAATTGGTGAGAGATGAGATTGCTTTGCTTACAAAAATAAATAAATATCTACCCCTTCCAATTTTGGCAGCGGGATTATCCTGTTTCTTCTAATGGGTCTCCTGTTTCCAAGAAGGGCAGTTAGCAATCTGTGCAGACCAGAGAACATTGACAATCTCCTAACAAGCTCGCTTGACGTACTGATGCATTTTCTTTCCCCGATGTCCTATACTTCCCCCTCTGATGTGCCATATTTCATTCTGGGAAATGGCCAGAATGGATGAGGTTCCAATTGAGATGCGCACCTGATTTTAGTGAATAGCCATCGGGGACAGATTGAATTTGCTCATGAAGGAGGAGGGTGCTCCATCGCTATCCAGGCCTTCAAGTCTGTGGCAAGTGCTAAGAACCAGATTTCTGTGCACTGCAAAGTGGGAAAGTAGGAACTCTCTGGCCATTTAATGTCACCCCAAGGACAACAATAGGGACGCGGGTGGTGCTGTGGGTTAAACCACAGAGCCTAGGGCTTGCTGATCAGAAGGTTGGCAGTTCGAATCCCCACGACGGGGTGAGCTCCCGTTCCTCGGTCCCTCCTCCTGCCAACCTAGCAGTTCAAAAGCACGTCAAAAGTGCAAGTAGATAAATAGGTACCGCTCCAGCGGGAAGGTAAACGGCGTTTCCATGCGCTGCTCTGGTTTGCCAGAAGCGGCTTAGTCATGCTGGCCACATGGCCTGGAAGCTGTATGCCGGCTCCCTCGGCCAATAAAGCGAGATGAGCGCCGCAACCCCAGAGTCGTCCACGACTGGATCTAATGGTCAGGGATCCCTTTACCTTTACCTTTAAGGACAACAATGGGGTCGATGATGGAGGGGAGGTAACAGAAGCAGCAGCAACAAAGGCAGGCAGGGAAAGACCATGGGCAAGAGAAGAAGCAATGAGGTAGAGAGGTAAAGAGAAGGAAGCTGGCAGTCATACCTGGGGGAGAGAAAAGGCTGGATGGAGTCGGGCAAGGGAGCAGCAGTGAGTGAGGAGAGCTGGTGCGAACAATAATAATAAATTTAATAATATTTTTTTATTTGTATCCTGGTCAAGGCCAGGCTCAGAGTGGCTAACATCATAAAAACAACACAATAAGCATAAAAACAGACATCAATTACGTAATTAAAATACATCTTAAAATTAATTCAGACAAGTTAAAATTTGGGCAGGTGGCAATTATCAGGGTGGAATTGAGAGTGGTTAATAACTGTCAGGACCAATTGTTTCCACTGATCATACAAGGACCCGTGAGCGGGTTGGGGGCCTCCTTCGGGCTTGTTTTATACAAAGGAAAGTAAGTCAAACTGCACCCCCCAAGGCCTGGCGGAACAGCTCCGTCTTGCAGGCCCTGCAGAAAGATGTCAAATCCCGCAGGGCCCTGGTCTTTAGTGCGTGAGCGTTCCACCAGGCCAGGGCCACGGCCAAAAAGGCCCTGGCTCTAGTCGAGGCCAGTCTAATTTCCCTGGGGCCCAGGATCTTCAAGGTGGTGTTGTTAGCAGACCGTAAGGTCCTCCGTGGGACATGCCAGGAGAGGCAGTCCCGTAAGTACGAGGGTCCTAGGCCGTATAGGGCTTTAAAGGTTTAAACCAGCACCTTAAACCTGATCCTGTACTCCACCGGGAGCCAGTGCAGCTGGTATAGCACTGGGTGAATGTGATCCCACAGCAGGGACCCGGTAAGGAGTCTCGCTACGGCATTCTGCACCTGCTGGAGTTTCTGGGTCAGTTTCAAGGGCAGCCCCATGTAGAGTGAGTTATAATAATCAAGCTTGGAGGTGACCATTGCATGGATCACAGTGGCGAGATCAAGGCAAGAGAGGTAAGGGACCAACTGCTTAGCGCAGCGGAGATGGAAAAATGCCGCCTTTGTTGTAGCTGTAACCTGCGCCTCCATAGAAAGGGAGGCGTCAAAGATTACACCCAACAACCAGGATGGTGTGACCTTTGCGGAAATGCAATTGGTGGGGAGGGTGACAAAAGCCAGGAAAAGTTAATGGGAAGCAGCTCAGTGGCAGCGCTTCTGACTTGCATGCAGAAGACCCCTGGTTCAATTTTCTCACCTGAGACCCTGGAGAGCCACAGCAAGTCAGTGCAGGGAATACTAAGTTAGCCAGACCAAAGGTCTGACGCTATAGAAGGCAGCTTCCTAGGTTCCTAATTCCTAATCAGGATCAATTCCCACAACTGAGACAGTGTAGTGCAGTACTTAACCTGGGGCCTGAGAAATCAGGATTCGAATCCCCATTTGGCCACAAAGCTCACCAGGCGACCTTGGGCCAGTCATCGTAATCTCTACCTAACCTACCTCAGGGTTGTTGTGGGGATAAAACATGAGAAAGGGGAGAAGCATGTACGCTGCCTTCAAGCTCCTTGCAGTTACAGTGTGATATATAAAATAAATAATAAACTAGCTCCTTCCAACCCTGTTTACAGGGTAACTGTAAAAGCAGTTTGAAATATACTCAGAGTCGAGAGTGGATTTCATGCTCTTTCTTCAGCTCATAGTGGTGAGGAGGAATGAAAGTCCCCTCAAAGTATCTGCTTTATATACATTATTTACACAATGGGCTGCACGTGATTGGCTAATTCCGGAATTCTCCTGTAGGCCAATCAGGTTGTGGATTCACTTCCATCTGGAGCTGGATTGGGTGGCTCCTGCAGACCAATCATACTGCTGCATTGTTCTAGGACCAATCAGACTGCTTCATTCTGAATCCTCTTGTTCTAGGACCAATCAGACTGCTGCATTTTGGATCCTATTGAACTCAGTACATAACACAGTTGCCAAAATGTGTTACACACACACACACACACACACACACACACACACACTGCTGGTTGGGGAACGTAAACATACATAAATATGTGTGTGTGTGTGTGTGAATGAATGAACACGTGAAATCCGAAAGCTAAGAGCCATCTGCGAGGACGGGAGACTCCACTCTACATTTCCCATAGGATACATTTGAAGTGTGGATGCCTGGAGCTTTGGATTTGTGGGTATTCTAAATTTTAAAAGAGATAGCTCAGTCGGTAGAGCGTGAGCCTCTTAATCTCAGGGTTGTGGGTTTGAGCCCCACATCAGGCAAAAGGGTTCCTGCATTGTAGGGGGTTGGACTCGATGACCCTCATGGTCCCTTCCAACTCTACCATGCTGTGATGCTATGAGAAGCTCTGATAATTCCCATTTGTGTGTGTGTGTGTGTGGCTTGTATTGCCACTGCTTCCGCACATCCCATTTCATTTAAGCTCTCGCATTGATTGCCTTACCTCAGAGACGTGCTTCCCTAATCCACGAGCATTAAATGATCCACATAAAAAGCCATATTGTGCCTGGGCTGATCTGATCTGTTTGCTAGCAGAAGGCTCAGCAAACAGAGACAGGTTCAGATTATCGATAGCAGGGCAGAGCTGGGACTGCCACATAAGGGATGGATGTGTCATAAGACACACAGAGAATGATTTCTGAACGTGGATCCTTGATGTTCCATGTAGATCAAAGAGAAGAAACTGTCCCATGCCTGGTTCCTGGTGGGAACCATTCTGCTGAAGGAGGACCTTCTTCTGCAGGGACAACAGAATTACTGTGCTGTCCAGTGAAAGGCCGTTTACAATAACAACAACCTTCATGGACATGTATTTTGGTTTCTTCGTTCTTGAAGGGGTCCTGGCGGTGGCCATTATCTCCATCAACCTCCTGGTTTGTGCCACTGTCTACCTGCACAAGGAGCTGAGATGCATCACCAACTACCTGATCGTATGCCTGGCAGTGGCCGACCTTGGTGTGGGAGCCCTGGCCATCCCCTTCTCAATGGTACTCAGCATGGAGTATGTCCTCTGTTTCTACACCTGTCTTTTCCTCACTTGCTTCCCACTGGTCACCACCCAGTTCTCCATCCTCCTCCTGCTGGTCATTGCCATCAACGCCCACCTGAAGATCAAGCTGCCCAACAGGTAAGCCAAAGGCTCTTTCTTCAGCATCCAGCCTGTGGAACTGAGTGAGTGCATGTGAGCCAGCAACATCTATGCACATGATCAACTCTTTAGGGGTTCTGCAAATGCTGGTGCATCATTTATGCTAGTGGTTCCCAACCTTTTTTCTTCCATGGACCATCTGAAAATCGCTGATGGTTCTGGTGGGCCACTCAAATGATTTTTCTGCCAGTTGTAGCAATGGCAATGTATTGTGCTCGATGCTATCTGCTTTGTAATTGCGTTTTTATTGCTACTTTTATTTCTCATTTTGTATTTTACTGTGTTACCATTTGCATTGCATAGAATTCCACTTGTAACAATAAAACGCAAGAAATAAAAGAAGCAGTAAAAATACAGTTCAAAATCAATATGAGAATATATAATTATTTCATTTCATAAAATTTATACACGACTTGACTGTAAAAAGAAAACCCTCAAAGCAGTTTACAAAAAGATAAAAACAGTAAAATCAAGAAAAAATTACAGCCGTACTTTAAAAAAGACAAAATTAAAAATACTAAAGCAGGTTAAAATTACCCTGACTTTCTAAGCATATGGGTAGCCTTGTCTAAAGAATGTTTTTAGACAATGTGATTAGAGTAGCAATGGAAGAGCTACTAATGGAGGCAACACTTGTTTGTTGACCGTAGACAAATGACACCTGACTCCATAGTCACATGACACTCACAAGGATTATTTTCTGGACAGCTACGCCGTGCACGTGAAGAAGGGAGGGATGGTGATCATTGTGATCTTCTGCTGGCTGCTGTCTCTGCTGATAGGTCTCTCACCAATGATGGGCTGGAACCGCTTCCAGCACTATGTGGAGACCAGCAACAAGACGCTGCCTTTCAGCTTCCCTTCCGAGAGGACGGCCTTTGTCATCATCGCCCGCGACCTGCCTTACGGAGGCTTCCTCTCCAAGGTCTATCCACGCCAAGAGAACCTCAGCTACTCTGAGATCCACAGCGGACACCTGGGCCTCTGTTCCTTCACCTCCATTTTCAGCCCCGAGTACGTGGTCTATTTTAACTTCCTGATCTGCACCCTGCTGCCCTTGGCCACCATGTTGGGCATCTATGCTGACCTCTTCCGGGTAGTCCGCGGCCACTTCCAGTCCCAGGCTCCTTGGCCAGGCAAGAAAAGGGAGTTGCAGATGGCCCGCACCCTCTTCCTCTTGGTGGGCGTCTTTTGCATTTGTTGGATCCCGCTGCATGTCATTTACTGTGTCCAGCTATTGTGCCCCGACTGCCAGCGCTATGAGTCACTGAACCGGCTGGCTGTGTTGCTCTCCCACCTGAATTCCTTGGCCAACCCACTAGTTTATGCCCTGAGGAAGAAAGACTTTGGGCTGGCCCTCCGATCTGTATTCCTCCACCGTGTTCTGCACTGGCCCAGGCTGAAGGCCTGCTTTTGTCCCAACCCCAAAGTCCATCCCCAGGCCTGAAGGAGGACAGAGAGCCACTCCTTCTAAGAGCAGACTAAGGTGGTGAGTGCCGACAACAACAGAGCCAAAAACAGGTCCAATGAGGGCGGGTTCACGTTACCCTTTGCAAAGGTGTTCCCACCTTGGCTACAGACAAATTGGGAATGGCTTCAAGGACTTATAGTATGCCTGGATAGCTAAGTAGGTTAGAGTGTGGTGCTGATAATGCCAAGGTTGCAGGTTTGATCCCCATATGGGATAGACAAGTACAGACAAGTACCTATTCCTACATTACAGGGGGATGGACTAGATGATTCACAGGGTCCCTTCCAACTCTACAGTTCTATGATTCTATGACTCCAGTTGGTGTGAAGCTGGTTTGAGAAACGACACAGCCAACAGCAGCCTTTTATAACGAAGTACAGTCCCAGTGGTCATTTCTCCTCTGGTCACTGCTATGGGTACACGATTTGACTGTGAAACACCATGGTGCATCTGCAGCAGCACAACTGGATGCCTTCATCTGCCCCAGCTGCAACAAAACATGTCACTCCTGCACCGGCCTCTACAGCCAGAGTAGGCACTGCAAACGTCAAAGAGTTTGACCTCACCCCCAAAGATGAACTCCTCCATTGTTTCCCCAAGACCGATAGATGCCAAACAACAGGATACATAGGCATTTTGGATGCAGGTTCTGCCAAGACAAGATTAAAAATCCCAGCACGAACTGCAGTGAGTGCACAGTAATTGTTAGTATGTAGGCAGCCTGAGAAACAGGAGGCAAGCTATTAATATGCTCAGGGGAACTCTTTTGAGGTTTTACAGAATGACTTTTTTTTTGCTAAAAGCAAACAAGCAAACCACCACCAACAATCTGGGCAAAAAACTGCAAAACCAGCCCAATGTGGACTAGACTTAATCAGTAGCCACAATATGCAGAATGCCGGGCATGGGAGAGATTCGGTTCAGTTTGCATTTATAGGCAAACCTACCTAATTTGCATTTTCTGAAACAATCTGTGCACTGAAATCTGCACTTCTCGGAGTTTGTAGTTCTCCAGCCCAGCGATGTGTACAAAAATGTATATGCCAGGGTAAAGTGTGCATAAAAATGCATATTGCAAAAAATGTATTATGTAAGGGAATTGCTTTAGAAAAATGTCTTTGCTGGGCAAAATTGCATCCAGAGATGTGTGTATTAGGAGAAATACACATTAAATTGCTGTCGATTTTCATGAAGACGTAAATATAGAGAGGAGACTGATGTGGAAATGTGGAGAACTGATTCTTAAAGAGTGGAAAAGTCAGAAACCGAAATTGCCAGATTCACCAGTCACTTGTTGAATGTCAATTGGAAAGAAAAATGGGAAAGCACCATGTGCATGTGTGCATGCAATGCCCTAGGTCCCAGGATTTTTTGCGGTATGTGCTTTAACTGTGCAGTGTGTATGCAGCCAGTATGCAGCCTGAGGGCATGTGGGGCAGTCCACACAGCTCTAACCACTGACCACCCTTCAGCATTTGCCCCCTGAAGCAGTTGCTACACTCTGCCCCCCTGGTAGGGCCAGCTCTACCCACCAATCACCATCCATAACTACGTCCCTGCCTGTCCCCTTGGTCCAATCTACACCACTGCCCAGGAGGAGAGGGCAAGGCAAGGTTGAGGCTCTTCCTCCTTCTTTGTTTCCTTAGAGAGCAGGAAAGCAGGAGGAGCAGGGCCAGAGGGCACTGGGAATTGACCGTGAGGTCCTTCCTGTGTGGCAGACCTGACAATGCCCAGCAGCGATGCGGCCTCTGAATAAGCCAATGAAGACAAGTCTTTAATAAGAGCCTTTAATTACGGTGAAGCTGAAAGAATTTTTGTCAGGTGCAGCTTGTCGAACCAGAGTGGGAAAAGCTGGTACCTGGTGAAATTTCCTCTTCTGTGTGATGTGAACATTTAAAGGCACAAGAGGAGCCCAATTCTCCTTTGTCCCTCGCCTCCCTCCCTCTGTGCGTCTCCTCTACCTTTGGGCACCATCAGCTAAGTGCAATTGAGAGAGGCCCACTTAAGACAGCAATAGGAAAATCGCTTCCACCCACAAAGCAATTATTGAAAATGAGGGAGCTGAACTGCAGAGAGCTATTGAATATTGCGGCATTAAAGCACATAATGGACATCAGGAACTGTCGATAAACCCATTATTTAAACAAAGACTGTGGCTCGGCCCCTGGTATTTTTAGAACCTTAAATTAAGCTAATGAAATTGATTCTGTTTAAAACTCGGTGCAATAAACCTCACTTTTTATCTATGGAGGTAAAATAGTCAAGAAGGAAAAGAACCATGGAAAATTTGGAAGGAGCAGGTATGAGAGAAAGCTGGTTTCAGTTATTGATTGTTGGTTCTCGTGATGCCCAGGGTGCTTCTGCAATCTCCAGTCTCCAGTCCACGAATAATTTCAGTCCAGGGTTATCTGTGTGTGATAAAGTTTCCTCCTCATGAGAATTGCCACCTCTATTATTATTATTATTATTATTATTATTATTATTATTATTATTAGCAGCAGCAAGTCTATGTTGTAATGGGGTATAAAAAAACAAATGGAACTGGCCAGTCTTATTTTCTTGTGGTCTTGCCTGTATTTTGAGGGGATCTGTGCCGATCCAAAACATTTTGCTACCTGGAGTAGAGCCCAAGTGCCCTTTCCCTCTGGGAAAAGAGGTACAAGAACTCACAATGAACACTTTCCTCTTTCTCTTGGAATGGCAACCGGAGAGTTGTTGGAACTGAATTCTGGTGAGTTCCAGCTGGGGGGGCGGGGGAGAAGCCCTGGTGCTACACAAATCACAGAATCATAGAACTGTAGAGTTGAAAGGGACCCTGAGGATCATCTAGTTCAATTCCCTGCAGTGCAGGAATACACAGCTGCCCATTCAGGGATCAAACTTGCAATCTTGGTGGTATCAGCACCATGCCCTAACCAATTGAGCTATCCAGGCTGAAGCATGTTGCTTCTCCCTGCTGCATGGTAGGGCTGGTCTTGGATTGGGCCAGATTAAGGGGGGCATAAATTCTCTATTTAAATGTCTGTCCAGTTTAAAGAACAATAAGGGAAAGCAGTGGCCTTGAAGTTGTTTATCAACTGCAGATGAATAGAAGACTGACTAGGTAGAAGCTAGTCAGACTATACTAGGTAAAAGCCTATGCAGATGCTCAAATTTCCTCTAGCCTCTAAGGCCTGCAATTTCAAGAATCTTCTTTAAAAATGAATGCATTAATTGAAAAGGAAAGGTCAGGAGAACCAAATCTCTTCAGAACATTTGGAGATTATTTGAAATGTGTACAACAGACATTCCAAAAGCTTTTGTGCCTTTTGTAATTTGTAGTCTACAAGTCCAAGAAGGCGCCAGAGTAATAAATGTATTGTCACTCAAAAAAGTTGTAAATGGTGATGGAGTACAAGCAGACCACAGGAAAACCAAATTAATTCTTTCCATCAGTCTTCACTGCAAAGGTTGCACACACACAAATGCTTGACCACTTTTTTTTCTGGAAGAATGTCTGAAGAACTCAAATACAGGTAACAAAGAGATGAGGCAGTATGGTTAATGGAGAGAGTAAAAATTAGCAACTGGCTGGGTTTGGATGACACATAGCCAAGAATCCCATAAGAGTGTCGCATTTCCAACAAAACTATGCAAATTCCTTTCAGTCCTTTGGCAACACCATTTTTTAAAAAGCATCCCGAGAGAAGCAGAGAAATGAAGCAGAGAAACCCATTAAGCCTAACCTGCCTAAGCAAATTGGTAGATAGCACTATTAAAGCCAGAAATATTAACTATATATATATATATATATATATATATATATATATAAAAAATAATTTTTATTTAAGTTTTGAACACAAAGGAAGAAAAAAGAAACATACACAATACATATCTCAAAAAAAGAAAAAAAAAGAAAAAAATATATAACAAATACACGCAGAAAAGAACACAGTTCAACAATAAAAAACAAAAAACCTAACAATTAAAAACAATATCTCTTTTCCATTTCCGTTTTTTTAGTTAACTTATTTTCTGGACTTCCTCATACCTCCCTCTTTTGTATTCCAATCCAAATTGTTTGTCCAGCTATTTCTTTTCAACTTTTTTAATCCCAATCTTTAATTTTAATATAATATTGTAATATATATCTTCAATTTCTTTAAACCCGGTCTTTAATCTTCATATAATATAACATTAAAATTTTCCCTCCTAGTTGTCAAATTTCCATTTCTTTAAACATTTTTAATCCTAATCTTAATCTTATTCTATCATTAACTTTAACCTGTACAGCTGGAAACCGCTTATTTTCAGTCCAACATCGCTCTAACATTCTTTAATTTTACAATGTTTCTGAAGATAGTCTTTGAATTTCTTCCAATCTTCCTCCACCGACTCTTCTCCCTGGTCCCGGATTCTACCAGTCATTTCCGCCAGTTCCATATAGTCCATAAGTTTCATCTGCCATTCCTCCAGTCAGAAATATTAACTATATAGGCAAAGAAGTATAGCTGAATAAAAATCTGTATATTTTCTGCTATGGGAAGGCGACGCAAGAATTCTTTAAGAGTACGTAAGCCACCTGGCGGGAACGCGGGTGGCGCTGTGGGTAAAACCTCAGCGCCTAGGACTTGCCGATCGCATGGTCGGTGGTTCGAATCCCCACGGCGGGGTGCGCTCCCGTCATTCGGTCCCAGCGCCTGGCAACCTAGCAGTTTGAAAGCACCCCCGGGTGCAAGTAGATAAATAGGGACCGCTTACCGGCGGGAAGGTAAACGGCGTTCCGTGTGCTGCGCTGGCTCGCCAGATGCAGCTTGTCACGCTGGCCACGTGACCTGGAAGTGTCTGCGGACAGCGCTGGCTCCCGGCCTATAGAGTGAGATGAGCGCACAACCCTAGAGTCTGGCAAGACTGGCCCGAACGAGCAGGGGTACCTTTACCTTTAAGCCACCTGGCACACGTTTTGAATGGGGTTCCAAGGTGGTTTTGGCAGTTGTAACGGTAGTTTTAATTACTTCCCTAGCAACCAGGTTAACAAAGAGGCTTGTGAGCACCTTAAAAACTTCGGCTAATATATTAATATTGTGGTCATAAGATTTCAAAACACTTTTAGCTTGTTGTGGAAATACCATTATTAAAAAAATCGCCTTATTTCCTCTGTTGTTATAATTTTTATATTTATTTATTTTAGCTTATAATTTATACAAACTTTATCCTCCAAAAAAAATCTCAACAAATTTATATTATTATTAATAATAAAAGCAATAACCTGTATCACCTGCAAACCTGTTTCCTCTATAAAGCACCAATCAACGCTCAAGTCAAAAGAAAAAGTGAGATTCTAACACCCCGCCCCCCAAATTACTCACGAGGCGAACGATGGAAACCGGGCTAGATCAACTTCCGCCCTTTTGTGGGCGAAATACAATCCGCTTCCGCAGCTTCCGCTTCCGCCGCTGAGGTGTGCGTGTGGGGGTTAGAACTCAAAGGCGGTCTATGCTCCTCCCGCGCGCCGCGGTGATTGGGCGCCCCAAGTCTCGCGGCCCACTATTGGCTTACAGAACCTCGCGACGCCCGGAGCCCTTGTGAGTAGCGGGTGGGTAACCCCTCTCGCTCTCTTTTTTTCCTGGAGCGCAGCGGCAGGAGCACGGTGAGCGGCCTCGGGGAGCGTGGTGGGTAGGCCTGGGTCCTCTCGGGAAGGGCTTTCGGCGCGCCCGAAGGCTGGCGGCCCAGTCTCCCGCCGCCCCTGGTGCGCCTGGCCTGGCGTCTCCCGTCCCGCTGGGCCAAGAGCTCTTCCAGGCCGGGGATGCTCTTCCAGGAGGCGCGCGGGGAGCCGTCTTCCATGTCTCATGAGGCGGAAGAGGAGAGACGGGGGCCTGGCCTGCGCTAAAAGCCCCGTGTTCTCGTTACCAAAGCCGTAATAAAGTATACACCCCCCCCCAATCGCCACGTCAACTTTAAAATGTGCTTTGGGCACAAGGCGAAGAAAATTTATGTATTATTGCGATAGCAATGTTCCGTTTTCCAAATTGCGCGTCAAGTTTAAAATGCGCTTTGCGTTATTCCCATGGGCACAAGGAAAAGAAACTTCTTTCTGTCCTATACATATTTATTACATTTCCCAAGCTTAGAACAGGCTAAAAGAAATACATGGTGAAATAGTGTGTATGGTTTCTTAGAATTCGTTCCCTCTGCTTTCAGTGGAGCCTACTCCTAAGTAAAGTTTTGCACAGGACTGCAGCCGCCTTGTTTAATTCTCTATGTTTACTTGGAAGTAAAGCCTGCTGTTATAAAATTTGTTAAAAGGTTTTTGTTCCCCATTGATCCACAGCTATGGAAGAGATAACAAAAATAAAAATGGGCCTTGGTTGGAGAAGATTTAAAAGGGGAGAATGTAATTGTTATTACTCTTGTTTTGTAAAAATGCTTCGTAAATGGCAAACAAGCCTTAAACTAGAATATACATTGGACAAGAAACCTGTAGGCATTTCAAAACTAGAAATGTTCTCCCTGCTGCAGCCTTCGTCCACTTTAAACAAAAATAAAAAATAAAATACAGTAGCATTATTGTTGATAATAAAGTTGTCGTTGGGTTATATGGTGTGCTGCAGAGTAAAATGCACAAAGCACCTTGGCCTAAATATGTATAAATACTTCAGTAAGTATGAACCACCAACCATATTCTAAGCTGCAGCTCAGAATTTGATAGACGTGGTACAAATGGAAAAGAATGTGAAGGAAATGCAAGTGTAGGAGCAAATGCAGATTGATGGGGTTTGATGGATATTGCCTTGATGCCCTATAGCTCTTGAATTCCTGACCTGTAGCAGAGGTCAGAAAATACTTCTCTTGCAGCTGTTCCTTCTCTGGCTGCTGGATGGGGCCAGGTTTGTTGTTATTTTTGCCATAATGTTCTTCCTGGGAGGCAGCCTTCCATTGGTCCTTGGGATGGTTACAGAGGTCAAAATGTGCCTCCTTTCAGCTCTGGTTAAACTTCCTAAAGGTGAGCACTTCAGGTAGGGTCCCCCCCCCAACTCAAAAGCTTGCCATGACTTTGCTTGGTCTTAATACTGCCCAACTGGGTGTATTGGGAGTTCCCCCTGCTCCTGAACTGGCATTAATGCATACTGGTCTTTGCTGCTTCCCCCACCCCTCTCTTCTGTAGATGCCTGGAGTAACCGTAAAAGACGTGAACCAGCAGGAATTTGTGAGGGCCCTTGCAGCCTTCCTCAAAAAGTAAGTTGCCTGAAAAATGAATTGGCAGTTAAGAGCTAGTCCCATGGATTTGATAAGGGGATTAACTGCACTTGTTAGTTAAAAAGAAGGGAGTACAGCCTACCTGCCCTCTTCTGCTAATTGCTTTGTGTATGTATGTATGTCTTTACTGTGCTAAGAGCGCAACACTTAGCCAAACATAAGGAAATGCTTCCTTTGGTGTAGTGATGGCTCATCTAATGGAGCACTCTGTCTAGTAACATAATTTTAAAAGGGTGCTTAGGTACAGCTAGTTGTGCCAGAATGAGGATTGCGAATAAGAACCCGAAGCCATTGAAAGCTTTGCAGTGTGGATAGATGGCATCTTGTGGACGGCTGGGGTTCCTGATTTCAGCAAATATCCCTTTAGGAACAGGACATTTGTTTTGAGGTTTATACATTCATGAGTCTTGGCAGACACAATGCTTGAAGTGTGTATGTGATAAGGGAGCCCCCCCCCCCCGTAAAACTAAACTTTAAAAAATAAACAGTGACTTGCTCATTTAATCAGTGATACCCTTTTATCTGATCAGGTTTTAGTCAATCTAAATGTAGTCTTAAGCATGCCTTGTGGGATCTGTAAGTGGAAGTGCAGTTGTCCAGGCCATCTTTTGTCCTGAGCACAGATGCATCATTTGCTTCGTTCCTGGGTGTGACTGTAGATGCAGCTGTTCATCACTTAGTTGTATCTGACTGTGTTTTCTTCACAAGGTAGAGAGTATGTGTTAGTTTTTAGATAGTTTTAAGGTAGATTGTGCTTTGCTTTGGCAGTCTTGTGGCAGTCCAACAAACAAGTTGGATGGTAAACTTTCAAATAAATAGAAGAAAAGCAGGGATAAAACAGAGACACTAATGGGACAAAGGCTAAACTTGCTCTTTGTTCCTCCATCCAAACTCCAGATCCAGGGTGGGTGTTGTCTTCTCTTGATTTTGTTCATGGTAGCAGCCTGTGCACTTGGAGGTACTAGAACTCAAATGGAACCATTAAGAACAGACTCGGTTCTCATCCATTTCTCATCTGCCTCGCCCTGCCCTGGGTTCTGTTTTATGGTCACAGCTTTATTTTTATTATTCTGATTGTTTATAACCTGCCTTTTTTCATGATTGGATTCAAGGCAGTTTACAGATAAAAACAATAACTCTTTAAAACATAGAAAAACCAATAATTAAAAATAGAATTAAACATTGATATAATTGAAACTATATACAACATATTTAAAATTTGTTTAAAACATACCAGTAATTACAATAAAAGCAGCACAGCACCAGCCCACCCTTTCATTAAAAGCAGTTAATTCCCGAAGGACTGTTGGAATTGTTGACAGCAAGGAGGGAGCCAGCCTAGCTTCTCTAGGGAGGGAGTTCCAAAGTCAGCAGCCACCGAGAAGGCCGCCTCCTGCATCCCCACCAAGCATGCCTGAGATTGTGGCGGGACAGAAAGAAGAGCCTTCCCAAAAGATCTGGGTTTTGAACCCAGGCAGGTTCACATGAGGGAATACTGTCTTTCAGGTACTTTGGACATAAGCTATGTGGGGCTTTACAGGGGATAACCAGCACTTTGAATTGTGCCCAGAAATAGACCAATAACCAGTGGCGTTGTTCCTAGTATAACCAGTCTCATAACCAGCCCCGGTCAACAATCTAGCTTCAGCTCTTAGAGCCAATGGACATTTCCGAGCACTTTTCAAAGGCAGCCCCATGGTAGAGTGTGTTACAGTAATCCAGATTACTGTAAACCCTGAAACCACACATTCTAATAGCTTACCCCAAAATAGGATATTGGAGGCTGGCCAATAATTATCCGGTAAAGTGGAATTCAGGGAGGACTTTTTCAATAGGGTCACTATAACCACTGCCTTCAGCCAGTCTGCCGTTGGCCCTTTTGATGAGCCAGATAGGGCAAAGATCTAGCACACGTGGTAGCTCTCACATTTCCAGGCTATATAACTTGAAAAGTATCCATTAACACTGGACTCGTATCAGTTATAGCATCCAAGTCAGGACAGATCTGAGCAATTTTGTCAGCAAAGTGCTTGAGCAAATAGTTCACAGTGGGCCATTGAGTGGTCCACGTTTTCATGTTCCACGTTTTCAGCTCTACAGGATGGCTCTTCGCTGACACATGAATAGGTCTTCAAAGAAGAGATTCTAGCCTGTGTTTGGTCAGGCTTATTCCAAGTTTTCTGCCAATATCAGCTACACATCTTCAAATACACTCAAACGCAGCAGACTGCAGGAGAGGGCACTTGGTCAGGGGGATGCAGTCATGATAGACCACTGTGATTCTGGCCTCCCCCCCCCCCCCCGGCCTTGCTTGCTGTTGTACAGAGAATGCCGGTGGGCAACTTCAGCTAATCAAGTCTCTTAATTCAAGCCTAATCAGCATTCTTTTGCAGGATCAAGTCCTGGGTAGCAGTTGTATCCCATTCACCGACCTGGCAGCATGTAATGGAACATCGATTAATTAGCTTTTATTTTTATATGGTTATGTTTGTAGGAAGACGTTTTAGGGTCAGAACAGTCCTTTGAGGATTTGACTAAGGAATAGTGACTCTGCTGGTTTCATAAGTGGTGGTTTCAAATACAAAAGCTATTGGCGCTGCCTTAGAAGAGGCCTTTCTCCTTTATTCACAACAGGAGAGAGTTCCTCCTTTGATTCAGGTGCGGGGAACATCCATAGCTCAGTGGTAGAGCATCTGTCTTGCATACAGAAGGTCCCTGGTTTAGAACAGTTCTTTCTCTCTCTTTCATTCATTCTTTCAGAGGTATGGTTTTTTTTTTAAGTTGCCCCACTCTTAAGCCAAAAGGGACTCTTAAAGTGGTTTTCACATCAGTAAAAACAAGACAGGACCCTGCCCTTAGGCTGCCCTTAGACATGACACAAAAGGAAAGTTAATTGGGAGGGAGTGGGAAATATGCAAACTTAGGTACCAGTTATTTGTTACAAGGTGGCAGGTGACGAGGGAGGAGGGACTGGACACCCCTCATCTCTTTTTGCCTCCCATTTGCTGCAGCTTGATGGAATTGCCCCAGTCAAGTGAAGTCTTAAGGCTGGAAGCTGTTCATGCAGAACATGTGAGGATCTAGCAAATGATAGTTCAGTGAGGCATGGGTTTGAGCACTTGTCTTCTGGTGACGAGCCCTTTGAGCAAAAGTGATAGCTTGGCTGAAATAAAATTACTGCTGCTTATTTGTATGGTGATAACTGGTGTTTGAATTGTTCTTGCAGGTCAGGTAAACTGAAAGTACCTGAATGGGTGGACACAGTCAAGCTAGCCAAGCACAAGGAACTAGCTCCATATGATGAGAACTGGTTCTACACCAGAGCTGGTAAGGAACTGGGCAGATATAGTAACATGCAAATATGGTGCAACGTCTGTCTTTTTAAGAACAAAGTTCATAATTGTTTTTAACAATCCATGATTGTCTGCATAAGTGTTGCGTTGCATATTGCATCAGAGGGACCAAGATAGATCCTGCCACTCAGATCTATTAAGGGCACCACTTTTGGAATGAGAATGTTGTAGGATAAGTGCAGTGCATTAACTCACTGGTTTGGCACCTGACAACTTCATGAAAATGAGATGCAAATTACGTTGATTATATACAGCTAATGGTAATGCTTGCCATTTATACAGCAAAATGTAAGTGCTTGAAGCAGTTCACGTACATTATTAGCAGCAGCATCAATGCACATGGTACTTTATAGGCATTTTATAAGGGAAAATGGGTCACTGCCTCCAAGGAGCTTACAATAAGAGGGATAACATGGAGAGTGAGACATGTAGGACAAAGAGTGGATATGAGCAGATACAGTTAACATGTGTAGCTTAGTGTCATTATCCCAATAATCCTTAAAATTCCTCATGCCTCTTTATCCAGCATAGTTGAAAATGCTTGAGTTTGGTGTGCAGTTAGGGGGAGTTTGGAGATGACAACTTCTTGGGGGATAGCTAGTGTTCTGCTCAAGGAAATGAGCCCTCTTGGCACCATAAAAGAAAAACATTAACTATTTTCATTGATAGGGCGAGTGTGTCTTCCCTGATGTAGACCATGAATAGTTAACTGTGTGCTTGTGATGGTGCATTATTAGCTCCCCTGTGCTAGCCACGCCTACTTAGATAGATGACACATTGGATAGACATTATGCAGCATTTACATGTTTCATTAAGAGCAAGTTACTGGGGTTCTAAAGACATGAATCAATTGCTTGCTTTTACTTCTTTTTCCAGCTCTCCTGATCTTCTCAGGATTATTACTAGAGGTCTTGCCACCTCACAGCACCCAATCTCTGTCAGTGCTGGGTGCTGAGGCAGTGCGATTTTTCACAGGCTCAAGTCATGTGCCTTTTGATTTGCTTGCCCATAGAAGGAGGAAGACACAAACAAGTGTTGGTAGCCGGCCAAGCAATCTGTCTTGGTTTTCTTCCTGCTGCCCCCCAAGGCCCAAGATAGTGTTGTTCCTGACTTTAGGCAGCTCCTAGCAACAGTTGGAGAGCTTTAGAGTTGCTCTTTGTGGAGATCTTGCACTGTTCATTCACATGTCGCTAGAATGCCTTCTCAAATGCACACATCTGTTTGTATTCATGGTAAATAACGCAAACCAATTATCTATCTTTTCATGTCTCGCTTTCTAAATGCCCCTCCACTGTGGCGATGATTTACAGGGAAGCTCTAAAGTCCTATGTGCTTTTCTCTCGCAGCACTACCGCAGTGATGTCTATTAAGTGCCGTATTCCCAGATGTTGTCTTGCTGCTGTAACTGTTTTAGCGAAATGAAGGCTTGAGAGGTTGCCTTGCGGCAATATGGCCTTAGGCTGTGTCTGTTTTTGTCTGCTTGAACGGTGGCCTCAAAGGACAAAGCAGGTGGCTCTGTACAAAAGCAGCCATGGCGGTGAAAAGTGCTCTGCCCTCCGTGCTACATTCTGCACTACCCTGTAGTCCTGTTCTAGGTCTAAATTGGGGTTTTTACACCATTTCTTGTTCTCAAGTGATATTAACAGTATGGTGCTCTGTTGTTTCTCTGGAGTTGCCACACTGTGTTTGGCTAAGGTTCCTCCAGCTAGATGATCTTAGGCTGACGACAATTGTGCTCATTAACAGTTCGCATGCTACTGTTGGCTACTTTTGTGTGGTTCCTTCCTTCTTTAACGGGAGTAATGCATTCAAGCATGCAGCCAACTTAGTGTGGCTTCTCATTCTGGAGATGTTCCCCAGCTGGAATTGGGAGTTCTCGGCTCGTATATCACACTGCTCAAATAAGTACACCAGCCTTCTTCAGATCAGTGCCCTCCAGATACTTGGAGCTACAAACCTGTTTCAGCTCCAGCCAGCACAGCTGATGGTTAGGAATGGTGGAAGGCTTTCTCGGAGACATCTGAAGGGCACCAGGTTTGAGAAGCGTGGAGTACCCTATTCCTGTGAGTAAAAACATGAGTGGTGTGCAAGGCAACCTTTTGAACCAGGAGGGTTTTTATAACGGGTCAGTCAGTGTATAGAAAACTTACTTTGCGGCTGTATCTGGTGTAGGAAGACAAAGACAAAATGTTTTGATTGAAATAAACAGGAAGAAGAGTCAGGAAGTGATGTGTTGTTTGTGTTTTGGTTTGTTTGCAGCATCCACAGCTCGCCATCTGTATCTCCGTGGTGGTGCCGGAGTCGGCTCCATGACCAAGATCTACGGGGGCCGCCAGCGCAACGGCGTAATGCCCAGCCACTTCAGCAGAGGCTCCAAGAGCGTTGCTAGGAGAGTGCTGCAGGCTTTAGAAGGGCTCAAAATGGTGGAGAAAGACCAAGATGGGTGAGTCTCGGTACCAAAAGGACGCAGAGAACTTGTGCGACTCGGTAGCCCAAGAATTACACCTATAAGGGAGAAAACTGCTGCAGGGTATCATGGCCGCTTGCCCCTCTTGCAAAAACTTCAGGTTGTACTCAACACATTTTTACTTGGAGTAGGATCTCTGAAATCAACAAGCCTAACCACATCGTGTCCATTGACTTAAGTGGGTCTACTTTGAGTAGGAGTATAATTGCCTACAACCCATAACGTGCCACAGCTGACAACATGCAGAGGTCCATTCATCAGAACTTGCTTATATTACTCATGATGGCTGCATAGAGCCTTCATGTTCAGAGGCAGTGTTATCACTCAGTATTAGTTGCTTGGGAAAACAGCAGAAGGTGGCCATGACCTTTGGTGCCCTATGATTTGGCCACCAGGAAGCCTCTGACTAACCATGGATCAGAATTGCTGGACTAGGTGCACCCTTGGTTTCATCAAGGAGAAGCCTTATGTTCACTAAAGGTTCCATCGATCCATACTTTCATGTGTGGATTAGTTATGTGCTGCATTGCCTATTGGAAGGTGCTGAAGCCTAGTATATTTATGTGGGGCATTTAGGGCTATGGGGTGAGGTTGTACACGTTCCTTGAAAAAGATCATAAATCTGCTGGGTGATGGTAACTAGGGCAGAGAATTTCCCACAGTAGCGACAGAATTGCCTTTCTAAAAATGCTGATACTGGTCACTGCTTTCTTTCAGAGGTCGCAAACTTACTCCTCAGGGGCAACGAGATCTGGACAGGATTGCAGGACAGGTAACCTTTTTTTCACATGAATCATTTCTACAAGAGTAGCCGTGTTAGTCTGTTGCAGCAACACCAAGGAAAAGCCTTGTGGCACCATAAAGCATTCTTGTAAATAGCTCCCTGCCTGCAAGCCGTTAGAATTCTATTCAGGGAACCAACCTGGACATTTTTTTAAAGTCCCACCCCCCCCTTTTCAAGGCACAGAAAAACAACCTGTTCAACGTGGGCAGGCTAGATTGTGTAAAAATTTGCAGATCACTTAATTTTGTAGAGTACTTTTGCAAAAGTGCCTGTTGCATAAGTTTTATTTAAAATATTTTAGGGTTGCTTTTTGGCATATGCCTTTCCAATGTGGTTTTACAGTCGAAACAGTTAAGGAAAAGGAAAACAACAATACAAATTTTTAAATTCTGCTGTTGTTTAGGAAATCACATTCTGAAATAAATGCAAGAGGCTTTAAGATACTAGAAGCATCTTCTGTTTCTGCCACAAAAAACTGTTCTCGGTTGCAGGGTAGGAGAAGGAATGCTGGAAATGAATCATAATTTTCCCCCCAGTTGCTTTGGCTTGAAAGTGTTTCTATTACTTAAAGAATTGCACTATCTTACTTGAAATGCTTCACAACGAAAGGAAAATTGAACAGAGAGTGAGTGAGTTAGGATCAACAACTTGCGAGATCATTTCAGCAAAAGTTCTGCTGTCGCATAAAGCGAATCCCTAGCAGCCTGCCTCTCTTCAAAACTCATTAGAAAGAGCTGTGTTGTGTAGATCTCCGCAGCTTTAGATTTGTTCCTTAAAAATTTACTTGATAATCTCTCCCCAATAAAACTCTTTTTAACAGCCCCAGTGCCATCAGATAAAGTGCCTGAATGATGTTGCATTAACTAGCTCTCTGTTGACATTTACAATGTACTGTGGATGAATTATTCCTTGCAAACGGTTGCCTTTACAAATACATAGAAGTTATTAAGTGCAGCATGTCCAAGCAAGTACCAGAATGAAAAATCACACAGAGTTGATAGATGTCTCTCATTTCTAGCGGTTGAGCTAGACTGTGAATCTGAGTATCTTGAAATTTTCCCTTATCGGTTCTTTCAAAATTACAGCGCTCCATATAAAAAAGAGCATGTTGAAGGAACTCCAGTTCAGCTGCTAGTTAGCCGAGTTCAGTTGGTGACTGAATTTATCGTTATATAATTCTGAAGGGGCAGGCCTTGCGTTCTGTAAGGAGGCATGGATTTCTCATCCAGAAGCTGTGGGTGATGTAGACCAAAATGCGTATGTAGAACCCAGCTCCTCCTAGGCTGTTTTATGTGCCATCTATATAAACTGTCAGTGTTCAGGCCAATGGATTGTGCCTTTCTTCATAGAATTGTAGAGTTGGAAGGGGTCCCAGTGGTCATTTAGCCCAACCCGCTGCACTCCACAGACATGACAGGAAGCATGTCATGGTGCTATGTAACATTGAGTTGTGCCTTTTCCCCTGCCAAAGATCAGCTTTCCCACCTTGGTGTTTTCCAGGTGTTTTGGGGTATAACTCCATCATCCCTGCCATTGACAGTGCTGGCTGTGGCTGATGGGAGTTGCAGTCCAAAACATGTGCAGAAAGTTGGACTAAATGTAAGTCTTGCATGGTTTCCCCACCAAAATACAGACCTTTTTCTCTTTTCTTTTCTAGGTGGCAGCTGCAAACAAGAAACATTAAAGTGAATTGCAGTTCAGAAATAAAGTCCTTTATTTACTGATGTTGCGTGTGTTTTTCTGAAGGCTTCACTTCTCCCACCTTACTCCCTGCACACCCTCCAGTCTTTTTTGTAGTATCTGAATCTTGACCACATAAACTGCCTACCATTTCATAACATAAACCACCATTTCAAACCTTTCTTCGAAACAATGAGGACTAAAATCTTCAGGACGAAAACGTCATGCCAGCTGCAAATATCCCCGCTTACATGGGCAGCTGCAGCTATATGTAAAAAATTTATATGCAAGTGTGGATATAATTACTGCCTTTAAAAAAAGCACTGCCTCCCTGAGAAATACTCTGTGCTCAAGCACGGTTCATTCAGATTAGGGATGCAGTCTTTAATTGCTAGATTAATAAACTAAAGCTCTTGCTGTTGTGGGTCAATTTTAATTGGTGAGAGCAAACTTTAATTCGTTAGAGCTGCTAGTAAGGGCACACTCTTCTTTTATTTATTTTTTTAGCTATTTTGGTTCCAAGGTAGAAAAAATATTAAAAGATGGCCTTTCTGAAAGTTCTTATACATATCCTTCAATAGTGAGGTTTTGGTGATTTGAAAATAAAAATTTAATTGGTTAGAAAGCAGAAGATTCTGTAATCAGTTCACAACCCTCTGATTTGCGTCTTGTGTATTCCATATGGAAAACTTATGCTTGTTTGATGAAAACAGTTGCCAAATTTTATTAAAGTGGGTACCTTTGCCCTGCCTTTCCAGTGCAATTTTTTATTGGATTAAACCCCTCATCAGAAAATGAATTCTCTTTTGCCACTGTTCTTACACTCGCTGCTGACAACTCGCTTTTAGGTCTTGACTGACCGTTTGACATTCTGGTAGGTGTTGGAACTGAGATGTTAATTTTAGCTTGTGATGCCCTTGCCCCAGACTTCCCTGATGGCAAACTGCTTAAATGTGAGAAATTTACTCAATGAGAGCTATAGGCAATACAAATATTCTGTGGCCTGGTGTTAATTTGGAGAATATGGCGGTTGGATATGAACTTGATTTGAAATAAAAAGTTAACTGGGAGAGTGGTGTATTTCTCTCTTTACTTCTGCTTCCTGGTCTTTATATTCCCGCTGCAATTCTGGGGTGGATAAGAAGAGCCAGCTGGATCAGGCCAGTGGCCCATCTAGTTTGACATCTCTAACAGTTGCCTTTGGGAAATCAGCAAGCAGGATTCGAGCAGGAGCGCTCCTGCAGTTTCCAGTAACTTGTTCAGAAGCGTTACTTTCTCCACCTAGAGACAGCATAACCATCATAGTTAGTACCCATTGATAGCTTCCATGAATTTGTCCAGCCCTCTCTTAAAGGCATCCTATTTGGTGACCATCACTGCCTCCTGTGGGAGCACGTTCCAGAATTTAACTGTTGCGTAAATAAAGTACTTTTACCTGTTTCAACATTCCATCTTTATTTTTTTATGCAACCCTCAAATCTGTTCCTTTAAAAAATAATAAAACAACACTTAGAGACTGCATGAGTTGTGGGTTAGCCCCAAGGGCTTTTTCCTCCCTGAAGTTTATGAATGATTTAAAACATGGGAATTTGGAATAAAACTGCCACCTCAGCCTTAACTGTGACTTTGACGGTGGCGCTGAAGCCCAAGAGTGTTTCTCTGCAGCTTGATGCTAATGTACACTTCTGGAATGCCTCTCAGGAGCTCAGCACTTTACAAACTCAATTAAGAATTTGCGCCACTCCTGGGAAAATGGGGGGTATCTCAAGCTGCTGTGCAGTAGAGATGAGGACATTTGGCATAATCTGATAGTGTACACAAAACTTGCCTGTGTAAGCCATTGTATCTCGGTGAATCAACACACCAGGAAAACAAACTTTAAATCTGTTTTTATTGCGCTGCCAACTCCTACCTCCAAATTGGAGCTGTATTTGCAGCTCCTGCCTCACTGATGATGTTCAGATGATGCGTTACATTCTAAGGTTGGCATCCTGGGTGCTGTATGTAGGAATCATAGCCACTGCTAGTTCTGGAATTTACATTTTTGTACGTGTGTTTTTGCATGATATAGACATACACAAATCTAGTGGCATCCAGTGCAGGTTTCTTCCTAACATTTAAACCTTGTCTTCAAGAGACTTTCGATGAGAGCAGATAGACAAAACTGCTAGCTCAGTTGGTACAGCATGAGACTCAATCTCAGGGTTGTGAGTTTGAGCCCCACTCTGGAGGGACGTGGGTGGTGCTGTGGGTTAAACCACAGAGCCGAAGACTTGCCGATCAGAAGGTCGGCAGTTTGAATACCCACGACGGGGTGAGTTCCCGTTGCTCGGTCCCAGCTCCTGCCAACCTAGCAGTTTGAAAGCATGTCAAAGTGCAAGTAGATAAATAGGTACTGCTCTGACGGGAAGGTAAACAGCATTTCTGTGTGCTGCTCTGGTTCGCCAGAAGCGGCTTAGTCATGCTGGCCACATGACTTGGAAACTGTACACTGCCTCCCTTGGCCAATAAAGCGAGAGGAGCGTTGCAACCCCAGCGTCGGTCACGACTGGACCTAATGGTCAGGGGTCCCTTTACCTGCACTGCAGATTCCTGCGTTGCAGGGGGTTGGACTAGATGATCCTCGTGGTCCCTTCCAGCTCTAGAATTCTGTGATTCTACTTTGAGATTGCTGTACCAAAGGAGAGCACACTTTGGCTCTGCCATTAGCCTGTTGACACAAATTCTACTGGATTGTGTGTGTTTGTGTGCGGTTAATCCATTGCTGAAATTACCTTCAGTGTTGGAAGAAATAAGCCTCTGAATACCAGTTTTTGGGAAACTCGAGCGGGGAGAGTGCTCTTGTGCTCAGGTCCTGCTTTTGACCTTTCTATAGGCATCTGGGCGGCCCCTGTGAAAACAGGATACTCAGCTAGATGGGCTGTTGGCCTGATCTAGCCTTCTTAGGTTCTTCTTAAATTTGTTGTGACATAAACTCCCATACAGCCTACTTCATTGAATGTTGCAGGTTGACAGGTGTGTGAGTGTGTGTAAAACGCACGTGGGGGTATAGAGAAACTGTTGTGCAGTGTGGGGACAAAAGGTTGTCAAAGGCAAGTTCTTGAATTTCACGGTCTCTTGGTCCGGTTTAATTCCCCTCCCTTCTACGTTTCTGTCTGTCTATTCGAAATAATTCAAGCGTCAGACAAAACGAGTGCTAGCCCACAAAAGCTCGTGTGTTACAGGGCAATGCTATATGTTGGCTGAGAAACGAGCCCCGTTAGTTTATAGAATTGCAGTCATGGGTAAGTTTATAGAATTGCAGTCTTAGTTTTAAAGGGCTGTGTGTTTGTCGTCTTGAATAGGGGACACGTGCTGGGATTGCCAACTCTTTCACTGTCCTTGCTTCTCTGCCTTTCAAAAGCCTGTAACGCAGGAATGAAACGGGTGAAACCTATCCAGTCTTTACTGGGGCGAAAAGCTCCACAGAAGAGGCAGGGGCTTAGACACGCCTGATCAGCCCCACGGGGTGCTTACCGATTAATATGTGCCTAGAGGTAGCATGAGTGGAATAAGAAAGTGGCAGCGTAAGCTATAATTCTGCATAAATGCAAATTAAATAATAGATATCTAGGCTACCTTAATAGCCTCTAGAGTGCAAGAACCATATGCCACAGGGCTGACGTTAGATGTTGGTGGCATAGGCCTCTATTCCCGTCGGGCTGTTTTCCTGCTATACTTTTCTCCTTTCTGCACGTAATTCAGTCTGCTGCTGATTTTTCTTCTCATTTCTCTTCCAAGCCAGGCCACTGAGGTTTTCATATGGGTGGAGGGCAGTGTTGGGAAACGGCTGCTTCGGTCCCCCTTGGCAAAAAAAGGGCACACTATGTCAAAGGGGCAGAACAGCCTGTTCTCCCTTTGGCACCAGTGTAGCTTTTGCAGTAAAAAGCGTCTTGGAAATCCTGTCAGAGGAGGAGGAAGGAGGCGTTCTGGGGGTGTTAGGAGGAGTTTGTCATTTGTTGCTGTCAAGGACTGCCAAAGGTAGATGTTGATCCCTGACATAAGCTAATGAGTTGAGCTCCTGGGGAGCCAGAGTTTAGGCACCCCCTGCTTTAAAGGCGTCTCTCGTCAATGCAGGTTGGGATCCATGAAAAATTGGCTCTCAGTGGCCAGGACAAGACTTGCCTGTTAAACGCTGAGCGGGAAAGTGTGGCGATGTTTGTGCAGGGGACTGAGCGGAAATCGTGTGGAACGGGTTTTTAATATGCTGCAGTCTCTCTCCAGCCGTCTTTTGAGAGGCCCTTCTGGAAATAATTAGAGCTGCTAAGAATTGTTAATTCAATATACGTAACAGCGGGGGCCTGATGGGCCTCCCCCCACCCCACCTGTCGCTCCTTTGCCACCCATAAAGAGGCATTAAAATGGGGGAGATTTACAGCCTTCAGCGGAGAGGAGCGTTGCAAATTTCTAAATGGCGCCTTCGACAAGCGACAGGCAACGAAGTAATGCGTTTCTGATAGTGGCGCTGATCTGGAAGCAGGATTTGAAAGGGACGCAGCAGCTGTTGTTTACAGCTGCTCAGCTTGAGTGGAGGGGGCTGAGATTTATCACTTGGGGAAGCAAAATAGTTTGGAGGGGGCCTGATGCCTTCAGTCAGTCATTTTTGGATGTTTCCTTTTAATGGCACCCTATAGCTCTGGGATGGGCCCTCATTTGCCAGAGCAGAGAGCTCTTGCTCCCCCCCCCCCCCCAGCTGAAATCATTATTAAAGCTGGAGATAAGGGAGAGGAGGGAATATATCTTCATCAACAAGGCAGGGTTATGATTCATCCTAGAGTTGGAGCCAACATCAGCACACGGCCCGGCGTGATTGAGTAAACAACTCTGATGATGTTTCCAGCATCATTACAATTTCATTGGGATTAGTTTGGTTTAAATATCAGTGTACTGAGGATGGGGGCGCATTTCAAATGAGTGGATATTCATGCCGACAGGCACCCATTCAAAATCCAAAGCAGCTCCTTGGAATTTGCATCTTGAAGAGATTCTAACGTTTGCCTTTGTCGAAATTTGGGATGCTGCTACCGATGGGGGCGAACAGCACGGTCCTCCTCAAATGAAGTATGGCTTTCAAAATTGAATATCCCTCACCTCAGCCACAACGCTTGTTTTTTGAATTTGATTTTTTTCCTTGTGTGTTCAAAGCCAAAATTAGCAATTCTCTAACTTAAACATTTCAGATTTCAGATGTCGTTGACATTTAATTAAGAGCGAGTGTGACACATGTAGGGTTGGCAGAAGCTGAGCTCTGGAAGGGATGATGGATCTTGGAGAAGACTTTGTGTGCTGGTGTGGGGCCTGGCATTATCCACGAGGTGGCACTCAAGTGAATGCATTTCAGGCTAATTTCCTAGGCAAGGGAGATGTTGTGATAGGGCCTTTTCTCTTTTAAAGGGCAATAGATTTAAGGAGGGAAGCCTCACTGAGGGGTGTTAGGTAGTCTCCACCCAAACAGAGGAAAGCGTGTCATTCAGGAGCTTGAGGCTTAGCTGAGGCAAAAAAGTCTCCAGAGCATTGCTGAAGGCTCTGCTGAGGGAAAAGGTGTGAGATGTTGTAGCTGAAGGCCTTTCTGCTCCCATTCTAAGACACCACCTGCCACCTGAAGCCACATTCAGGTAAAAGGACGGTGAAATTTTGACATTTGAAGTGCCATTAGGCCTAGCTATGGGGAAAGGCCTGAGGGGGCCACCGAGGAGTCCTCAGTGGCTGAGGGAGGGAAATGTCTAGGGCGCTGAGGTCCACTGCTGGGAGAGGGAAAGCTGTACAATAATTATATTTAAATTGACCAGAGGTTAATTTGCCTTGGCCAAATTGTGTACAGTTGGTTTATAACCACATGTGATGTGCACAGCTCAGCATTTTTGGAACAGGTCAATATGAACTGAAATGGTCCACACAAAATATGTAACCGATATTGCATCTCTGGGAGTGTCATGGTCACAACGAAAAGGTCCAATATTTCTGGTGGTGGTCTGGACCTGGTAGGGTGGCCAATTTTCGAGCCAGCCTTTCCTTCTCTGTCTTTAACAGTGGTTTGATCCGCAGAAATTAACAGGATGCGTTTGCCCTCGCACCATAAAAAGGGGCCACCTGTTGATTTCTGCAGAGCAAGATTTGGATTTGATGTATTTAGAGAAGTTGCATGCCACACTTCTTAAAGTGGCTGTTAAAGGCAGAAGAGCAGAACTGGTTGGGTTTTTTTCCTAATCCTTTGGCATCCCTACACCATTCAGAGGTGAGGTGAGGCAATGGCAGAAATTTCCATGACTCCAGAAGAGGATAGTTGTTTGATTTAGCTGTATAGGTTACCACAGCAATTATTCTATTGATCCAAAGCTGATGTTGGGTTAGACATTTCTGGGGCTTTTGGGGGGTGTCCTGGTGCAATTGGTACAAAGTTATTGCTGAAATGGTTGCTCAGGACCAGATAGTTCCCTATCTCTCCCCACCCTCTATCTATCTATATCTATTTGCACTCCCTTGCAATTTGGGGGAATTGCATATGAACCGTGACCACAGTCCCATTATTCCATACAGGAAGTAGTCGCTTGTAAATTGTTAGTGTGTGCTCTTTCCTTTCCTGTTTAATGATTCTCATTGAAAGTACTGTAGTAAGATTTGTCAATATATGTGATTTTTCTTGCTTTCAACCGCCCCCTCCCCCGCACTGCTGCCTTAAACATTCCCTGGGGTCTGAGGAAAATGTCAGGTCAGTTTTTTAAAGTATTTTTTTTCCAGTTCTGCTGGCTAGGCATAAAGGCTTGAAACCCCGAATACAACTTACCTTAAAAGTCTCAGTAACCAGGATGCCCACACATGTGTGTCTATATGTGCAAAAACACACATATGCCAGCTTCCCAGACACTTTCTCCAAGCTAAATTTTACACACAAAAATGTTCCCCCGCCATTTGAAACTGTCCTCCTTAAGCACTTGCACAAATTTTAAAGACTGAAGTTAACATTCTAGTAAGCTAGAATACTAGTAAGCATAGTACTTATAGTTTATACCTTTAAAAGCCTGGACATTTTTACTGAGCTCTAATCTCAAAATGTAAGATTTCTAATATGGTATTAACAAATTGGCACACAGAGCATTGGAACAGATTGGGGTGCATGAACAATTTCTTATCTTCTTTAAGCGGAAATCCATGAGGAAAGCTTTCTTTCTGTTAACAGCTGCACATAATTAAAAAAAA